TCCCAACAATATTGTGGCGCGAAATGCAAATGTGATATCACACGGATATGCGTGAGATAAACGATATCACACGCATATGAGTTTGATAAACGATTTTCTGGAAAATATCACACGAATTTCAATGATATCAGAAATATCAATAGCTGTTATTGTACAGATAACACATTAATCGTGGGATAATAAGATGTATTGTATTATTAAAAACAGTTTGCCAGAAGGTTTGAAAGTACGAATGCATAGCACACATCAAATTAGCATCGCAAGTGCGACCTCTTCATTGCAAATCACACAAAGTCTATCTTGAACAGCAAGGCGTTCATATCTTCCAGTTTCAATTTGGAAAACAATGGTATTATTGTTATCGCATATTTTGTCTGGTGCATTTGTTCGAAAAAATCAAGGCACATAGTAAATGAAAGAGGATAATATCAGATGATATCGATACTAGTCATGTTGACTTTGCTGCTATAATCAAGGGCGTTACAATACCCGGGAATTTATCGGTTCGTCCAGTACTTGTTTGTGATAGCGCCCTCTGTAGGTCACTGTGCTTATAGCCTACAGTAATACGGGGTAGGATATCTGGAATTCGGTCAGTTTCTATCCGTCGATTTCGCTATGAATTGAAGCAAGTGTGACCACTTTATCCACTTAAACAATTTGATAATTGATTAAATCTTTAAACAAAATCGATAAACACGTTATACACTTCCTATCTCCTTAGAAATTAGCATGTATTTATGGATTGTGTTTTCGAACAAGGCTCGACCCACACCAATAGGGAAATCCTTATGCTAATTAGTATGACGTCATATTTTCCTGGGGAATCCTAGATTTCAAAGCCTCAGTCTGTTATTGTGTCAAATGTAAACGCTCTTGGGACGCTCTTTTGCAGACAGAAAATTGACAGATTAGCTTTTAACTTTCAGCTTTGATGTTTAAATATTCTGTATTTCTACCGGACTTCTTGCTGAATATCATATAATGTTATAACTTGATTTGGACCATTGCCTGATTGATCATTCTGAAATTTTGATTGTGATTCATGGGTCGCGCCTGAGACCAAAAACTACTTCAAATAGCCCTCCCCTAATTATATTGGATAATCACATTTATGCGTGCGCGCGCAGCTCATCCAATGAACGAAACGCCACTTCCCGCTGAAATCACCGGGTATTGATCTTTCCCTTGCTATAATACTTTTAACGCCAAGTTATATTTCATACCTCTATGTATCTAATTCAAAATAATATCCATCAAGAACTTAGGTCTTCAATGAGTTTTGATCGAATGATACGCTCAAAACTTTTATTGAGAGCTGAACATTCAGCATCAATTGTATTGTGAAATAAAACATTTAAAAAAAACTAGATTTCATATGTTTTCCCATTGTAATTAGCTTGGTTTGTTCGTTATTTTCTCTTCAGTAACAATTTAATGTAATAAGTCTGTCAACTTGGATTTTATTTGTTCTGAAAGAGAAGTTCAATTGGTCCGACATTCACTCTGATGATATATTTTTTAGTCTTGGTCGCATTGCTAGCAGTATCAATGCAATTGTAAAATTCATAATCCATGGCTAGATACTAGGTAGCAACCTCAGGTTTCATTTGGTATGGAAATTATGATTTGATATCAAGAATTAAAAAAGTTATAGCATATTTTGAAAAAGTGGCGTTTTTTGTCTTACCTTGTATTACTTCCTAGATCTTCAATAATTATGGTAAAACTAAAAAGGGAAAGAAGAAGACACCGAGCTATGTCTAGCTCAAATAAGCCCCGATTCCTCTGCCAGCGCCCTGCCGATTGAGTATTTTGTTCAGAAATGAATGCAATTCTGAACAAAAATAGAGCAATGACCTGATAGCATAGATGGGCAATATTCTAACCATTGGAATTTACAACTGACATGTAACGGTCTATCGAAGACGTTTTAAGAGAAGATTTAAAACTTTAGATTCTTGTAATAATAGATGTAACACACATGTATAAAGATTCCTGAATGATGTTCATGCTATTGCCCCGAACCGCTCCGTCTTCTCGCTGCAAGCAGGATGAAATTCTTTGTCACAAAGTTTGGCATTTTTTATAAAATCAAACGCGCGTCATTGAAACTCACAATATGTAAATAGCATGTCATCTACATCATACCTTGATGGGGAAAAATAGATCTTATATGTTAGAAGTACTAAATAAAAGTTATCGTGAAAATGAGACAGTCGTTCTCGAGAGAAAAGAGCATAAATGCGCATTTAGAGAGTTTTGGTCCGTTTAAAAATCTGTAAAAAATTGGGGTACTTAAAAGCATCGGGAGGAATCATATATTTCAAATTAGACACGAGAAAGTCAATATTGAGCAAGTTATGGCTGTTTAAAATTCAAATAAAACCGTTAACCCGTGCCGGTCCAGCTTTTGACCCGTGCCGGTCAATTTTCGTTAGCTGCGTATACCAAGGGTGATATGTAAACCATAAATGTTGATAAACACACAGAGAAAGTCCCAAGGGGTAATCAAAATAGAAAGTATCATTAAATAAAATATGACCTTTTTAACCCTCTCCAAATTATATATTTTTTCATTAAAGGAAACCAGTTTTTGGTCTGACCTCTGGCCTCAATATAATGAACAATAGTTTATTAGTTGCATGATCGATTCAGGATTTTCATAACATATTTCTGTGTTGCGTGACAATTTACATGCTGTGTGCCAGTTAGTAATTTGCAATGCAACAATAAATGAATGATGTTGTTTGAAGTAATTGTTACAAACTATAAAAGCAAAGAATATTGATATTTACTGAAAATAGCTTTTAGAATGTTTAGCTTAATACTGTACCATTTTCATATCTCAGTCGAGAACACAGATTCAAAAATAGGGGGAAATAATGTGTGTTCAGCATGATTATGGCATAACAGACCCCTGTTATGATAAAAGATATCTGTCTAATTATGTAAATGAATGGGGATAAGTGATACTTCAATATATGATTTTGCCCCATACCTCTATTTATATCTTGAGGAACTCATTTGCTAATTTGCTAATAGAAGATTTATATATTGAGTCTGATAGCTCTGGGCTTTCCTTAAATTTATTTGACTCTTACATTCTTCAGACGTGATCTCCTCACATTAAAGCAAGTGGGCACAGCACCTACCCAAGATTTTAAAAACAGGATTTCACCCACCTGAAAATATATTTGCACCCCCTTGAAAATAAAACAATCATGAAATATGGGCATATTTTGCCAAATTTTAGTGTGAATTGTGAAAATGAGAATTTTGCACCCACTTTTGAAAAAATCCTGGCGAGATCACTGATTCATTATTAATATCTATAATATGGAGTCATGAAAAATAAGATAGTGAATTAGTGTGTTAGATATATTGAGCCCTTGACAGGAAAGAAATGTATTATCTTATCACTAGTCATTAAGTTCACTGGTGATACTCGGGAACAACAGAGACATCATATCAATGAACAATTCAAAAAGAACTTCCTCTGCACAATTGCAAAATCAATATCCCAATCGCTTTATCTTAGTTTCCGAGAAGTTATAACAGAATGCCATAATTATATCTTATTTTACGTCATACCTTCAAGGTAAATGCCACTTTAATACATAAAGGAGGAACTAGTATTGTATATTGGAATTTTATTGGCATTCACAAACACTGCCTGCAAATGAAAAAACTTAAGACCTTCACATATAGCTTTTATCATTTAAGGTAAAACCTGTGTACAGTGAACACCTATGGAGCCACAAAAAACAGTGGAGTATGTGCTTAGAAAAGGTGTTCACTAGACACAGGTGTTCATTGAGTGAGGTGTTCTCCTCCAAGACAGGTTTTACTGTATTTGAAAATATTACTGTAGGAGTATGTGTATTTTTTGTATTTGAAGAAATAATTGTCAAAGTTCCATGAAAATACTGTAGGATATGAGACGCCTAATGTGGTCACAGACATCTCATTCAATATAACTAAAAATAATGAAATTTAACCAGAAACATTGATGTAAGCTTTATAACCTGCATAATCACTGTGACCCACTCTGCTAATCATTGCGATATTATTTATAGAACTTTTTTTTAATTGAACAGGGAACTTGAAATAATGAAACTTTTGAAGATGATCAATTTTACCATTCAGCTGTTATGAAATATAGAACACATATTATATTATATGTGTATTGTAGTTTGTTTTCATTGGCTGGACTATAACATATTGTGCCTATACTAGCTAAGTGAATGATAATATCATTTCTTGTCTCCCACATCAGTCTTGGAATTTGTGAGAATAATTGCAATTAGTTTTTCTAATATAGCAGAATAAACTGTAGAATGTAATTACCATTTATGGAACAAATTATTAAAGTAATAAGTGTTTCTTCAAAGATAGATTTTTACTTGGTGAATTATGTTGACACGTCCATAAATCATATTATCCATATACATACCGTGGTAAGGCCCAGCGGTAATAAGATCTTACGTTACATGTGATAAGCATATCAATGAGCTAATATAGGGATTCTGCAAATTAAATCCACCAGTATTTGAAAATGTCAAGATCAGAACTGTTGTTCTTATAACAATGTTCACATGGTTCATTTTACTGTCTTCGCCAAATTAGATTCCCAACTAAATAAGCGCCCCTTATCTCCTTTTCAAACAAACATTAAACTGATTATTTATGCCGCCTATTTTGAAAATTTGAGCCTAAAAGCTTATTTATGCAACCAAAAAAATAATTTTGGGCTTAATTACTTTATGTACATGTATATAAGACGGTCAGACAAATATTCCTTGTTCTTATACCAGTATATTTTCAAGTGATTTTCCTCTTGTTATAACACATAACTTTTTGTGGATAGTGTTTGGCATTTGGTGGTTGGTGTTTGGTATCCAGTGTTCAATGACTGTAACAAATGCGAGGGATTACATTTTGCATGTTAATGCTTCGATTCATTTTATGAACCTATACACATTTATCTGTATTTCTAGGTGTGCCAGAATTCAAATATGTCGGCAATATGCATGGGAATGAGGTGGTTGGACGAGAGATGCTCCTCATCCTAGCAGTGAAGCTATGTGACGAATACAAAAATGGCAACACTAGCATCAGGTAAGAGTCTATAGAAATAAATCTAAGAAGGCCTTTTTATTGTTTTGGTCACCATGTTTGTGACAATGGTTGGCATCCAGCATTTGGCATCAGGGTGTAACAAATGGCATCTTGCATGTAATTGCCTAACATTGAATTTTCTGTACCTAAACATTCTGTCATTCATTCCCAGGTTTTTGATTGTTAAATATATTTTTTATTTCCCCATCTTTTTGCCATACCATATAAAACATTTAATTTTCTGTACCTAAACATTCTGTCATTCATTCCCAGGTTTTTGATTGTTAAATATATATTTTATTTCCACATCTTTTTGCCATACCATATAAAACATTTAATTTTCTGTACCTAAACATTCTCTCATTTATTCCCAGGTTTTTGATTGTTAAATATATTTTTTATTTCCCCATCTTTTTGCCATACCATATAAAACATTTAATTTTCTGTACCTAAACATTGTCTCATTCATTCCCAGGTTTTTGATTGTTAAATATATATTTTATTTCTACATCTTTCTGCCATACCATATAAAACATTTAATTTTTCTGTACCTAAACATTCTGTCATTTATTCCCAGGTTTTTGATTGTTAAATATATATTTTATTTCTACATCTTTCTGCCATACCATATAAAACATTTAATTTTTCTGTACCTAAACATTCTGTCATTCATTCCCAGGTTTTTGATTGTTAAACATATATTTTATTTCTACATCTTTCTGCCATACCATATAAAACATTGAATTTTCTGTACCTAAACATTCTCTCATTTATTCCCAGGTTTTTGATTGTTTAATATATTTTTTATTTCCACATCTTTTTGCCATACCATATAAAACATTGAATTTTCTGTACCTAAACATTCTGTCATTCATTCCCAGGTTTTTGATTGTTAAATATATATTTTATTTCCACATCTTTTTGCCATACCATATAAAACATTGATTTTTCTGTACCTAAACATTCTCTCATTTATTCCCAGGTTTTTGATTGTTAAATATATATTTTATTTCTACATCTTTCTGCCATACCATATAAAACATTGAATTTTCTGTACCTAAACATTCTGTCATTCATTCCCAGGTTTTTGATTGTTAAATATATATTTTATTTCTACATCTTTCTGCCATACCATATAAAACATTGAATTTTCTGTACCTAAACATTCTGTCATTCATTCCCAGGTTTTTGATTGTTAAATATATTTTTTATTTCCACATCTTTTTGCCATACCATATAAAACATTTAATTTTCTGTACCTAAACATTCTGTCATTCATTCCCAGGTTTTTGATTGTTAAATATATATTTTATTTCCACATCTTTTTGCCATACCATATAAAACATTGAATTTTCTGTACCTAAACATTCTCTCATTTATTCCCAGGTTTTTGATTGTTAAATATATATTTTATTTCTACATCTTTCTGCCATACCATATAAAACATTTAATATTTCTGTACCTAAACATTCTCTCATTCATTCCCAGGTTTTTGATTGTTAAACATATATTTTATTTCTACATCTTTCTGCCATACCATATAAAACATTTAATTTTCTGTACCTAAACATTCTGTCATTCATTCCCAGGTTTTTGATTGTTAAATATATATTTTATTTCTACATCTTTCTGCCATACCATATAAAACATTGAATTTTCTGTACCTAAACATTCTGTCATTCATTCCCAGGTTTTTGATTGTTAAATATATATTTTATTTCCACATCTTTTTGCCATACCATATAAAACATTTAATTTTCTGTACCTAAACATTCTGTCATTCATTCCCAGGTTTTTGATTGTTAAATATATATTTTATTTCCACATCTTTTTGCCATACCATATAAAACATTTAATTTTCTGTACCTAAACATTCTGTCATTCATTCCCAGGTTTTTGATTGTTAAATATATATTTTATTTCCACATCTTTTTGCCATACCATATAAAACATTGAATTTTCTGTACCTAAACATTCTCTCATTTATTCCCAGGTTTTTGATTGTTAAACATATATTTTATTTCCACATCTTTTTGCCATACCATATAAAACATTTAATTTTCTGTACCTAAACATTCTGTCATTTATTCCCAGGTTTTTGATTGACAACACACGCATTCACATCATGCCTTCCATGAACCCAGATGGATGGCAGCTTGCTGATGAAAAACCCAGGGATGGCGTAAGTGGTCACAAATATTTTTAAATGAATTTTAGTAATATAAAGACTAATACTAACTGAATACTTAAAAATGAAATTTAATAATTGCTTTGAGATATACTTGTATATATTTGGATATCTAGAAGATAAAAATGTATTATTGTATTTGATTGCACTTAATTTCAATTTAGCCTTATTTCCTTATAAAAAATATTTAATATGCAAAATTCAGTGATGTTCTTAAAAAAAACTAAGATATTTGATTTTTAGCAAACTATTTTTTCTGAAAAACACAGTTTTAAAGTCTCATGATAATTAGTCTTACACTGGCAGATAACACACTTGATCTAATGTAGAATTTACTGCCAAACTTTTGAGATAAAACCTAATAGACTCTCAAGTGACTTTGTTATTTCAGAATGGCAAGAAGAACTGGTTGATTGGCCGTGCTAATGCAAACAACATTGACCTTAACCGTAACTTCCCAGAAGTTGATAAGATCATTTATAGCAATGAGGCCAAACATGCAGCCAATAACCACATTATGAAAGAAAAGGTGGCCCTCAAGACAAAGGTATTTATTGTTAGTTTTACTGCCACCATGGAGTTTATTATGTTTTATGTTGAAATTTTTGTATGTTATATGTAAAATATTAATTAGCTTGATGAACATTTCTTGAAATATCATAATTTAATAATTTCTTAGTTATTATTTTCTTATAAATGATAATCAGCTCATGCTTATTGTAACAATGGATAAAGAAATTGTTTAAATATCAACCTCAGAATTCTGAGTTTATAATTTTTTTTAATAACCTTGGATGCTCATTGCTCATAAAATATATGGGCAACTCAATGTTTATAGCTTGGTTAGTCTCCTAAGTGGTTATATCAACTGTAACCTGAATAAAGGAACCTGAGACTGCAATAATAACCTTATGTCTCACTTATTGTATTATCTTACATGTCATGGTGCCCTTATGTTTCGGGAATATGAGAAATATTTGATTTGGGAGAAACATTTGATAAGGGAGAAACATTCTTAGTAAAGTATGCTAGAATATGAGAATGCTTTCATTGAGGAATACTCAATCAATTGTGGTTTTAAACCAATTGCACTTTGATAAATTACTTGCTTCAATGAGTATGTTATTTATAGGATGTACAATTGCTTTATTGCTTCATTTGACTCATGCTCTTACAATGCATTTTCCCTATTAGCGTGTTGCCACTCTAAAACTATAGCAGACCAGGAGTCAGTTTTTGCCAAGGGGGGTTCACTTTTCAGATAAATTCCAGGGGGGTTCACGTTGACAAATTTGACCCAAAATCACATAAAAATGCTGAGAATCGAGGAAAACTGCATGATTTTGAAAGAATTTTGGGCCAAGGGTGGAGGGGGTTTTTCCAAACCCCTCGACCCCCCCCCCCCGCCCCCGGCTACAGGCCTGACAGTAACCATGAAAATAAATCAAATTGAATTGCTCCAATATTTTGTTCTCTCCCTTGAATATCTATTGTACATATTACTTTGCTATTATCTTACCTTTACATCCATAATCTTGTAGGCTTGTAAGGGAGCATTTCAAAACCTTGTTATCTGAAAATTAACTGTATTTGCAGTTAGGGAGGGAGGGGGTCATTAGCCCTAAAAGTTACCGTTCCGACATCGCTCCTGGGAATTTTATTCGTGCATTCTCTTTTCATCCAGTGCACTTCTGGTACGATAAATAAAAAAGAACCTGAACACAACAAAGTAAAATAAACTAAAAAATGAGCGTTCTGAAGCCTGTCTATGCCAATCCAAGTGGCAAATATGAAAGTTTTGTCAATGGGGTCTGGCCTAGATCGAATGAGGCCATATACATATATAAATTACATGTTGTGTTAGATATAGTGTGACTTTCGATACAAAAATATCGACAAACACAGTTATCAGGGGGGAGGGAGGGGGTTATAGATTAACTGTGCAAATACAATTAATAATCCTACATTGAACTTTTGAGGTGCTCCCTATTGCTGATATGTCCGTTTCTAATTGAGACTGTATTTTGTTACAGCTGGCCCCTGAGACCAGACTGGTGATAATGTGGATATATGATCATCCCTTTGTCCTCTCTGCTAATCTTCATGGAGGAGATCTTGTGGCTAATTATCCCTATGATGAGAGCAGGAGTGGGGCACAGCAGGCGTACAGTGCCAGTCCTGATGATGGAACTTTCAGGTAGAGTTAGAGTACATGTAAAGTACATCTCACAATTACAGAACAACAGATTTTTCAACACTACACTACATTTGATTAGATTATACTAGTACATCAGACTCAGTACAAATTAGAGTACATCGCTTAAGAATACATCTTGATTCTCAAGGTATTAGTTGCTCCAACTTCACCTTGATATATCTAGTGTAGTGTTCCATTCCTTAAGTAAACAAAACAAAATGCTTATGAGCATGGTGTGCTCACAGCAAAGACACGATTACGTGACAAACAGATCACTTCAATAGGTCCTTTCAATAGACATTCATTAAGGGCCATAAAATTGTCATTTGTAAGTGTGGTTACTTGTGAAATGAATATTTGGACAAATTTGATTGGTACCGTGGTCAAACACACGGGGAATGAGCCACCACACAGTAATGGGACAGAAAAATCATTTGTTCCAAGGGGTGTTATAACCACTTGGAATTCGAAGATGTTAAGAATAGTCCACACCAGAAAGCAAAAACGTTGGAGGTTGTCACATCTAATCAGAGCACATCGCTTTATCACAACACACATTTCTTCACAATAATTCAGTTCAATCCTTCCCTCTCACACCTATTCTCTGTCTGGATGTTAGAGTTTGTCACATCTAATCAGAGCACATTGCTTTATCACACCACACATTTCTTCATAATAATTCAGTTAAATCCTTCCTTCCCACACCTATTCTCTGTCTAGATGTCAGGTTGGATAAATAGGAGTGAGTGATGAGAAGCAATGCTAAGCCTTTAGAAAAGAGTAGTTCAACATCATCTCAACTCTATTAAACCACAAACAGTCATTCTGACCCACAATATTGTTATAAAAATCTAGAATTTAAGATTGTTTCATTGTTGCCTTCTCCAATTCTGTCCTTCAGTGATGCAAGTGGGAAAGATGCTATTGGTATCAGAATGGGATTATTTGATAATTTGATAGGTTAGAACACTATATTTCAGGTATCTGGCAGAGTCCTATGCCCTGACCCACAAGACAATGGCTGACCCCAGCCATCCCCCATGCGACATGACTGGGGACGACAACTTTGCTGCTCAGGGGGGCATCACCAATGGGGCAAAATGGTACTCCGTGCAAGGAGGTAAGAATTACATTTGCCAGCATAAGCTATTAGTCCTTTTCAATTGGATTAACATGGGACTGTTGTGTGAATAATAAATATAACTTTATAACTCTATAATTAGGCCCCCACTCTAGCAATAATGAGTTACTATGAAAAGAAATGAAAGCAGCAGGTGGGTCTCTAAAGATAAAGGTAATATAATCATAAAATGAGTATCTTTTGTATAATTAGTTCATGACTTGAATAATTCCTGTTTTTTCACATCATTTCACTCGCTGTGTTTCACATTGTTGCTTATAGCCTACAGTGTATTATTTAATCCTTGAGCAAGTATCATCATAGGCTATAACATAGCAAAATAGAGCTGATCTAATTTATGATTGTGTTTTATCCAGGCATGCAGGACTTCAATTACCTGGCCACAAATGACTTTGAAATTACCATTGAGATGGGATGTGATAAGTTTCCACCTGCTAGTGATCTGGAGACAAAGTACTGGCCCGAAAACAAAGATGCGCTCGTCAACTATATGTGGCAGGTATACAGATATATGAGGGTTATTGTATGGGACGTTTTGGTTATGGGATATATCCAATGGAAAATATAGATATGTTACAGAGTTCCCAAAGGAACAATTTAATTTAATAATTTACATGGGCTGATATGGGAGTCCAGGGGTATGATGTATACGTTTTTGTTGCAAAAATGATAGGCGTAATTTTGGGAAAATCTTGCCAATTTGAAATATGTTGTTTTCAAAATTGGTTCTTACAACCATAAAATAAAAGATAAAGCCATAGAAACAATGCCAATTTTAAATGGTATGCCTCTATAGGCCCGTCTTTCTTTGTGTTCACTTGTTGTTCTACATTAGCCATACTGTGATTTTACCAGGTCCATATTGGAATTCGTGGCTTTGTTCGACAAGCTGGTAAAGATGGTAAAGGACTTGCAAATGCTTCCATACATGTAACGAATCTCACAGGCACACCAAAGGAAATCAACCATGACATTACTACAGGTCGGTTGCTACATATATATTTTTTTAAATGGGGGATATATTACTGTAAACGTTCTATATTACTATTGTACTCTTAGTCTGACATCATGATTTCTTTGGTAAAAATTATGGATTTAGGACTTTTGTAACTGATAACCTCAGTCTACTTAACCAGATTAAAATTAAACTGTAAGTCCAATAGTAAAAATATAATCAGTGGTAAAACTGTTTTTATTTTGATTTATTTTACGCCCATAAAAGTGTCTTGAGCTTGAAAAGTTAAAATGGAGGATCTCCCAATAGCACAACAGCCCACCACATCCATAAATGTTGCTGTTTCTATAAAAATAGAAATATTTGGTGTTTCAGCTCACGATGGGGATTACTGGCGCTTGTTGATAGATGGCGTGTATGATGTGAAAGCTTCAGCAGATGGTTACGAACCTGTCACAAAGCGTGTTACAGTCAAGAACCAGGAACACTCACTTGCCCAAGTAAGTCAGCTAAGGAAATAATAAGGTTTACTTTTAAATGAAAATCAAGTATATGGAAATCAACGTTTGAAAATTTTGTTATATTGGGAAAGGGGGTTAAACCTGACATAATTTTTCCATTTACCAGGGATCAGCTAAATGACTCACAATAAAAGGTGTCCACATTATATGGTTCTACTAGTGCTGGATGAAAGATGCTCGCATTAAGAGATTTTACTGTATTGTTATGCTATGTAATTACCTCTTCAATTCTTTTGGGTTTTTGGAGAGCTTTATCGGCAGTTAGAAGGTTGTATTACTTTATCCTTTCAGCTAATAAAGCTCTTTAAATAAACCCAAAGGAATAGTTTGATATGACTTCTTGTGCATTACGCTAGATACCATATAAATGATTGCATCGTATTAAATTTCCAAAACTTACAATGTATTAAGTAAATGGGATATTGTTTCTGAAAGGGAAAGAATTACTCAAAATTGCAATTTCATGCATCTTCTATTTGTTAAAAGTTGTTAAAAAATATGGGTTTCTTATTTAATCAACATTAATGTAACATTAAGGAATATCCATTTACTTTTAGTTTATTTTTCAATTACCTTTCCACTCGTTTGATTTGCTCCTTCAAAGAACTCCCGGGAGCTTTATCTACACTCTTAGGCACAATCCTTTGATCTCAGTCTTACCCAATCAGAATATGCCAGTCAAAATCTATCTGTCAATCAGAATTTTACTATTATGAGTTCAGACTTCCATGAAAGCCCACGGTTGTTGAGATCTTATCAACATCCAAACTTTATATTCAGTTTTCAATTCAATACATTTTAGTAAACACTTAATAATATAATTTAGTTTGTTGTAATTATTGCTCGCCTTTGGGAATCAGGCTCATTTCCTATAACTGGTGTATATATATGTATTACATGTAACATGTTTTCTGTTGTTGTTTACTTGTAGAGTGTTGACTTTGAGCTGAAGCCTCTTGCTGCTGACAAGGAAGAGGTTGGTATCAATTTACATGTAAATATAATATGTCAAATATGATTTATGATCAGTTTTCTTATTTATGAAAACTAGATATACTCGTACATAATGTAAATAATACATACATAAGTATACTTGAAAATAATTGATATTATATTCATCTTTTACATTTTGCTTCTGATTGAAATTATTTTGACATCATATTTATGGGAATCACCCAAAGCTTTTTAACCAATCAAAATGAAGTATTTCAATCGACAGTCCTCTTGATTCACAAGGTTTTGGTTAAAACAAATATTGAAACATTTTTGAATGGTTCCGGTGGAAATCTTAATGCATGACACACCACAGAAACAGGACAGAAAAATAAGCATATGCAATATGTATCCAAGAGGTGTGTTATTATAACCACCTTGGAAGTCAAAGATGACTGACATTTTTGATTTGACATGTTTGATTAAATGAAGCCCACCTTAACTCTAGCTCTTTATTATTTACAGGTAAAACAATCTCTCTCTGACCTCAGTGAGAATGACGTTGATCAAGAGGTCAGTACATGTTTATATAAAACTCTTAATTTTTGAAATTTGACTTGTGATCTGTTTTGCGTAATAATAAAAATATTGTTTTATATGAATGAATCAAATCTATTTCAATTATTGCTCCTATCATGAACAGGTATAGCAAACTTAATGTAAGTGGTTTATGCTTTAATCCGAGGAAAGCTATTATTAAGAAAATATAATAATAGATGGTGAAGTAATGAGAGGGTATGGATATAGGTTTTATCCTGAGAAAAAAATACATCTTTCAAGAGACCATTTAGAAGGATAAAGCCTACATCCGAATTTGACCATCATACAGTAACTAATTTATCCCATATTTGTAATTGGCCAAATTGCCATTATTGTCATGCACTCATGCTATCCTAGAAAGCAATACATTTATCTCCAATAGCAGTATATAAAATATGTGTCTGATACAACATTTATATGTGTCATTTCCATTGTGGGATAGATTAGATACTGTACTGAAAAATGTTACTTTTATCCTTCAATATGCAGTCCTAACTATGGTACAATATGGGTCTATTAGGCATTAAGGTCATATCAGAGATTAGACTGAAGCTTGGGTTCCCTGAGTGAATCCAGAAATAGTAGGATCTAGTGCATTTATATCCACTCCCCTGTAGATCCTCTCTGTGGGGTTGGTAAACACATGCTGTATTTAGAGGTTTCATCTGCAGTTGAAGTGAATAGTCAAATCTTCAGTCTTTTAGTTATATTTGAATGAAGATATTTGTGACATTCAACATAAAATGTGCATAAACAGTTATAAATTTCCACATTTTCCAATAAGTTTTGGCTGTTTACATGGCTATAAACATATAATAAATAGAGGATGTTCTTTTTATTCCATAGTTAAAGTCATCATCAGAATCGTCGGAAATTAAGTTATTTAATTCGGATTTTCCAAACGATCCGGCGATGTTGACGCTTAGCCTCGTTTTGAGTCTGAAGTAGCAAAAATCCATAAACCATTGCATACGGCGCCATATGTCATGGCTAAAAAACCGTATGCCATGGTTAAGTGAAAATTTGTCAAAAATATCATATTCTACCACTGATTACAAAAATACCGTTTTTATTTTCACATGTTATCCTATGAATATCATGCTAACTATGGAATAAACAAATACAGTATTTGTTATTCAAATAGCATATAGTCAATATTTGATTAGCAGAAATATGTCTTTCAAAATAGGATTGAGATTGTTTTATATGTTTTTTACTACCTCTTAATATCTGAATATTTTGACAGAATGGAGATGGGCTCATTTCAGATATTCTGTATATCAGAATTTACAATTCATTTCAACCTTAGTGTACCCTAGTTTCCATTTTGATTTTCGGTGGCCAGAAGCCCATGGTGCAAATAAGAAAATGAGATGATCTTACATTAATGCAGTGTATGATAAATTGATTGGGATAAGTTTCCCCCTAACAAGATAATCTCATTAATATTAGGGAATTATTAGGGATTAGTGGCATTACTGAATTTAATTTTGTCTAGACTATTTTCTATCCCTTACATAAAACCATATCCTCAATTTTATTTCATGTCAAAATCAGTAGCTACCCTATTTGCTGCATAAATTCCAATAAACAGTTTGTAAGGGTAATTAACATTACCTATTTAAAATTATATTTATAGAAAAACATCTGAACTTGTCAATCCAGTCAAAGACTATTTTGATGTCGATTTCAAATTCTTTGAGAAATTAACTTCTTTGGGGTATCAGAAATTTGGTTTTGTTATAGAAACATTGAACATTACAGATGCTTAAAGTGATCAATAAGATTTTAACTAATATGAGAGGGGGGCATGAAGCTTTGTTAAATTAGTTTTGAGAGAAAAGTTCATATTTTGACATTACTCCCTTAAGTAAAATATACTCTGATGTTCACTTGCAGATCCAAGACATGTCAGATGAGGAATTAGAGAGAGCTCTAGAGGAAGTCATGGAGATCAGAGAGGAGCTTAACAAATTTGATTGGCTGAGATACCTCCAGGAGGATGAATATTAAACATCTCTGATTGGGCATTGGAACTATTTTCTTTAGAACTACTTAATTGGATAATAGGATTTTCTCAACATCATACTTGGAGTTTAATTTTTGAGTCATTTCATACTCGGATATTTTGATGTTGATCAAGGCATTAATGTATAGTGGTAATGTAAATGAACCAGTATTATTTGAAAATGTGTGAATGGACATTTTTTGTAAAATTTTGACAAGGCAACTACCTCATACCTGGCTCCACCCCTGACCTACTTAAGTCCTATACACACACACTGATATATCTGAGAGACTTCCAGTCTGTTATTGAAACACGAGGGATCTGCTGATGTTCTGTTAATTAGATTTGATTCTAAGGACAAGTCCAGTAAATGATGATTGATTTGAAGCTATAGGCTTAGCGAACACAATCTATCATTTTCTGAGATTAAGGGCCTTGTTTTCATAGATATACAAGATCTCAGTTCACATTGATAACATTAGGTAGCAAATGTAGCTGGAAAATATTCAACTGGTTGTCTGACTATATTGTCCCGAAACTTTGATGTTTTATTTAAAGTGTATTTTAAATGGCTATAGTTGTTGGCCCATCCTGTACATTGTGACATCACAGAGAAAGTAGCTCCAATGTCCTTCTATGAATGAATGGTCACATTATAATTGATGCTGACATTTTAATAATATTAGTATTAGTGTATTAGTCCCATACAAAAAATGCAGATCACAGTATAAATATTGTAACAATCAGTTGGTGATAAACTGTGGTTAACATCTATGCTTAAGCCATAGTTTTCGTGAGTATATTACAGTATACATAATAATATAAATGGTCACTGTATACTATGCTAAAATGTAAAGTTGCTCCTCTAGCAAGATTTATTTTCCTAAATTATCAAATTTGGTTATACCAGGCAGTTTGTATGTAGGTTATAATTTAATGCAAATGTTTATTGCAATTTATTGTGTCTTTCATGGTAGACATACTTATAGATTAAGGTGAGCAGAGTGGAATAATTAATCTGGAGTACATTATAAAGAGTTAAAAGCTGAAGTCTATTGTCCTCTGGGTGTGATGTCATGGTTTCTATGGTTACAACGATGGGCTCAGGATTTGTCGCTAAAAATGTTTTGGTAATGTGCTCCTGGATAATTAAGTTGGGCCTAATATGTGCGTTGTATTCTTTGTTAGTGCAATATACGAAAAGCCACAAATTAGTCTCACTTTGTCTGCCTTAATATAACCAGCTAGATACTTACACTCTAGCTTCCTTAAGTGGAAGCTCCTTACAAACGAGAAGGTATACAGGGTTAGTGTATACATGGCATAGGACATTTAATATATTGTGCAATATATATGTAAGACTTGTAAATATTCATTTGCATGGAGAAACTGGAGAGTGAGATAGAAGAGATGGAAGGTTGTGGTAGCGCTCAGAGAAATAATACTTTTGGAAATAAATTGTACACTCCGCTCCATAAGTTTTGCAACCAAAATTTTTCATTGGATAGCATATCCGACCCAACAATGTTTGTACTGGTGTCTCAATTTTGTTCATTGATTACAAAAGTTCAGAATTTATTACAAAGATGAACTTTAAAATTGCTATAAATGCTTAACACAAACAGGCTTTAATTTATGATCAAAAGGGGGACTTTTGCCCAACTTAAGGAGAGAAGTGTATATGACTAAGTGGTCTGGTCAAAATATTGACCAATCGAATAATGCCAAATACATAGAAATGAAAACATGTTTTTTGCTTCCTAATCCTAAGATAGTTCCCATGGCCACATTTTCCAATTGGTATTATTTCAATGTGCTCTTATAATGCTTAGTTGTGGGATTGAAATGTTATGAAATATCTGGATGAGTTCAATATGACCGTGAGATCAATCATTCCATATTTTAAGGTTTATAATGAATGGAATTATAAATCTTAAAAATTAGAAGTTTGAAAGATTGCTGAACTAAAAGACATACTTAATTAATGCATTTTGTGAAAATGTATTTACATTCATTGTTTAATAAGAAAACTGGTGTATTATATGGCACCAGTTTACATAGGTTATTCTTGAACATGTACACAGACAAAGAAATATACATACTGTACCTTATTAACACATTGTAACTAAAACAGTATTGGATATGTACTAGGCTATTATTAAATGATCTCTGGAAATAGGATGCACACATTGCTACTGAATGGTAGCCATAATTCACATATTGGTTGCCAGTAACAACATATTGGTTGCTAGGCTCCACATATTATTGGGTTCATATTTGTTGCTGGTATCAGATTCTTTGGGGGATATTAGTTTAACAAATACAAATATAAGACTGTCTGTGTATATGTTCAACTGACTCAAAAATTGTTATATTTTATCAAATATTATTGATGTTATATGTAAAATATATTTTATGTACATATTGCAATTTGGCAATATATTTCTGGTATTCTGACTGATTTTTGAAGTAACAAAGTACTTAATGGACAAACTACTTGAAAAACTAGCCATATTGATTCCTTTGTACTTAATTTAGACTTTGAAATTACAATTTTATCAACAGCTCTACATTGGGTTAAACATTCAACATATACAAATTATTTGGTAATGGTATTTTAAAGAACAATATCACCTTTACAGATGGACACTTAGACTAAGAAAAAAACAAAGTCTAACTCATTCCAATAGCAATTGTAGTACAATGTACATGTATTTTTTCTTATTGTATCTGTTACATGTAAAAAAATTGAGAACATGTTTCAACAAACATATTTTTGAAGCTGAAAAGTTTCTAGATCAGCAATATTTCCTTGATTCCTACTTAGCCTCCTCAAAGTTTGAATCAAGAGAATCTAGAAACTAAAACCTTTTGAAAATAGCCAGAGATTTTCATGAAACATGTACTTGAATTTGAAAATGTGAAAATTGTTCATAATACATACACAGAATTGTAATATGCAAAGATTTGTATATCATCAGAATGCCCTTACAATTTATGTATTTTTATCGGATAACTGCTGATATTTGCAAATTGGCAAGTTTAATAAAGAATATAATGTTTAATATACAGCTTATATTACAACTGGTAATTTCCACATATTGCTATTAACTGAACATTATACTCCTAGATTTATTGTGAAATATGAACATGGGAATTTATATTTTTTATTTATTATGCTCTTATTCATATCTGTGAATTTACATGTATTTACTTTATTTTACTTAACAATATATAGATGTAATTTACAATTTTTGGAGTTATCAATTTATTAAACAATGGCATAAGGTACTTTACAATATTGCTTGATTATATATCTGATGATATACAAAGCATTGATGTATGTATGCATTTATAAATAAGGACAAAATGTCTTACAAAAATGTTTATAATTTGTTCCAGTTTCTGGTTTTTGCAGGATATGTTGATTGAAACCAGTTTATATGTAAATATATATAAAACATATTTGGCTCGAAAAAAACTGCTCGCCATTGAGAGAGAGTTGTATTACATAAAAAGCAATGGTTAAATAAGTATTTTATTTATGTCAGAAATTGTGTATAATAGAAATTTACTCAAGTTGATCTTGAAGCTTTTACAAATTGCAATATTATATTTAAGAAACCAGAAACTGGAATAATAACATTTGAATATTTATTTGTGAATAAATAAGTGCTTTCGTGGAAATCTGTGTTCTGTTTGGAATTTGAAAGCGTTTCATTGCCCTTCCCTTTCCTACATACCAGCCAGAGATTACCATTTGCATACTTTATTACCATTTGCATACTTTATTATTACCATTTGTATGGTTTATTACCTTCAGATTCTCATTTTTTCCCCAAATGCACGGTGAAGTGTGACAGAAAGAAAAAGCCTCTTATCAGATCTATCGCAAACCCAGTAGCATGGGATGAATAATCAAATCTTAGTTAATACTATCAATGTAACACCATTTGTAATCTTGCTCATGCAATACCATTTGTAATCTAAATCCTATGTGACACAATTTGTAATCTTAACCATGTGACACTATTTGTAAAATAGTCCTTTTTGACACCATTTGTAATTTTGCCCATGCAATACCATTTGTAATCTAAATCCTATGTGACACAATTTGTAATCTTTACCATGTGACATTTTTTTGTAAAATGAACCTTTTTGACACCATTTGTAATCTATGCCCACTTGACATCCTCTCAAAGGTAGAGCAAATTGTCATATACTGTATAAGTGGTATTTGATCTGAGTGGTTTATTTGCCGTATGGTCAAATGTCCTCATTTTACCAATTTTAATTTTCCTAATAACAAGAAACTTCCCATTGTATAAGATTATGAAGATAATCTTTCCGACATCTAATTTTCGGAACCTGGCAAAAATCAGGCAATAGGCAAATTAAATGAATAGACAAAATTACCACTTATACAGTACTTGGTAGCAGGAGGGTAAATGGCAAATTATATTTGTGATCTTCAAATATAGTTACTGTACTGGTAAGTAAAATACCAATATGTGTGACTGCTTTAGCCATAACCCTATCCCAAAAGATTATTTCTTGCTCAGTATTTTATCAGCTTTTATTTCTGTGACACATTGTCACATGTATGGCCTTGTACTGCACTTTTATGAAGGTGGAGCTTACAGTACATGACATCAGCACTGTCCATGACATCATCACTGTCTATGACATCAGCACTGTCCATGACATCAGCACTGTTCATGACATCAACACCTTCCATGACACCCAGCAAGGGCGTCTTTTTATTTGACTAGAAATTATTCATGACTGGAGAAATGCAAACCTTTCCAGAGAATAGTTCTGAAGTAACTGTGCATATTATAGAGAGCACAAATAGTACATAGGCCACCCCTGGTTGTACAGGTGTAGGGAGATGATAAGGCCGCCCTCCTATCTCATCTGTGGAGAACCCAATTGGAAACACTAAGGCTGCCAGGCAGAGTAACACAACTGAAAATGCCCCATATAAATTGTTTAATGTTGAAACGAGTTACATTTTGCAAGAGGTCACCTCTGATGAAGTCACAAATACAACATCTAAAACAAATAAAATGTATTCTCTGTTCCAGCAATTTTGAGTTTCATGTAGTAAAATATTACATGTCTCGCTCTAAATGGTTTAAAATTATGGTTGCCATTGGAACCATTGTCATGACAATGTGGCATATGGTCTGACAATTAAATGTTTTGATTGCAATTTACTGAGTAACACCAAAAGTTAAAGGCATTCCAAGACAATGAGCATAATTTTGTGAGATAGATGCTATGCATCTGAAAAAAATTCTCACCTGCTCCAAAAGCCATAAATCTTGCATATTTAATGACATGTCTCTCCCAAGCAGCTACAAGGGTGAGGAAGCAAGTTGAGGTTAGGCAAAGGATTGCTGCTATTATAATCACAAATGTAATTGTCCAAACTGGTGTCACTTGCCCACTGATGCATATCTCAGGACGTTTACCAATTATTGCACAATACCGAGTTAGACCAAGTCTCATGTGACCTGCAATGTAAGAATGAGACAATTAATATAAATAACATAGGTCTTGCCAGGGGTGCACCCATAATTACTAAAAATAGAAACATTAGATAGAAGAAAAGAGCTTAATGCTTTTTGTTTGAAGTGTCTAGCTCAATTTTGAAGGAAGTTGCATCAACTTTTTTAAAACTCAAAGTTTTTTTGGCTCATTTATGCCAAGATCGCACCCGCTCCCACTGACTGAAATCTGGCTACGTTCCTAATAAATAATAATACATGGCTGTCCACTGAGCCTGTATATACTATCAGAAAGAACAAAATTACAGAATCAATGCTTTAACTTGTTCTTACAGGAATGTTGTTACATGAGTTTTACAGGAATGTTGTTACATGCATTTCACCTGTAAGTTTCAGCAGATTAACCTTGAGTAATTGTAATCTTCAATTTGTGCTTGTTATGCTGTTTCAAACATCAACTTTTCATTTCAAGCAAATGAGCTGTTTCCCTCACATGTCAAGCATGAACAAATGTAAATACTATGGTGCAATAGATAGTTTGTTAGTCTCCAATGTGTGGTTAATTTTTAATTCTAGATATTTTTGGGCAAATAACAAAATTTCATGCCCTTTCAATCCTTAATTAATAAGAAAGTTACAACTATACTACTTGTGCTTTTTAATTTCAAAACTGCACTTCTAGATTTCTAGTTTTCCACTTTAAGATAAAGTGGAAAACAATATTTCCAATTTTATTTTCCCATAGGGAAAACTCACGGGATCCATTGCTTTCAGCTAATTTTGGTCACCCATAATGGATATCTTTAAAACCCCCAAGGGAATCACTTATTCCTTTAAGGGGTTAACTGTGTGTCGAAACTCAACATACTGATGCAACAAAAATTAAAAAAGCAGGGGTGGAAGGGGTTTAAAATCAGAACAACATTTTAGAAAAAACATGTGTGTGAGTTGTTTGCATCTTCCCTGTCTCAAAGTCAAAATTATTTTATCATCTCTATGAGTGCTTTTCCTGGAGGTAATGCATTGGTCTAACATATGCACCTGTTTAAATCCTAAGAGAATAGCCAAAATCCAACATATGACTGTCCGAAATCTGTTGCGATACTTTCCCTCCTCCTTTGTTGTAAAAAAACAAATTATAGATTGAAATCTTAAATTGCACCCCCCCCCCAGCCCCCCTTGACAATTGCTGGCTATGCCCTGGGATCGAATTAAAATAATATTACGAAAATCCATAGGATGTCCTATCTATCCCATAGTACATCTCTAAAACAAAACCAACCATTTCAAAATAACATTCATTCATTCATGAAGTGACGCATGAAATCACCATATAACAATACATGTCACATTGGCGGGAGTTGTCAAATCCGTGGAAAAAAGTGACATCAATGGAATATTCTCAGTACTCCACAAATAGACAATTTTGAAATTTGGAATGATAATATTCTATAGCCAACATATGTTAAAATTTAGGGATTGAAAATTATTTGTTTTCATAGCAAGTGCAAAAATGGCTGATGGAGTAAATTAATTTGCATATTTGTTACTTCCCTAGCTTTATTTCCGTTTGACAATACGCTGTGTTACTTTTTATTACTTAATTGTACGTAACTACTTTATTGAATTGTTATAATGTTTATTTTTGGGAAGTGAAGCTTCCTAAAATTGATAATTTTGTGAAGAAAATTTCCTACTTTTTCCCACATGATGGACATGATGATCAATAGACTGAATTCTCAAGATATTCAGTCTATTGGATAGAGACTGTTACTCCACAATATCACTTTTTCTAGAGTTTGCGTAAAAAAACGGGTGACCGGGTAACCAGGTAGCCGCAGGCCCGTAGCCAGGGGGGGTTCGGGGGGTTCGGGCGAACCCCCCCCTGGCCAAAATTTATTTCAAAATCATGCAGTTTTTCACCATTCTGACTAATTTTTGAGTGATTTTTGGCCATATTTGCCAAAGTGAACCCCCCCTGGAATGTTTTAGAAAAACGAACCCCCCCTTGGAAAATTCTGGCTACGGGCCTGTAGCCGGGTACCTAACGTTCCTACCAGGGTTATGAATTTGATTTTTTGATTTTATCATTTTTATCCCTCAAAATGCCCAACCTGCCTCTAACTCAACGCATCAGTCATAAAACCAATCAAGCAAACAACCAACCAAGCAACCAACTAATCTTCCAATTAACCAACCGCCAAAACAAACAAACATTGATATCCTGTCAATCACTTGAAAGCAATAAATCAAGCAACCAACGTTGTAGTGTACATCTCATGTTAATTGACAGTTTGAAACGGCAAATAACGTTTCAATGTACATGTCCGTAATATATATTAAGCAAATCTTCTAGTAGAAATCACCATTATAGAAAACAATCATCGATATCCTGTCAATCATTCAGACAATAAATCAAGCAACTTATGTCATCGTACATGTACGTATAACTGTGTAAAATGTAAACTACTTAGGACTTGCGAGTTCAGTTTGTTACGTGTTCATGTTAATTCAGTGGATATCTTGAGTTCTTGGTAAAAATGATAAAGTAGTCTACATTAGGGAGGCTATGTCTATTTAGTGCTCGAAAGATCAATCGGCTACTATATTTGGGAAAAATATGCAACTTGAAACTTGAACTTGAAAGTTGGTAACCCTGCTAGGAATGTTAGGTACCCAGTCACCCAGCCACCTGGTTTTTTACACAAACCACTTTTTTCTACGCATTTGGAAATATCATCCATAAACATATTTACATGTTATCATACAGATTTGACCTCAACTACGGGATAAATATGTATATGTCATCATATAAGATAAAACACTGCCCATGTACCTGCTTCCCCTGTATGGATCCAGTCAGGAAGTAAAAGACTTGTGATAGCAAATACGTCAGCCATGAAGAATAATCCTGACGAAACAAGTATAAATTTATCCATAGTGAAACGCAGGATATACTTCAAACTAATACTATTATTTCTTTAGATATTTATGAACCGACATGCTAAAGTTGGTAACTTATTCACACAGACTTTCTACAGATTTTGCCATTTAAAGTTAGTATAATTTTGTCCAGATTTTGTTTACTTGTTCGCCATTTTGAAACGTCACGTGATCTCTTGACCTACTTTTGAGACATGATTTGTTTTGAAAAAGGAAAGAAGAAATTTCTGTCGACAAAATGACAGATATAGATGAGAAATCATTGTTAGAAAATGTATTCAACTATACCAACTTGGTCCATGCGATATCTGGTGCAGTTGTAAGTTCAAATTTATAGTATTTTATTCTAGATCTTATTAAGATTTCAGTTTGAAATGAAAGCCTGTTTTCAGTGTGGGCGATAATAGGTGATTTTTACATAAAGTGACGTGTTATTTAGTGAAATTAAAAATCCCATGAAAAAACATTATATGTACGAATATATATAGTTTTGAAAATTGCGAAAACGTTTGAAAATCCGTTTGTCTCGTATATAATGTTCAATTCTGTATTTTGCACATCTGTTTCATATTTTGTTATAAGTATACACAGTGTAACGACCCTCGATAGCAAGTTGCTACTACAGTCCAGCTGTAGTGGCTTAAGCCTCTTTAGCTCAGTCGGTAGAGCATCAGACTTCGGATCCAAGGGTCCTAGGTTCGATTCCCATGCGGGGCATTGAATTTAGCACACTTTCTTTCAATTTCTTTATCTGGCTTGTTACACTATGCTCGTTATAGTCGTTAGTTAATTAGTTATTCCCATGGGGCGCCCTCGGGTCATTACATTGGTGTCAGATGTGGGATCAGAGCATTGGTTGTATCCTTTGCGCCCGTGTGTGTGTGGTAGTCACTGCTAGGAAAGCAGGGCTGACCACGAGGGCGTGGTCCTTTCAAAGGGGGAGATAGTGTAACGACCCTCGATAGCAAGTTGCTACTACAGTCCAGCTGTAGTGGCTTAAGCCTCTTTAGCTCAGTCGGTAGAGCATCAGACTTCGGATCCAAGGGTCCTAGGTTCGATTCCCATGCGGGGCATTGAATTTAGCACACTTTCTTTCAATTTCTTTATCTGGCTTGTTACACTATGCTCGTTATAGTCGTTAGTTAATTAGTTATTCCCATGGGGCGCCCTCGGGTCATTACAACAGTATAACAGAGGCACAGACTCTTCAGTGGGAAATATGGGGTATATGGTCATGGGTGATTACCCAAGAGTTCGAAGATGACATACGCTTATAATTTAAACCTGTATTGAGATGACTTACACCTCTGATTGGTCCAAATCGATAAAAAAAATGGCGGATTCAAAATTTTCTAATAACGCTTCGAATAATATTATGTTAATATCTGGTGTGTTAACGAATATCATAGCTCGTTATTTCACATCAAGATAAAGAAAGATGTAAGGAGTATGCTTATATCAATTAAAGCATCACAACACTGCGTTATATTCAAAAACTAACTGTTGAAAATTTGCGCAAATGAAGGTGGTACACAAGAGATGTAATATGTCAGTCATCGCTAAAGCTCTGGCTTTCCCCCCTCTTTCCCCCCATTTGTATATGGTAGTACAATGGGTTTCTACGTACAGATAGCATTTCTAGTCTTGCACTGTTATTTTTCACTGAAGAGCTTTTGATCAGAGGAGACATTATACCTGTCATGTCTTATTCTTCTCTTGTACCTGTCATTTCTGTATTAGGAGCACTCATGGCAAACCCTGGTACCCGTCAGTTCAGTTTTAGCCTTTACTTCCTCTTCAGTACCCATAATTATCCCACCGAACGAAGTTCGAGAGGGATATAGGAAAGCCGTCCGTCCGTTCATCCGTCTGTCCGTCCGGACTAAAACGTTAAACCCACCTATGCCCAGTCACAAGCCTGAGGAACCTGCTTTTATATCTAATGTGGATTTTTATCTTACCAATCATGACTTAAATATTAATATGGGTATTTCCTATAATTAATATATACTGGATTTTAACTTACCAAATATGACTTCAATATTAATATGGGTTTAAACCTATAATGTATTAAATACTGGATATGACAAGTAAATAAAATCAATTATAATCTACCTATATGATGTAGATATCCAAATGTTGGTCTGAATTTATCTTTGTGGAAAGATTGTATGCTTCAGTTGCTCTTTAACAAAACATGTGGGACAGTGTATCTATATATTACAAGATGTCCGTCCGTCCGTCTGTTTGTCCGGGCGATAACTCAAATACCGTTTCACGGATTTGATTCAAATTTTATAGGCTTATGCCTTATGGGTGTAGGACCTCTGCTCGAGAAGAAATTTTCAATATGGCCACTGAATTCAAAATGGCCGCCATTTTTCGTAAAAAATGTAATCTTTAATAACTCAAATACTAGTTTGCGGATTTGGTTCAAATTTTATATGCTGATGCCTAGGGACACAGTAGATATGTTCGAGTAAAAATTTTCAAGATGGTGTCTAGATTTCAAAATGGCGGCCATTTTTCGTAAAAAAACTTAATCTTTGATTACTCAAATACCAGTGAACGGATTTGGTTCAAATTGTATATGATGATGCCAAGGGACACAGTAGATCTGTTCGAGTTACGAGTTTTCAAGATGGCCGCTGAATTTCAAAATGGCAGCCATTTTTCGTAAAAAACGTAATCTCTGGTAACTCAAATACCAGTGAACGGATTTGGCTCAAATTTTAATGCCTAGGGACACAATAAATCTGTTCAAGAAAGAATTTTCAAGATGGCGGCTTGATATTCAAAATGGCGGCCATTTTTCGTAAAAAAAAGGTAATCTTTGATAACTCAAATACCAGTGAACGGATTTGGCTCAAATTTTATATGATGATGCCTAGGGACAAAGGAGATCTGTTCGAGAAAGAATTTTCAAGATGGCGGCTGAATTTCAAAATGGACGCCATGTTTCGTAAAAAACGTAATCTTTGATAACTCAAATACCAGTGAACAGATTTAGCTCATTTTTTATATGATGATTCCTAGGGACACAGTAGATCTGTTCGAGAATATTTTTTCAAGATGGCGGCTGAATTTCAAAATGGTAGCCATTTTTCATAAGAAAAAACGTAATCTTTGATAAGTCAAATACCAGTGAACAGATTTGGTTCAAATTTTATATGCTGATGCCTAGAAACACAGTAGCTCTGTTCGAGAAAAAAATTTTAAGATGGCGGCTGATCTTCAGAATGGCTGCCATTTTTCATTTTCGTAATCTTTGGTAACTCAACTGCCGTTCGGTGGGATTTGCTACTCCGTGGAGTTGCTGTTTTTCTAGTCTCAATTGTAAGGTTGTCAACTCCCTTTCTGTTGCTCATCACCTTTCTAGTAAGATACCAAATGTTGGTTCTTCACAAGCCAATTGAAATTTTAGATTTGACCAGACTATTGTTTTTAATCTAAGTGTGGAAACTTAGTCCTATATTATAGTTAGGGCCAATAAAGAAAATAAATAAAAACGTAACATTAAATCAGAGACATATAAAACATAAAACATGTTTATATGTCTCTGATTAAATGTCATACTATTGGCCATACACAAACATGTAATCCTGCATATTCAAACCAATTGTTTTAATGTTTCAGGGAAGTGGGTTTGCATTGACAGTATTTTATCCTCTGGATACAGTCAGAACAAGATTACAAGGTACAGTACAAATATATGATTTTCTTATATCAATGAACTTTATCCAACCAGAGAGTGACTTAATTTATAGCTATAACTAGATTTTCACGACCACATATTCCAGATTATTACGTCATCTAAGTCTGAACCCTGACCACAAAGGCTAGTTATAGTAGATGACACTCTCTTTTGAGAAGCAAAGTCAAACCAATTCAAAAAGTGTGAGTCTCAGATGTCAGCATTCCTTATGTATTTATCATTCTTCATAAAATGTTGTGTTCCCTTACTCTGTTACTACAATTTTCTTTATTAACCAAGCTCATATGTCTGATACATGTACAGTAAAACCTGTGTAAGTGATCACCTTTCTCTAATGAACACCTGTGACTAGTGAATACCTCTTCTCAACACAAACTACATTGAGTTCTGTATAAATTTGCCTCTCTCTAGTGAACACATGTCTCTAGTGGACATCCTTCCTCTGCACATACCCTACTGACTTCTGTATAAATTACACTCTCTATAATGAACACCTACCTAGAGGGAACACATTTTTGTGGCTCCATGGGTGTTCACTGTTCACAGATTTTACTGTGTAACATATTTTGTTTTGTTTCAGTTGATGATCATAGAAAACCAAAACATTTACATGAAATCCTGAGAGAAATATTCACAGAGGAAGGTCTGTAAGTAGACTAGCCTTTAATTTATACATGTTATATCAAATCATTATTAGTCACAAGATCTCTCAAAGAGTATACTATAGCTAAGAATTAGATCGATCAGTAAAAGTAACGTTTTGATTATTTGTTATATTCAATAAGGATTTATAAAAATTTAAGCCCAAATGACAGTATTTTGCATAGGCTAAGGTCGATAGAAATCATTTTTAAATAAAGGCAGTAACATGGGTAATCGATCTGTGTATATTTATATAAAAGAAAAATGATAATACTGGATTCTGATGGTGTTGCCATCTTTATATTGGCCCAGAACCTAGTATTTTTTGTTCCTACCATGTTAACACAATTCCAAACTGGTGAGCTTTTTGTTGGTAATGTCCTTTTCATATTCCTTGACTCATTCTGAATTACGAATGATGGGGTTTTAATTGACATTTTGTGATCAGAATTCAAGTGTTTTGTTTATGGATACTGTTGTCATGTATTTTGTCTTGGTATGATGTCATATAAAAATTGTATTAGACATGATGGAGAGAAGAAATGGCGGGCACAAAATTATTGTTTCTTTTATGCAAACTATGGGTCAGATTTTTACCAGGTATGACTAGATCATGAGCATATCCTTATTTGTGTGAAGATTTGGTGAAAATCGTACTAAAAATTGATGCCTATAAGCGCCCCCGTTTTTTCCAAAATAGGGGGCTTTTAACCGCTATCTAAATCATGTCAGTAAGATCTTAGACTTGGCATGTGCTTAGAATGAATGTTGATCTAGTCAAATCGAATACTTCCGTGAAAAATAAATCAATAAAGTACGAACAAGGCTACAGAACATAATCCATTAAAATGAAAAAGCACAGCAATGTGGCCTAATTGTGATGTCATTACAAGATAGGATCCATCTGGTGATCGCAAATCATCAATTGTACCAGATTGTGATTGGCCACAAATTCAAATAATATATAATACTGTTTCTACTTTTCTACAATCTTGTTTTTCAGATTATCTCTATACAGAGGTTTATATCCTGTGGTGGCCTCATTATGCTGCTCAAACTTTGTATATTTCTACACATTCAATGGCCTGAAAGTGGTCAATATGGCAAACACAGGCACATCTGGCCCAGCCAAGGACCTTTTGATGGCATTTATTGCAGGTGACCACATATAGACTATTTATCTTCTCCAAATATATACCAAGATAAAATAGTTAGTAGAATAGACAACCTTTATATTATACCAACATGTTCCATGCCCGTAGCCAGGATTTGCCAAGGGGGTTCAGTTTTCAAAAATTTCCAGGGGGGTTCACATTTGACAAGTTTGGCCCAAATATGGCTAAAATCACTTGAGAAGTGCTCAAAATGGTGAAAAACTGTATGATTTTGAAAGAATTTTAGGTCAGGGGGGTGGGGGGGGGGGCGTCCTATGAACCCCCCCCCCCCCCCCCCTGCTACGGGCCTGTGTTGATAACTCTTTAATATTTGTTTTTTGTTTAGCCCAAGTAAAGATTCTATTGAGTTTATATTTTATCTTACCATATATGGTCTCTACTTTTAAATAACTGTGTATACTGTTTAATGTGACCACTTTAAGACAGTTCAAGACAGTCAACATTGACAGGTCTTACTGTACATTCAATACCTCAAAGACATTCAGTATGTACGTTGTTTTATGTTAACCTAGGATGCATAAATGTGTTGGTGACAACACCTCTCTGGGTTGTAAACACAAGGATAAAACTACAGGGTGTCCAGTTCAAGACAGAAACTCACCAGGAGAAAAAGGTTCCAAAATATACAGGTCTTATAGGTGAGAAAAATAGTTTTTATTATCATGTTGTTTAAATTTTTGGGGTAAAACCATTCAGATTTGTATTATCGGTTATTTGAAAACAAGACATGGCTCCAATTAAACTAAGCAGACACAGTTAATTTAATTCCCCACTTCATTTGGTGCATTAATCACTGATCATGATGCCACTTTTAGGCTGACTAAATGCACTTAACTCTCGTGGCAAGTTTTAACCGATTGTTGTGTTCTACATGTTATAGATGGTTTGATGAGGATCTGGCGGGAAGAAGGTATCAGGTCCCTTTGGAGTGGCACTTTACCTTCCCTAGTATTAGTATCAAACCCTTCTGTGCAGTTCATGGTGTATGAGTCACTCAAGAGATATTTACAACGAATGTCTGGAGTAGAGGTATCTATCTATACTACTGTATATCGTATGGTGTAAACCTTGGTGTTAAAAAATGGATGTGATATTTTTATTATTATTTTTTTATTTCTTGTTTAACTATTATTTTTTAATTTCTTATGTCAAAATTGTAAAAAAGGTTTCAGTGATAAGTAAACTTCATTAGACTTAGTTGTCAGACATTTCAATGGAGCTTTATTTTCTCTTTGTTGATTCATGGTACATGGTTAGTTGTTACCTGACTGGGTATATTGTTGTTCTCTCTGTAAACAAATCCTTCTTGCTTTGTTCGTTGTATGAAGAATAACCCTGAATTACTCAGATGCGAGTAGGTAGTTACCATTTTCGCCACCAGGTGGCTGATTTGGGGGAAATAACATGGCAGGGTATTACAAAATTCCCTTAAACTTGAATATGGATCAGTTTTAGTGGTTCACTTTTCATATTACCCTTATGTATGTGATAGTTATACAAATTAAAAGAAAAGATATTTCACTTTTTGTAGTTTTACAATATGAGGTTTATGGGAAATCTCCCCGACCTAGAAGTCACATTTTCAAAGAAAATTAAATTTTCAAAGTTGATAAACTCTTTTTAAAACCACATTTTTAGACGTAATTTTATATGTAGATTCCAAATATGACACCAGTTTGACTGAATTGTGAATTTTTAATGATGTAAATCAAGATTATTTCTACTGGCATCTAGGATATTGTCCTTTTATTACAACTTGAGCACCCTTTATATCAGTTTTATGTTATGGAAGAATTTAGATGTATAATATTTTAAAATGCATTTCCAGGAGTTGAGTGGGCTGACTTACTTCCTATTAGGTGCCATAGCAAAGATGTGTGCAACATTCCTCACATATCCCATGCAAGTCATACAGTCAAGACTAAGGGTAAGTATGTGCAAAGCAAAGATGTGTGCAACATTCCTCACATATCCCATGCAAGTCATACAGTCAAGACTAAGGGTAAGTATGTGCAAAGCAAAGATGTGTGCAACATTCCTCACATATCCCATGCAAGTCATACAGTCAAGACTAAGGGTAAGTATGTACAAAGCAAAGATGTGTGCAACATTCCTCACATATCCCATGCAAGTCATACAGTCACGACTAAGGGTAAGTAGGTACAAAGCAAAGATGTGTGCAACATTCCTCACATATCCCATGCAAGTCATACAGTCACGACTAAGGGTAAGTATGTACAAAGCAAAGATGTGTGCAACATTCCTCACATATCCCATGCAAGTCATACAGTCAAGACTAAGGGTAAGTAGGTACAAAGCAAAGATGTGTGCAACATTCCTCACATATCCCATGCAAGTCATACAGTCAAGACTAAGGGTAAGTATGTACAAAGCAAAGATGTGTGCAACATTCCTCACATATCCCATGCAAGTCATACAGTCACGACTAAGGGTAAGTATGTACAAAGCAAAGATGTGTGCAACATTCCTCACATATCCCATGCAAGTCATACAGTCAAGACTAAGGGTAAGTATCTATAATAAGTCATGCACTCAAGATTCTGGGTTAGTTTTACAATCAATACTTCAACATTTGTAAGTCACTCATGTTAGGTGTTCCCAAGTTGACAGGCCTGAATACTGGACACAACGTAAGTCATAAAGTACATGAATATATGAAGTAACAATACAACATCCTTACATCTGATTCATTTTCCTTATCAAGTTAGAATTTTTCTTTTTATTTACTCAATGTTTTGTTGAAAGGTCTGTACCTATCATTCAGTCATATGCTAACTACATTGTTGTACCTTTCTGGTTCCAGGCTGGTTACCATAAGAAAGAGTTGGCTGATTTGAACTTCATACAACAATTGAGGAACATGATAAGGTGAGTTGCATATCATGACCATAGCTAAAGGATGCTCTGCAAGCTTGTGTGTGCCCATCCCCATAATTACAAAACCTTGTCTTGTAAAATATGTTTTGTAAAAAGGTGGATAACTTTTGATCATTTTGTTCATAACTTTTTTGCATTGGATTGATCAGAATTGGCATTTTTATAAAATTTCAAGGTCAAATGAAAAATTATTGTCCCTCTTTCTGATGAAACTGTGCTGAGGGTCTATATAACCTGCATATGTCATCTGATTCGCACTTTTGTGCTTACAATACATAAATATAGCTTTATCTCATTTTGTGAATTTCAGTCTTTCAACAATGATCCGAAAAAATGTGTGGTCATCTAAACATCTTCAAAATAGAAACTTTGTATTCCTTGTACAATAATGAAGAGAAAATTTGTATTGTTCAAGATATTATTTTGTTTGTTTGTTCCAGGAATAATGGTGTACTCATGCTTTATAAAGGACTAGAAGCTAAGCTATACCAGACTGTTCTCACCGCTGCCCTCATGTTCCTTACCTACGAAAAAATTTCACATTTCATTTTCCGGCTCATGGGCATTGAGTTGAAAGCAACTTAATAATGAATAGACATAAAAGATGTTTTAACCATTGTACTCACCAGTCATTTTCAGGGGCAGATCTGAAAAATTCTGAGGGAGATCAATTTTTTATCCATCTTTTTGAATCCCCTATATTTGACAGTGTGTTAGCATGCTTTAGGAACAGGGCATTACAAATTATATGAAATGTGAAATATATAAACCATTCCTAGAGGCAGTGCAATGTACAATTTACAGATATTTACAGACAATTTTAATACAGCAAAAAGATTCTACATGAAAATAAGGATGTATAGATTTCTGCACCATGGTACGTGGTTCTACACACTTATGTTGATTATGAAAACAAGTAAAGCAAAATGACCGTGTCCCTTTAATGTTTTTGTAATTCAGTCATATAAACACTAGTCTGATATGTGTATTGCCTTTTATATTGTATTTTATTGTGTGAACACTGAACACTCAATGTGATCACTTCAGCTAAAAAGGTGTTCATTTTACAATATTCAGCTGAAACATAATATGATGTATGTACATGTATTATATTATTGAATGCATCAATCAGTAGATCTTCTGCCAGCATTGCCAATTTTATTGTAATATACATGTTTTATGAACCATAGTGCTTAGTACCTATGAAATAAATATTGAGCATAATATACTTAGAAGTGTCTTTATTTTGTGCTATATACAGTATACAGTCAAAAATATTTCGTGAGATGTATGTGGAAAAAATAGTTTGCCATCACCTGAATAAGAATGATATTGATAACATGGCTTTTTTATTGTCCTATGTTGGCCATGGGTTAGCAAAATCCCCCACCCCTAGACATGGAGTGTAGCCAAAGGGGGGGGGGTAATAAAATAATTCCGAGTTACCCCTCTTTTTGGGGCTCAAGAAATTGCATCCACCTTGACAATTGCTACTGTAGCTACGCCCCTGCCCTTAAGGTCAGGGTGCATGATGGGAAATTTTCTGCATTCCTCAATTGAGTCACATGTGACTCAATTGAGGAATGCAGAAAATTTCCCAACATGCACCCTGTCCTTAACTAAGAGATATACAATAATGTCATGATTTTGGACTTGATTGACAGACTTTGTCGGGATAACCTCATTCAACAGAAGATGTCCCCCCCTCTTTTAAGTCAACGGATCTAAAGCTGAAAAATAAGAATAGCTTTATATTTCTATAAGCAAACCAACTTTGTAGACTTGAGATGTCTAGTAGTATCTTTGCCTTTGCAATCCTGCAAGGTTTGATCTGACCTTAAACTCACAGTAATTTAGAACTGAAATGACTATTGACACTCAGGATCAATCTCAAGCATATAGCTTTTTGAGAAACTTATTTGTTACCTTCATATTGTAGCATCTACCCATCATCATAATATAAGGCATTACATTTCGTGATAGATTTGTGGTCATCACAATTCTATTGCACAACCGGAAGTTTGAAAATTTCGGAAGAAATTTGATAATAAAGTTCAATCTTTTAAAGGTTTATGCATCTTTTAGGGTAGTTGGTGAGTGTATAGTTTATATGAATATTGTAGAATTGATAGGGTAGATACGTTACGAATGTATATATGCAGATTGTATTCTTCAAACGCACTAATAAAATGTTTAGAATTGAAAACGAAAGAGAAATCAGACGGGTCGACGAGTTCTTCGAAGTAGAACAATAATACCATTCTTCTTCGAAGATCATCGTCACTGAGAGATATAATATCAAATAATCAAATAGTAGAAGTACCAAGCCTGTTAACTTTCATGTCACACTTGTAAATTGTAGCTGTATAATCTAACACAGGAACCTGAAGACGCACCTTGTTGTTAATTTTTCCACATGCTATCTATTGCAAGACTTATGCCTGGCACAACCGTCACCATGTTACTAAGTCTTTTTAAGTTTTGCAAGGATCTTACCATGGCCGTGGTAGTGTTATCGTGAAAGTCTGGTATAACCGTGACAATGCTACGTTATATTGCAAGGCCTGTCAATAGTCATGACCATGGTAATGTTTAAGCCTGATATGACCGTGACAATGGTTGCAAGGCCTGTCATGACCGTGGTAATGTTAAACCCTGGTATAACCTTGACAATGCTATATTGCAAGGCCTGTCATGACCATGGTAATGTTTAAGCCTGATATGAATGTCACAATGGTTGCAAGGCCTGTCATGACCGTGGTAATGTCAAAGCACGATATGACTGTGACAATGGTTATGTTAAATAGCATTTAGTAGCATGAGAATACTGTGAATTTCATAGAATGATTAACTACCTTAAATATGTAAATCTAGACAACTATACATGTACATGGCACTCACATACATTGATGCATTAACTTTATTGAAAAACTCTCGGACATAAACAAATCCAAAATTCCAAATAAAATCATCACTGTAAGGTCAAATGACCAGCCATGGTTCAATGATAATCTTAAACGTGAAATATCAAAAAAGAAAGTTTTATATAAGAAATTTTCAAAATCCCCTAATCAAGTTAACAAATTCAATTATAATCAACAAGCTTCTAAAGTTTCCCAACTAATTGAACAAGCCAAAGAGGCGCATGAACTCAAAACTATCTCATCAATTGATCAACTCAATAAATCTGATAAAAACTATTGGAGGTTAATTAAATCATTCCTTGGTAACAATTTACATAAAAATGATATTTCTAGTATCTATGATGATGTCTCTGGACGCGACTTATCTAACAACCTTGATATAGCTAACCGATTTATGAGTTTCTTTGCCTCAAAAAATCATACTGATGCAACTTTTGATCATTTGCCCCATTTCCCAATTAGGACTAATTCTCTATACATTTCCGCCCAGACCGATCAATTCGAGGTAATGAAAATAATTTTGTCCTTAGACACCTCAAAGGCATGTGGCCCAGATAACATCACCAACAAAATGTTGAATTTGACAGCCCATACGATTTCAAAACCTTTAGCCAACTTATTTAACAAACTTTTATCAAAGTGTACCTACCCGGATACCTGGAAAATTGGAAATGTTTGCCCAATTTTTAAGAAGAATGACAAACCAAACATCAACAATTATAGACCTATCACTCTTTTAAGCTGTATTTCTAAAGTATTTGAAAAAGTTTTAGCTGATCGAATCAGGAAGCATTTAATTGACAATAATCTTCTTTTCAAACATCAGCCCGGATTCTTACCAGGTCATAGTACTATTCATCAACTTTTATCGATTGAACATTTTCTTCAGAGCACATTTGAACAAGGAAAAGCTTCCAAAACAATTTTTCTAGATATAGCGGCTGCATTTGACAGAGTACCACATAAGCTACTACTTCATAAACTTTCAGCATATGGCTTCCAAGGGCAAATTCAAAAAATTATCAAATCTTACCTTACTAACAGAAAAATTGCTGTACAGATATCTGGGGAAATTTCAAATTATTCTGAAAATGACTTTATCAATTGTGGTGTCCCCCAGGGCTCAATACTTGGGCCAATATTATTTCTCCTATACATTAATGACCTTCCAGACAATCTGGAGGGGCATTGCTATATTTATGCGGATGATACTTCTCTACATCATCCTTTTGACCCTAAGCATCCACAAGAAGTAGATGCAATAGCCAGATCTAACCTAATTAAAATTGAAAAATGGTCTGACACCTGGAAATTAGAGTTTAAACCTGAAAAGAGTTCTGAAATGATATTCCACTCATCCAGATCTAAAGTAGATAATGTTTCTGTCTCAATGTTAAACAATGTTGAAATTACCAGAGATCACGAGCACAAACATCTGGGATTTACTTTTGACCCAAGCTTATCATATGACAAGCATATTGGAGAAATCATATCAAAAATACGAAAAATGTTGAACCCTTTAAAGAAACTTAAATATAAGTTAGGTAGTAAGCATCTAGAAACCATATTTAAGTCGTTTATTTTACCCCATTTTGACTATGGTGCTATCATGTACAGCACAGCCTCAAAGTTCCTATTACAATGACTCGACAGTCTTTATTACAAAGCTGCACTTTATTGCTCTGGGTGTATCCAAGGAAGCAGTTCAAAAAAGGTTTTAAACCTACTCAATTGGCCAACTCTTGAATCAAGACGCAGTATCCAGATAAACAACTTTATGTTCAAAATTGTAAATGGTACAAGTCCTCCCTATGTAACTGATATTTTTGACAAATTTAGAAACCATGCAAACAGAGTATTGAGATATAATGAAGCATTTAAAATGCCCATTAGATGTTCAAATAGATTCTCCACCTCAGCAATACCATCTGCAATTTCAAATTGGATCAACCTTCCACCTGCTATTAAATCTAAGAATACTCTTTCGAATTTTAAAAAACACCAAAGAGTACATTTCCAAAAAACGCCCTCGATCTTGTCAACAAGCCAGCTTAATCTAACAAGGGTTCAAGAAATAGTTCTCAATAAAGTGAGAGCCGACCTATACTTTAAAGCCCAGTTCTACGCTCACAACTTTCAGTCTATTGACAGCCCTAATTGCACTTGTGGAAAACCACAAACTCTGAAACATTTTCTCTTTCAATGTGACTTACTTACTATACAAAGACAGCAATTCATGGACAAACTCACTGATCTCGAACCAAACATCTTCAGTCATAATCTCTCTCAAACTGATTTCATAGCTATTTTGAAAACAGGAATTCCCAAATTAAACATAGATGCAAATTCCCAAATACTACTTCTCATTGTTGATTTTATCAAAGACAATAGCTAATTCCCTCCTTCTTATCCATCTCTAGTATCCTCAAGTCCCGTCACACTTGCCCTAGTCCAAGACCCTGCCTGCTCTGCCACTTCTACTTCCACCTGCCCCCTATTCTTATATAATGCCATTGTGGCGATTTAAGAATTTACATGTCTGTTACACTTTTTTTTTTGTATAGTATTGAAATAAATTTATTAATAAAAAAAAAACAAAACAAAAAACATACATTGATACATAAAATTTTAGATTCATTTAACTCATAATTCATTTCTGAAAACCATAATTCTAATCTCATTCAAGAATGTGAACATTGTCACGGTCATATCAGGCCTTATTTATTTTATAACATTGTTGCTGTCATATCAGGCTTTAACATTACCACGGTCATGACAAGCCTTGCAATACAATATAGCATCGTTAAGGTTATACCAGGCTTTCACGATAACACTACAACGGTCATGGCAGGTACCTCGCGTAAATTAAAAAACTTAATAACATGGTGACGGTTGTGCCAGGCATAAGTTTTGCAACAGATAGGGTCTCAATTTTTCCATAATATCTTGTTTATCACATTCTGGTAACTCCTCCTCCTAAACTTATTAATATACTACAACCTTATTTAGGTTATAGTCCTACACATAAGATTTCAAAAAGCGCCTCGTCCACTGAAATAACATACCTCAATTAAATTCCTGGGTATTTAGGATTAAGTATTTTTATGTCATTTTATCTCCAATCATATGGGTTTGTTGACAGAACAAGGATATTTTTCAATTAGGGATTCAGCTACATGAAGAAACCCAAAATACTCAGGGATTTATTGAGGTAGGTAATTAAGTGTGCAAGGCATAGAAAATTCTCCAATATTGTAATATAATGTAAACCCCTACTGTTTACGTACAAGACCACACTTCAGGATGGGCGTGGCATATTGGTGGGCATGGGACTTAAATAGTATACCTTATACAATTTTGTCCTTCACGCTAACCAGCATTGGACCTGCTCAAAGTCACATCCTCTGGACAAAACCAGTAATACTGCATGTTCCATTTCAGGCCACAGTAGATGAGAAGATGTCTGTTTCAAGTGGCAATTAAAAGGCTCATTTATATTATGAGTGGATCTGGAACCAAACGTAGTCGTCAGTGCAGTATATTAGAATTCACAAGTTCAAACAAGCGACCCTGTTCATCAACCAGTGCAATAATGGAATCAGGTTAATAGAGACATGTCTGTCTATAACTCATACCTCAAACTATGATAATATTAAATAATTTTTGGATATTATACAAATATATAGTTCTATTTTCTGTTAATATTTATGCATCTTTCTCAAGGAATATTCCCTGTTAATATTCCTCACTCTCAATATGGAATAAATAACAATGTACTACCCCTTGATATATAAAATTGAAATTACATCGGAATAACATTTATTATTTCATTGTCTCATGTACAGCCGCCATAGAATATCTCGTCTTATTTCCTTGTCAGGTGTAGGAATTTAGCAATATACACATGTAGATTACAAACATGTTATTTCTCATTTAACTTAGTATGAAAATCAGAGTTCCTTGACCCTGATTTAGGTGAACGAAAAATGTTGTTGGTAAATTGAAATCTTATTTTTGTTGTAGGTAAAAATAATACAGATCCAGAGATGAGGGAAAAAATGGCAATTGCAGCATTAAAGAGAGCGTAAGAGCAGTTATTTATTCATAAGAAATAAACTAGAGTTTACTTGCCAAAGAAGATGATAGTTAAATTAGCCCAGGATAAATTGGATTATGATATTGAGAAAGCACAAAGAGCAACATTTTAATAATGAAATATTCCAACCACTATAAATCATATAAACTATAGCCTTCATAATCATATACATGTATATGCAGGCCCGTAGCCAGGGGGGGTTCGGATGGTTCGGGCGAACCCCCCCCCTGGCCAAAATTTCTTTCAAAATCATGCAGTTTTTCACCATTCTGACTACTTTTTGAGTGATTTTTGGCCATATTTGCCAAAGTGAACCCTAGAATTTTTTAGAAAAACGAGCCCCCCTTTGGAAAATTCTGGCTACGGGCCTGATATGTATGTATTAATAAAAGAAAGAATTTGCCAAATTTGCAATAAGAGTGAAAAGTTTTTAATGACTTCTGATGGTATGAAATTGTAAACGAATCGATACATTTTAGAAATAAACTTTTAAATCAATGCTGGGAGCTATTTGAAAAAGGTAAAAATTAAATTTTATGATAATCTTATTGAAATGTTTCTTAACTGTATAATTTATGTAAATGTCTTGAAATTGATTTTGTGAAGAAACCAATTGTTTGGTTTGTAACACAATAAAATCTTGATTCTTGTGTTATAGCACTTCTGTAACAAGTAGCAGTGTGGATCCAACACTGGAGAACTCACAACAGGACATGTTCTCAGAGTAAGAAAACATCTCATTTATATCATAGTAGCCCGGACAGAATTGTTCAATGGTCACTTTTTCTTTAATAACTTTTTTAATTTTCAGTCTTATCAAAATCTGATTACATATTTGAAAACTAGAGTAAAATTCTGACATACAATAAACATATTTGAGGAACATTTCTTAATTTAATTTTAGTATTTCACAAAATCACGTTGCTTGCTTTTTTATTATCAGTATGTTTCCAGCTGATTGTAATAAGGTTATTTTGTATGGTATTGTTTTTCTGATTTGTGCCTCAGAAAATTCAAAATGGCTGCTTAGCAAGAATTCGCTGCTACTTAGAGATTTCCTTAAAGTATGGTGACATGACATTTTATAAGATCTAAAATATATTGTCTTTATTATTTGTGCCTTTGAAACTCTTAAATGGTCACTAAAATGCTTATATCAGTAAAAATTCTGATATATCTAATGTATGCATTTTAATATCTACCGATCATATTTTCAAGGGAAGAGTAGATTGTAAATATTACATACATAGTGACAAAAAACAAGATTCATATATGTTAGTGTCCGTTGGGATTTGCTACTCCATAGAGTTGCCATTTTCTAGTTTATATTCTTCATGCCAAGCTATGAATTACAGGATATAGCAAGGAATTGTCAAGGGGTGGGGTGTTATTTTTGTGTGTGCATTACTGCCACGTAGCAAGCCTCATCGCACCCCTTGGCCTCCCATGATTTATTACAAGCTTTGTTATATTTGTTAACTATTACAAACACTGCTGTTTTTACTATTGACAGTGGTGAAGAGAATAAATCACAAGGGGCAGAGGGAGGTAGCTGGAGTCCAATACAAGAAGATAGAAAAGAAGAGAGTTATAAAGTAAGTCAACTTTCACATGAACCTCCAAATTTGGGAATTGCTCAATAGCAATGACAAATAGTTTCTTGCATGTCTTGTGACATCAAGTATCAAGTCATCGACAAATATTTTTGCTTTGATCTCACACATACTTTAAATTGCTTTGATAAAATATCTTCTTTATATTCTTCATATCGATAAACCTTTAATTACAGTTAAACCGAGTGGAATCCGGATTCCAAATATTTTGCCATGCAAATTAATAATGTTCTGATTGTAAACAACTACCAGGAAATTCTCAAGTCACCGACAGATATTTTTGCCGTGATCTTGCACATACTTTAAATTGCTTTGATAAAATATCTTTATCTATTATGTCAAGTCACATTGACTTTACTTCAGCTGCAAGAGGAACATAGTAGCCTGGACAGAATTGTTCAAGGGTCACAATTCTGTCTGGGATACTATGTAAAGATATTGACATTAACATTACCCTTGATAATATAATGATTATTTTGGCTTCCCTACCTTCCTTATGTTATAACATTATTCAACATAGCACTCCAGTCAAGTTCCATTAGACTGAAGTTGTCAGTTGTCCAGACTAAACAAACACAAATAAAATGTAAAGTTAAAAAAAGTGGATCCTACCTTGAGTAGCTTAAAGTTTTCATTTATATATAGTAAAACCTGTTTAAGTGGAACACCTTTGGTTCCTTTAAAACTGTTCCAGTTGGGAAGTGTTCCACTTAAAGGGTGACGCATATCGTTTAGCAAATCGAACGCTCGTTTCTGGTGTTGCTCACCGTTTAGTATAAAAGGCACGATCCCGGAATAATACTCAAGGGTTCACAGGCTCGAGGTCGTTGTGTCAACACCTCTAACTGTTATATAGCATAAGTATATTATAGATCGTCACATATTTATAAAACGGTGATTTTTATTTTGACAAATCAATTCCACATTTATGGGTGAAGTTTCAGGATCTTCTATTTGTGTATAATAAGGAAAAATTGACATCTAAATTTCCCCATAACGTAACAGCACATAGCTTGGTATATGAAATATCCTACAAATGAAACAAAGCAGTTCTAATACAAGGATTTATATTGGCTGTTGTACATATTCTTTGAACGCAATCACTCTATGCTATGGATAATGTTTTCAAAATCATTATAAACGGATAACTTCATCTCAAAGACAATTTCAATAAACTGGATTTTACAGAACTCCCCTTATTTCTTAAAAATGGACTGATCCAGTCGATTCGCCTGGAGCCGCCATATTGTTTTTATACGGGATGCTTATCGGAACCCTTTAAAGAGGTTCATTTAACATTAAGTCAGTTGGTCTTTGGACTCTGGAAAGTGTTCCATTAACAGAGGTGTTCCATTTCTCGAGATGCTCCACTTTACAGGTTTCTCTGTATAGACTTTGTTCTAATATGGTTGTCAACGTTAACATTGCTTGTGTTGGAAACCTGTGATCACATGCATAGAATTTACTACATACGAGTATAATGCAACTGTAATCAAGATTAATAACCCTATTCTAACCCTCCTTCAGCCTCGAAGTTTATACATGGGGCTCTTGCTAGGCATTTAGACTGGCGCAGCTCCACAGTGTATATAGCTCCCACCACAACCTATTGGCAAATATTGATTGTTCTCACAGTCTAAACTTGACTGAATATACAATATTAGCATAAAAAAAGGACAAAATATAACATAAATATGATTGATCACAATTGAATGGTTAGGCTGAAGATGTTTCCACCACACCCTAAATATTTCCTGGTGAGAGCCCTGATACATGTATTTTCTATGTATGATTTCAGGGGACTCCTATTAAGGAACTGTTTACTAAACCAGACTGTGTGAAAAACACCAGTCCCAAGATGTCCACTGTGGATCATGCTATACTTTTTAAGCATCCAGTAAGTAATTACTAAAGGTCAAACCTAGTTTTTATAGAGTGTGCTTTACTTGTTCCTTCAAGGGTTTGGTATTGCAAATTTTAAGTATATTAATGAACAATTGTTTTCGTGATCTTACTTCTTAACTTGTAACTGGATGCTGCCACAGAGGGGGAATTGACAGCACAATTTTTTCCCATCCCTTCCCATATAGGAGGTCTAAAACAAGCCTTTAAATGGTACATAACCACCCAGATGTTGAAAATATCTCATTATCACTATTTGGTATTGTGGTTGGTTATCACATATGTTTTTGCAACTCTTACAGGGGTTGCACTGGAATTTCGAACAACAGGCTAAATAAATAAAAACAACAGGCAAAATTATTGGAAATCATAAATTTAACATGAAAAAGTTGAAAAGTTCCTATGAACAACAGGCAATTTTGTGAAAACAACCAGTGAAAATCACCTTTTGCTTGCTGCTAATGAAACCCCTGTTTTGCCAATTTTATTTTCAGTTTATTCCAGATGAGGTACCTGAACCTTATCCCAAGTTATATATAGACAAATGGCACCCTGACTATGTATATATGCCCTGCTCTCCAGAGAACAAATACCCTAAAAGTATGGGGGTAAGTGTCTTACTATTAAAAACTAGTGCATATTTATTAAATGTGCCAGTGGTTCTTTTCAAAAAGCTATGGACATGTACATGTGATTTAATTGTGATTTAATTCAGTCAGTTTGTGATGATTTTATGAAAACCTATACAGGCCCTTATTAGGTCACACTTTTGTTCCTTTGAGTTTGATATTTATCTTCAGAAACCTTGTACATGTACAGTTAACCCTTTCTTCACTTGAATATAGAGGAAAATGTTGGCCTGGTGACGGATAAGTAAGAGCGACCTATACTTAAAATTTTATCACTGAAATACAGTTTTTAATAAAGATTGTCACATTTTAACAACTTATCAAAAGTTGATGTAAAAATACTGAATAGAACTGGAGATATTGTCATTTCATTGAATATCTAAATTAAAAAAATGGTGCCAAAAGGAGCCTATCGTCCTGAAAGGTATCACATAATGGGGCTTCATAAGGAGTCTATTGTCCTGAAAGGTATCACATAATGGGGCTTCATATGGAGCCTATTGTGTTGAAAGGGTTAATCTATCTTGATTTGTTATGGAGGGTGTGGAAGATAATAAAGCCACATTAACTTATTCTTGTATCTCCAACTGTATGTTTGTTTTGAATTTAGCTGAAGATTTGTTCATCTAATTTTTAGTTTTTTTCTTCAATTTTTCAGGTAAAACATGTTTGTCAATATAGTTGGTGAAATTGCTTACATCATCTCTGTAGAAGTTCACTCAGTGCACTCCTGTCTATCTCTTTTGCAGATCCTTAATTCAATTCTTTACACAATTACCCTAATCGCTGGTCGCCAGCACTGAAGTTAGTATCATCCAAAATGGTGGACTTAGTTCCTCCAGTATCCATAAACCTTTAATTACAGCTAAACCAAGTGGAATCTGGACTCCAAATATTTTGCCTGGCAAACTAATAAGGTTCTGATTGTAAACAACTACAAGGAAATGCTCAAACATCTCAAATATTTGAGGTGGAAGAAAACATCATTTCATATTTTTGATAACACTTTCTCATGGGATCATTTGCAGATGATCCATTGAAATCAGTGAAAATTAAACATTTGCAAGAAAGATGGCATGATAGCACTGAATGAATTGCTAGGAGACTGATAGCTTACCAGACTATGCCAGCTTCTTAAGATTGCTGCTCTTCTCCAATCTCATTGAAAACTATGAAGTAGATAATTAATATATCATTTTTAACCTCTCCAGTTGTTATCATAAATGAATGAATTTTTTTAAAAATTGAGTAAAAAGATGACCATTCAAGAACAATGCTGACTCCCTAGTAATTAAAAAATATATATTTCTTTTGACCAATACGGAATGAGTATTCAGACTAAGCTACTCTCGTGTAAAATGTACCTCAATACAGTAATGATTCTTGGCAATGACTCAATTAAACATTTGCACAGTGACATTAGCCACTATTGCTTTTGCTTATCTCTCACTTATTCTGTAAATATATTCTGCACGTTCTACCTTGGTGTATAAGCAAATTCCAAATTATAAAGTTATGGTTGTATTTTTTGATTAATTTTTTATATTTTTGTGGTTAATTTATGATTTAAGCCTGTCATTTACTTATCTGATATTTTGATCTCAGCTCATTGAATAATCCTGCAGTGTTCTTGCTTTTTGAATAAATCTGCTGAATAATCCTGCTTTTTAAAAATGCCTAACTGCACCTTTCTGTATACTGCATATATAACATGTGCAGTACAGTCATTCTCAGTTGATTAAATTACACCATTCTCCTCTATCGGAATGCAAACTATTTGGTGCATTAAAATGAATGCAATTTTAAACCAATAACAATAATTATGTCAAGAATACGTTGGTAGTATGCATGAGCATCGTGTTTCACTGAATGCCATTGGAATTGGCTGAAGTGTTCACATTCAGACTGTACAATGTCCTTACAAACAATACAATATTCAGTTTCCTAGTTTTAATTGGAAGTGTTCATATTTTGTAAAATTGTGGTGTTCAATTGAGATCTTCACATACACTGTTTGTGTATGTTTCTTTTGTATATTCTAAATGAGAGTTATGTTTTGATATGGAACCCTGCACATGAAAAATATATCTGTTTTATGTTTGTAGAGAGAAAAACATATTGTAGAGCGATGGCCATTGATTCAAGATGCCCTTAGAGGAAATATAAGGAATTCACATGATCTAGAGGTATGTTTTCAGTTCAATTATATGCATGGAAAGTGTTCCTTATCTACATGCTCAACTCAGTGATATATATCCAAAAGGAGTCAGTGTTTCTGTAAATTGGAGGAAACCTTGTATGAACTTCATTTAATGACATCCATTGTCTCCATTGCTTAAATGAGCAACTAGTTTTATGATTGCATCAAAATCACTCCTTCCTTTATCTAGGATATATTTTGTGGCAGATCTGCAACACTGTATTTGACACATATGAGCATAATTTTGGTCACGACTTTATAATTGAGATGTGACACCATTGTAAATCTGTAAATACATGTAAATAACAATTTTTACCAAGAATTTAAATCATTAGACCTCTTAAGCTATTTTTGGGAAAAGATTCTAGGATTGACTGTAAAGGAAACATTTTCGAGCTTTGGTGGTAACAAACTATAGCTGGTAGTTGTTATTTCCTGAAGTATAAATTCTAAGAAATATTTTGGGTTTGATTGGAAAAACATAAGTCTTTGAAGGAAGATTAGGTACCCCACCCAAATTTATTGGTTTGCCCCCAATGATACAAATATGTAGTTGAATATATATACTATTACGTAATGTGAACTGAAATGTTTCAGCGACAAATCAAGATGTACAACACAAGACAGTGGGACTTTGATGGACTGCATGATTACTTTCAGGTATGTGAAAATTTAATCATCAAAATGCAATCATGGTAGTTTAGCTCTTATTTTCAAATAATTTTGGCATCCTCATGAATTTTGCATTTAGTGTTCAGTTCATAAACAGTGGTATAAATACTAGTACAATATAGCGTCGGTGGCTGTGATTTAGGGAAATAATCCTTTCCATCTTGGCATCCTAAGCATGACCACACTTTCTGAATTTCTACATCAATAATCTGCAAAAGGTTAATAAGCCCATTTAAAGCATATGTTAAATTCCTCATGTTTTTATTGTATATAGGCTATGTGTGTTCATGAAATATATTTATGTTTATTGATTTCATTTGTGTTCATTGAATATATTTGTGTTTATTGTTGAATATATATGTAGTTCATGGATGAGGGAGAAAGAACTGAAATCTTCAAGAAGACAATACCAAATATGGTTGTACTAGCTCTAGAAATACGCAAATATTGTACCCAGGTAAATTCTCAATGTTATTTCTTGTATGTTTATTTTTCAAATGCATTTAATTAAATCTGCTGAAAATTACTACAAACATCATATATTTCTCATTGCTTAGCTCCTCTTCAATTTTTTTTAATTCTATATTTGTTTCTCAAGCCATTGACCAAAACTTAATGAGTTTCGAGTGTATTTTATGACTGGTAAACCTAAGATTATATCTTAATGTTTACTCTTTAATTTTTTGAATATTTTACACATTGTATATCATTGAACATTAAAAACGGAATGGCAAGATACAATTTGAAAACCTGAATGGTTGAAAGAATATTACATGCATGTACTTGTCATTTTCAGGGTATCCCATTACTAAAGGCAAATAAAAACAGGAGTATCACAATGACCCAACACCAAGCTGCCTGTCTCCTTGCCAACGCCTTCTTTTGTACCTTTCCTAGACGAAATACAAGGAAACGTGACTCTGAATTTGCCAATTATCCTGATATCAATTTCAGCTCGTAAGTAAAAATTGTGTAATTGTATTACAGTATGGTGGCACCACGGAGAAGCGTTAAGTGTCAGCAGTTTGTGTCTGTAACTAATTGTTAGACTTTTGTAATAAAATGCCTGGCTTTTGTTTGTATTTTCAAATTCTTGTTCCAACAAAATTGTCTGTCGATTTATGCAACTTATTCGATACAGGGCTGCCAGTAAATACATTTTTACAAAAGTACAATATTTTCCAGGTTATTTTCAAGGGGAAGTAGATACAATACAAGGAAAGCTGAGAAGTTGCATTGCATATTTCATTACTTTAAAAGAGTGACAGATGAAAGTAAGTTTCTTAGAATAATTTTTTTTGTCATTCTTACTCAAAGAAACATCGATTGGGGAAAAGTCAAAGTGTAGTCTCATTAACACTTAACTGCGTTTTATATTTTAAAAAGATATTGAGAATTTCTACCCAGTCATTATGAAATACAAATAGCTGTAAATTTCCTTAAAAAAAGATTAGACATGGACGTCTCATATGGAATATTCTGTTGTAGTGCCCCAAGGGACAATAACCTTCAGAAGGCAAGTGATAGATCACAACAAGTGTCCTAATTGGGCATCTTCTGATAAACCACTGACCAGGTTACATGTGACATCAAAGGGGACCATAGAGGATGATGGGAAAGGGATGCTTCAGGTGAAAATGAATTTCAGGCAATTTGTGGAATAAGGAATGACAACCATATTTTAAAGAGCTTTATGTTTGATAAAGATAAAGGAAGAGCTTCCCTCCCTGCTTTACTCATAAATATACTGGAGATTAAATTATATATGGCAGCCTAATTTGTTACATTTAACTTATAACAATTTATGATGAATCACTTGTCATTGAGGATAATCCAGAGTCTATTCCATTTTTATCAAAAATAAACAATACATCAAACAAACATGCTTTAAAGCAATGAAAGCCAAATCAACAAAAATCAATGTTTTCTTTTTATTCCAGGTTGACTTTGCCAACAAGTTTCTAGGTGGGGGTGTGTTAGGACATGGTTGTGTTCAGGAAGAGATCCGCTTCTTGATCTGTCCTGAGTTGATCCTATCTAAGCTGGTCACAGAGAAACTTGAAGCCCATGAGTGTCTTATAATGACAGGTTTGTATACTCTAGATGTGACAGAATGAGATGTTTTAAGTATAGATGTGACAGAATGACAAGTTTCAAGTAAGACACTTTTCTCCAAGGGGGGTGCGGTTTTTACTAAGGGGAGGCAGCTAAAGTTCGATGTCGGATAGAAAACTAAATAAATCTAGTTAGGGGGGAGGGGGTTCAAACCCATTTAAGTTTGCTATAAGACAAATTTCAACATTACAAATTTTTGGCAATTTAGACTCAGAATGCCTTTTGAATTGTTTTAAAAAAGGATTTTACCTGCTGCTTTCTACGTCAATATCATTCCAATGGATTCTATTCTATCAATAGTTGTTAAAAGCCACAAATTACGATAGGAATTAACAAAAACTAGATCGTGTTTAGCAATAATTTTTCAAATTCTCAAACCGGAAGTCAGCGATCAACTTTCATGGTATTTAGATTTTGGGGGGAGGGGGGTCAGGGTCAAAACTAGATTTATTTAGTTTCCGATCCGAAATTGAACTTTTGATGCCTCACCTAAAGAGAATATAAAATTGTCAATTTTTTTGCCGCGTAAATCAAATCGCGTAAGTCAGAGGGGTCGGTTACTCCATATATTGGTGATTTTTGGGCACTTTTAAAGTGTTTAGAATTAACAAATGCAACTTCCAAACGTTCCAATTGTTTTGTGGGTGGTGTGAGGAGTAGTCCACTCCCCCTAGAAAATGTTACAAATGTTGCTATTTGGTGATTTCCGGGCACTTTCAAAGTGTATGAGTCAATAAGAAAAATGTGAATTTTTTTTCAAATTCTTTTGGGGGTGTCAAAGAGGATGAGAGGGTGAAGTAGGGTGGGGTGCCAGAGGGGGAGCAAGGGTTTGTCCCCCAGAAACATTGACCATATCAAGGTGCTATTTGATGATGTCTGGGCACTTAAAAATGTCTGGGACAATACATGAAATTCAGAATATTTTCTTTAGTTTTGTGGGGGATGTGAGGGGTGGCTCAAATTTGGGGGTGTCAAAGGAGGGAGGGGTGCCAGAGGGGGAGGTGGGGTTGGGGTGCCAGAGGGGGAGCAAGTGTTTGTTCCCCATATCCGTCCCCCAGAAACATTTACAATATCAAGGTGCTATTCGATGAAGTCTGGGCACTTTAAAAGTGTCTGTGAGTAAAAGTGCCTATTTTCCAAGAAAATCTTACAATTTTAAGATGCTATTTGGTGCTTTCTGGGCACTTAATAAAAAATAAAAAATTTGAAAAATCTTAATTTCTTTTTCAATTTTTTTTTTTTTTTGGGGGGGGTGTCAATGGGGGGGCTGCCAGAAGGGGAGGTGGAGTGGGGATGCCAGAGGGCAAGTAAGTGTTAGTCTCCCAGAATCATTAACTATATCAAGGAGCTATTTGATGATGTCTGGGCAATTTAAAAGTCACATAAAACAAATTCAGAACTTTTCCATTGTTTTGTTTGGGGTGTGAGGGGTGGCCCACTCCCCCTAGAAAATTTTACAATTTTACAACGCTATTTGGTGCTTTCTTGCCACTTTCAAAGTGAATGAGTCAATTAAAGAATTTGAGAAAATCACAATTTTTATACATTTTTTTGGGGGGGGTGAAGGGGTGGGGGGGGGGTGCCAGAGGGGAGCATGTGGCAAGAGGGGGCGCAAGTGTCCCAGAAACACTTACTATATTAAGTAGCTATTTGATGATGTCTGGGCACTTTAAAAGTGTCTGAGACAAAACACTAAAATAAATTTTGAACTTTTCCATTGTTTTGTGGGGGGGGGGTGTGAGGGGTGGCCAATACCCCTAGAAAATTTTAAGATGCTGTTTGGTGCTTTCTGGGTACTTTTAAAGTGTATGAGTCAATGAAAAAAAATACAAAAAAAATATTTCTAATTTTTTTGGGGGGGTGACAAAGGGGGGTGCGGTCGCACCCATCGCACCCCCCCCCCCATCTGACGGCCCTGCAGTTTGTATGGTATAGATGTGATTGAATGACAGACATGTGTAATATAAATGTGACAGAATGACAGTAGATGTGAATAAATGATAGATGGGTATGATTTAGTCGGACAGAATGGCAGGTTTTTAGAATAACAGGTTTGTATACTAAGTGGTAATTTTGCCTAATCATTTAATTTGCCTTTTGCCTAATTTTTGCCAGGCTCGGAAAATTAAATGTCGGAAATGTTGTCTTCATAATGCTATCCAATGGGAAGTTTCTTGTCATTAGGAAAATTAAAATTAGGAAATTGATAAAATTTGACCATTCGGCAAATTAACCACTCGGATTAAATACCACTTATACAGTATTTTAGATGTGACAAAATGACAGGTTTGTTATGAAGATGTGGCAGAATGACAACTTTGTAGTTTAAATGAAACAAAATGACAGGTGTGTAAAGTGTAGATGTGACACAATGACAGCTTTGTATGATATAGATGTGACAAAATGATAGGCTTGTAAAGTGTAGATGTGACACAATGACAGCTTTGTATAATATAGATGTGACAAAATGATAGGCTTGTATGGTGTAGATGGGACAGAATACTGGAGACTGTCTATATTATTCATCCCTGTCTAGTCATTGTATTACATTTGAGCTCATTATTAGCCCCCCCCCCTCTCCATTATGACATATGAGCTTTAGCACTTATGTAAGGTAACTGTACGTCTGAAAGAAGTGTGCCATATACAATGTATTTCATTCCAGGGTGTATGAGATTTAGTAACTACACTGGCTATGCTGACAGCTTTAGATGGAATGGTGATCACTTTGAAGTACCTGAAAGGTAAAATTCTCTATCAATATCAGTTTATCAGATGCACTTCAAGTCACTATTAGGATCATATTAGCATTTATTTCTTCATATACATGTACATGTATTATTTTTCTACATATACTCTACATATATTTCTTCTATATTCAATGTACATTGTTCAATGTAAATTCTACTTGGAGAGGCAAATTTGAATCAAAGCAAAATAACACTTTCAAAAGTTTATTTCCACAATAGAGTCTTTTCCATAGAGCTTTGAAATCTCGTTAAAGTCTCATTTTTAATGAGATTCTAGGAGATCTGCATTTTCAACCATTAAAGACCAACATTTTCTTCCATTTGATGGCATATTTGAATACTGTGTGTGTAATTTTCCTATGCCATGTTATCTCCCCCTTCCAACACCTATGATGCCATCTATTTTTCCATTTATATGGAAAAGGGCAATTGAAAAATGACATTTACTTATTAGGTAAATTATTTCCTATGGATTGCCTCATGGCTGGCAACTCCCATGGGGGGCCCCCATGAGATATGAAGATAACCTCAGAAATCCGGTTTATTCCATATTACAGGATATAACATATGCTCTGATTTAGAATTCAAACAGTCATTAGAACCAAGATGTCTGTATTATTTCAGGGATGCCTGGGGGAGAGTGAATACAGAAGTGGTTGCTATAGATGCTCTAGTATTCCATCAATACAACGATCAATTCAAGACTGGCCTTGTTAAACGAGAGCTCAATAAAGCATATGCTGGCTTCTATGCAGGTCCAGATATACCAGAGGATAATAATCCTGCTGTAGCCACAGGGAATTGGGGCTGTGGGGCCTTTGGGGGAGACCTTAGGTTAAAAGGTGTGTAAGGATTCTCTGTTTTCCTTAATATTATACTGTATTATAGTGTCCCTTAATACTCCATTCATTCACCCCAACTTCTGAAGGAGAGCATTGTATTTCTAATAACAAAAGACCGGGTTTGTGTAAAAAACCAGGTAACCGGGTAGCAGGTTGACACAAAAGACCTAATATTATTTCACAAACATGTATCCAAGTGTTTCGTGTTTTGTATTCTTCAGCATTGATACAGATCATGGCTGCTGCAGAAGCAAATAGAGATGTCTGCTATTTCACATTTGGAGACAATAAGCTAAGAGATGATATGTTTGAAATACATAAATATTTCAAGGATAGAGATTTGAAAGTTGGTAAGTTTAAAAAATTAATGAGCCAGTTAGAATAAAATCATTATTTACCGTCTGCATATTTATATCACCATTACAAGTGGTGAGATATTGTTGTAGTCTCCAAATTTTTTTGGGCTTGTGTTCGGTGGTGTTGGTGGTGGTAGTAGGCCTCTGCACTGCCATGGTGGGCAGTTGACATTCACCATTTGACATTAATCATGTGTAACAAATGTCGGGTGGTTGCATGTATGCCTTGTCTTATATTTTATTACTTTAAAGATAAATATTCCCAGTTTTTAAAGGGTCCAGTAGCTTCTTATTGAATTTTCATCCAATGGTAATCACTATGAGCGAATAGTATAGAATATTATAGTGTAGCATGATGGAACATTTGATTGTCTCTTTTTAATATAAAATGAGGAAATATTAATATTTAACTAGCTATGGTGAATGTATTTACCATATGTTGTCTTTTATGTAGATTCGTTTTTTTCATATCAAGATTTATTTAATGTTCGAGTGTTTCTAACATCTACAGACATCTACTAAATCAATGTATTATTACATTGCAGGTGATGTATATTCCTATATACTACAATACAATAGAAACTATTGTCAGAAATATGCCAAACCCAAAAAGAACTTGTTCCAGTACATTCTTAAAGCAGAGCAATCTGGAAGTGAAACAGAAGAGGAAAATGAGGCTGAGACACCAATAATAACTTTAGATGACAGTGATGATGAAAGCAAAGTATGGGAGAAATTACCTGCTGATTTAGAATCAATAGAAAAACTTGGACCTGATAAGTCTAGCAGTGGGAATGTTGGTTCATATAGAGGTCAAAGTGGCAGTAATGCAGGACATAATTTGGATGAACATGAAGCTATGGAAGTGGATGGTGTTGATGCAAACCAGACATCCTCAAAGGACTCATATAGTAAAAAAAGGAATACCGAAGGACATGTTAAACATAAAGTGGATAGTGATGGTAGTTCTAGCCCTTAGAGGTTTGATAATATACAACGCACTAAGCAATATATTTATAATTGTGAATTTGACTTGAGGAATTCTCATTTTCGTGGTAGATCTTTCATATGGGGAGGGGAATGTGTCTCTTTAGATTATTCAAAATGCATTTCGTATGAGTTCAGATTTTTAGTTATTCAAAGTTTCATAGTAGAGCACTCAAATGTCAAGGAGTCAATGTGTACCTTTAAGGTAATGGTAAATGGTTAATAAAAGTAATCCTTTTTGCAGTGAAAATGGGATGGCTTTAAATTTTTGAACTCTTCTAGGAAAAGGAGAATTATGGTAGTCGTTGTGACTACCCTGAAAGTTATTGTGATATCATACGGGGTCAGCAACACATCAACTGAGTAAATGCTATAGGACATGCCAAAACCAGTGTTAGGATGAAAGATGATTTTAACAACAAAAAGTGTATGTTTGCAGTACTTTGCATATAGTTGAATGAAAAGGAGGTTAACAAATTCCAGCACAAGTCTCAATGCTTTCTTTGTGCAATATATCACAGGTTCTATTTATTTTTGCTTGCCTTAAACCAAAACTAAAGGTCAAGATTAAGTCTACCATACAATTAACAAGTGAGATATAGCACATCCTCCTAAGCAGGTATCAAGAATCCGAACCTCCTTCTTCCCCCTGCTATAACCAATTTTGAAGTGCCCGATTAAGCTGAATCACGTGATCTAATTATGCGCAATGACTTATACCTGATTTCTGTAGCAGTGTTGCGACAGCCAATCAGATTGCGAGTTCTTAATCGGGAAATGCTAACTGCTTATCGCAGGGGGTAAAAAGAATATATTCTGGATTTTGAAGCCCTGTGATCAGAGGATGGATATAGCAGCACACACAAAGCATTCGATCCAGTGCTTAAACGGTTTTATAAATAAAATAGAATTCAGCTGCAGGTAGGCAGGTCATTTGGACATCTGGTTAATTTCAATTGTGGTAAGTGCAGAAGTGTATCAACGGAAGTTCTGAAAATATAACACTTCTGGTGAAGACATAATATTGTTATAGCCTCCAACTTTTTTGTGGATGTTGTACGGCAGTTAGTGTTCGACTTATGAAACAAATGGCAGGTGGTGACATTTTACATGTTAGTGTCTTGTTTTATATTTTCTTGTGCCAAGATATTCTATTTCTAAAAGAAGTGAATAAATATGCTAGCAGGCCCATGGGCCTTTATTAAGAGGGAAAACATTTTCCAAGGGGGTATGAGCGTTTATTTCTATGGATATTATGGAGCGTTAAGTTGACACATGGCCTTTATACTCACGCAATAGTATCATGAACGTGGGCATGTACGTTTAGCAATATGTGACCTTTTGTCATATTTTTGCTACATCATGTCAAGTTTAACCTAATTCTCCATTCTGTTTGCCGCTTCTGTTTTTTCCTGTGCTGTTTTTATTCGAAATTTCAATCCTTTTCTAGAATGTTTTTGCTGACTGGGGGTTAATTGAGAAGTCCTCAAATGAATGCCCATGGATGGGCTTTATAAAGAGGGGAAAAAAATTCTTACACCCCCCTTTCAAATAAATGCTCATGGGCCTATTTGCGAGAAATTATACTAGTGTCACTAGTACTAGTATATTATATTTGTAACATATAAATAAACATTTGAAATACCACCAGCTGAGCTGATGTCAGTTTATTAGATGCCGGGTGAGGACCTGCTATGAATAAACATTTTAATCATGATTCCGTAATTGTACAGAAATATTTATTGTGAGAGATTTTGTATCTCAGACTGAATACTCCAAATAGGACATAAGTATCAATAGCACATTTCATTTATAGATTACCATTGCTTAGAAATATAGATTTTACAAATGGAAAAATAAAATATTGAAAATATAAATATTGAAAATATTGTAATTTATCTGTGCTTCAAGTGTTTGTTATGATTATTGTTCAAACCAAGATTTTATACTCTCTAAGGACAATAGCAACAAATTACAATGAGAACTGATCCATGACATGCAATAATTTGGATTATTCCATAATAACATGCTTTCGATATCCCTATCTAACCAGTATCAGATCCCATATCAGAACTATCAGAAAATTTCATGAGACTTAATATTGTGTTATTATGGCATATTATGATCAACATTAGAATTATAAATTATTTCTGTTTTAAAACCTTTAATAAAAAATGTAATTCGATTTATTAAATTGTATCATTTAATGCCACCATCATCGGGTGATAACATACAAAACAAGTTTCAGAAAAATATTACAGAATTAATAGGTTCTTGATGGAATATGATTTTTTCCAGAAAATACCATATTAACACTTGGGCTGTCAACCTCGGTCAATATGATATTTTCTTTGGTCAATATATTTTCCCTCAAATAAAATTCATATTCCATCCCCGGGATTCCATCTCTCCCTTTAAATAACATCTAGGCTATATATTTGTCATTGAACTTTAAATAATTTACCAGTGATATACTTCAATTTCCATGCCATGATCGTTATGTCTACAATAATCGGAGGAACCTGCGAGAGTGAACTATCTTTTAACACTTATTTCCCGGGAAATCGAACACAAGATATTCATTTCGTCTAGTGTAATTTCAATTCAGTATGTCACCTTGTTGACGATCTTATAGTTTAGAATCAAACTGGGTATTGTAAATGTTTAGCAATATTCTCAATTTTTACATGTAATTGTGTGTAAAGATACACAAAGTGCTCATAACCTACAAACTCCCAAAAGTCGTCGTTGAAAATTTGTCGAAAGATGGCGTAACTGAACGACAACAAAAATGGCTGACATAGTGGGGCTGATCCAGCAACACGTCAAATTTTCATCGATTTCAGGAGTTTTATTGCTATGTTCCCTACTCCTGTACAGGTAAATATATTTTGTTTACCTATTTGAATATTTCAACACCAAAATAGGATTATAACGGCGAAAGAGGTGCATTGGACACTGATATGAAGAATCTTGGAATATTTTTTTTCACGGACGGAGTTTTAGCCTAGATCTAGATCTAGCCTATATAGCCATAGGCTTATCACTGGGGGTTCACTGTATTCAAAATTTGGCACAAAGTCCTAGACCAGACCCTCATATATCAATATGTTCAAATGATGCGTACTGTTGTTAGCTTCATCTCCAATCACTAAAACCACACATTCAAGCGTCTGTTGATAAAAGTGGGGTCCCCATAAAAGCATAAAATAAGCGAGCGTATGTTTAATGAAGTGCTTTGGCTATTTCGGTTGGACAAATGTTTATTCCTGAAGTCAAATGCCTTTTCTGAGAATGTGACGCCACTCTGGATGACGTCTATGATGACGTCACATCAGAGATTACCGAGAAATCCCATGACGTTTCTTTAAACTCCTGTAGAAACAATAACAATGGTTTGTTAGGCTACGCGATCCTTTACTTTCATTGGCTGTTTGTTGCGATGTGACGTAATTCAAGAGACGAACAACATCGGACACTGTCGGAAATTACTGAAGCACTCCATTATCTTTACGCTCTGAAAATTTGAAATAAATGTCGCGGGAAAATTCGATTTACAGCGTCAATAATTGATATCATTTAACCATTCAAACTTATACATAAAGAAGAGATTACAGGGTAAATATTGATCACTCAATGTTTGAGAGATGGAAAAGATAAAGGTCAGTACGAGCGTCATATTTTTGGGTGGTCATTTTTATTTGGATGTGCCATTTTTGGTTGGTGTCTTATCTTCTCATTTATTCTTTGAGCCAATACCAAAAGGGGCTGGATCTGGCTCCGGATCTGTGTATTAGTTGACCATGTAGAATGTCGTCCATTTTTCCATGACAAACTCTGATTGGCTCGGTGAGATCAGAGATTTATTGTAAACTGAAAGAGTGAAGACGACGCTCTCTTTTAAGAAGTGAAGTCGAACGAATGCAAAGGGTAGCAGTATCCATGAAAGGCCATCAAAGGATTCCCTTTCCCCATCTCTCCTCCCTCTAAGACACATATGGTAATGGGCATAAATAGCTTTTGACTAAACAAGTCATAAAGTCATAGATTAACAACGTTATGTGTAGTGAGAGGTAACATATTTCCCATGACCATTCTCATACCAGAAAATGGAAAAATCTGACCATTTCCATACCTCAGAAGGCATAATTTTTTGAATTGAAATAATTTTTTTAATTTCTCATACCAGATCTTAAAATATGGGTCCATTGTCATGCCAAATGTCAATAAAGGTACCCCACTTTAACCAAGGATTCCTGTCAAGGTTTTATACAGTGGACCTCTGGGGGCTTATCCCAGGACTATGCACAGAATAACAGTAGGCCTATAGTTAGTTCAGTAGCGTAGACATGTACTATAAACTGTGCCTATCAAAGTTATACCATGCATACCAGGACTATGCGTATAGTGATATTGTGATAAGCGGAAGCCATACCAGGCCCGTGGCCAGGATTTGCCAAGGGGGGTTCACTTTTTGAAAAATTCCAGGGGGGGTTCACTTGTGACAATTTTGGTCCAAAAATGGCCAAAATTACTTAAAAGGTGCTCAGAATGATGAAAAATTGCATTATTTTGAAAGATTTTTTGGCTCGAACTCATCGAACTCCCCCTGGCTACGGGCCTGCATGCAACCCATTTGGATGATTGTTCCAATTATATTTCACACTTGGTAGTACCATTTATTTTGGTTTGGCTGCAGATGGGGGAGGGAGGGGGACAGGTCTTATTTGACACCCTGTATATTCATCTTAGAATTCATGATGTATAATTAGTATAGATACATTGATGGATTTGAAACATGCTAATGACATATTTACATGTATTTATAATAACAATGTTTCTTTTCAGTTACCTCCATTTCATTATGGTTTTGTGGTCTTTTATTGCTGGAATTGCAGTATGCTACTTTGTATTCAAGTAAGTAAAATACATAATATAGAAAATGATCATACAACAGTTAAAGTAATATTCATGTATACAGTAAAACCTTAAAAAGTGTTTCACATAGAAGGTGTTCCACTTACAGAGGTTCATTTGACATAAAGTTTTCCACTAAAAGAGGTGTTCCATTTCTAGAGGTGTTTCAAAATCACTCATATTTATTATTACTTTGAAATTATGATCATAATACTCATTTAGTAACAGGAATGATCTCCCATGTATTCAAGTATTCCAGTTTATGTTGAATATTCCTTATCACTCTGTCAAACTCAAATGGTAAGACATTTACCCAAACCAGGTAACATAAGGATTAACTCTGATCTAGCACTTCGTTGAGAAAAAATAGGAAGATCCCTAATATTACTTTATTTAACTAATAAAGCTATTTAATTGTTTTGCTTTTACAGCACAGAAACCCTGGTGCCAAACTTATTGCTATGGCATGTTCGTCAGAAGAAGGTAGGTACTGGAGTAAATAATATGTTGTATCCTACCTTGAATGCACTTTTAAAACTATTTATCATACAACTTTTCTTATGCTCTAACATTTTTATTCTCTGCCATATTAAATTATATATTTTATTGTCTTCTAACTAGATATCAAACTTGTTTTACATTTTCCATTTAGTGTGGTAATGTTGTATACTGTACTAACAAGCAGGTATTGTTCTCTGTTCTTAAGTTCCATATCTGCACTGCTTTGTGTCTTATCCACGGACAGTTCTCATTGTAGCAGAACAAAGCACACATGCTTTTCCAATTGTTCACTTTTGATCGGTTCAATTGTTTGTGTTATATATCATTGGTGATCCGCTCAGTTAAACAAAATGTCGGAACCTTATTCCGTGCATTGTAAGCAAAATCCCATGACATTTTTAGAACAAACATGTTTCAGTATCATATGTCTAGGAAAATGTACATGTTTGAAAACAAATAGTTCAGGAGACAACATAATCGTCGATTAAATAACTCACTTAAGTTACGTAAACGGAACTTCAAAAAACGGTAAGATCTGCATTTCTTACCGATTCTGTAATCGAGTGGATCACCAGTGTTCATGTTGCACATACCACATCTTGCTTTTGTATTGCATTTTGCTTTGTCTATGTTCTGGTGAGTTTTCAAAGCCCAGATGCTGCTTGAAACGCTAAGTTTAGAAAGCTTCTTCGATATATTATACTTACCTAAATCAGTAGACTTAGACACAAATCTTCTTTTCAATACTTATTGAAGCTTAAAAAGGTTCATATAGAAATTAAATTAATTAAAGTTGAAATAGTTATTTTTGGCTCACACAGTATATTGGACCAACAGGACATCTGTCCATTTATCCAACCATCCATCTATCAACATTTATTAAAAGGATCCATCAGGTAGATTAATTTCAAATTATGATAAGTTCGTTCCAAAGTCTATTGATGGTTTAGTAACAATCTATAAATGAGACACATTTAGGTTATTTGGATCAGAATTATACGACAAACACCACCCTTTTAATGCTCATATCAGTATTGGGGCTTCAGCACATTTTTGAATAGAAAGCACGATGTCTAAAATGGAGTTCTGTGCTCAGGTTCACACATGTAATACTTACTGAACAAATCACACAATTATTCATTATTTTATTCAAAGTTTCAGTACTTTTTTCACAGCTTGAGCTTACAGTAGGCCTCTAAATGATTTTTTTGTCGAATGCAAAATTCTACCTGGCTTATTTTGAGGTAGTTATTTGCTTCCACTAGGTAGGCCTTGTTATATGTATTAAACCAACAATCTTGCACATACACAGGTACTTCAAGGTCCAATACCTAGAATATAATGTCGGTTTAAGAGTTAGTCAGAATTTAATAGATTTTTTTGGTGATGCGAGAATAGTCTAGAGCCTTATACAGTAGTATTTGTCCATGTTTGGATGGATAAGCATCCACTGAATTCGTATTATGTTTCATTTTAGAAGGTCCTTTTGATACTATTGCTTTATCTTAAAGGTGAAAAAAATTATTAGATTTTCTCGTTGATTTTTGTTACCCTATGCATTAGATGAAAAAAATACAGTAGTTTGATGTTTTTACTGTGACTTGAATTGGGTATCAAAATGTATTTAAATCTCATTTGTAAGTTAAATTACACACATCTTCCTTTAGAATTTGGTGCATATGTAGGTTCATTATAATCTTAGGGAATTGTCTTGATATTTAGAGATTCCCATGTTATGAAAAAGAAGCTTTCATTTGAACTTTATAAGTTTAAACTTTCTGTGCCTTCAAGAACAACACTTTGAAATGGTGATGAAGCTTGTGAATACAAGTACATGTACATTTATATTTTTGTAGAATTCCAAAGTGGCTGAGCTGTCTCTCACGAAGAAAACATGCCCTGTTTGTGGAAGTGACAATTGTGGCAGACACAGGTATATCTTTAATGCAAACATTTTATATCACACTGGGCGACAATAGCAAAAAAATTATTAACATATGTTGTATAAATGTTTGATTGCAATGAAAATATTAAGTGTCATGTTGTCAATATTCTTGAATTGCTCTAGGCTATTTAAAAGTTTGTTTGTTCATTGTTCTTAATTGAGTCCAATTTAGAAATGAACCTTAGATCAGGAAGACTCTAGTGCAGTAAGTGTTCCTTTATTCAAACTTTTCCTCTTGATTTTCAGACCAGAATTGAATCTTGTTGCCCTCCAACCCTGGCACAATCTCAAAATACCAGAGAGAGTGGATGAAGCTATTGAAGAAGTAAGCAAAATAAGATATCTATTTGAAATCTAAAAAAAATTGAACTGAAAAAACTTAAAAAGAATCTTTAATTGAAAACAAGTCGATTCATGCTTGTCACACTTGCGACTTTAGATATTGCAAGTGCAGATATTATAATTATACCGAATGATGCTCATAAAATAATTGTTGATTGACACATTACTCCATGTAACGGAACCAAGACTTTCGAATCCCTGAATGCACAATGCTTTTCAAAATCCATATTTGAACACTTGAAATTTTGAGCATGATATTTACTTATTGAACACCCTGTATATTTAGTTCCTGAACCTGGTGCTGAAGAACTTTGTGTACACCTGGTACCAAGACCTCAGTGAGGATGAAGCATTTGTGGATGACATGAGGGCCAGTCTTAGGTTCATTGTTGCAGTCTTCCTGAGGAGGGCACAAAAAGTGAGTTTTTCCAATACTCAATTCATCATTTGATAAGTGGGAGTGTTTTCAGAGCAGGTCTGCTCAAAACTCTGCCTTGATTTGAATTTTGTTGCTAAATCTTTTAACGTTCCAATTATTTATTACATGTAGTATTAGACCAGGGCATTTTTATCATTGATGTTCTGATTATGTCTTGTAAGTAATATGTTGTTTTTCAGATTGACATTCCAACACTTATAACAGACAAGCTGATGAGACATGCTATAAGGCATCTAGATTGTCACCTCCAAGCCAGAAAAAAGGTAGATTTACCGAGAATGTGATTTGCTTTTTCATATTTTTGATTTGCAGTGTAAGCAATGCCACATTTAATTAAAGTACAGTAAAAATATTGAATTATAATATCTATTATATTATGTGAATCAAAATGATAAACATAGCTCACACATCTAATGATGGATAACAAAAACAGAACCTATCATCATATGCATTGGTATTGCAAAAACAGAGCCTATCATCACATACATTGATATTGCAAAAACAGAGCCTATCATCACATACATTGATATTGCAAAAACAGAGCCTATCATCACATACATTGATATTACATACAATCCAACCTATTCCATGACATATGCTAATTCCCCTAATTTGGAAAAATGGGCAAGTCCAAAAACAACAGGATAACCTGAATCCCTCTAGGTCAACTGACCTAACACCCCTTTATATGCTATATCTTCATAATTGTACTTGCCTATGTATGGAAAAGTGGAAAAATTTTAGAGTCCAGTTTTTTACTCTATCTGCTAGAAGTTTCTTAGATAATTGGTAAATTGATGGCAGATATATGCAGGACTAGGGGTTACCAGCTTGTTACGGGAACCTAGTCAACGTGATAGTCTACAGAGGTCGGAAAATCTACAATCTGAACTGGCACAGATGACAGCAAGGTGCTTATTAGAAGCATGCACAACTTGAGTAGCAGTTTACTGAGGGAGTTGGTGCCCACCATTCCATGGTAGATCTTCAAGACTATACCTCAGCAGGGCCTCCTCAGCAGCAGAAGAAGGTACTTGGACAGAGTCACAAGTCATTCTTCAGTGCAGTGAGCTCATTTGTGGTTGTATTTTAGTGTACTTCTAACACTAGAAACAGGTCAGTTTTTAGGTAATCCTTCCATGGATTTTATTTTCAAACTACACGCTTAGCTAACAGTCAACTTTAGGTTAGCCTAGCTTGTCTTTGGGACAATAAGTTCAGACCCATTTGAACTTTATTTGACCCCTACTGGCTTGTATTATCTTTTTTGTAAAGGTTTTTCACTCATACCTTGAACCTTTCTGTAAGGGACCTTTACTCTTTAACCCTATACTAGTATACTTTTACTAGCCCTAGGGTTCTAATCCTTTGAGTTCATGACTATACTATTGTGTAGTATATTATGTAATGATGGCCTTCTAGGTTCATAAGGTTATTCCCCTTATTCATGCACCTACAGTAGCTTTGTTGGAGTTCATTGTTTTGAATGACTATTTCCTTAGTTTTTCACTCAGTAATCATTACATTCAACCTGTGCTTATCCACTGAACAGTGTTTTCTTTTTTTGAAATGTTGTGTTCAGGGATTATGAATAGGTGGAGTTTTTCTAAGAACTCTACTTATTGATGAGTGTAAATTATTAGTATTGAAAGATCTTTTTGCTGATCTTTCTTGTTTCTTTGTCTTACTTTTTTTTTACTCGGGAATTAGTCTCAACTTTGTTTCTAGTTTAGTAACAAGCTTGACTAGATAACATATTTTTCAGTTGGATTGAATCTACATTGTTCATAGATGTAGTTAATTCTCATCTTTTTTCACAATCACTTTACACCCTTTGTAGGGTTCTTGGTTCCAGCACTTTATGGAATTGTGTGGTTTAGCAGTCAATTAATTTAAAATATTAGTTTTTTGACATTTAAGAGATGTGAACGTTTCATTCACTTGCTACTCTTCACATCACTTGTTTTCTATGTTCTGTTTGTTTTCTGCTTACAGATACACTCAGCTTTTACTTTTGTATTTCTTATTCATCAACTATTTTTAGGTCTAATTTTACATTCGTGTAAAATTAGTTAGTTTACAGAAGCCTTACTTTAATATACATTGAATGGCTCATTAATGCCTTCTGGTCACAACGTATTCATTCTTTATTTATACCAGGGCATAGGATGTTTGTTCTACAATCATTTTGGATATCTTGGTTTTCAAATCTTGTTTCATTATTTTTAATTTTACAAGGATAATTTTTACTAAGTTTTTGTTTGTTTGTTTGTTTGTACTTTTGTGTCTCTTTATGGAGATCTACATTATTGTTTATCTACATATCTCAGGTCCACTCTGTGTCTTAGAATCTTTTGGTTAGTTTTACCCTAACCACAGTTTTTTAAGGAGTGGCTCACCTTAAAATATGCTTCATACTCTTGAACAGCTACTTATCAATCACTCCTTTTCTGGTATTGATTGGTTTCATGCATATTTTCTAAGTAACTATATGTTTCTTTATAAGCTGTGTACCTTCACACATGTTTGAATCTTGTCTTAAATTGATAAGATCATGAGTTTATTGATTGAAATATATTTTTATATTTTTCAATCAACAGTAGAAGAGAGGATTCTACACATCGGTTCAGGTTCTTTATACCATGAATCTTGTGTTTAAACATGCTTCTAAGTGATGGGCTCTCATTTTTATTATCTGGAGCCTGTTTTCTTTCATTTTCGTTCTTATTCATAACCATAGTACTTATTCATTTGTGGATTGGTTATTATTTTCAAACAAGGTGGTTTTCATCTAATATTGAAAACACATCCCTTTGATTGTGAAAGTTGCCTTTGTGGTTTTCGGGCCTGGATTGCTTTACGGTTTCACTCCAGTTCCAGACTTCATTTGGTCTTATATTTTTTACTAGTTCATGTTCATAGTACTAATACTACTATTTAACTAGTAAAAGGCTGGTAGTTTTAACCACTTGGATAAACTGACCATGTTTTTTTTGGATATAGTTTTTTCCCCTGAGAAACTGCGAGTCACTTTTATTGTGGAATTCATCTTTGTGGTCTTTGGGCCTGGATTGCCTTCAGGTATCACTCCAGTTCCAGACTCCTTTTGGTCTTATTTTATTACTAGTTCATGTTCATAGTACGTATACTTCTACTTAACTAGAACAGGCTGGTAGATTTAACCAATTGGATAAACTAATCATGTTTTATGATATTGTTTTTTCCATTGAGAAACTACAAGTCACCTTATTTATGGAATTAATCTTGGGCTTTTTGGGCCTGGATTGCTTTAAGGTTTCACTTCAGTCCAGACTTCATTTGGTTTTTATATTATTACTAGTTCATGTTCATAGTACTAATACTACTATTTAACTAGTAAAAGGCTGGAAGTTTTAACCAAATGGATAAACTTATCATGTTTTTTATGATATAGTTTTTTCCCTTGAGCAACTGCAAGTTTGGCTTAAGACTACTGAAAAGTAATGTTCTTGGACCAAGCGTTGTATGGATCCAACATTTGACTGGTAGACACATGCAGTAGTACTTCGATGACCATGCGGGCCTGATGTTTATGCTGTTGATACTAGAGTTTCAACTCCAAGCCAAGTTTGATCTACAAAGGTTATGCTCCAAGTCAAGAACTTTGTGGATCCAGCACTACCTTACTACATACTGCAGTAGTGTTCCTAAACACCTACATCCATGATGTATGCTCTTGGTAGCTTTAGACAGACCCGGGAGAAAAGCGGACTATTCTTGTCAACCAGTGATGCCAACTACAAACCTGGATGAATTTAAAGGTTACGTTTTTGGACACAGATTTTGGTGGATCTAGCACTACTATACTCTCATACTATACTAGTAGTGCTTCTTTTTGTAGCAGTATCTACGTTCAATGCTGTTATACATGTACTCTTATAGACAGATAGATGTACTATCCATTGAAGATACCACTAGTCTGCCTTTTGCAAGCCTGTGAAGAACATTTAAAAGTTTTTGGTTCCAGGCCAAGAATTTTGTTGATCCAGTGAGGTTCTGAATTCTTCTGCAGTATTCTGTCAATATGCAGCACTAGCTATGATGTTTGCTGTTTACAACCTGGACAGATGGATGTTCTAACCACAATCCAATAGTCGAATACAACAATTGAAGGTTGCATTCCAAGCCAAGCTCTTCGTGGGAACAACACTTAGCAGTGCTTTGATGGCAGTAGAATACTTTCTGTTATGCTATGGCCACTATAGACAATCATATCAGTGATATCCTCACCTTCTTAAAGAACCAACAAATGCAAGCTTGTTTCCAACCACCTTTAGATTCATCTCCTTACTAATCCTTCATAGATAAGTATGGACCTGTATGCTGTTCTACTTTGTGCTTGATGTGCCACTGTGTCTACTAGGGTAGCTGTGTTACAGTTTTATACAGATGGATAGACTGTCTAGATGCACTAGTTTGTCCATTGAACAACTTGTTTTGGCCAGATGGAAGATGTCTCTTCTTGCCCAGGTCAGCAGTAATGGTTGATCTGTTCTATGATGAATACTAATTGGTACTACAAAGAAGATGGTTTGACTTATCCTTGTAGTTATCTGGTGACTGTACCAACCTCGACTGGCTGGGTCTACGGAGGTGTCTTGCTCCATGTAACTTTGTTATGGATCCAAAAGAAGAAGCACTTAGCAGATGTGTAGTGGTATTGTTCTATGTCGTTAAACCATTCTACAAGTTGGCTGAAACGGCTTTATGATCATCGCTGGTCCAGACTTGATGTTTATTCAACTAACATCCAACTCTGAGAGCAGATACAAGACAAGCTGTAGTGTGTACCACCTCACTTTGTATGCAAGACTGGTTCCTTTAGGACCCTGTGCTGTGACTCATGGTAGTTGATTTAGTTGGCAGTTTCCTAGAATTCCAATGGATGAAAGGATGATGCCTTTGTCTACACTGACAAGAACTACAACAATGGCTTGGATTAACTCATGTATATCTCATCCAAGCTGCAGGTGGGTCTACAGCTTCAAGAACTATATACAACTTTAAGTACTCTGCAACTTGTTACCAACTCAGTATTGCACTGTTGTCTGGTGATTGGAACACTGGGTGGACTTGGTTTGTCTTTATCTTGTACACAGCCATTCCTTGTCTATCCAGTTCTTGTGTAAGTGGAACTGTTTTGCAGAAGGGTTCAACTCAACCAGCTTGTGACCTGGACCTTTGAAGAACTACAAGGTTGCCTCGTTTGGTTAAACGGCCCATCCTTGGCTAACCAGTTCTATTCATAGGAGTTATTCGCAACCCTTAGATGGGTAAGGATACTCACTGTGAAAGGACATACAGTCTCCCAGATGTGTAGCTGAACTGTTTTGCAGAAGGGTTCAACTCAACTAGCTTGTGACCTGGACCCTTGAAGAACTGCAAGGTTGCCTCGTTTGGTTAAACGGCCCATCCTTGGTTAACCAGTCTCTATTCATAGGAGTTGGTCATTACCCTTAGATGGCTAAGACTGCTCACTATGATAGGACAATAACAGTTATACAGATGTGTCACAGCCTCTGCCTTACAATGGATGACGGTGGCTGTTCTACTAGGGATCACTATGGTTTGTGAGATCAGAGTACTTTTTGGTAATATGAATTTACTTTTTATTATAAGTACTTGTGTATATATATTTATTATACTTTTGGCTTAATCGGGGTCCCACCTCCTTTACTTTGAATTCAGCATATGTCATGGAATAGGTTGGATTGTATGTAATTGAGAAATTTTACAAGTAAATTTTCTATTAATTACAATACAAACCTATTCCATGACCATAGGCCCACCCGGCCTCCCCGCAGTATTTTTAAGTTTTACTGCGTACAATTATGAAGATATAGCATATAAAGGGGTGTTAGGTCAGTTGACCTAGAGGGATTCAGGTTATCCTGTTGTTTTTGGACTTGCCCATTTTTCCAAATTAGGGGTATTAGCATATGTCATGGAATAGGTTTGTATTGTAATTAATAGAAAATTTACTTGTAAAATTTCTCAATTGCAAAAACAGAGCCTATCATCACATACATTGATATTGCAAAAACAGAACCTATCATCATATGCATTGATATTGCAAAAACAGAGCCTATCATCATATACATTGATATTGCAAAAACAGAGCCTATCATCACATACATTGATATTGCAAAAACAGAGCCTATCATCATATACATTGATATTGCTAAAACAGAGCCTATCATCACATACATTGATATTGCAAAAACAGAGCCTATCATCACATACATTGATATTGCAAAAACAGAGCCTATCATCATATACATTGATATTGCAAAAACAGAGCCTATCATCACATACATTGATATTGCAAAAACAGAGCCTATCATCATATACATTGATATTGCAAAAACAGAGCCTATAATCACATACATTGATATTGCAAAAACAGAGCCTATCATCATATACATTGATATTGCAAAAACAGAGCCTATCATCATATACATTGATATTGCAAAAATAGAGCCTATCATCATATACATTGATATTGCAAAAACAGAGCCTATCATCACATACATTGATATTGCAAAAACAGAGCCTATCATCATATACATTGATATTGCAAAAACAGAGCCTATCATCACATACATTGATATTGCAAAAACAGAGCCTATCATCATATACATTGATATTGCAAAAACAGAGCCTATCATCATATACATTGATATTGCAAAAACAGAGCCTATCATCATATACATTGATATTGCAAAAACAGAGCCTATCATCACATACATTGATATTGCAAAAACAGAGCCTATCATCATATACATTGATATTGCAAAAACAGAGCCTATCATCACATACATTGATATTGCTAAAACAGAGCCTATCATCACATACATTGATATTGCAAAAACAGAGCCTATCATCACATACATTGATATTGCAAAAACAGAGCCTATCATCATATACATTGATATTGCAAAAACAGAGCCTATCATCATATACATTGATATTGCAAAAACAGAGCCTATCATCACATACATTGATATTGCAAAAACAGAGCCTATCATCATATACATTGATATTGCAAAAACAGAGCCTATAATCACATACATTGATATTGCAAAAACAGAGCCTATCATCATATACATTGATATTGCAAAAACAGAGCCTATCATCATATACATTGATATTGCAAAAATAGAGCCTATCATCATATACATTGATATTGCAAAAACAGAGCCTATCATCACATACATTGATATTGCAAAAACAGAGCCTATCATCATATACATTGATATTGCAAAAACAGAGCCTATCATCATATACATTGATATTGCAAAAACAGAGCCTATCATCATATACATTGATATACACTCCCCTCCATAAGAGTGGCAGCTGGAAGTCCCCCTTCGGATCATTTATTAAACCCTGTTCATGTTTTGAGATTTCAAAATATTCATCATTTTATCATAAGATTCAGAACTATTGTCATTAACCTCTTGAATCCCAGGCATTAGAGTCAGAATTTTTGAAACCTTTTGATATTTTACTACAACCTATCCAATTTTAGATGCTCAACTTAGTCAAATTTGACGGCAGAGATCATTTCAACACATTTTATAACAATTTTAGTGTAAATAGGATAAAAAATTCAAATTAGAGCAAATTTAGTGAAAAATTTTGTGACAGATTTTCTTGTCACTCTGGGTTTCAAGGTCATTTCTGAGGTGACGAGAAATATCATCACTCCAGGTAGGCAAGAGGTTAAGAAACAAAATTAAGATTCAAACATTAACATGTTTAACAAATATAAGCGCTTTCTTTTATATGTAGTCTAGATGTCATTTTAAGAAATTCTGTTAAACCGCAACATATACCCACTAGGGTGTCTAGCGGCTTGTTTTTATAGTGTAAATTATATGAGAATTATGAAATAAATAAATTGAATTGATGTTTTGATATCTAATGAATGAAGTGATATCTAATGAAAACTATTGGTTGCCAAACCTATGCAGGGAAGTGTATGTTCGCAGGTTTCATTTGCAATCAAACTTATTTCTATTTAATACAGGCCCATTTAGCTGGTTACCAAGGTGACCTCCAGCAGGCAACACTAGACTTCTATGGCCCACATCTTCACTGTGCAATGAGGAACAGGAAGACTGAGCTAGATTATCTACGCAAGGTTTCTGAGGCTATATTTCCTTACATACTTCCCCCACAGTCTTTACACTGCCAGTAAGTCTATATAATGATCCTATACATTGTAACCACACTCAGTAAATTGGATTAATAAGAAGTTTGGATACCTGACATTATAGAGATTTGTTTCTATTAATTTTACTATGTCACCACCAAAAAGTGGTGACATATTGTGATTTTCTCCATTTTTTGTGATGGCGAATAGTGATCGACGGTTGGCGATCAGCGTTTGGTGTCTGTAACAAATGGTGGTGACATTTTGCATGATAATGTATTTGTTTATTTTCCAAATATCTTGATGAACAATTGTTGTTGTTTTTTCAGGAGTCTGTTGACTTTACTGAGAGAGATATTCTCCAGCTCCCTGCTCCTCCCTGCCATGGATGTTATAGCTGATCCTGTAAGTAACATGCAATCAGTCACAATTTAAGAAGATAAACTATTTGAATATTGTAAGTTTTTCTTAGATTTTATTTATATCAGAGGTGGCGTTAACGCAATTTTTTACGTTTTTTACTCACATTTTTGCAACTCTGACGCAAATATTCATTGTCTACCGAGTTTTTCTGACGCACGTTTGTTTCACATGCAAAATCCCCGCTTGGTACTTGGTTAAATTGATCCCTATACGTGAAAATACGTGATTGATCAAATTTATAATTTTGCTAATTCCGGAAATCTAACATTTCGTTCAGCGCAATCGAGCCTCCTTCCTACCGATCGTTTTCTCATTTCGGTATTTCATATAATTTTTAAAGCCCTGTGATTCAGATTCAATGATAAACTTGAAAACATTGATCGATCCCTCGATTTGTTTATCTCGTGAAGCACGTTGCTAGGGGGCGTATCAAAAATGCAATAAAACGAACATAACATTGAACAATAATTTATTAATTTCATACTCCCTTCTAAGGATTTTAGTGATCGTATATTTATCTAAATTACCGCATAAAATCTTCCCTTGAATGTTCACACGCTAGATTTACGAACCTTTAGTTTCCTTCGCAAGTTCGCAAAATTCCTTCGCTAAGTTAGCAAGTTTCCTTGAGCCGTCCCCTTCATCAGCATGCGCAGATGTAAAGCGCAGTAGGTTTATCAATGGTGCTCACAGTGACCGATCTATCGTAAGTTTTCACCAAGTATTTTCAATTAACTCCCTCAAGTTAAGATCTTCGATTCACTAGATCTGAAGCTGATCCTATGAAGATAGATAATGGGCACATGAAAATCCAGTCGATCGCACATTAAGGGGGGTAATGATGATAAATTAGGTATGAAAACAAATCTACTTTCGGTTTCATTTGATCAGCTATAATTACAAGATTCTACCGTATTCAATTTAAATGATGCCCAGTATTGTGGTCGGACTTATTGCCGTTTTAGACTTTGGAATGATTGCAAAAATGTTGAATTTCAACATGAAACGCTTTGACCCCAATTTGTGTAACTCCACACAGGGAGAAACTCCTCTCCCACTCCATTCACACCCATGACTCGCTGGACCAGATAATCAGATGATTAATAGTGACATTTTTCTTGCAATTGCCTAATTAATTAATTGTTAGTTGTCAATGTGCTATAAGAGTACAATAAAAGGTATGCACAAAATAAAAAAATAGATTTTGTATGTGGTTTCTACATTTTGTATGCATTTTTACTCAAGAAAAACACTTTTATAGCTTTGACTCAACTTTTTTTCTTGTGACTCACTTTTTTGAAACTACCTGAGTCATGATGACTCACAAAAATATATGCCTACCGCCACCGCTGTATATGCATACTTTCAATACTTTGCCAGTAATCAGACCAGCTTCTTCAAAATCTTCGATTAAAAAAATCAGCAAGTATAAACCAAAGTGAAGAATTTACAAACAACTTTAAAGGAGACCTAGATTCAACATTTCTCCTGTCTCTACTGACAATTCAATTCTGTAATCCTTTTAATTGTAGAACAATTCAATTTTTTAATTTTAGGACACAGTGAACAACCTCCTTCTAGTCTTCTTTGATGATACCCCAGTAAGTATTCATAGCTGGCTACAGAGAACAGTACCAGAGTTCTTGAGTTGAGAAAAATGAAAATAAAAACATTAAATTAAGTACAAAATAAACTATATTCTTACACCCTATGTCATTCTTCTTGATTTGTGTAAATACTATCATCCAACTCTCAGAATGTATGATGGCTTTTATAATGGCTGTCATTAATAATTTCTAAATTGAAACTGACTGTTTGTGTTCCAGCCCCCTCCCCCCACTGAGCCACCATCAAAACAATGGACCATTCTTGCCAACTTTGCCCAGCCTCGATGTAAGAGACAATCAGTAAGTAGGAAAAAATAAAAAATCTGAAATTAAAACCTTAACAAAGGAATTCAATTCTCAAAAGTTAGTGAGGAATTTAATTAAAATGTGAAAAGGCAATTATCCAAGATTCCAAATATGAAATAAAATTTGTTCTGTCTCATCCTAATAAAGATACAATCTTGGCAATTTTACTTATACTGTTGGAATATTGAACGAATTGAGTAGGGATTTGACTGTTTTAAACATTTTCAAAAATGCAACAAATATTCATTTCCGAACATAATCAATTTCAGCTAATATAACAAAGATGAATGTATCCTAAAATTCTACTGTTGGTCATTTTAGTCTCTACGTGTTGAGCTGGCTGACATTCTCAATAACCAAGATGTCCTGTTCCCCTTCATGCAGTTCCTCAAGTCAGAGGCCTCAGTGAATGTCTTACAGTTCTGTCTGTCAGTTGGTGAGTATTTGAATATTTGGTTGTTAGTAGTTGAATATTTGTCAGTGATTAGCTGAATATTTTTGGTGAATTGTTGAATCTTTGCTGGGGAATAGTTGAAAATTTGTCAGTGAGTATTTGAAAATTTGCAAGTGAGTAGTTATTTTTGGTGAGTAGTTGAACATTTATTGGTGAGTAATTAGTGACTATTTGTTGAGAATTCCATATTCATGATCTTTTTGTATGAAAGAAATTTATCATTTACCTTTTTGTACATGACAAACTAGTGTTACAGGGATTCATTCTAATATTATACTTTATTTGAAAGTGAATAAATATGTTGAATTTCCAGAGGACTTCAACCATAGGATCCTAAACCCTGAGTTGTCCTCAGAACAGACCCTGAGTCTACATACAGAAGCCAAGGAGATATATCGCATGTACTGCAATCCTAATGCTGTAGACAAGATTATGTTTGATGATGACATCATAGAAGAACTACGAGAAAGTAAGTTGTTATTCCAAGCATTTTATTCAATAAGAATTTATATTTTAAAATCTTTCTTAAGAATAAATTAACGGTTTCAAGTTTACGAAACTAGAGTTTTTAAAAAGTATGTTGTTCGTAATTTGTTATTTCGTTCATTGTTGTCTTTCAGTTACTGAAGGTCCACCAGAGGGCGTAGTAAAGCTCCGTACTACAACACCATTATTCCGGGCATATGAACACGCCTACAATCTGCTTGAAAATACATTCCTGCCCCTCTTTCACCAGAGTGATGATGTAAGGGTTGTATTAGTTGAAAATCCTGAATGTTTTAGTCATTATATGTTAGTCAATTTATGTAAAGAGATAAAAAAAAAGATTGAAAGAGAAGTATATGTTAACTGATCACTAACAGTAAAAAACTGTAAGATCAACCCTTGTACTGTACATGTACATGATATCAGCCATTGAAAATACATACTCAAGTGATCTTTACAGAATGCAACAAAATCCTAATTTTACATATTTTGGTCATATTTAATCATTTTGACATATTTTCAACAAGATGGCATGCAAAATGTTCAACAGGGTACGTGGCTCGGGTGCTCTTATGAATGGGAAATCACTGAACATGCTTAAACCCAATAAACAATATGAAATGGCAAACAACCATAAATAATGCCTAAGATGTATATACGAGTATGTATGAAGGTGTTATGATTGTTGCTTTTGTTTTCCAGTACTACACCATGTTGTGTGGAGACCGATTGCAAAACAGGATTTCCAGAAGCTCCTCAAGGTAGATGCTCTTAAACTATCAACTCACAATCAGTTCACATTCAAACAATCATTTTACATTCAAACAATCAATTCACATTCAAACAATCAATTTGCATTCAAACAATCAATTCACAATCGAACAATAACACACTCAACTATATAATTAACATGGAAAAAGTCGACTCTCAAACGTTTCTCTTACACTCAAGCAATCAACTCACAGTTGAATAATTAAATTTGCACTCATATATTCAACTCACACTAAAACAATCAATTCACACTCAAGCAATCTGCTTGCACTCTAGCAACCAACTCAGTAGGGTTATTCAGGGTATTTTTCCTGAATTTCATTTGATTAGGTCAGAAAACAATACAGTATTTTATTGTTTATTTACCATAGATCTTACTTCTATTTTGAATTCTATATCATGAAATTAATTCAGCCTAATTTAAACTTCACCACTTGATGGTAATGTTAGCATGTTTTCATAAAGGACCAGGTATGGTATGATTTTAGACTGTCATACCTTTGATCATGATTATTTTACCACCATAAAAACATGTCTCATCAAAATAATAAGTTTCTCCAATTAAGGATAATACAATTATGAATTTGACTCTTGAGTCTCGGAAAGACCATGGATTAGAACCCTACCTCAACACATTTTTCAAAATATCTGACCCATGTTCTCAAAAAATTATCTTATCTCATTTTTATTCAATAAATACAATATACAAGGGGAGATCGATACCATACCATACCATACCATACCTTGTCTTTTTGATTAGCACATTGTTACCAATTGACTTGTTAATTAGCATCCTACTATGACATCATCGTTGTTATTAATTAGATTGTTTTTGTGGTGTCTTTTTTACTAGAATGTTAAGATGTTTTCATAAATTTTGATTATCATGTTACCATGACTTCATGATTTTTTATTAGCATTCTATTTTGATCAGCATTATTGAATAGCATGTTAACCATGAAATGCACATTATTGATTGAATTGTTACCATGACTACATTTCATGTTACCATGATGAAAACATTGTGTGTTACGATGAATACATTGCATATTACCATTACTCAATCCATGTTACCTTGACTATAGTGTATGTTACCATGGCTTGAGTACATATTACTGTGACTACATTGCATGTTACCATGACGACATTCCATGCTAACTTGACTACATTCCATGTTACCTTGACTACATTGTGCGTTACCATGACTACATTGTAGAGCAAAAATGCATGCTGGGGGAAGGTACAATGTAACACATCTGCAGTTTATACTAATACTGCTTTTATACCTTAGAATTTAAACTCACCCAGATTGATAAGTGCCATCTTTAGTCTCAGTTTGCATTTTACACTTTGACTTAAATCACTGTAAATGCTCATTTGGGTCATCTGCAAGTTATTGATGTTACATCACAGCATTCGGGTCCACTTTCATTTACATTTTTCTCAGTTATCCTCACATGCACAGTGATCTCTCCAAGCATCAACTTAAGTGCATCACCGTAATTTATATGTCCATTAGCACCCATATGAAATTTTAGGAATATTCTATAAGGCACATGAGGTAAATCTCTCAAGAAAGAAAAATGTCAGGGAGATCATTGATAATCGAATTATGAAAGTTTATGATTTTGACTCATATCAGATTTTGGATACTTGATTCTTTGTGCATTTACAGTGTTTGTTTGTTTAACACAGTCTTCAACTTTGTTCTTAATGATTCATAATAGTGCATACTAGGCCATTCAACATATAATGTACTTTGAATGGCCTTTTATGAATACAAATACAAAACAGCTTTCTAGATGGTTACAATTCATTCTTTACAAATTACCCTAGTTTAGTTTTATAGTTAACTGATTTCATTTTAAGGTAAGATAAACATAAATGTACGAGTATTTGACATCCATATTTTATGTTATATTTTATATCATTCAATACAATTATAATTATATTTCTTCACTATTATTTAATATATTTGAATTAACTAGCTTTTGGGCAGTTGCAATTTGCGGAGCCAGTTTTGCTTGAATGTTGGTTTAGATTTTATCAATTGCAATTTTATATTGCTTTCTTATTTTGCTGCTTGATTGGTTATAATAGCAATTCACTGAACCAAGCACCTGTTAAAACATCAACTAGGTAAAGTTAAGTTGCGAGGCGGAGTTACGTATTGTGTGATATATTATTTTGAAGCCCCATGTGACAATAGATTGCAATAGTTATATACCAAACCCCAAATCCTTATGAATAAAATTTGTGAATACTCCAGCATTTTGGACTAGACTTAAGATTAAAGAACAGGTTCGGATCCCAGACCTTTAATCTTCAGCCCCGTACAAGTTTACATGCTACCAATTTGAACGACACTTTATTAACAAATAGGTGCTCAACCTAGGACTTAAAGTCGATCACCTTATATGGAGCTTGACAATAGTAAATCACCAATCATGTAATTTTGCTTCAGCAGCACGTGATTCATGTCATTGGTGTTTAGTAATATGGTGCTCTTTACAAATACCAGCTTAGTCTAGATTTTGTGCCATTAATTAATTACTTTAGTTTGGGGTTATCCTTGTTTTCAACTTTGTATGTTGTCTCCATCTTAGATTTGTGTGTAGACATTCTACTATATGTCCATGTTTGGGAGGGCATTAGATAAATTACATAGTATGATATTAGAATTAAAAATAATGATATTGGAATTGAATATTATTGTATTGAGTTTATTTCTGTTGTGTTTTTTGTATGTGGTTCATGTAAAACATATTTCAGGGTCTAGCTTTTAATAAACTATTAACTAATATGCTTTATTCTGGCACTTACTAATTAATTACTCATTTAGAGCACAGTTTTATTCTCATGGTAATCTGTAATAATTCATATATTCTTGTCAATGATATTTTACTTGCTAAGTTGTTATTTCAATTTTGATCTCAAATTATATTTGATTGTTTTTTTTAATATTGTAGTAAAAAGGGCAAGACTACTGCTGAGCCATTGACCCTGTCCAGACTTGGGAGTAAGATTAAGGGTGTCTTTAAGAGTACAACAGGTAAGGGGCTTACATGTTGTAAATCAGGGATTGGGACATGGGGAATATAGGATATCGCGAATGTATCCATACAACTATCCAGATGTAATTGAAACTTCATTCTTTCAAAAAAGATGGCTGCCATTTTTAAAGATTGTGGCCATTTTATAATATTTGTTATTACATGTTTTTGCTATAATACAGTATACAATTGTTGACCTCTCCAGAGGTCAACTGGCAAAATTGTATACCAAGACTGTAAACCGAGAATCTACTGTTGACAGAGACTGAAGGTCGAGGTCAAAAGTAGTTTCAAGGTTTACAGTCGGGGTATATGATTTTGACGGTTGACCGAATGGAGAGGTCTACAATTGTTTTGTTAGTCCGAAAAAACTAATAATCCATATATAGACGACAATCATCAATCGGCATGGCTTCATTTCACAATCTTTTCTCCGAACCACGCCAGCAATAATTTTTCAAGAAAAACTGAAGACAGTGGTAGCTAAACTCTCTGTTTTCGGCACATCACTGCGTACTCAATAGTAAATTAATGTTAATTTTACATTTCTATTTGTTTTTTGCTATCCTTGTTGTCTAGCATAGTCAAAATATCACTTTCATCAACGTTTACAAAATGTCCGTCTACCATGTTTTTTTTCTGAAAACATGATGACGTCATATTCCCCATAATTCACAAGTGTAGTACAGTAACATACGCGGTCAATAATATGATATCCCATGATGCACAGGTGGGGGGTACAGGCAAAAGTGTTGACTGCTAATTGACCAATCAGATGCGAGTATTTACACTGAGGTACTAACAATATAGTATGGATTGAATTCCCATGCTATTTTAAGAGCAAATACATGAACCATGGGAAATAATTTTTTATATTTGCACAATAATTGCAGCCATAGTTTTATTTGTGGCTAATGGAGTGAGTCATCATACTTGTTTTTTCAGTTGAAGGTGCTCTTGTAGACAATTTAGCTGTTGATGATGCTGATGAGCCTGATGGTGTCAGCATAGTAAGTCAAAGATATTCTATGTCACTCTGAATTATTGAAGAGAATACTGGGTTTTCTCAATTCTCTATTTCCATTATGTATTTCAAATCATTTTAAATCAATGTTTTACAAAGCAATATTGATGATTTTTTATAAAAATTTGCAGGTAGCCAGTTGGGATTGGCTAAAAGTGTTCTTAAAAGTGTTCTAAAGTAGGCGATAGTTTATCACAAAAATGGGTTTAAAAATGTTCACATTGGAAGGTAAAAAAATAAGGATAAAACCTCTTAACATACACCCTATATCTCACAAAACTTTTATCTTGTTATTACAGGCCTCTGGTATGACTGAAGATGAGGTGCCTGTTGCCATGATAGAAGATGATGGCCCCCTTCGTGATCTCAGCACATGGAGAGTGTCCATTCCTCACGTGGAGGGACGCCTTGAGCCTGATAACCCTAAGAAACAATTCTATGTGTTTGTTATTGAAGTAAATAGGGTGGATGTTGCTGTGGAAGGTATTCTTTTGATTGAAAATGAGTCTTCTTGAATTTAACATGTGCTAAAAGGGCAGAAAAAATATTGACAGGCATGTAACTTTGTGGTCAAATTCCTAATACACATTTTTAACATTGTGCTTTAATATTTTGAACTGAACTTAATTTACATATTATATAAAATTTCAATCCTTGTGAGTGATAGTAATATATCATGTTCTTTTTATGTCACCACCAAAAGTGGTGACATATTGTTATGGTCTCTGTTTTTTTGTGACGGCGGTTGGTGGTTGGAGGTTGGCGTCCGGCGTCCGGCGTCTGTAACAATTTCTTACAACTTCCTATAACTTTACAAATACTGTTTAGACTGACTTCAATTTTTTTCTAAATCATCTACATGTTCTCAGAAGTTCAAATCTGACTTTAGATTTGACCTTCAATGACCTTCTCAAGGTCAAAAAGGTCTTTTTTCAACTTGCTTCACATTGACTAAATTTTTTTCAAAATCATCTACATGTTCTCAGAAATTCAAATCTGACTTTAGATTTGACTTTAGATTTGACATTTGACCTTCAAATCTGACTTTAGATTTGACATTTGACCTTCAATGACCTTCTCAAGGTCAAAAAAGGTCAAAAAGGTCTGTTTTCAACTTGCTTCAAATTGACTAAATTTTTTTTTCAAAATCATCTACGTGTTCTCAGAAATTCAAATCTGACTTAAGATTTGACTTAAGATTTGACATTTGACCTTCAATGACCTTCTCAAGGTCAAAAAAGGTCAAAAAGGTCTGTTTTCAACTTGCTTCAAATTGACTAAATTTTTTTTTCAAAATCATCTACGTGTTCTCAGAAATTCAAATCTGACTTAAGATTTGACTTAAGATTTGACATTTGACCTTCAATGACCTTCTCAAGGTCAAAAAAGGTCAAAAAGGTCTGTTTTCAACTTGCTTCAAATTGACTAAATTTTTTTTTCAAAATCATCTACCTGTTCTCAGAAATTCAAATCTGACTTTAGATTTGACTTAAGATTTGACATTTGACCTTCAATGACCTTCTCAAAGTCAAAAAAGGTCAAAAAGGTCTTTTTTCAACTTGCTTCAAATTGACTAAATTTTTTTTTCAAAATCATCTACATGTTCTCAGAAATTCAAATCTGACTTTAGATTTGACATTTGACCTTCAATGACCTTCTCAATGTCAAAAAAGGTCAAAAAGGTATTTTTTCATCTTGCTTCAAATTGACTAAATTTTTTTTTCAAAATCATCTACATGTTCTCAGAAATTCAAATATGACTTTAGATTTGACATTTTACCTTCAATGACCTTCTCAAGGTCAAAAAGGTCTTTTTTCAACTTGCTTCAAATTGACTAATTTTTTTTTTCAAAATCATCTACATGTTCTCAGAAATTCAAATCTGACTCTAGATTTGACATTTCACCTTTAATGACCTTCTCAAGGTCAAAAAAGGTCAAAAAGGTCTGTTTTCAACTTGCTTCAAATTGACCTTTAGGTGGTGACAATTTGTCATGTTAATGCCTTGTCTCTTTTTGCTGGGAATTTCACTTTTTGTAGAATTGTTGAAATTAAGAGTTTGCTTTCTTCTAGGACCTTCTCATTGGTTCGTTGATAGACGCTACAATGAATTTTACGCACTGGAACAGAAAATGTCAGAATTCCATGGTAAGATTCGTCAGAATATATTTCATCAAAGGTTGATATTGATCATTAACCAGAATTGTTGTTTCAGATGAAAACCTATAATACGAGTAATATAATGGTTGTTCAATAAATATTGATACAAACGCTCTTGTTACCATAGTTATTGAACAATCCTCGTAGCTGTGCATGAATATAAGCATAAATTACTATTTTGTATTTTTCTTCATTTATTCAAGAATAAGTTTAGTGTTCCTCTTTTTAGGAGAGTTTCTTGATTTCAAACTCCCAACCAAGAAACAGTTTGGGACAAAAGCTAAGGAGTTTCTAGAGACCCGAAAACAGCCATTTGAAGAATATTTAAAGGTAAATTCATATATCAAATAAAAGTTTTCTTGGATATTTTCTTGAATGTTCACTTAGATGTTTTCTTTTTCTTGCTCGGTTCTGTAACAATTTTTGGTTCTTTTCCTTTGGCACTTGTGTGTACATATTCTATCTTGAGTTTGCATTATACTTTCAATACTTTCAATACATTATACTTTCAAACAAGCACCACATACATACATGTTAGTAGATGCTCTTAAAGGTCGTTCTATTTTTTATTGTAAAAACTAGTACTGAACAACTGCAGAGTGTTGACATATTACATTTCTTCTTGGCATTGTAGAAACTGCTCACTAGACCAGAACTAAAGGGTAGTGAATTATTACATAACTTCCTGACCTCTGAGAACCAGTTGACTACCAGTCTACTGCCAGATATCAACATAGGAAAGATGTTCAAGTCAACAGCTATGATACTCATCAAAGAGGTAAAGAGGTTAATACTCTCAACAGATCTTCATATATAAATGCCATGAGTATTATCATGATTACCCATTATGGTCCCACTAGAGAGCTTATCATTATTACCCATTATGGTCCCACTAGAGCTTATCATGATTACCCATTATGGTCCCACTAGAGAGCTTATCATTATTACCCATTATGGTCCCACTAGAGAGCTTATCATTATTACCCATTATGGTCCCACTAGAGAGCTTATCATTATTACCCATTATGGTCCCACTAGAGAGCTTATCATTATCCCAACGAACGAAGTTCGTTAGGGATATAGTGAAGCCCTCCGTCCGTCCGTCCGTCTGTCCGTCAGTCCGTCAGTCCGTCAGTCAGTCAGTCAGTCCGTCCGTCTGTCCGGAAGATAACTCAAATACTAGTTGACAGATTTTCTTCATATTTAGTGGAAAGATGTATATTGGTGAATAATTTTACGCAAAAAAAAGTTTTTTTCAAGATGGCCGCCGCTTTAAAAATAACGGGACTTTTTCGCAAAAATCATAAATTTTTCATTCTAAACCAAAGTAATTAATATTATTGTTTGAAATTTTGGTAGTGTATTCACAACATTTATCTATTTCACATATATTCCGTGTTTTTCATCCTGACCCCCAGGGGCCATGTATGGGAGGACAGGAAAACAGAAATTTTCGCTAATTTTTAGATCTTTCTGAACTATAGCTTTATTATACTCAAATGAAAGGCAATTAAGAGTAGATTGCAAATATTGTATCTTTTTTCTGATTCGAGCCTCGTAAAATTCAAAATGGCCGTCTAATGTACGATTTCGCAATAATTTTTCGATCCCTTCAAAGTATGGCTATATTATACTCAAATTGAAGGAATTTTGGAGTAGATCACAATTATGGTATTGTTTTTCAGATTTGTACCTCAGAAAATTCAAAATGGCTGCTTTGCAGGAATTCGCAATTCTAAAATCTAATTTTTTCATTTTCAACCAAAGTAATGAGTATAATTGATTGGAATTCAGTAATTGATATTTTGTTCGTTGGGATTTGCTACTCCGCGGAGTTGCCGTTATCTAGTTATTACCCATTATGGTCCCACTAGAGCTTATCATGATTACCCATTATGGTCCCACTAGAGAGCTTATCATTATTACCCATTATGGTCCCACTAGAGAGCTTATCATTATTACCCATTATGGTCCCACTAGAGAGCTTATCATTATTACCCATTATGGTCCCACTAGAGAGCTTATCATTATTACCCATTATGGTCCCACTAGAGAGCTTATCATTATTACCCATTATAGTCCCACTAGAGAGCTTATCATTATTACCCATTATGGTCCCACTAGAGAGCTTATCATGATTACTCATTATGGTCCCTCTAGGGAGCATATCATGATTACCCATTATGGTCCCACAAGAGAGCTTATCATGATTACCCATTATGGTCCCACTAGAGAGCTTATCATGATTACCCATTATGGTCCCACAAGAGAGCTTATCATTATTACCCATTATGGTCCCACTAGAGAGCTTATCATTATTACCCATTATTGTCCCACTAGAGAGCTTTTCATTATTACCCATTATGGTCCCACAAGAGAGCTTATCATTATTACCCATTATGGTCCAACTAGAGAGCTTATCATTATTACCCATTATGGTCCCACTAGAGAGCTTATCATTATTACCCATTATGGTCCAACTAGAGAGCTTATCATTATTACCCATTATGGTCCAACTAGAGAGCTTATCATTATTACCCATTATGGTCCAACTAGAGAGCTTATCATTATTACCCATTATGGTCCAACTAGAGAGCTTATCATTATTACCCATTATGGTCCCACTAGAGAGCTTATCATTATTACCCATTATGGTCCAACTAGAGAGCTTATCATTATTACCCATTATGGTCCAACTAGAGAGCTTATCATGATTACCCATTATGGTCCCTCTTAGGGAGCTTATCATGATTACCCATTATGGTCCCATAAGAGAGCTTATCATTATTACCCATTATGGTCCCTCTAGGGAGCTTATCATGATTACCCATTATGGTTCCACTAGAGAGCTTATCGTTATTACCCATTATGGTCCCACTAGAGAGCTTATCATTATTACCCATTATGGTCCAACTAGAGAGCTTATCATTATTACCCATTATGGTCCAACTAGAGAGCTTATCATTATTACCCATTATGGTCCAACTAGAGAGCTTATCATTATTACCCATTATGGTCCCACTAGAGAGCTTATCATTATTACCCATTATGGTCCAACTAGAGAGCTTATCATTATAACCCATTATGGTCCAACTAGAGAGCTTATCATTATTACCCATTATGGTCCCACTAGAGAGCTTATCATTATTACCCATTATGGTCCCACTAGAGAGCTTATCATTATTACCCATTATGGTCCCACTAGAGAGCTTTTCATTATTACCCATTATGGTTCCACTAGAAAGCTTAACATTATTACCCATTATGGTCCCACTAGAGAGCTTTTCATTATTACCCATTATGGTTCCACTAGAAAGCTTAACATTATTACCCATTATGGTCCCAATGGAGAGCTTATCATGATTACCCATTATGGTTCCACGAGAAAGCTTAACATTATTACCCATTATGGTTCCACTAGAGAGCTTAACATGATTACCCATTATGGTTCCACTAGAGAGCTTATTATTATAATTATTACCCATTATGGTCTCACTAGAGAGCTTATCATGATTACCCATTATGGTTCCACTAGAAAGCTTAACATTATTACCCATTATGGTTCCACTAGAGAGCTTAACATGATTACCCATTATGGTTCCACTAGAGAGCTTATTATTATTATTATTATTACCCATTATGGTTCCACTAGAGAGCTTATCATGATTACCCATTATGGTTCCACTAGAGAGCTTATCATTATCACCCATTATGGTTCCACTAGAGAGCTTAACATTATTACCCATTATGGTCTCACTAGAGAGGTTAACATTATTACCCATTATGGTCCCACTAGAGAGCTTAACATGATTACCCATTATGGTCCCACTAGAGAGCTTAACATTATTACCCATTATGGTCCCACTAGAGAGCTTATCATTATTACCCATTATGGTTCCACTAGAGAACTTATTATTATCATTACCCATTATGGTCCGACTAGAGAGCTTTCGATATAAGTTATTTGGAACATGTATACGCAAACTTGTATTTGTACAAGTCAGGTATAGCATGGGGGAGGAACTCTGGAAATGAAGATAGGGTGGTTTCATTCTTCAAATCAAAACAAAATCTTTGGCAAGTATGTAGTTTGTGACAACTTAAGAAATTAAATCTGCCATTGCTTGGATATTCACAAATCAATTCCCTCGTTTAAGGGAACGAAAATTTTTCTAATGAAAAAATGTAATTCACCTTCCTCTCTAACAGATCAATCAGTAAGTAGCAGCGACCCTCTGATTTAATTGATCTACAAGAAAAATGTGCAACCTTTTGATTGGCATTTTGATATATTCAGGAGGGATATAACCATTTGAAGAAAATGAACTACATGTATAGTATGTATATTTACATTTAGATACATTGCTTCATCATGCAAACATAGATTCCTGTATATCTGTACATATCTGTTTGTTATTACAGAAAGGGCAACATTTAGACTCTTTCATTCAGTCATTTATAAACTCCACCGAGGCCCCTAAACCTCGCCCTGGCAAGCTAGAAGATAGAGACTCAGATACAGTATCCATCTCAAGTGAAAAGGTACAGTGGAACTCCTTTGCTTTCAAATGTGAACCCTTTAACATGGTCTCAGTAGCAGCATTTCACTTTAATATGATTTCTACTAGTTCAATTAAGGCCCAGAGTGATAAAATAGAGCAAAATGGGACATTATGGTATCTATAGATTCAGATTGTCTTGTATTGACTTGAATTTATATATTTTATAGACTAAAATACAAGATAGAAATAATCATTATGTAAAAGGTTTATATACTATAGATAATGTACTTTGATTGAATCATATAATTGATATTGGAGTAATATTGTTAACCAATTCTAGCTGGCTAATCCAATGTATGAAGACAATGCTAGTCTGGACGTTTGTGATATCCAAGCTGAACCCAGAGGCAATGAGGGAACAGAGGACATTGAGGGTGCCTTTGATACAATACTCTATAGGTATGATTGCTCAAGGTATACTGGGAAATCTTTTAGGAACATATTCCTACAATTAGAAGTCACAGTTAGTTGCTGTTTGGTATGTCACCACCACAACAAGTGGTGACATATTGTTATAGTCTCTGACTGTAGATGGTGTTCGGAGTTTAGCTTCTGTAACAAATGGTGGGTGGTGACAGTTTGCATGCTAATGCCTTTCAGACTTGTGTTACAACTGTTTTTAGTGAAGAGATTTTTCAGGGTAGCTATAATTATACAAGAAGTAAATAAAGAATGCAATATAATTCCAATATTAATTAGAATAATTTCAGGAATAATATGTACATCAAAATCCACACACTTTATGTACTTGCAGCTAAGAATGTGTTCCAAATAAAGGACCAGGTTCACCATCTGCTGATAACAGCTCGGATGCTAGTTAAACATACATTAGAGAACTATCTAGACTGGTACATAGGCTTTAAGCTGGAGCAGGTCACTCAGGAGCACAGAGTTGTGTCTCTTATACATTTACTTAGAGGTAAGACAACATACTAGCTTTGCACTGGATTATTGATTCAGGGCTACATTTATTTGTTTCTGATGCAGTGAATTGTTTTTAAAAATACGGCAGCACAATGCTAGGGAATTCTTTAAAATTGAAGACAAAAACTTTCTTATTACATATGATATTACATGTAAGTACTGATTTTCTAAATATGGCAGACATAATTAAAAATTCTATGGTAGTGACATCTTTAAATAGAAGGAAAAACTTTATTATCATATCAAGGTATATGGATGAGCTATGCTTTAAGTCATCCTTTGAATACATCACTGAAAATCTCTTGTTATTTTCTTGTACCTTAGAAAAAACAGTCTTCTTAGATGTGTAATCTGTGTTTATGTGAAATGTTACTATAACACAGGGTGTTAATGTGTTTGTTTAGATCTCCTATTCTTTGATGATGATCCCTCAAGAACTGATGAACAAAAGCTAGAGAGGAAAAATAAAACATTTGCAGAGCTAAAGAAATTCCTACCAGGTTAGTATGTGTAGTTTATAATGAGTTTATATTTTGTTAGAAAATTTATTTGGGATCAAATTATGCAAGAACCGTTATTTTACAAAAAAATGCACTTGCAATTAATTATTCAAATTAGATATGTTTTTATAGTACATGTACTTAATTTAAATCATTTAAACAAATGAAGCACATTGGCTGCACCAATAAGTACAGTTAGGAATCATATTCTGAATTAACATTTAATTCAATAAATACTTTAATATCTGAATCTTCACCATAATGATAAATCCATAGTTTACATAGAATGTACATCTTGTAAAATCAAATATTTAGAATAATATATTCCCTGCTTCACTTCTGTAGGGGTGCTACCTAAGATTACTGGGGAAGAGGAGTATGAAAAAGGCTGCAAAGTTTTCTTTGACCTTCTACAATATCCTAAATTAAATAAACAGGTAAACCAATGTCTATTTTTATTATTATATCAAGACTGGATAGATTTCGAAATATTTTGTTTTCTTTTTCCATTAAACTTGTTAATACATTGATATTTAAATGTTTCAATGGTGAATCCTCAAAAGTATGTGATGAACCCATGCCTTGATTTTTATTAGTTTAGTTTTAGAGTACTAACTTTGAAAATTGAAGTAAAGCAAAATTAGTTGTTGTTGATGAATGTTTAATTTTTTGTTTTGTTTCAGCTGTCCTATGTCTTGCTTGATATACTACTACTAGAGCTCTTCCCTGAGTTGAATGATGATAATACTGCAACACAATAGGATTACTTCACATTATGTAGGGTGACATCACACAATGTAGGGTGACATCACAGAGAGTAGAATGACATCACAAAGAGTTGAGTAATATTGTACACACTAAGATGGCATCACACACAATAGGATGACATTCATTTGTTGACATCATACATATTAGGATATCATTACACCATATGGTGACCTCACATAAAATGACATTTTATAGAACAGTATTAGAACCATCTTCGACTTCCAAGGTGCTATAACACATTTGGAGCAAATGAAACCTTGTGAATTAAGATGATTGGAACAGTATTTAAGAAGTTCGTGAAGTGTGGTATTTCTCATCTCTATGAAATTGTTCTTATCTTGTTACATCATATTATTACAAGTTGCTATCATTGGTCATTTATTAATTACTCATCACATCCTTTAAGAATATCATTGCAGTACTTAAAGAGGGTGATCAATACATAAAATGGACTATAATATGTACAATGCGGCTGTGAAATAGCATTGTTTTATTGTATTCATTGTTTGATAGTAGTACTGCTTCATTCATTTAACTGAATCTGTTTGTTTCATGAATATACAATGATTTTATTTATAAAGTCTATGACTATGATATTCATAGTGTTACACATAGTCTGCATAATGATGAATTTCTTGTGTTTGTTAGTATTAGGTCTGAAGCAAAATGTGCAATATTTTTTTACTTTTGCCATCCATATGGAGCTAAAGTAACTAATGAATGTGATACATTATTATATAAACTTGTTATTTAATTGTAAAATAAATTAAAAAGTAAACGTACACTGCCATTGATTGTTATTATTATTAGAATATAATGATGCATATTTTTCATGATTTTATTTTTGAAGGACTTGTTATAAAATCTAACGCCATCTTCAATAACCAACAATATTTTTATCACACCATCGGTGGGGTATAGTCGTCAGGATGACTGTGCGATTGTTATTGTGATCGTCCGGTTTTTTGTCATCGCAATTTCAGGAAAACTTCATTAACTCTTCAGGCTGTCTGGGGAAAATCTCTGTTGTCAAAACACATATTTTAGCATTGGAAGGCGAGGATCGAGGAGAGGAAAAACTATACACCAGGCTCGTAGGGGGGGGGGGGGGGGGGTTCAATGGACCCCTCACCTCCCCTGGCCAAAATTTCTTTCAAAATCATGGAGCACTTTTTAAGTGATTTTGGACCAAAATTGTCAAAAGTGAATCCCCCTTGGAATTTTTACTGGCATCTCTATTTGAGATTGCATCAGTACAACTGGATTGTATTTTACGAAAAAACTATTGAAACAACCCCATGTAATTTCACATCAAGATAAAGTGTTTGTATTGATCAAAACATCACATCGATGTGTTATTTCAATGTCATGTGTTAATAATCGATTAAAATCATATAAGCGTGTGGTACACCTATACTTTACTTCGTATTTCGTTGAACATTTCACATAACAATATACTGCACAAGTCGCACGACGCCCTAAGTAAAATGGGCGTATCAGTGCCTCTATCAAATGGTGTGCAATGCAGAGCAACCAATAGAAGGCATAGTGGAGGTCGTCGTCGCTTTAAAACCGATGGTCAGATCGTGAAACCGCGGAGGCGAACTAGGACTGGATTCTGTTATGGAGATGATATTTCAAAAACGAGTTGGGCAGGATAGGAGTAAAATTGGATCTTTCTAGCGAAATTAAAGGTGAGATTTTGCATTTCCGAAAACAAGAATTTGCGAGGGGAAGGTCATGGGTTCGATTCCCGCACTGGACACTGAATTTAGCACACTCCCTTTCAAATCTGGCTCGGTACACTTCAACTCCCCGACGGACGTGCTCCAAGGGTCGTTACAATAGCATATCGTTCCCAAATGTTGAGGGTGTAGCTAGACCGTACCTTTAATATCTGTTGGTTCCACACCCCAGAACATTTGGTTTACATTCAGATCCCAAGATGCGCACATGTAACTTTTAAGCAATTTTTCATTGATTGTGATACTTTGTGTTCGGAAGCTACATATTCAAACTTCTTTGTCCCAAAAGGACTTTCTCATAGTAATCTGTTAGGCACTCTTCCTGTCATTTTTGGGCTGCCAATTGATCAAAAGTATGTAGACTTCAGCACTACGTCACTCCTCGCCCCATATAGACGGTGATTGTTGGAAACTCTTGATTGCTGATGCCATGTGCCCGAGGTGCGGTATCATTGGTCATTTTGAATTTAAAGTGATATATCATAAACTAAGCTGTGTATTCAATTATATTCATACAGGGGCAGACAACACTTTAAAATTAGATTTTTAATTCTAAATGAGACCATTTGCATATAAACTGTGACTTCGTAATGATATTTTTGTAGACTTTTTATATTATAATTGCTAGCAAAACTCTCAAGATTAGGCACTATTATCTTTCCAATTCCAATGGTTCCAAATTCACGAATATGTTGTAGCTGTACATTTAACCTTTTATGAACCTTCTTAGCCTATAGGCCTACTGCTATATCCAGTATTTAATACAGGATCGACGAGATTACTGTCAGATCAGTTCTGAAGCGTAGTTGGACTGTCGTTGAGTATTATCCCCCCCCCAGGTGAGTGGACGCATACATTTTCTGAAAAATGCAAATCCCTTTTCAAATATGGTCCGACGCCCCTATGGAGCATTTCCTGTCATTGATGTTCCTCAGTAGGCTAAGTGCGAAAAGCGAACAATACGAACAATACCAGACCTTTTGATACCAGTTGCTTTTTCCATCTCACTCTCACGAGAGGATTTGTTCGCAAGAGGATCATCATCTTCACTAATAAGTTGTCCTACCTTGTCTTTATTTAATTCTGCCGGCCCTGTGTGTGTCTACCACCCACATGCTTTCTTGGTATTGGCTCAGTTTTTCACAGTTATCACAGTTGCAAACTCTGCTTGGAATACAGCTGTAATACACCAGTTGTATTTTTCATTTACTGCATTATTTTATCGTTTCTAAAACAATTTGATGGAAGGTTAAAGGCTTGAAATCAGTTGTTTTTACACTTGATCTTTGTTGTGAATTATGACCCCTTTTGGAGCGTGTTGCACATCCGGTTTGGGCACATTCTGGTAAAATATGTTTTCCACATTGAAAGGGTTTTTTGTCTCGTGCATTATTTGCACGGCCTTGTTTCTTCATTTTTCCAAGAACTGCATTCCAAGGAATCTAATTTTGGCCATTGGCTTTAAAAGTTTAGGACGTCCTGTCGAACTGTTTCTGTCATCAGAACAAAAGTGGCGTTGACCATGTTGACCGAGTTCTTTAGTTAGTGTCAGAATGCGAATCCCGTGTGACTTACATTTACCAAACATGCTCGGGAAGGGATCCTTTGTATTATGATATTAACATCTCTGACATGAACACATTGTCGTCATATTCCAAGAGTTTTAAGGTTCACTCTGTCTTTTCATTTTCCTTACGGGAAGGTGTCCTTTTGTAATATGATATTAACATCTCTGACATGAACACATTGTCGTCATATTCCAAGAGTTTAAGGTCCACTCTGTCTTTTCATTTTCCTTACGGGAAGGTGTCATTTTGTAATATGATATTAACATCTCAGACATGAACACATTGTCGCCATACTCCAAGAGTTTTAAGGTCCACTCTCACTCTTTTCATTTTCCTTACGGGAAGGTGTCCTTTTGTAATATGATATTAACATCTCTGACATGAACACATTGTCGTCATATTCCAAGAGTTTAAGGTCCACTCTGTCTTTTCATTTTCCTTACGGGAAGGTGTCATTTTGTAATATGATATTAACATCTCAGACATGAACACATTGTCGCCATACTCCAAGAGTTTTAAGGTCCACTCTCACTCTTTTCATTTTCCTTACGGGAAGGTGTCCTTTTGTAATATGATATTAACATCTCTGACATCAACACATTGTCGCCATATTCCAAGAGTTTTAAGGTCCACTCTGTCTTTTCATTTTCCTTACGGGAAGGTGTCCTTTTGTAATATGATATTAACATCTCTGACATCAACACATTGTCGCCATATTCCAAGAGTTTTAAGGTCCACTCTGTCTTTTCATTTTCCTTACGGGAAGGTGTCCTTTTGTAATATGATATTAACATCTCAGACATGAACACATTGTCGCAATACTCCAAGAGTTTTAAGGTTCACTCTCTCTCTCTCTTTTCATTTTCCTTACGGGAAGGTGTCCTTTTGTAATATGATATTAACATCTCTGACATCAACACATTGTCGCCATATTCCAAGAGTTTTAAGGTTCACTCTGTCTTTTCATTTTTTTCGTTTGAAATCTCTTATATACCAAATCGTGAAAGTTTTTGAACCACTTCTTTTACTCCGCTGTTTAATTTTGATAAAGTTGATAAAGCGAGTTGTTGTGACAATGTAATTCAACATTATATTTTCATTAATCTACTACTTATCCCTTCTTCTTGTCGAACCATTATTTGGCTTCCCAAAAGAACTATCTCGCTCAATCAAAGAAGAAAGAATAATGTCGTTCCTTTGGAAATTCAATGCATTTGACTTCTTTGAGGCCAAATATATTGAAATGTAATATTTCAAACTAATACTACATGCCAGGCATTTCGTTGAAGGTTAGGATAATCAATTAACAATGTCATAGTTGACAATACAATCATATCATGAGTACAATCTCTGATCAATGTCACAGTTCATATTTGTCTGCAATCTAGTTTTATATTGTCAACGACACCTGGTCCTTTATTCACTATATACAGAATATCAGATCATTTTAAGCGGTATCATTTTATCGACGAGTTAATAGTACAATAACGTCATTTCGAAGGGCAATGTAGTTATTGTCCGCAGAAATGACGTTATTAGTATTATAACCACCGTTAATGACCAGGACAGAAATAACAAGAAAATCTTACGCACTGAACGATATCTAATTTCCCGGGGAAAATTGCCGGTCGTTAATTGCATTCTTGACCGGCAGTATTGACCGCCACTATGACGTCACATATAATGTCAAATATGAACTCAAGTGACTGAGCGAAAAACATGGATTTACATGTACTTTTTTCACAGTCACCCGTAATATGTTTACGTAATCAAAAAATACTTTTTTACATTCAGGAAATGGGGAGTATGCCTCTCTATATGTTCTCGTTGTATTTTCAAATATTAGTCAATTCCAATATACAAATATAGTTACATCTGATCACTTATGCTTAGAATTTTGAAGCTTTCAGTTTACTTATTATAGATTATCTTATATATACCAATCTTACTTATTATTAGATTATCTTATTTGTGGGGATTATTTCAATTAAGTTAGATTATTTTAAGTTAAGTCAGAACTGATTAACATAGCAAATGATTTCAAAGATCCAAAAATAGAATAAATGCTTCGTCCATTGACTTTAGTTTTGAAAGCCCTCTCATACAGCGGCCGTGGTCAGTCCTTAAAAAAAGAAGATAACTCCTTTTGATGCACCCGTCTAAAATAAACACATAGCGAGAAAACCGAACATGTGAAGGCCTAACTGCCTAATCATCCCCTTATCATATCCAATGTGCCATCATGGACTCAATGTTTTTGGACATCACAATAAATCCAGCTTGCATCAACTATTATATCAGCTAATGATACATTCAACCTGGTCTCAGATAGAAGATCACAATTGTTTGCAGCTAATTTTGGTTCAAAATTGAATGCAACGCAAGACTTGTTTGTTTTGCAAAATCTTGCGCAGTCTAGTATAGATGGCGCCCATGTTGTCTCCAGATTATGGTTCACCAGTCTTTCTCCCTCATCCAGGCAAGAGGCAACCATGTCATACATATTTACTGCAAACATGATATGATCAAAATACATGGTTGTCATTTTATCTAAATATAGGTTACACTAACTACAGAAAAATTATTTATTGAATTGCATGGGTATTTATTTCTTACTTAGATGTGTTTCGCACAAGAATCCCTTGGGTGACGAGCATGGTGCAGTTCCCCACTTGCCAGATTTGGACACATTAGCAAACACACAACTGTCATCAACTGGGAGAGAGTTAGCTGGTTCAGAATCCCATGCAGTGTAATCTGCCATAGACATATTATTCCAATAATATAGTCCTCGTTGCATACCATACCAATTTGGGCCTGTCCTGAATCGAAATAAAAGATCATTTAATAATTTTATGAAAATGCACATTTCAATATTTGAAACAAAAGAGAAATTGAAGAAAAGAGTACTACTCGTCACTATATAACTACGATAACATATATGAAGGCAATCAAAATTACTGAACGCAGCTGACTCAAAAACAACTAAAATTCTCGAAAAACAAAAATTGACAGCATTTATTTTTTGTTTCATTTAATAGTAAAATACAACAAAAATACAAGATGCGTATAACAATGAACGAAAAAAAATGTTTGGGATAGTGTGGATTTGTTTTCCCTATGATGGTCAACGCTCCTATGTTTCTTTAAAGTGATGTGTTTTTGCAATTCCTTTTCGCCTTTCCTCTATTGACTCTTGCGCTTATATCGGTATGTCTTATGAAACGATGTTTGACTATTGAATTAATTGTGTCTATGGCAATGTGTCCCAATCTCCGAATTTCAAGTGGTTTAAACCTTGAGAATCAAGATCATGTTTCCCCTACAAAGCTTAGATCAATAAATGTGGGCCTGCTTGTACTACTTACTGTAAACTCGCCACTTCTTGATTCTCCTCACTTGAAGATATGGTTACTAGATGGCCACCAAGGTCAACGCATGCACGTTTACCATTCACCCAGGTCTTGTCTACCAAGCCAAGTGTTTCAGTGGATACATAGCAGCTATTCTCAAAGATATACCATCCTGCGGGGCAACTATCATTGTTCTCTGACAAATAAGGACATTATATAATGAGAAAAGAATGGACCTTATACAATGGATCTTATTCAATGTATTAATTGTTTCGGTTTTCTTGCAGCACCTTGGTACTGTCCTCTATTACAGTAAACCTGTCTATTTTGAACGCCACCTGGACAAGGATCCAAAAGTGTTCGGATTAACAGGTGTTCTAATTTCAATTTTTAGAATATATGTGAGACAAAAGGGGTCAGGGGTGTTCATCTAAGAGAAATGTTCCTTTAGGAGGAAAACGATATTTTTTTCAAATAATTGAAATTCGAATCAATATTTTCAAAAACCAAGCCAATGTTTTCCTACAGTCCTAATTTTCTCATCTTTGAAACTAAGGAAAATATTTACCCGAAATATATAAATCGACTGGTGTGTTGTTCTCGTATTCCGCTGTATATACGCACGATCCATTTATCTCAAGTCTGGCCTCAGTATCAGACCTTGCTACCCATGGATGTGTTGCATAGGTAGACGTTTCCCTCTGTTCCCCCGCGGGTATAGTGATATCCGTTGATTCTATGCCATTGTAATCAAGCCATATAAAATGTACGGGGTGGCTAAGGGTGTTTGTCACTCTTAATGTTACGTTTATTGTATTGGATATGGATTTTGCCTTTTCTGGATCAACAGCAGGACAAGGTTCATCGTTAGGGGTATCATTCGGACCCCAAGCGGCTACAAAGAAATATGATTTTAAACTTTGATTATTTTGAGACCATTTTGGTACACCCAACCTATTAAGGTTTGCCTAAAGAAAACAATACAAATTAAATTTTTTGAAATATTTGGCTGGATGTGTAGAAATGCCTTAATCACTTGTAGTTTTTTTTTTTTAGGTTATTGTTATTTATTTCTATAATATTCAACATAATTATTTACATAGATTGTGAGGGGCCGAGGCTACATAGCATTATTGGCCCCCCTCTAGAAAGTTAAAAACATATAATAAATCACTGGAGTGTGTAGGATTGCAACGGACAGACGGTCGTCCACCAGGTCTTGCCCATGATGATGTATATGAGTGTTAATGAGAGATGATGTGAAATGAGGAGAATGGTCATTCTAAGATGGTATCGATATAATTTGAAGATAGTTGAAGGCATTTTGTATTCAGTTCACTATTTAAATTTTCATCTCCATAAAGTATAAATTCTATTTTTTGCTTTCTGGTTTTTCCAAAATAGCACATAATATCAAGATTGTCTAACTTTAGGATGTTCTGTATGTAATCATTTCTATGTATGGCGGTTAGAGGGCAGTCGAGTAAAAGATGAATCTTATCTTGATTTCGGTGGCCGCAGGGGCAAGAAGGATCTATGATGTTGTTGAAATTATGTCTAAAAAAGTCACTTTTAAGGGCAAGGTCGCTTCTTATTTTATTAAGTTTAGTTTCAGAAGACCTTTTCAAATTAAGATTTTTTGTTAAAATATTCTTTTTATGAAATGTATATTTCTTATTATAGTTTTTCTTGAAGATTGCTAGGGTTGGCGATGTTTTTATTTCAGTTGAAAGATTTTTCCAAATGGAGATAGGCTTTATGGCTGGTGAATTTAGGTATTTCACAGACGCTCTCACTGGTAAAACATATTCTCTTCTGGAGCGGAGCTCCCTTTCGGCACCAGGATTGGACAGTTTTTCATATATAGAGACTACATAAGAGGGGGTCAAATTTGATCGGACTTTGAACATGTGAATACTTTGTTTTTCTTCTCTTCTCTCCGCTAGGGTTTTCCAGTTTAAACATTTATATAATTTTTGCTTGCACGTACCATAAATCGCCCCGGAAACTATCAGGGCTGCTCTGTAATGGAGTTTGTCTAGTTGTTCCAGAGCACCTTGTGACGCCGAACCATAGATTAAAGAGCCGTATTCGATTTTAGAGAGGATGAAAGAAGTGTACATTGTTTCAAGATGTTTTGAGTTTACTCTCATTTTCAATGCTGATAGGGGATTTAGTAGTTTGTCAATTTTTGCTCGGACTTCGTTTATATGAGTTTTAAAGTTTAAGTTTTTATCAAGAGTTACGCCTAAATGTTTATGTGAATCGACTCGGTCACTTGTAGTTGTACAATAATTAAGAGATTGCACTTGTTACATTGCTATCGGTGAGCCTCCAGGCCCGTAGTCAGTGGGGGTTCGAGCGAACTCCCCCCCCCAGCCAAAAATTCTTTCAAAATCATGCGGTTTTTCACCATTCTGAGCACTTTTTAAGTAATTTGGGTCATTTTTGGACTAAAATTGTCAAAAGTGACCCCCCTGGAATTCTTCAAAAAGTGAACCCCCTTGGCAAATTCTGGCTACGGGCCCGGCCTTTATTGAGGAGTTACCTTGTTCACAAAGACTTGGACGTGTCCCAACGCCCGAACTATCTATCCATTCAGAGAATTCGCCGTTGCTGGGGCGCGAATACATGTGCCCACTGGGCTCGTTGGTCGCCCATTTGGTAAATGTGAGAGATTCGCCTGTTACCCAGCCAAGTTCCATGCTCTTCTTTAAACCCATCCAGTAGTTTTGAGGAGGACTATTATTTAAAATAAATGATCGAAATAATTGAAATTAGAAATATAGCCAAGATATTGATACCAGTTTTTCAATTTCACTGATTATTTTTTCCTTTAAGTAATCAGGGTATTTATATGGTAATAATATTTAAAAAAACACGCGCAGACTGGAAACTCAGTTTGAAATATCGCATATTTACAAACATTTGTATTTGCTTCAGTACTCTGGATCCCCCCCCCCCCCTTATCTACTTCAACACCAACAGCGGTGGTGGGTGTGTATGTATGGGGGGTCACAAGAGCTTGTATGTAAGACTACACATTTTCATACCTTTTCTAAAAGTCCAAGCTTTCTGACTTATTGGCAATATGGAATTGGGAAAAGAGAAAGCCGTCATCGCCAATTTTATTTCTTAGGAACACAATGTTCCTCAGTTCTTAGAAAAATTATGTTTTAAACCATTTACGAAGTAACGAAGAATTTTGACAATAGAAGTCGTAAAAAGGAATTTTGAGATGTTACACAGCCAGGGTGAACCAAAAACCGGAACCCTCCAAAAATGTAATAATTTATTTAGCACATATGTAATCAGCTTCATTTTTCATTTACAGAACAATTTCTGGATCCAAATTTGCTACATAACATTCAATATTCTTCTTGTTATGGCCATTTCAAAAATGTTCCCAATTTTGAAAGAAAAGAAAATGAACGATTTTCATGTCAACCACATTGATTTTTTAAACCCATCACATTCTTTTAGCTGCTTGTTAGACTGCATTTTGCTAGTATAGAGGGTAAGATCATTAATGAGGAAGTCTTCCGACAAGCTTGAAGTCATCTTTAGGTGCGGTTGCACCTTCTGAGCGATATTTTGGAACTTCGTTCAATGTAATCACACACAGTGCTTTCAGGTGTTCTCATACCCTCATTCTTAGAAACCTCCCCAGATAGGTGTAAGCTAATCATTTTTTCATTCATGTGTTTAACAATTCTCTCTCCCTTCTTCTTTCAACTTATTATGCAATGGTCTTGACTGATCATTCTGCTGTCTTAATGATTTCTTGAGAATTCAACCAATGGATGAGGTATGAGATGTTCTTGCTCAGAGGCCAGGAATTTCAGTCATCTGATCTTTTACTAGGTATTTTACCATTGTCTATTTTTTATTTTAAGGCAGAATTAATCTGATCTATAGGGACTGACAAAATTAAAAGCAACGTGTATAATTGACCTACCAATCTATTCCTTACAATAGCAAATACAATATCTCCCAAAAGATTCACAATGTGTTATAAATTGGTGAAGTTATTAATGATTCGAAGTGCAAAAATGAGTGAAAAATGTTTAAATTCTCCCAAATAAAAAGAATGGTAACCATTCTTATAGAAAATCAATACATTGTTGTAAAAATCTTTAGTTTTCCTGGAATAAAGTATGCACTTTTGGGATTTTTAGAAAATAGACATGACAAGGAATGACATGAGACAAAAATATTCTAAAATTGAAACAACTTTTTGTTTAGCCTGCTCGCTATATCTGATTCTCTCTTTAAAATATCAAATTCTTTCATTTCACGTCTTCTTTGGAATTTCCTTCTGAATTTCTTTAAAAATCTCAAGAAATGATTTTGTCTCAATGTTGATTTTCCGAAAATTTGACAAATTCTAAAATCATCCATGATATCACAAATAATCAATATTGTGAAGCAAACTTGATATCAAATTATCATCCATAGATTCTAGTTTATGCACATAAAAATTGGATTGATAGTATAGATATTTAAGAAATAATTAAACTTTAAGAGGGTTTTGCTTTTGGGTCACCCTGTGGCATTCTTACGAAGCAAATTGTCAAAATGGTTCGTGACGAAGTTATTAAACTTGCCGAGTATTAAAAAGGGACCATTGTTTATTTTGAGGTGTTTTCGTTAGATTGTCATTAGAAAGCAACACGTGTTGTTCATTCTTGTCGTAACGCTATTGCTAAATGAAATATGACCTACTTCATAATGTTATTGAGAAACTCGAATTTATCTGGCGAATCGATGGTCGCAAGATATCCACCAAATGCACTCTTACAAATATCTTGGGCGTCCGACCATGTTTCAGGAGAAGAGGAAAAATGATAGCAAGAACCATTGTATTCCGCACCAATAAGACACCGGTATTGTGCTACAAAAATGGTTGAATATATATTTATATATATACATAAATTTAGTAATTGAGATTCACGAAACAAAAACACACGATTGGTGTTTAATTACCTATGAATTAATTACATATTACATAAATATTTCTTTTGTTGCTTTGGTAGGAAAGGTTGCAAAAACAAATCTAATATCATGTGAATGAACTTACCACGAATGTTGATAACGTGTAAAAGTAAAATCCAAATCACTTTGTTTAACATCGTCTCATATGTAAGAAGCATAAAATAAGCAAAAAAGATATATACCTCTCCATTTATAAAGCATTTATTGAACAAAAAACAATCACATTCAAAACCTTTTAACATTCTTTTAACCACTCAATGTAGAATCACTTTTCAGGAAGCTGTAACAAATAAGAGACATTGTACGTAGACATTGACTGCCCTTGACAGTCGATGTTATTTCATTCTATTGGAATGTTAAGGGCCGGGGTCCATTATAGGATTTTTGTTTCAAGAACAGTAAAATCCATATGCATGACGTAAATGTGCTCAACCAGACATGAGGCGAGGTAACGACCTCATCAACATTTTACAGAAATTCGGTGTTGGGAGATGTGTAGTTTGGGGGGGGGGGCACAGGGGCTTATATGAGACTATAGTTTTAGACTTATAGGCTACTGAAGATTATGTTCCTTGTTACTGTTACACATTGGCTTCAATTTTTTATCGTCTATTAAATTTGCCTCGTCTGTTTGTGGTTCTGGTTCCGCCGGGCCCTGTTGTAATATAGAGTATTTTTAATTGAATTGGACATCGCAATAGACCCAGCGTGCAACACTTATCATATCAGACGACGATGCATCAAATCTGGACTCCGACAGAAGTTCGCAATTGTTAGCAGCTACATTTGGTTCAAAATTGAATGCAACGCAATATTTGTTCGTCTTGCAATTACGTGTGCAGTCTATAATAGATGTCGCCTCTGTTGTCGCTAGGTTATGGTCTTTCAGTTTTTCTCCCTCATAAAAACAGTGGGCGGTCACCACATTAGGATTCTCTGCAAACATGATATGATCAAAAGTTACTTCCTGCGAAAGCTATGTGGATTTTGATATAATAGTTTCAAACTCTAACATGGCTCTCCAAGTGAGTAAGATCAAAAGTATGTAAGGATGAAAAGCTACTTAAATAGGCTAGTATTTAAATATAGATAAAACGAAGAAAATATTCTGAAATGCGAAAGTATATAGAATTTTTCCTACCCGCGTATGTTTCGCATAAGAACCCTTTAAGCGAAGAGCATGCTGCAGTTTCCCATTTCCCAGAATTTGACACATCGGCAAACACACAACTATCATCGATTGGTAGAGAGTTGCCAGGTTCGGAAATCCATGACGTGTAATCTGCCATAGACATACCGTTCCAATAAAATAGTCCCCGTTGCATGCCATACCAGTGTGGAATAGTCCTATTTTGAAAGAAACGTTTATGGTGAGAAAATTGTGGTCTAACATATGACTGTCTAAAATCATTTCCCGTACCATTCCTGGTCCTTTGCAAAATATGACATCAGAATGAATGTGTGGACTTTTCACGAGGGGAGTACAACCTACCTCCGAGCAAAGACCCGATGATGTCTAAAAATGTAGGGGATAAGTTAATAAACTCCTGTTTATATATTGAAAATCTCAATATGAGATATAGATAAAACACAGAATTATTTGTAACAGATATAGTTTTTGTTCCAGGCACTCATGTTTGCAGAATAATGAGTACTTTATGCAATATTTACTATCGAATCGCTAAATTCAACTTCTAATTATTAGAATGATGTTTTACATCTTAAATAAGTAAGAACCATGGCTGTATTACATGCATTTACCGACCCAGGTATGTCTTATGTGTGTCTCGTTATCAATTAAAGCGAATATGAATGAGAAAACAAACCGAAACATACGATTTACTTATCTCTTAATTTGTACATAAACATATATTTCAACTATAATTCTAGGCCAATTCCGCCTGCTAGAACATCTTAGTAACGATTCTAACCATCCAAGGGAATTGATAGAGGTCCAATATTACCTTTATTGTCCATATTCCAATGAGATGTAGTTTACCAAACATTGGATTGGCGGTATATGCGTGTCTTACTCGGCGGTAGGTTGTATATACGCGGGTAGACTTTCCCCTCGTGCTTTTGCTACATACAATGTACCAGATAAGATTAAGACTGTGGGTATATTTGTTATGACTGACATTTTGTCTACTTCATAGGTTCCAATTACAAAAATTTAAATATCCGACACTCCAGAGCATAGACCCTGGATAAAAGCTAGCTTGTAAATATAAAGTTTGGAGGCTTTAGAAAGATGGGATATTTCTCAGGCCATCAGCACACGGAATAAATTAATTTCTTTTAATGAAGGGTAACCACCGATAATATTGGAGTTTTTTTTAAGCAAACTACAACTATTTAATCACTATTTTTCAACGAAGTGGTGTGCAAGCAGTATTAATAAGATATATTTTTCGCATTGGGCATAATTATGCAACGTCCAATCACCAAGTTTTCACTTTGATGTGACCATTATTGGAAAAATAATGCAAATGTGTACGCTATATACGCAATATAACAGCATTGTCTTCCACGCGTTTATCTCCAATATGAAAATCAATTAAAGAGCCCTTAATCAACTCTGATTACTTCTGTCCAATGTTTTAATTACAAGTTTGTCAACATTGATCAAGCTAAAGAGCTTTTTTTGTTCACTTCCTTCCAGGCTATGATATACGACACTAAATTAAACTTCATTTTATATGTGATTTATTAGGCCTTCTTGGAGAAATTATGGATTTGTGACGTTGGATCCAATTTTTATGTTAGTTAAATTCTTTGATAATACTTGTTGTGACAGGAAGAAAATGTCTCAATGTATTAATTAACCACCCCATGCAGACAGATTGCCTAAAATTACATTCGTATGATGCGAGACTCGACATTCAACGGGAAACTGGAAACAATTTGTCACCAATGTAGCAAATTATTTTTTACTGGTGAATAAATGGTATATGACAGTCACATTAAGTTCTACAAGTATGAGAGTAACAATCTGATATTTCAAGGTAACTCGTTTGAAAAATGATGGCGGTGATTGAAATTACGATGTAAAGATAAGACAGCAACGAAATATTTGTAGATTTCTTTGAAAAACTATTAAGAAATATACATCAGATATCGGATTTTTCAAAACAGAAAAATATGTATAAATAGTAAGGACCGTAGGACCAATTCCCCCTGGTAGCATTAGTATTGGTCTCGTATATGTCATACAATTAATATTTGAAACACAACTATTATTCGAGTTTATGATTGGTCATAAGTATGATGTTACTTTTATTTTATTACCAAGAAGTACACATCATACTTATGTCCGATCATATGTTCGAATATAGTTGTGTTTCAAATATTATTTGTATGACATACACGAGACCAATGCTAATGCTACCATATGGAATTGGACCTGCGGGCCTTACTATTTATACATATGTTTTCTGTTTTGAAAAATTCGATATACGAGTATAATGTATATTTTTTAGTTTTTCGAAGAAATCTACAAATATTTCGTTGCGGTTTTATCTTTACATCGTAATTCCAATCACTGCCCTCGCTTTTCAAACGAGTTACTTTGAAATATCAAAACGTCATGTTATTCTCATAAAACCTTATGTGACTGTCATTCCCCATTTATGAAGCAGTAAAAAAATAATTTGCTATAAGGAGTAAAAAATAATTTGCTACATGGGTGACAAAATATTTCTAGTTTCCCCTTGAATGTCGAGTCTCGCATCATACGAATGTTATTTTACGCGATCTGTCTGCATGGGGTGAAGTAGGAGCTTTGTGCTTGGTAGGGCGATTCTTTAAAGGATAAAAGAATCGGATTCCTTCACAAGTTTTTTATTCTAAAATCGAAAAATGATCCGTGAACAGTGATTGATAAATTACACTTTTCCTACAAAATATGATACTATGATTTTATGAAAAGCATGAGACAGTTTGGTTTTTCAAATATGAAAAGCACACAATTGTCAGTAGGAAAACGGGACTCAAAATGTATTTTGATAAGAAGAGGTTCTGATAAGCGCCAGGTGTTATACAGGTTTTACTGTTTTACCCGAACACATCAAAATACGTTGTTAAACTTGGTACCAATGACGATGACAAACCAGGACAGGACTTGTCCAAATTAAAGTGTACTACTCACTGTAAACTCCTCACTTCTTGATTCTCCTCCCTTGATGATATAGTTACTAGGTGGCCACCAAGGTCAAAACATGCACGTTTACCACTCACCCAGTTGGTGGTTACATTCCCCAACGTTACACCAGTGCTGGAGACGTAGCAACTACTATTAAAGCCATGCCATCCTGAAGGACAACTCCCATTGTTTTCTGAAAAGTAACCATTTACAATACAAAACAATACCGTACCATAATTTACACGTATATAAAAACACCTACAACCCACATTGTCTTCGTACATTGTTCAAAAAGCATTGCTGGTCAAAGCTATTTTGGAGGTTTTCTACTGGTGACTGGCCATTTTGATGAAAAATTGATCAAAATGGCATGTTTTCATAATAGCATAAAATGGACTGTATCAACACCCTCTTTGCTATGTTTTATGCCATTGTGAAGCCGATGAAAATGTATTTCAATTGCATCCAACGATGTTCCCCTTGTGATTTCTACAATATAGCATTAAATTATTGGTACAAATTGTGTGACAATTATTGCACACAACCCGGTGTAAAAGAAATTATGATACCCTGGGGATTATGGTCCCCTTTCCTTACGGCCCTTGCTGGCCCTGACTGTGTATAAGATAATAAGGGAAAGGGTTGTATTTAGGTCACCATATAAATAAATAGAGAGTAGGACCATAATTTGATAGGACCTCCTACCCTTTTACACCGGTGTAAAAGAAATTATGGTACCCTGGGGATTATGGTCCCCTTTCTTAAAGGCCCATACTGGCCCTGATTGTGGATACGATAATAAGGGAAAGGGTTGTACTATTTAGGTCACCATATAAATCAATGGGAAGTAGGACCACAATTTGATAGGGCCTCCAAGCCTTTTACACCGGGGTTGGTCAGATACGAAGCTCTTATTTGTTTTGTACATAAAGATAGATCTCTATTGAACACTTTCTATCCTGACAACGGCAACGTCAGATTCCGTTGTCACAAATGGCGGACTTCAATTTTCTTCCATTGCATAGAGCACGTAAATTAAAATACTTGTACAAAATGAGAAGAAGCGATTGGAGAATTGACAGAACGGTGTTACGTCCACTATTTACGTTGCCGTTGTTAGGGTATTCCGGTGTATTGTAGGTTCTCATTCAACCATCCTCTGGATTTACCATCTTTTTCACAGAGATATGGCCGATAGCCAGTGCCCGTTGCGTCACTCCATTGTAATAAGATGTCTGCGGATCGAACGTATTTGCCTCCATCTGGCTCATTGGTAGACCAGCTAGTAAACGTTGTCACTTCACCCGTTATCCAACCAACGTTCTCAGTTTTCTTCAATCCAATCCAGTAGTCGTGAGAGCCACTTATCGGAAATGCAAAATTGAAAAAATGCATTTAGAAGTTCATATTATTACATCACCCATATGTGAAAACGTCGGTGTAGGTTGAGAGATGATATGGCTATGAATAAAACTAATAACAGAGGTTTCTTAAAATCTCTCGTAATAATTTTGAACTTCACTTCATCAATCTTAAATTTTATGTAGTATTCAATCTGATTTACTACTAAGCTACTACAGTCCCTCCTTATCTGTCATAAAGCGCCTGTTCTCTGGAAGATATAATATGGGCCATTGGGTATTGGCTTAATTATTTTTTCAATGGCGTCCCTGTTGCTTATGTTTTATTTTACATTTATAGATCCATCGTTAAAATCAGCAATTTATTCATTTTGTAAACTTTAATAACAATATTGCCAAATATATGACCTACTTTATTATGTTATTGACAAAGTCGAATTCGTCTTGTGAATCAATGATCGCGAGATTTCCACCAGAGTATGTTTTACATACATCCTGGGCGTCTGACCATGTTTCAGGCGAAGAAACAACGGCATAGCAAGAGCCATTGTATTCGAGACCAATGAAGCAGCGATTTTGTGCTAAAAAACAATGATAAAGTTTACTCATATTCGGTTGTCTTTGTACAATTTTTGGGTTTGGAAAATTATGTCATAACAAATTGTAGTCTAGTTGTTACCCATATCCTAATTCAAGTGTGTGCTTACGATACACTGATCATCTTTTGCCCCATACTCCCAACCCCCAGGAAAAACCTCTAATGAAGCGATTTTAATTTTTCAAAACATTTGATTTTGTCCATGACAGTCACTCTGCATGCCAGTCAGAGACTTTAATTACATTATTTTATCAACAGTGTAACATATCAAAAAATGAAACTTGAATATTAGAAACTCTCAGATAATGATTATGATGATTTTAATTCTTTAAACGCTTCACATAAAATTTTCATCATCCTCGCTTGCTCCAATAGTATTAAAATTATACATGCGTTCATAGTCTATAAAGCTATTCTGTACAACAAAGAATTAATTATAACTATCAATACTTACCATGAATGCCAATAATGTGAAAAAGTAAAATTCCAATGACTTGTTTCATAGTGATGTAAATATCTGTCCTAGCAATGGTTTACATCCTGAAAAACGAACGGTCTGCTTTCCATACCGTTGAAGCTCATCCCATTCGACTGTTCTTTATCATTATACAGGCTAGGCCAAAATACGTTCACATTCTCTTTTTGCTACAATATTATCGTTACGGGTAAAGGAATCAGTTGACTCAGTTATCAGTCAGTAAGTGAGTTATTTTCAGGTGTGTTTGTAAAAGAAAGTGTTACACATGTCTGACGGCTCCAGAGATTCACCTCTCAGACGTCATCATTGATTGTGCTAGATCAGATAAATGATCACTCAGACAAAAAAGGCTGATTGTGCTTAATCAGGACACTAAGCATTAGGCTAAATCATTAGAATTTGATTGTGCCAGATCATATACACCACAAAGTATCGATTGTGTTACATCAAATACACCACCCAGGCATTAAAGGTTGATTGTGCTGGGTCAGATACACCACAAAGGCATCGCGAATCGATTGTGCTACATCATTGAAATACACCAACCCAGGCATCAAAGTTAGTATATTTGCACTGAGCAAGCATGAGCCATCTTTAGATATCTCTCAGGAGATAGTTTTGTGCAAACTAAGTAACATCAAAGGTTGATTGTGCTAGATCAGATACATCACAAAGGCATCATGCACCGATTGTGTTACACCAATACACCATCCAGGCAGCGAAGCCCATCGAAGGTTAATTGAGCTAGATCAGATTCACCACTCACTATATTCTCATAAATCCCCGGGATATTGCTTTGCTACACAAACATTTCGTTCATAGCTCAAAACCCGGAAGTTCATGTAGGTACTCAAAATAAAATTCCTTTTAAAAATTTAGTAGAATTGCTCAATATCATGTGTACGTGTCATGTATAAGTATGACTTATCATATACACTAGTAAATATGTAAGCAATGTGATCATTTAATACCACTGAAAGTCAGTAATTCAACATGGAAATGATTTATCCTGACCAAACTAATTTCATGGATCATCAATTTCAGATTTTTTTTACAACAATACACTCACCACAGGCACAGGAAGATTTAAATCCCCCCCAGTCACTGTATAGCTAATGTAAAAAATACATTCTTTTTTTCTACCTAATACATAGTGAGTGGGAGGGGGATGAACTCTTGTTCCCTTGTCTGTGACACTCACAGTCACAATCACAGGCCCAGGGAGAAGATTTAACCCCGCCCCAGTCACTGTTTAATGTAAAAAGTAATACATAGTGAGTGGGAGGGGGATGAACGATGAACTCTTGTTCCCGTGTCTGTGGTCACAATCCCAACCCAGGAACAAGAGTTCACCCCGTACCACATGTTATTATTTTTTTGTTTAGTGCACAGTGAGTTGGGGTTGAATTCTTGTACTTGGGCCTGTAGTCACATTGCGATATATGAAATCATTGCTTCCCAAATTTGCACTGATCAAGGTTACTTCGGTCCAAAGCCTTCTCTATATTCCGTATATTATGTAAGCTATAGACTCGAGTAAATTGCTGTTATTGCTTTTCAGCAAAAGTACATGTATTGGATTGTTTCACCACTTTATCATAGTGCTAATTTTTTCAGTCATCTGTTTGGGTAGAAATATATTTTCTACATGTAGCTATTTTTAAATGTGTTGCTTTTAGCTGCTAATTCTATTTGTACATGGCATGGTTGACCACTGAGGCCCAGGTATACTGTCATTAATAAAAAATCAGTCTTATTCTTATCCATTAGCTTATAAAAATCAGTCTTATTCTTATACATGTAAGTAATCTATAATATAATATACATGTATACAACACGCATTAACAACTCATTAACAACTAGCGAACATTTTAAACATTTTGAACGTATTCCTTGGCCTCAGGTTGACCACTGATTGTTTTTATTGCTATTATCACATTTAGCACTAATTTTGATCAAAGTAATATTTTGCACCTATGGAAATTAACCTACATGTTGTTCAAACATGTCAAAGCAAGTCTCTTCTTTGCTCTTTCACCAAAGGGTGAGATAACGTTTTACCTACAGGGGCATAGGCAGCTTTCAGTCAGGGGGGTGCGATTGCCAAAATAATTTCGGTTTTCAGTCAGGGGGGTGCAATTGTGGCATAAACAAGCCAAAAAATAGTAGTAGTAGTAGATCACACCCATCACAACCCCCCCTGGCTACACCTTTGATCTATAATTAAGCTATTATGAACTAGATGTAGATGCAGGAAACATGTACAGCTTGTTATTTTATAACTATACATTTATTTCACTCTTGGCCATTTCTTATTTTAGATAAATCCAAAAATGGCGACAAATTCAACGCACAAATGCTGCTGCTTCAAACAATGCACTACAAAAAGTGAACTTTTAGATCCAGAAAATTCATCCAGAGTAGAAGTGAAGACAACTTTTCCTAAGTCTCTGATAAAAAGTAAATCATTAATAGACTGGTCATCTAAAGGTGAAGCTAAATTCCATCTTGCTTGCTGGGAGCTTATTCAAAATGCATCAAAATCTAGGGGCAGAAAACAAAAGATCAGTTTAACAAATCAAGAAAAAGCAATGGTAAAGGAGGCTTCTGATACTGCAGAATTTCACGACTCTCATGATGTGATTAAGGAAAAAGCTGCCAAAGTTGCAGAGCTAATTAAGAAAGCGAAACATTGTGTGGTTTTTACTGGAGCTGGTATATCAACAAGTGCAGGTATAGGTGAGAAGCATTCATTTATTTATTTATTCTTTTATCCATGTTTTTGCAGTTTGTATTTAAACATTATTTGTCAGGAGCTAAAAAAAACTTGAAATATGAATATTTGAAGTGGGCGTTTTACAGAGAATTTATTAAAAGACTTTATGAATTTTATGCTTTATAATGGCTCCATATATTTAAAACCTTCATGCATTCCTGTAACATTTTTAATATATGGTTAATTTAGTCTATTACATCTTTCAATGAAGTAATATGTTTTATTTCATTCTACAGTAAAATGTGTGTGATCAAATAGCTTTGGTGTCTCAAAATAGTGTGAGGTGTTCATTCTACAAAGGTTCATTTATTAGATTAATAAATTTGGAAGATGTTCCAGTTACAGAGGTGTTCCAGATTCTACTGAGAACATTATATGTTTCAGGAGACTACAGGGGTAAAAGTGGTAAATGGACTGAGATGGATAGACAGAACGACGAGCCAGAGCCTAAGAAACAATGCAAAGAGCCTGAAGATGAAGCAGGTACATTTTCCAGGTCATTTCAATATCAAGTTGAAAATTGTAACACTAATTAAATTGGAGTCAAAATATAATTTATATAAATGATGTTTTTTCATGGAAATCATAATTTTGACCTGACTACTTATGTCCTCTCTTAGGCATCAGTCACTCAGATTCCGAGGATGGTGAGCTAGTACTTCCTGATGAAGATGGTGTTGATTATGAAGACTTGAGACCCACATACACACATGAAGCCCTCAAAAAGCTTGTGGACATGAATCTATTGAAATATGTCATCAGTCAAAATGGAGATGGCTTACATGGTTTATCAGGTTGGTTTATTCATGGGCTTTCAAGGCCTCTTGAAAGCCCATGGTTTATTTAACAGAATAATTATTTCGTTTCATAAAATTTCACTTTTTGTGCATATGGGTTCATCTGAACAACCTGAGCACCTAGTTTGGATGATATACTGAAACTTATCAAATAATATCAATATACATGTATTTCTAAAAGTTCGAAAAATCAAAAAGCAACCCCCTCATTTTGGATTAACTTTTTGGAATCTCATGAATTTTCTTGAGGAGCGCATGAAACACTGGTGTACTAACATAGCAACAATCCCTTTGTATTTAGAAGAAATAATTATTTTTATTTAGGTATCCTCTCGTGTAAAATCATCAAAAGATATTCAATTTTCTTAATTTTGAATTTGTGTCTTTGACATTTTTTGAGACATTCTGGGTTGCTTTCATAAAAATTGTGAATAACATATCTTATCATGGATGTTCTATTAGAAAGTTAAGAGGTCATGACCATATCTACTCACGTATATGGAATAATTTTGTTAATTATGATGAAATGACTTGCTTATTTCATAATTATTGACAAAGACAGATTTCCGAACTTGCGTGACTTTGAGTGATTTGGTGTGGGAAGATGCCTTTGTCTCACCATTGTGTCCCATATTGAACACTATCCACACAAGAATATTCATGCATATTCCATGAAAATGTTATATGAAAAATAGAGGGTTGCATTCAAGTTTGTGTCACCCTATATTACAGTTTATGATTTTTATAATTTCAGGGATTCCAAGAGAAAAACTAGCCGAGTTACATGGCAATGTCTTCATAGAGAAATGTGAAAGTGCCAAACAGTCTATGAAAGAGATCATTACGTGTTAGATGACCATTGCAGCTTATACTATGAGGAACTAGAGGAGAATGGAGAAACTGACATTATAAAACCTAAACATGCAAAACAATGCTCACTGTGTCAGTTGAGCCATAGGACAGGCAGAAAATGCACCAAAAAGGTAAGTTCACAGTCATTCTGTCATTACAGGGAAAAATGTACACTAAAGGATTTAAGCCAGGGCTTAATGGATTGTGGATGATTCCATCATGGACTTTCAATAGATTTTGTATCTGAGTCGTGTAGTTAAATTCTTTTCACACTTAGCAAAAGATTTTTTATGCTATCTGAAAAAGAATTAAATTCAACCAGAAACGTTTTTGCAAAGTCAATATGTTTACCTGGACCTACTTATCAGGACCTGCTTTAGTGGAATGTACATGTGACCACAAAAATGGGTTCCACTTTGGAGATGTTCCACTTATAGAAGTTCCTTTGAAATTAAATCAATTTGATCTGGGAACTTTGAAAAGTGTTCTACTTATGTAGGTGTTCCACTTCTTATCATTGAATTTATTTCCATGCATTTTAACAATTTCAGGGCTGCAAAGGCTACCTAATGGACAGCATTATTAACTTCCGAGACAATCTTGATGATGCCATCTTAGATGGTGCCATTAACAATGCAGAGATGTGTGATGTTATGATCTCTCTTGGAAGCACCATGACTGTAACACCTGCCAATTCTCTAATAGATACTAGTCCAAAAATGATGAGCCTGATAATATGCAACAGGTAAAGTATATCGCTTCTCTGGGACCTAGATGCTAGAAGTAATTTCTACTTAAGCGTATATGATGCATAATCAGATTACTGTATTGCAAATGGTAGAAAATCTAAGTGATGTGTTTGTAAAGAACATATTTGCAAGCTAAATACTCAATCAAACCAGCAATAAAGTTTTGATATTTATGAAATCCCCCAAATATTCCATTAACATTTTGGTCAAAAGAGCTAATATTGACAAATTTGTTTGGGCATTATGTTATTCTGGGTGGTTAATTGAGTGGTCCATGACTCGTATAAAAGACTGTAACTTGAATGTCTGTTTTGGTGTACATAAAAGAAACCAGGGCTCCTCCAAGGAAGGGTTTCTGACTCTGTCTTTGAGTGTAAAATTAGAAATAACCCGTAGAGGCAATATTCACCAAAATATGGGGGTAACCAAAATACAATACAATAAAGTACCCCATATTATATTTATGCTTTCAGGCAGGTGACAGATTATGATCATATATGCCAGGGAAAGGCCAGGAGGTTCTCTGAAGGTGTTAGGGTGTTTGGGGACTGTGATACCCTCATGAAGGAGATAATGCCACTAATACTGACAAGTAAAGAACTGAGTGACTGGGAAAATGAGCAATCTTTGAGATTGAAGCAATATAATAGTAAACGAAAATGATCCGAGACAATCTTTGAACTCCAAACATACTCACACTACCATACCTCCAAACTGTAGCCTGTATCCCTTGAAAAAGAATACAAGCTCCAGTGAAGTTGCAAATGGAGGATCGTTTGTTTATTTCCATATTTCTAGATTTTACATATATTCCAAGTGTTTTACTATACATTGTATAGATTCATAGAGCAGTTTGCGGTATATTACCAAACAAGCCCTATATACAAAGATAGAGAATATTCACTCCATTTGCAACTTTGCTGTATCCCTTTTAAATGTGGTCACAACTGGTACGGTAGAATGATACTTCAATAAAACTAATGTTTCTGATGGCATTTATTCTATAAAATGACAATCATGTCCGATGTATATATTTTACATAATATTTATTATACATGTATGGTAACTACCGTATGTTACTCACTGACAAAAATTCTTAAAAAATGTGATATTCATATTAAGGCATTTTGTACTCAGGTTGAATGTTTTAGAAATATTATGATGTATTATTTTCTGATAGATCAACAGTATGGCACATTCCCTACTAACCTGTTATTACTGTCTTAATATGGTTGCTATAACCAATTAAAATATTGTCAAATTCAATGAAATAATGAAGACTAGGTTTGGTCTTTGATCATTTAAAATGATAAAATATCTAAAAAGATACCTAACAGAAGTGATGTCATCAACTCTATTTGCATCAAACCTTGAAAGACAGCAGTATACTAAAAATAAATGCTGCGTTTTTATCATTATTAATTTTGAACATATCATTATGTTATGTTAGCAACCATATCGAGATAGCAATACACAAACAGGACTTTCACGCCATAAACTGTCTTCCACTAGGTGTGCTGTTGCGCATAGCAACGTCCTATACATGTGTATAAACGTCCCACGTGTAAGTACTGGGTGTGTAGGGTTGGAACCTGTGGAAGGAAAATACCTTGAACCTTGCAGCATGCCCAATTGCTAACATGTCAATTGACGTCAAAAAATCTTTGAGACATAAACAAACAATTATGAATTTTTGTTGTCTGCATTTATCTGTATTTACACAGCAATAATTACAAATGTTAACTACAAATGTCAATCTCAAATATACTACTGTAATGTAACAGTATGAACTAAAACAAGCTTTGATCTGTTGTTTTTCTACCGTAACTATAGCAATTTACCCGTACATCTATGTATTTACATTGTTAATCTTTTAAAGAGAGGCACATGCAGATTACCAAAATACACAGAGATGGCTTGAAGGTAAAATGAAAAGAATATTCACATTTAAAATCAACTTGAAAAAGTTGATTTGTATCGGTATCGAATGAGTGTGTATTAACCCATTTAACATTTGCTCACTAAATGCTAATGAAACACTATGGTGCAAACATTTAGCAAGGCAAACATATATTCCATGTGTCATGTAAAAGAGATGAGTCGTGTAAAAGAGATGGGTCGACTTATAAATGTGCCACCTATAAAACTACTATGAATATAAAGCTCAATATATCATTAAGTTACTTATTTAGGTAGAAACATTCATACTAATAAATGTCTTTTAATAATCAGCACGTGTCTCTTAAAAAGCCCTACATCAAAATACATGTAAACAGATTAAAATACTACTTTTGACATTTATTTGGAACATCAAACATTTGCGGCAATTCCCAGCATACAGATAATTTCACAAAGCAATACTAGGCTCACATCCTACATCATATAGAAACACCAGCAACACATTGCAATAGCCTTGTATAAGCTAATAAAGGATACTGCATTAATTTCTGATAGAATCAAAATTATTGGATTTTTCCACTCTGGCAGTGATCTTAGAACATTATTTCTCGACAAATATTCATACATTTAGAACCTGAGAACCATATATACTACTGACAGTAATGCTTGTTACAATTTATTTTTACATTTCATTTCCAAATAATGAACAGGTAGCACATAATGCAGCACATGATGAACAATATAGCACATAATGGGCATGTAGCACATAATGAACAATATAGCACATAATGGGCATGTAGCACATAATGAACAATATAGCACATAATGGGCATGTAGCACATAATGAACAATATAGCACATAATGGGCATGTAGCACATAATGAACAATATAGCACATAATGGGCATGTAGCACATAATGAACAATATAGCACATAATGAGCATGCAGCACATGATGAACAATATAGCACATAATGGGCATGTAGCACATAATGAACAATATAGCACATAATGGGCATGTAGCACATAATGAACAATATAGCACATAATGGGCATGTAGCACATAATGAACAATATAGCACATAATGAGCATGCAGCACATGATGAACAATATAGCACATAATGGGCATGTAGCACATAATGAACAATATAGCACATAATGGGCATGTAGCACATGATGAACAATATAGCACATAATGGGCATGTAGCACATAATGAACAATATAGCACATAATGGGCATGTAGCACATAATGAACAATATAGCACATAATGGGCATGTAGCACATAATGAGGTGGTGTTTAGTTCTCAAGTTGATATATTTCTATTTTTAACCTGTAATCACACCATTAAAAGTATGTAGCATTCTCGTATGGAACTTTCAGAATACTCAAAATGTTTTTGAAGTGAAGCTGTAATGAGTGAAAGGATCGGTTTATGTGAGTTTTGAATGGAGTATGTTTGGAGACAGTATGTACTGTTTGGTATCTCAGAACACTAACTTCAAAAAATCAGTCCTTGAACTTGAAACAACATAGTTTCTTTGACATTTCAATATGACTAAATGCACAACATCAAATATTGGCGACAAAATATGAATTCGTTAAAGTTAAAGTTGCAACAGAATGTGTTGATTTCATATAATTCCGCCAATGTTTATAAAGCACAAATCATCATGAACACTGCTAGATTTGAACACTATTAATAATAAAAATACACTTGTGTGTACATCAAAAGCGCCATCTATAATATATTCAAGCCCCTGAACACACATCTAAAAAATATTATCTTTAATCTTGCATCAAGTCCTTGTGCCTCCCTTTATACTCCTTAACACATAAGCTTGGGAGAGTAGAAGGGGGCAAGCACTGACCCGATGCAAGATAATATTACAGTATCTTATGTACATAATGGTTTAAGTAAGAAATTGGACATCATAGCTCAAGAGAAATGATAACAATATTGGAGTATTTTGGATACACTTCTCAAAACATTCCTAACTCTATTGTTGGCTAATTGATAGCATATTAGCTTTTATTATGATTTCCATGGTTACCAAAATGAATGCAGTGAATGCAAGAGTTTCTTAGTTAAGTATGTTTTGAGAAATATAAAACTCCAGAAATGAAAAATGGCGACCTGTGTTGTCTTTCATCATGTGCCTCTCCTTCCTCTTCTCACAGATGAGGTTAACCAGGAGACAAAATACTTGATGCTAGACAATCACATTTGAATCACCATCAGAGGCATAACCGGTATTATATGTATGATACTAGCGAGGCAAGTGCTTTAGCAAAATTTAAATGACATTTTTTCAGCCTTTTTTAAACTAAAGTAATACAAATGATGTCTTGTGGTTTCTTTCTATCTCATTAATTAATAAACTTGCCTCACCTATTTAAAGTTGCCTCGCCTCTTATTAAATCGTCACACCATGACAATACTCTATATCATACTATGTATACAGTTCAATGATGTACCTGACTTAAAATAAGCAAATTCAGTATTTGGAATTTCTAGAGATGTTTCTAATATGTCGGATAGTTTGATCATTCTATGAAGTTTCATTAAATAAATTTATGTACACATTTGTTAAGTCACTGCTTATAAAAGCATTGTTCTGGTTTTCCTGATATGAACAATAGTTAAAGAATACATTGTAAGTCAGAACAAATCCACAGACTCAATCTTACACTGTGAATTTGTACAATCCCCAAAATTATCCAGATAAATTTCCTGGGTAAATAAATTTTTAGTTAACTAATAATCTGGTTTTCAATCTAAAAATCTTTTATCTGGATCAATCCAAGGATTATAATACTTAAGTAATTCACCAAAAAGTTCAAACAATAATTTTATACTTGGATATCTGGATAATTTTAGGGTTGTGCAAAAATCATGGACATGGATGATACAGATTGCAAATCCCTATATTATGAACAATGATTCTTTCAAATTTTGGCCCCTTTTTAGGCAACTTTTAACACTTGGTTAAATCATGTTAAAAAGCTCAAGGTGAAAGCAAACAAAGTGAATGTATATAACATTTGAACAGTTTTGGTGAGGTACAAGTATTTGTTCATATGTAAAGTAAGTACCACCAGGATCAACAATATGATCAACATTGTTGTCACTAGTTGGTTCGGCCACACTGATTATAACATTACACATCACAAATCACAAGTTTATGTATTATGAATGTGCTCCTCTCTAATTCAATGTGCAGAGGTTTCTATGGCAAACACTGAATCCAAAGCACAGATGAAACCAGGATATAAAACCAGGATAACACTTCATTTATCCCATGATTTGTATGAAAGTTGATGAATAAATAAAAAATCTGACTTTACTACAAAAATAATTGTTGATCATGTGCTATCTTGCATGTCTAGTATGTCAAGATGAACAATCTTACACAAGTCAGAAGATAATAGAACTTGACAATAGTGCTTGAAATATAAATCTTATGATAAACACAGTTATCCTTGAAAAGGGAATGTTGACGATTGAGGGTTTGAACACATTGACGCATACAACATCCATGGATGGACTATTTATATGGGTAAATGATATGATAGGTGCTTGATGAAATGAGGGATGAATGGTTTATAATAATGACTCTCACTATCATTGGTAGGTGAAGTTGATCTCTATAATGTCCATTCATATCATTATGATGAGGCTGCTACTTCAGCTATACTTTGTATCCCTCCAATTTGTCTGAAATATAGAAGAAACAAGGTAAATCTCCTTTCATTTTCATTTGTTTTTTTGCTTTTGTTGCTTTTGCCAATACAATATACTCTACAGCTAGGTGAAGATAACAGAAATACTTCTTATAGGTTATACCATGGGCTGTCTTGAAAGTCCATGGTATAACTTAATAGAGTTGTGAATTAAATACTATCCCATACAGCTATACAGTGTTAGTAAAGAAGTTAAGTAGCTCCCACATTCAAATAACACAATTACTGTTACTATTACATGTACGACATACCGGCTACAGAGTTGATACCATTCTCTCTTAGAGCATCAATGAGTTTAGGTATATTGGCATTCCTTCCTTCTAGATCTTTCCACCTGATGAGCATTTGGTATACCTGCTCACGCAGATTTCGTTCATTAGAGTAATACACATCTTCTATTTCATCCTCATCAATATTTAATGACCTTGCAATGGATTTCCAATTTTTCATACAGTTTGAATTACGAGTGATGATTTTGAATGTGCGATCATCGAGCGCTAAAATAAAGAAATATAGGTATTAAATTAGATGCATAGAACTGATATTATTAACTTGGTTTTTTCCAGAGGTCTTTAATCATACTATCAGGCACACGAGGCTTAATTCAAATCAAAGACAACAGCAAAGAAAATGATTTGAATCATAGATGGATTATAAGACTGGGAGGACAAAGAGAAATTTCAAGCCAGGAAGATGTCCCTCAATTTTTCAATTTATTTTTAAACAGTATCTCAAAACAAGTGAACATTATTAACTTACCAGTCATAGGGTCTTTTTTCTTTTCATTCTCAGTATTCTTCTTAAACTGTGTCACGTCAGTGTTATCAAGCTTATCGGCCAACCAATCATATTTCACTGAGAGGGCTAATCTGAAGCTGCTATATGCTTTTGGACCACATGTTGGGAGTAAATCACAAAGTGCAGAGGCCTGGTCCCGCCATGATGTTTTACCCAGAATATCCTGTTTCTGGGTGACTGTAATTATACTATCTGATAACAGTGTCTCAACAACATCTTCTGGTCTCAAATCGTCTGTTAATGACTCTCGATTTGCAGTCAGTCTGTATCGATCCTCACTTAGCATGGTCTTGGATTTCAATACTGATTAATCATTCCACGGTGAATTGAAATCCTCGATAAACATTGGAACACACAGGATTTAAATGTGTGCACACGGAAAAATATGTGCACTGAACACAACACTGTGGTAACCAGGATGAAGTTGGACTACATTTTTACCTGTAATGAATCAAATAAATACAATAGATGAGAATAATCACCAGTTAGCTAGCTCATTTTGGTTCTTATTTATTTTTCGTTTTATCAAACATGATTGTTTGAATGGAAATCCCAAAAGTACACTTTCGGCCAAAAATAAATGAGAAGTTTTCTATCACAATTTTTTCAAATGAAGAAATTTTCGTTTTTGATTGAGAAAGATTCCATAACTTTTCAAGATGGCGGTTGGATTTAAAAGGGAATTCCCCATTTGACTGGCCCAGAAGTGGCTCGGAAGTACTAATAAATGGAGGAATTTGACGGTTGATATAAGTTAAATATTACACGCAAATATTGCGATCTTAAACGAAAATTTCTTTCTTCTGCCAATAAACCCTTACAATTTTGGATTCAACTACACGAAAAGAATGCTAAAATACCAAGGAATCAATTGAAGTAGGTATCTAAAGTGTAAGGGACGTAGATAATTCTCCCAAGTTGTAATCGTACAGGCAAAAGATTGGGCTCGTTCCAGGACAGTCCTGGCACGGGATAAATGACAGTTATTGCAATTGCAATATAATATAGCATTGTAACGGTAATACCAGGCTTTCACGATAACACTACCACGGTCATGGCAGGATCCTTGTGCAACTTAAAAACACTTAATAACATTGTGACGGTTGTGCCAGGCATAAGTCTTGCAACAGATAGGGTCTCAGTTTACCATTGGTCGGTGTTTTGTAAGAAACATTTAGGGATAGAAATGATGTGGTGAATCTTAGCATTTCATTCATAACCTTAAGTATGTTAATACCCTTGTATTTGTGTGTATATCACAGTCTATGTATTTCTTTATAGATTGTAAAATGAAAAACAAAGGAAAACATGGAAATAAAAAATACTATAGTTTCCAAAAGTGACTTACATTACGAAGTAACACAATAATCATGAGAATATGACACTGAACATTACCAGCTAGTTTGGAACTATACTTTAAGTATTTATTTAAATCTGAATTATTCATGGAAACATCAAAAAAGTGAAAATACCTGAATTTTTCAGAAAAATATTTATTAGTCCACCATTTTGTTGTCACGTGATTTCAACGTGAAAACTCGATAACACAGAGACGAGATTTCATTTTTCTGGAAAAGGTAAGTGGTGCTCAAAACACAGTTTATTCTCTTTCGTTTATTACCAGCTTTGTAATCGAAACGACTATTTAAAGTACAGTGTAAGAGATAAGACAATAAATATCGTACTGACATAAACAGCTAAAGTTTATCTCATACGAGCAGCAAGATATTTGGTCTTGAAGTGGAGGCATGAACATTTTGAGTTGCCAAAAAATCACAGCAACTTTTCCAGGTGACCTGAATGCAAGTGGTCACGTAGACCTGGTACACTTTACTACCAATGATATATTATTACTTGCATACGTGGCTTCCTTGCTTTAGATACCATACCTCTCACAGAAGTTTTTGGAACTATCTTTTAGGAATACTTTCTTCCAAACAGGTAAGGAAACTTTATCATCAACTTTTTGGCCCCACCCTCATTTTGCCATGGCAGGGACTGACTCACCTCATGAACTGTGACAAATACATTTATTTTGTGATATTCTTTGATTATGTAGACATTCAGATAAATTTTTCTTCAATCTTTTGAAAATTATAACATGTTTTGGTCTGGTTGGTTGGATTGGTCTCAGTCAAAATGTAGATCATTCAAATTCAAGTAACATGTGTAGCCTATAGGCAGGGATCCCTCCTAAATTATACATTTGTAATTTCAAACAATAGTTATATCATACACTTTCAGACCTGTCTTTGACAATTTGCAAGTTATAACTAATATTTATAACAGTAGTTCAAACGTGACACTCAATTGAATTGGGAATTTAGTGAATTTCAAAGCAAAACTTGGTTCATGCTCCTGTTCAGGTTTACTCACACATGTAGATGATTAAGGATATAAGGTTACTAATTCTTGGACATGGATATATGTCTCTACCTGTTCAACTGGTCTTAAAGTACGATCCATCCTTCACTCATAGTGACCTAGATTTGAACTAGTATATCTACTAGATTTAAAGAGATTCTAATACAGTAGATAGAAATGACTAAACAATTGCAGTTTCACTGTTTTCTGGGAAGAATCTGAAATACAAAATTGTTGACATATTTGTGAACCTAACCAGAAGTGTATTCTCTGATATTCGGTGTATTTTGTGATAAATTTTATTAAAAAATCTGTGCTGGATTCAATTTTAAACGCCTTTTTATTATAATCTTCTAATGATCACTATGATTTCTATTATTTTGACTTCCCTGCTTGATGAAATGAGCCCCATCACTGTTCTTCCTACTCAATAGTTTAGTGAACCCTTATTGAGATATACATGAGATGAAAATTGTGCATTTTAAATACATTTTAATCCTAAATGTAAACATGGCTTTAAAAGGTCTAACAGCTGTCTTTGAATGGATTCTCATATAGAAATCAAATCATGAGAGAATGGTCTTGAAACCAGAAAACATTTCTTATAATTTTCTAGAACAAATGTGAGGGATGATTGCTTTTGTTCACTATGGAATTTATAGTTTAAATAATGATAAAATGTAATTCTAAATTATTTTTTGGAGTGCAATCAGTAGATAATTGATTGAAGCATTCGAAATATAAAACCATATGAACATATGTGTGAAGTTTTGATGACATAAATTAATTGTACTGGACTCTAACACAGTCAGTCAGATTACAATCTATTAGAAAATCTCAATTCAGTGTTCCATCTTTTTATTCTTCTAAATGTAGAAATTCTATTTTTCAGGTATGATCTAACGAAAGTCCTTGGATTCAGGAGACTGGATAGTAAAGACCGACACTAATAAACAAACTTACCAGAAGAACTATTTATTATAATATATATAAAAACTATAATATAATGTCGTCACAAAGGACAATACTACATAAAGTGTGTGTTGCACTGACACTGTTAATAGTGGGATTTATACATGTGGCGAGGAGTGAGATGTTTACAGCCCTTGCAGATGTAGAGAGAATCCTACATGTAGAGAAAGACATAGCCAATGATCTCAGAGAATATATTGCCAGCGAGGAGGCTAGGCTGGAAAAAATTAGAAAGTAAGTTTAGCATTTATATTTATGGGAATACTGTTAGTTCAGTTTGACTGATTGCACATAACAATTTTCGATGTTATTTGTTAATGAACAAGCAGAATTATATCAGATGAAACTTTAATTCACAGATATGAATGTTATGGCTATCTTAAAATAGCCACTGAGTTTGTTTATTGATTTAGGTACATATCTTAGGTAATTCAACATTTAGTATTTATCTTATCAATGAACATATCACCATGTTGTATTATCATTGACAAACATACATGTTACATGTATGGCCTCACATCACATTTTGGGATTTCCAAGTGATAGTCTCCAAGTGATTGCTGTAAAGTCAGCCATCTACTGAGCAGAACTACAGGATAAATAAACTTCATTATACTTTATTTAGCAACCCCAATTTTAATGAAAATGATCAAATTGTCAAGTATGGTTTCATCAGCAGCTGGCAAGATGATTTTCTCCATTTGCTTTCACCTAAATTGCCTGGTATTTTTAGGAATTAAGTGGAAATTAGACTGTCTACTCATTTTGTCTGATCAATGTATTTCATTGTTTTGCCTGTTACCAGACATTCTAATGTTATTCATGGTCATTGAAGGCAGTTTTGTAAAGTTTAGAAAAGTTTCTGGGTTAGGGAAATCTTATGAAGAACATTAAAATATTCCAAATTCTCAGATTTGAATTTTGTAATCACGTACCAGACATTGAATGAAACTGTCAACACTTGGTAATAAATAGAGCTGTGTGGAGGATGCAACACTAATCAAGGAATACATAAATCAAAAGCCTCATATTATCAGAGACATGTGCTAGGTAAGGTATGCATGTATGGTCTCACGTTTATTCTCTTTTAAACCTCTAACAATCAATCATGATCCGTGATGACAGCACATGGTGATATGTGTTAGATATTCTATTGATACATATAGCTGAGGAAGATTTTTCAGTAATTACATCACTTTTTACCCAGCTTTTATTATTTTGATAATAAATGTCTTAATCTATCTTACATGTATACACCAACTCAAAAACTGTTTTGGCTAATATACATATTTTTGTTCCTAAAAAACTATTTTGACTGCATCAAAAATGACGTGGTCACTGTGGTTGTTATGGTTTGGAAACCACATTTGAACCATCTGCCCTGCATTAAAAAGTGTTCCATGAAAACCCCCATTGCTTTGTCAGCTTGTTTTTGGACTAGTAAGCGATTATCTTATACTAGAAACCCAAAGCCATCTTTCAAACTACATTGTGTGTAGTCTCCTTGAAGATATGTTGAAATCTGATATTTAGGTAATAATTGCAGAGTAGCCTTGTGTTCTAGATCATGTTGCATGTTTTGTCTGTAAGGGAGGCATTGGGCCAGATAAGTGTATATTAAGCCATGTTTGATTGTTTTATATTTTTAAGAATAAAATGTTCATTCAAGAGAAATAATTATCTATATAAATAATATATTCACTATTATAAAATTTGAGTGGTACTAAATTAGACACATGTAATTGTATGATTTTATCTTGCATAAATTTATAATATTCAATCTTTCAATTTTTATTATCATATTACAGTACTTGAATAGAACAAAGAGACAATTCAAAATATATTAACTAAATATTTCCTGTTGGAAGCATGTGGTTGATGTACGTGCAAAAAAGTGAGCAGTTTAGTCGTGATTTATTTTTTATAAGTCTAGTCCCTGTTTAGGTTAGCTTGACCTTACATATGTGCTTAGATGTTTGAAGAACAGCTTGCTGTCTACCTTTGAGTCTAAAATGACCATGTTTGCAAAATATAACATACCACTGGAGCTTTAAAATGAGTTTGTTCAGTGCTTAGTACCAGTCTTATTCAAGTACATATTCTTTGATAAAACAATGGGAAAGTATAACAAGATCTTTTAAGTGGTATAATTTACAACTTTATAATACTCAGTTGTTTTGCATTGTTTATAAGAGTATTTCAACACTTGAAGATGATTTATAGTTCTTTCAAGATGTTTTACTATTATCCTGATTCTACTAAATTGTCCACTTTATACCTCTTAAATTCTACTGTATGTATATTCACATAAAGATATGTGATTCTCTTTACATTTCTTAACATTACATTTACACAGTTCAATGGCTCTTGCCTAATAGGAAATTATAATGATAGAGGCTTTATATCATATCATAGTTTCTGAAGACAAAGGTTTTTCACAAGTCCATTTTCATCTACCCTTGTGATTTAATCAGAAAGAAATTGACCAGTAAAAAGTATTTTTATGAATTCATCTTTCGATGCAGTTCAGACATGATACTATGTAATAGTAATTGTATACTCAGTGCACAGTTGTTTATACCTCTTTCCCACCAGGAGTTTTTTGGTTCTCAACTTTGAAATTCTAATTTTACCAATTATACAAAAGAAATACATTTACTTGTCAAATTATCCTGACATTTCATAGTTTTGCAAATTTCCTATTGGTTGGTAATTGGTTTCAACTGGACTAAATTTTGGTCTTTTACTTCACCATTTCCGGTGGTGACATATTGCTATAATCTCCAACTATTTTGTGAACGTTGTTTGGCAGTTGGTGTTTGGGGGGGTCAGCATCTGTAGCAAATGGCAGGTAGTGCCACTTTGCATGTAAATGCCTTGTTTGCATTGCATATGCTGGAGAGATCATCATATTATGCCTTTCTTATATTACAGAGTGGCCGATGACTATGAATCCCATAGTAATGAAGGTTTAAGTGATATTGTCCACCATGTGGGCCATCCTGTTAATGCATTCTTGCTTGTGAAACGATTCACACTTGACTGGAAGAATGTTGAGGACCTTCTCAAGAATGATACATCTCAAGGTATTGACTGCATACATATACAAAATTGTGGTTATAGCCACACTTTTTCTTCACTACTATTTAAATTTTGAAATCGCTGACGCTTTGTGGTTCATTAGAATGAAGATTTCTATCTTGAATGAAATATATTTTATGATCTGTTATATTTTCTAGATTTAACTATTTTACCTCTTAACAGAAAATACTTTTCGAACATGAAACTGCTGAATTACCACGTGTGTATTTGATAGTTATGAGTTTCATTTCTCTACTTCAGAAATTATTAATCGTATAAATGGGCATCAAGAGAGATTCCCGGATACAGAGGATCTAGGTGGCGCCGCTACAGCATTGTTACGTCTTCAAGACACATATGAGATTCCTACTTCAAAGTTGGCACTTGGGGAGGTGGGGAAGAAGAAATCTAGTCCCATGACAGGTAAAATTATATCAAATTGTTACTTTTTTATTTAATCAAAACTCGAGATCAAAATAACAGTTAACTTGAAATGCTTTTCATTCATTTATTTTCTCAGCAAAACATACTTTATGTCCAGTTTTATAAACGAATATACTGTAAGTTTGTATTTTGTTGAGTTTATTTTAAATTGTGTGTAAAGGTTAAACTTAAAAATTGTTTTCTTTTTGTTCTAATGCATTTTTATACATATGTATTCATGGAAAAAGAACTGTATTGCCTTGTGAAATTCAGAAATACAGACATAGTAAAAATGGTCATTAAAGTTGTAATTAACATTTCATAAGTGCATTTTTAATATTGCCCCAAAGCTACTACAATTTTTACTAATTCTAACCTTTCATCAGTTACCACATATCATAAATAATATGTATGTTAATTGGTTTAAAAATAAAATATTACATTTATTAAACAATTTTGCAAAGAAAGTGTTTGTTTTGATCACTAACTGTCAAGAAGTGAACCTAACCGCATGTGAAGATGAACTAATATTTTACACATAGTCACCACTTGTAAAATGGAAATAAAATTTCAAAATATTTTATATTTCCATATCATTCCCTTGAAGTAGAAATACATGATCATAAAAATTAATTTGAATATAAATGTTATTAAATGAACTATAATTGGATGGTGTACATGACAAAAGGCACAGTTTAGTGATTAGATGTGTGTTCATGACGACAAACAGCTTTATTCCAATCAATATATCTTTCTCATGAAAAAATATAAAATCATTGTTTATTGTTTCAATATTAAAGTTTTGATGAATTATAAAGTATTTTATGGATTCATGATTCATGTTTGTGTTGGATCCGCAAAAAGATTTTAGATATTTGATCAAATATGAAAACTATAGAAGAATTAAGACACAGATTAATTATTGATGAAAATCAAAATATTTAGGGGGTGATCAATAAGTAATGGATGTATTTTACACAGAGATTTTTTTCGTATACACATTTTATGAAACAAAGACTTTTAGGAAAAATGTATAACAGAGAATGATTTGAGCTTAAAATATAATGACAATTTTCAAAAGTTACCTTCTAATAATCTATCCTACGTTGCCTCTTACATTTATTTGATTTAGAACTAACACTGCATGGTTTGTGTCATTCATTGATTGATACTTAGATTTACTAACCCTGCATGGTTTGTTTCAGCCAATGACTGTTTTGAACTAGGCAAATCAGCATACCTGAATGGTGACCATTACCACTGCATCTTATGGATGGACGAAGCTATAGATATCTATGAGAATGAGCGTAATAAAACAGTTGATAAAGCAACTGTGCTTGATTATTTGTCATATTCACTTTATCTGGTAAGTGTGAATATTTATTTACACGAGAGCATGTTGTGTTGTCCCAGCATGTAGAATGTGATGTGTGTGATTATGCTCCGCATGGATGAATGCCTGGCTTTTACCCCTATAACACCAAAGATAGAACCACCTCCTTCCATTTTGGACTAACCCAACTGACTTTTGAGGGGTGTGAGGGTGGACTGATGAGATGTCGTCTGTAACTTTTAGCTGATGAATGCTTTGAGCTGGGGAGGTTTGCCTACAACAGAGAGGACTACTATCACACTATAATGTGGATGCAACAGGCACTTGAGATGTGGGAGGATGAAAGAAACAAAACTGTAGAGAAATGGTTAATCCTTGATTACCTCTCTTATTCTCACTCCATGGTAAGGTTTGTTGTTGGCCTCCTAGATGGAAATGGTGGAGCTTGTTTTGAGAAGTGGTGGTCTCACTGGTCTATGTGGGAATGTGATCCTAAATGGTGATTAATCTATGCGACTATGTCACCTAAGTTGCGATGTGATTGATCTATGTGGTAATCTGACCTAAGTGGTGATGTGATTGATCTGTGTGGTAATCTGACCTTAGTGGTGATGTGATTGTTGATCTATGTGGTAATCTGACCTAAGTGGTGATGTGATTGTTGATCTATGTGGTAATCTGACCTAAGTGGTGATGTGATTGTTGATCTATGTGGTAATCTGACCTTAGTGGTGATGTGATTGTTGATCTATGTGGTAATCTGACCTAAGTGGTGATGTGATTGTTGATCTATGTGGTAATCTGACCTAAGTGGTGATGTGATTGTTGATCTATGTGGTAATCTGACCTAAGTGGTGATGTGATTGTTGATCTATGTGGTAATCTGACCTAAGTGGTGATGTGATTGATCTGTGTGGTAATCTGACCTAAGTGGTGATGTGATTGTTGATCTATGTGGTAATCTGACCTAAGTGGTGATGTGATTGATCTGTGTGGTAATCTGACCTAAGTGGTGATGTGATTGTTGATCTATGTGGTAATCTGACCTAAGTGGTGATGTGATTGATCTGTGTGGTAATCTGACCTAAGTGGTGATGTGATTGTTGATCTATGTGGTAATCTGACCTAAGTGGTGATGTGATTGTTGATCTATGTGGTAATCTGACCTAAGTGGTGATGTGATTGATCTGTGTGGTAATCTGACCTAAGTGGTGATGTGATTGTTGATCTATGTGGTAATCTGACCTAAGTGGTGATGTGATTGTTGATCTATGTGGTAATCTGACCTAAGTGGTGATGTGATTGTTGATCTATGTGGTAATCTGACCTAAGTGGTGATTTGATTCATCGTTTGGCTGTTGGCATCTATAACAAATGGCAGGTGGTGACATTTGCATGACTTTATCACATGCTCTCACATGTAGTTGTCATTTTCTGTTAAAAATTGTTTATAGTACCATATGTATGGCCGATATCATTGAATATATAAAAAACAAAATAAAAATCTCAGTGGTATTCAACACTATCTGGCCCCTAGTGAAATGTTTTTCTGTATTTTACTTGAATCATTGAATAACATGTGGTACATTAGTTGTTGCTGGTGGCAAGGTGACTTTGTGTAAATGATATGATAGCTTAGCGAGTGGGTGACAGATTGATTGTGAGATGACTTGTGATTATTTTATTTGCCATAAAATATTTTGTGAAATGACATTGAAAATCATATCACATCAAAGATCTATTTTTAAGTGTAAAATTCAATATTGTATGTTATTTTATGTAGAATATAATCGGCTAGATTTAAAGATTTAATGTCAAAAATAATTCTTCTCAGATTGTTATTTTAAGGATAATTGTTAAATTGTTATTTTAAGGATTTCATAATTTGACAATTCAATATTTATGTCTGTAAACTTCTCTGTGTGAATCTTCTTTCTGAATCCTCATTTTACACACAATTTTTTAATTCACACTGATCTGTATAACTTGTAAAGGTGTTTTAATCAGTTATTTACATGGTTAGAATAGTGAATTGCACAGTTACTAACATAAAACAGAAACCATTAGGTTTATTACCTCACAGAATCTAAAACTGCTACCTTGTTATCTAAAACTGCTTCTTTGAGGAAATCATCAATATTTGAATTGTTGGTGTTTAACTATGATGTGGCCAGAAACTTGAGGCAGCCTAGCATCAATTCATTGGGCCCCTCATTCTATTTCCACCACACAATTGAGAGAATGTGGCATGGGTTCAAATATGGGCAAAAGTCATGAAGACAAAACTGTCCTAATACCCATATTGTGAAAGATAATACAGTCAACTCAAACTTGCCAAAATAAATCAAAACACATTTCCTCAAAGTAGTTGCTTTCATAAATTTAATTGTAGAATCGCGTTGTTTACATGTGTTCACTCAACTTTCAGCAAGGCAATGTGCGTCACGCACTCGTTTTGACCAATGAGCTTATCTCGCTTGGTAAGTTACCTTTAGAAGCTAACCCTCACCTTACATCCTTACATAACATATCAGCCAAGCAGTCACTATAAATACACATGGTATATTGCAATTAAAAGAAAAAATATCTGCCTAGGATATAAAGTTATTGTCTTTGATAAGATCCCTTAAATGTACCATCTCTATTGCACTTTTTACAAAGATTGATGTATTATATTAAGTTTTAAATATTGATTGCAAAAAGTGTGTTTTGAAAATTGATGCGCCAGATAAGGGGTCTTATTAGGACAGTTCGTTTCAAGTCATAAATTTTGTGTGTCTGCAATGATATGTAATGGAAGAACTGCAAAAACTTAGTTTTGACATTATCAAGAATGTATCACAAATTAAAGCTATATTTGTGATATCATTTTTGTTGATGTCTCTTATTGTATACCATCTTCTGAATATCTGTTCGTCTGAGTATCTTTTCTGTTTTCCATGAAATAACCCTCTTACCCCACATGACCATGATAACCCATTGTAGATAGTCTTTCATAATACACAGATATACTTGTAATCATATACAATATATTGATGGCCCTAGATTCTTTAGAAAGGATTTAATCGCATCATTGAATTGACGGAAAAATATTCTGTATAAGAAAGATATATGTTTCAACAAAGGGACTATTCAAAATAATATGTACCAAATATTTTCAAAACTTTCCTACACTTTGGGGCTGTTTCAAAACTCAATCAACTGTTAGATAATTTTTGGGAGAAATGAGTATGTTTTAATAACAAATTGTGAAGTTGCCTCATGGTTTCTCAAGTAGTGCATTCATGTAGAGGAGGGGAAACGATTAACCAGTATGGTTTCTGGGTTTTGGTTAAAATTGGGATGGTAGATGTCCGTGCTATAATTGTAAGACTGATTGACTTTCCAATGTAATTCATTCCTTCATATAAAGGCCTCCTTCCCCGGTTGATTAGAAAATGATGAACATAGTCAATATTTGTACTGTGTAAGAGTATATCTGTGTAAAATAGCATTACACCATCTAACCACTTCACCAAGTTTTCTCATCTTCCGATCTCCTATTGTGCCCACTAAAGCGCCCACCAATAACTACCCCTGATGAAGATGGTGTATTCAATATGTACATGTATAGTTAATATTTCAGCAAGGTAATGTGAGACCAGCACTGAAGTTGACCAATGAATGGTTACTACTTGGTAAGGCATACAATCTGAAGTTTATATCATCCAGTGGTGATTTGGTAGATCAAATGGGGAAAGTCAATATATCTATCAGGGGTTATTCAATACATCAGCAAAGGATCATTCAGTTTGTCAACCTGGGGTCATTCCAAAAATTCAGTATATCAACAAAAGATCATTCAGTGTTTCAAACCAAGAGAATTCTAACAAAACTGTATGTATGTTTTAAATAATTGTCTACCAATGAGCTCTGTTCATTTCCCATGGAAAGAGGAAGAATATATTTTTAAGTGTTTTTTTCCATATAGTTTTACAAATGATGACAGCTAATTCTAAAATATTAGCTGGTCCTATAGATTTGAGATTAGAATACAAATTGAAATCTGGAAGATTATAAACACAAGACACAAAAACAAGGAACTACCAACCAATAAGACCAACAGTCAAATCCAGTTTTTTATAATACTTATTTTATGACTTAAAGTCCCCGATAAATCGGGCTACGTATACCGCCGTGTTTACATTAGGGGATTAGAAGAGTTTATTCTTTATTTTGGTATGCAAGCTACGTATATCAATATTAGGCCTTCATTCATGTACTCGTGTGCATGTAATCAGCATGCCCTTCAATATTATGTAAACCAGGCTATTCAAGTACTGTATAATGTACACTATTTATGTGTGTACTACATACAATACATTTCCCTGGGAAACAAAACACAAATACTTTTTATATGTTCAAAATGAGCCATTTGATTGATGCAAACACTAAATAGCTTCATAAATAACATCTACAAAGTATATCTAATAGTAATTTTCAATTTCAATGGTGAAACTTCCCTGGTTACGATTATATGGGAAATCATCACGAGACGAAGATCGTTCGCCTTCCTGGCTTACCTCTGAATCGTGTACCCGGCAATCTCTTTATATAGTTTAGCGAGAGCGGTGCGCCTGCGCAGTTTTAAACTTTGGCGCACACTTTAAAGAGATGCTCATGCAATAAGTAGGGTCACTGACCCTTAAAATGACTTAAAATAACTGCATTTATAAAAAAAATACAATAATTTAACAAGTATCCCTTTAAAAAGGACCAATATGACACTAGTTTGTCAATGTATAAGAACAAGAATGGTTATGATTTTGCAATATGTTGTAAATTTTGGAATTTTCTTAACATCTCAAAATTCTAAAATGGTAAACATTTGCACATTTGAAGTTTAGTGCTCTGATTCATCTCTTTAAGTCATCCACATTTGTAGTTGGCATTAAGACAAAAACATTTAAAATGTGATTTCAGTCAGTATCTATTTTCTATTTTAGTGCCAGATCACGAGAGAGCATCCAACAATAAGAAATACTATGAGAGTCTTATAGAGAAAGAAGAAAGTGAACCTGGTAAGCGTGGAGACTCTGGGGAGAAAGTGAAAAATGAACGGCCGACTGATGAATACAAACGTTCAACAGAGTTTATTGTGTATGAGAAACTGTGCAGAGGAGAGGATACACATGTAAGTCTTTTTCTGAAATTACAGAATTTAAAAATACAAAGCAATAAAAGTATAATCTGTCAGAAATATATGTTGAAATTGTGTTTGTTCTGCTACTAATGCCTGTTGGTACCACACAGGCTCGTGATATTTAATTACATCTAAATTTTATTTCATAAGTGCGTTTCAATATTATTTTTAGGAAATCCCATCACCACACACTCTTGCATGCAGTTACAATGACAATAACAGTCCATTTCTGAAGCTACAGCCAATCAAACAAGAGGTTGTGTTCCACGATCCTAGAATCGTAATCCTTCATGACGTTATGTCTGACAGTGAAATTGAGGTTATAAAAACTTTAGCAGCTCCCAGGGTAAGTATTGTGCGAAAATTATAATGTTGATAGCTTGTTTGATGATTAATTTGAACAACAAAACAATTAAATGCCAATTTAGAAAATAATTGTAGACAATGAGAGAAATTGATATTTTTTGAATTAGAACAATCAATTATTTTTTCATTCAAATTCAATTAATACTAATGTCATACAAATGCACATCCCAAATGCTTCATGTAAAAAGCATGGCTTATATTAGACAAATTGTTAGAAATATTTGAAGGCAGTGATGAATCCATAATGATTTGTAGTTTTGTTTGAAATAAATCTGTGATCCTCTACTGATTCGGATGGGCATCTTTCACGCTGAACTGATTTTTGGCAGCAGTTTGTGATCAACCAATCAACAAATTAGTGGCAAGTTTTTGGTACTAAACACATTAGGTTGTTACATCTTGATATTTGAACTGTCACAGCTGGGTTACAGAATGGCTGACAGCTGAGAGTTACAGAATGGCTCACAGCTGAGAGTAACAGAATGGCTCATGGCTGAGTAACAGAATGGCTGACAGCTGAGAGTTACAGAATGGCTCACAGTTGAGAGTTACAGAATGGCTCACAGCTGAGAGTTACAGAATGGCTCACAGCTGAGAGTTACAGAATGGCTCACAGCTGAGAGTTACAGGTTGGCTCACAGCTGAGAGTTACAGAATGACTCACGGCTGAGAGTTACAGAATGACTCACGGCTGAGAGTTACAGAATGACTCACAATTGAGAGTTACAGAATGGCTCACAGCTGAGAGTTACAGAATGACTCACGGCTGAGAGTTACAGAATGACTCACAATTGAGAGTTACAGAATGACTCACGGCTGAGAGTTACAGAATGACTCACAATTGAGAGTTACAGAATGGCTCATGGCTGAGAGTTACAGAATGACTCATGGCTGAGTTACAGAATGACTCACAATTGAGAGTTACAGAATGGCTCATGGCTGAGTTACAGAATGGCTCACAGCTGACAGTTACAGAATGGCTCATGGCTGAGAGTTATTTGTTCATGAATGTTTCTCATAACTGATCTGGTAGATTTACTTTATGATATGATTCGATTTTAACCAATCTCACATTAAAAAGGAATTAGAAATGCAATTAATGCTTAATAGGTTCTTGATCAAAATTAAAACATCCTTTTGTGAGTCTGGTGGTATTTGTCCCATTTGAAGATGAGAAATGAGATAAAGTCTAGCATTGCACGATGTAATGCATGCTTATATAGAGATCAATTTCCCAGATTGTAATTAAACCATATAACGTATTGATTTGAACTGAAGAACTGACTTTAGTGAGCTATTACTAATATCCTGCTGAAAATATTGCAGATACTAGTCTGATTCTAATTGAAATTTAATATGAAGCAGCATGGCACGGATGTTTTCATTGTCTCTACCAAAATGAGCAAAATAGTTTTCCTTATATAATACTTAAAATTCAGACTCATTATTGGTTTATTTTCAATGGTTGCTAACTTTTATATCATGTTGTATAACTTATTTTAAGTTAAACTTATTTGCCATTATTAAATTATTATTTCCACTTAGTTTTTTGATAACCTTAATAAAAGGGATGGTGTACAAATGTTGAGAATTGTGGAAAAGACAAAATTAAATTAAATTAAACTCCTGTTGGAATGCTATTTACTTGAATCACACTTTAAAATCAATGAAATCTCCATTTACTTCATACTCCTAACAAAATTAACTTTTTCCCACAACTGTTCACCATTGGACACCATCCTTAACATGGTGTTATTCCACCAATAGCTTAGTCTTGTAATGTTATGATTTCCAACTCCCTTTTTATATGATATAATTTGGAGGTAAAATTTATGATTTTTAAAGATTTTGTTTTATATATTTAGATTGTTTTGTATTATCATTTTGTCTAACATACATTATACAAAGATATTCTATAGAAATGATGAAGTTAGTAGGCCAAGAATCCTTTAAACCAATTCTTTGCGACAGAATTGAAGAAGCATGCTTTGTGACATCATTGATGAGACATGCTTTGTGACATCATTGATGAAACATGCTTTGTGACATCAGTGACAAGAAGCATACAACCTTGACATTAATAAAGGGCCATACCAAGTCATATGAATTCTTTCTATGTATGTTACACATGTCAATATTTTGGGATAAATGCCCTTGTTGATCATGAAATGATGACCATCCTCATTATTACAAGATTGACAGGGTAGAGACGTAAGCTTGTATTATTTCATTTGACCCATATGCATGTATTAAAGCACTACCCATGTATTTGGCTTCAAGTCTCGTACTAACCAGCACACTAATAGTGAGCATACTAAAGCTTGTAGTGTTTTCTTGATAACAGTTTTATTTTGAACGCATCGTGTAGGGAAATTCCTCGCTACTAAACTCTTCTGATTAATATATTGAACACATGTTTTGAGACCAATCAAGTTGATTTTATTTTTGACAATTAAAATGATGAAAAAAAGGTGCTGGGTTTCATTGAAATCAAGATATTTACAATGTATGTACATGGATTGATTTTAATGAATGTCCCTATATGTACCAACATTGAAATATGTAAATGATTTTTATTGACATTGATTTGCTACCAAGATGTTCATTTATTCTTGATCTTATTTACTAACATTCAATGTATCTTTCTCTGCATTACTTTACAGCTTAATAGAGCCACTGTCCAAAATGCCAAAACAGGACAGCTGGAGACTGCCCAATATAGAATCAGTAAGAGGTATGAAGTGTTCACTTCTATGCTTATGCTGTGGATACTTATGGCTTATTACTACTCCATTTTGTTATTATATGGATACAGTAACCAACTTTGTAGAGTCAGTCTTGTGACTGAGAAAAATGACTGCGGATGTTCTTTGTAGACACCTATGGGCAGCCTATATTGACTTCCTTAGTTTTGGTTGATATTTGAAGGGGCTGGGCAATGTTCTTCTTTTTTGGTTACTGTTTAAACTGAATGGAGTTGAATGCCATAAGGTAGTTGTTGCTGACTGTTTATAAATGAGGCATGGTCCAAATTGTGTTTACAGCTTCAGCGTGCAACAGCGCGTAATATTGTAACTGGAAAATTCGAGCCAGCTCATTATAGAATAAGCAAAAGGTAAGGTGAGATTTCTACAGCCTGTTGCATAAGTTTGGAAACCCTCTATTCCAATAGATGTCGTACTGATTCAATATGGTGGTGATTTGAAAATGAGGCTATCAGTGACATCTATGTTTTCATTACCACTCTGCTGTAGATGTGGTCATTTTGGACAATATGGTTCAAAACCCATATGTGACACATAAGATGCTAGCTTTATTACAATCATAAACAATATTTGACAAAGATAGTCTACTTGTTTTTGTAATGGGCACTGTGTCTGGACAGGGGATCCCCCAGGATTTATACAACAGTGGGTGATAATGGTTTTCGCTGTACCCCCGGAGGATCCCCATTTAATGTTGTAAAGGTATGGTATAATTCCTTGAGTGGTGATGATGAAATAGACCTGGATTTTGGCAGAGCTTGATAAGAAATTAGTATATTTTACTTACGTGTATCTCTCTTATGTACTTTTTCTCCCTTTTACTATAATGTATCAATGGCATGCTAGCCATGGGTCACAAACATTTCAAATACATGTACATCAATTTTTCACTTTTGGTCCTTATTATAAGGACTGAGAAATTGAATTAAGGAATAAAATGACATATTTGACCATTGTTTTGGAAAGCTTTTTAAGCATTGACAGAAAATTTACTATATTGGCTAGCATGCTTTAAAAATGTGGTTCTCTGGTTCTTTCATGACACACTATATGTAAATGCAGCCTCTAGTCTTAGCTAATAGCACACTGTAGCTCATATAATATGTGTATAATATATTCTCACATTTAACACACCACAAGCTTCATCTACAGTGGTATACATCCCCCTCCCCTACAATACAATTCCCTTAGAATGAAGTTACCTATAAAATTCTCTTAGAATGAAGTTACCTATAAAATTCTCTGTTTTCGTTTCAAAACATACTGCAATATTTCACTCTTTGGGATATTTAGAGATATCTGTGAGGTAAAGTCAAAATTTTGTAGCTTAACCTCCCTATTAACTCATGAGCCACCTTGATTAGTGTTCTACAAATATGGATCACTGTTTGAGATTTTTTCAGTGTGCTAAAGAGTGATTTTGTAATATGTCTTGTAATATCTTGCATTGTGTTTTTCTATTTTGGTTGATTTCACCCAGTCATTCTCTATACAGTATACAGTAAAACCTGTTAAGAACACCTCTTGTTGTGTAAGTGGAATACCTCTCATTAGTGGAACACTTCAGAGTCCCATGACTATTTCATTTACTGAAGAATGTATAGTTGACTTTTGTAAGTGGAACAACTCTCTAAGGGAACACTTCAGAGTCCCATGACCAGTTGACTCAGTGAAGAATGTATAGTGCACCTCTTCAAGTAGAACACCTCTCCAGTTGAACACATTTTAGAGGAACGAAATGTGGTTTACTTACACAGGTTTTACTGTAGTAGTTGCCCAGAAACTCTTTTTTTATTACCATGTAGATGGTGCTACTCAAGACTGGGTAGTGCTGGTCCAATTTCAGTTCTCACAGTTACATCTCGATCTTGTTCAATCAAATCCTAAATCTATACTTTAAAGAAACCAGGGATTTTTCTATAAATTGAGTATAAAACAATGTTCATGATGTTTTGAGCATCTAGATTTTAGCATTAGGATTCGATTTAACAAAATAGAGTGAATAGAATAACCTCTATTAATGTTAGGATTTGTGAAACATAGTTGCATGTCATGCATGTTTTTGTAGCTGGCACGATCAACTGTATTTGACCCTAAAAAGAAAAACACACAAGGAGCATCAGCCAATGTGCAAAGCTATAGAACTAGTAAAGGGTAAATGAGAATGTGACACTCTCGTGTTTATCAGGTTTCTGAAAATCGCAATTTTCTGTTGCACTTTGAAGTAAATCAACAAAAAAATTGTCATTCACAAATAAGGTTTCTGGAACATGGTATATATTCTCCAGATGAATGAGTGGGAATTGAAATTTGTTTTGAAATCCTTAGATAATTCAAACAATTGAGAAAATTGTACAAAGACTTACTTTAACAATTTTGTGGAGTATTTGAGTGTCAGTAAAATATCTGGCTTAATGTTCTAAAATTTATTAAAGATATCTGACGCTTAGGTGTGCTTAGAAACCTGATAAACATTTTTTGGCCAGTAAATTCTAAAATTACATATCTATGATTGTAGTGTTAGTGTAAAATTGAAGTATTCTGCAGCTTAGTTTAATTAAAGGATGTGTCCGGGTATATGCCCTTTTGGTCCCTCAGTCAAATGTATGTTAAATATGTTTTTTATTACTGTCCTAGTTATATTTGATAAGTATATGTACTTTTTCACGAGTTTTGATGCATAATTAACCCCCTGCTGAGAGTCAGAATAAGTATCTTAACAAAAACAAATAGTCATTATCATAGAAAAAAAACATCAATGGCAACATGTATGACTTACAAAGAAGAAATAACTTAAGACCCATGAAGTATTTAAAAGAAAATCATATTTTTGAAATATATTTAAGGATTAAAATTTTTTTCAAATTTTTGAATTTCCCGCCAGTTTAATTTGAAGGGGGAAAAACAAGATGGCTGCCATTTGATGTAAGAAATATCAGAAAAAAAGTTGCTTCACTTTTAGTTTTCACAATGAGCACAGTTTTCCGGTTTAGGTTTTTTGACTGATTCTGACTCTTCATCACCAGGGTCATGTATAGAGATTATAAAATTGAAACCGGAATGTTGTGCTCAGCATGAATTTGACTGAAATATGTGTAACTTCAACAACACAATTGAAGTCTCAAAACTGGATGCTCAGTAACTTTGAGTGACTATAATCCCTTGATTACCCAGATAAACACCAATTCACTTCTCCAGAAATGCCATTCAATGTCTATACAAAGAAAGTAAGCAATGTTTTGGAGGATATGTTTCAAACCTTTTGCATAAATAATTCATTTAATATTTGCCATTGATTTTTTTTCAATTCTGACAAAGTGATATGCACTGTCTTTGATGCCAATATTCTTCATTTATTGTGATACAAATTGATATTTTTGTACTCTCAGAAGAAGGATAAGATATTGAAGTTTAATAATATGTGCGATTGAGTTGGTTTTTCAGACATTACAATTTTCAATATTTTCTAAGTCGATACCCAGACTCATTCCCAGACTCATCCTTTATAGAGTATATTTGAAAAATACTTTTTACTAAAGCTCGTGAACTAATAGAATACTGTTTGTAAGGGGCCATGTAAAATGTCAATTAAATGTGGAAAACAGCTTGGGATGGGGCTGGATGGGGGAGACTTTTAGTAAAGAAAGGAGGGTGTTCAGTTATAAAATAAGTTACTTTTTGGTTTGATATTTAGAATATGGCCTCTCCAAACAGTTATTGCTTTGTATTGATTGCATGCCTGCCAATGATATATCAGATTATTCGGATAATGATGCAATTATTTTAGATTCACACTTCAGGAGCTGTAATGGAGGAACACCATATGTTGCATGACAGAGACCTATTAATAATTATCACATGTTTTCTGTTTTAGAGTGATTGTTTTGTATATGTATATTTTAAGTGACTGTGAAGAGGCTTATAATAGCTTTGCATGGCTTTGTATTATAAGTACTTATATAGAATGGACCAGAGCCTCATCCTGTGAAAATCGTTTTGGAAAGTATACAAAATAAAGTAGGGTTTGAAATTCATGCCTTTTGGGCTGCCTTAATATGAGTATAGCTGAATGAAATTCCGAATTTTTATGAAATAAAATTACAATTTTATATCATGATTTTGTTGAATGATTGAAATGTTTTGTTTTGTATAATTATTGTACTTATTACTTTTTTTTCTAGTGCATGGTTGAAGGATCATGAACACCCTGTTATCGCAAGAATCTCAAAGAGAACAGAACTTGTTACAAAATTAAACCAAGAAACCACTGAAGAATTACAGGTACCAAATAGCAATAGGCTAACAGTGGAGCCTTGCAGTATACCTGCTTTACATGTTTTTAGGCAATGGCTTTACAGATGTCCAGATATTAAAATGGCCTGATTTTGACTGCATGGTTTTATGAAAAATTGCATGTTTTTAGGTATATTTTGGTATTGTGTGAGCGATTTTGTTTTGCGAATCTATGTAATATATACAGGTGCCTAGGAGTATAACAGAACCCTACGCAGCTACAGCTTTCAACATGCATGCAGATTGAATAAATGCAACCCCAGCTAAAGTTTATTTTTATAGGGGAGTTGGATTAAAGGAGTTTCATCAGTCTAATATATGTACATTTATTTTATTTAATCTTGCTCTCCTGCTTATCAATATAAAAATATGATGGTGGTCTAAGTCAAACTTGGATTAAAGATGAGATATAAGAGGTTCACTCAGGTATGCCTTTCATTCAATGATCCCCCTGAAATATATATTTGCTCTGTATATGCCTTTATTTGTGAAGGACCATCATGGTGGAATATACAGTGAACTGTGTAAACTGTGAGCTTCATATTTTTGATTTGCAAATTATCTCCGTAATAATGCAAGTCTTGGTTCTTTAAAATGTATAGCTTATCATTGAATCCAGCTTGGTTCTACTGGCTATCTGCTTTCTGCAAACTTTTGATTTAACAGGCCACCATTATATTTTGTGATTCCCATCCTTCATCCCCTGGCTGCCACAAGGCTTGCTTCAGAACATTGAACTAGTCTATAGCATGTGCTTATATGTGTGTACCTATAGTATGTGGCTGGACAACTTCGATCACCATGTGGTAGACCGTGTTGACAGGCGGGTCCATGCTTTCACTGGCTTCGATTCAGAAACAACTGAACAGCTACAGGTAGAGTGATAAAAAGATTGATAACAAGGGATCTAGGAACTTCTTGATTTGAATGGTTTATTTTGTATCAAATTGAAACAAATCTTGAATATCAGGTGTACTGAATTTTTATTTTGTTTGAATGGAGATGCACAACTAAAATATACCTTTCATCATATTCTAATCTTATTGTGTATTGATATTTGAGATATACATTGTATATGTAATTCAGAGCTCCTTATTCACTGCAAGACATATGCTCTACCTTAAAATCAACCCTGTGCAAATCGTCAACAGGTTGCTAACAGCTGACAAACCCTTATCCTATTCACAAGGATTAAATGTGGATTCCATGCAAGCAGATGTGCATTTCTCCCATGTATAGGTTGATTTGCACACAATATTTAAAATACATTTTTTATATAATTAAAGTACATGTACACATAGATGCAGAAAAATGAAAAAGTTGAAACATTCTGTTCAGTCATTTTGTATTAGTATAAGACATGCTGGATGACTTACAATTACATATTTAACAATTGTTTCCCAGCCTCGCATAAATTATAAAACACAAAAATATTATTTCCTAAATACAGAAATCGTTCTTGTTGTATTCTCCATTATTCAAAGAAAGGCCTCTGTTTTCAATGGTACATTTGAGACTTTCTTTTACAGGTGGTGAACTATGGGATAGGTGGTCATTATGAGCCTCATTTTGACTATGCCAGGGTAAGAGAATTTTGATTTTATTAAATTCATATTTTCGACATAATTTTCTCGGCGGATTGAATGTAATAGTCATAATTGACAGCAAATAAAGAATTAATTTAATTTATAAAAAGTAAATTTTAACATCGTAGTAATGTAATGGTTACATTGGTAAATACTCTGATATTAAATAAGCATGTCATGTCATGCATGCTTTTGATCAATTAATTCAAAACTGTGTTTTCCAATTTAGTTACAGGGTGTCTTGGAAAAGGTATTTGTCATCATTGAAATTGATAAATGTTTTTCCTGGACACCCTGTATGAGAACTAAATGTTTTGAAGATTACTAAGTTATGTGTATGCACTTAGATGCCAGAAGTTAGTTACTAGCTTTCCCACCAGTTGTCTAATTTTTATTGTAAGATAATATGGCAATTTTTGGCAAAGAATTCAGCAAGATTCCCTTAATTTTAGTAAAAATCTATTTATTGGATGGTTGCGATCTAACCTTTGTGAGTGTGACACTTTAATGCCCAGTTGATTATATAGCTCATAAGAAATGTGTTCAGTAAATTTTTTATCTCTGTTTTTAATAAAGATATTTTAGTTAAAATGGTATTGTAACATGAGGTTTTATGGGGAATCAACCTGACCAACAATTTTTTTTTATTTAAATAGATAAAGTTGATGTAAATTTTCAATGAAGAGTATATCAACTGGCATCTAATCTGTTATATCATATCCCACTGCAACTCAATTATTGCATACTGTACATGAATATGTGATATTCAAATCTTCCCTCTATATCATTACATCCTCCAAGATCAGGCTTCGCTTCTATCACAGCCATTGTTATGAAAAGAATTAAAATACCCTCGGACCCAGGATACACCAATAGGTGGCCTTTAATAATACAAATACAGAATGATGTGTCAATAAAGCAGAGTATTTATTCAATGAAAAATCATGCTGTCACCAAGACAACTGTATCCCACCATTGGTGTGATAATGGTAGATGTGGCCAAGACAACAGCCATTAGATATTTATTATTATTTTGTAATTATTCATATCAAAGTCTTAGCATTCTGTATTTTGTACCTTCCAATGTTTTGAATAAAAGAGCAATCTTTTTTGAGTGAAAGGGCTTTGAAGGGGTAGACTAATGTATTCTGAAAAACATGCCAAACCAGTTGTATTAAAAGATTTTCAGTACAATTAACCCTACTTGCATGATACACTCAAATAAGTATCGTGCATAACATGGTGGTCATGGACTCCCATGTAAAATATTGGAACATGTGAAAATAATGCTAAGTACATAAGTAGATGAACACATTGAGGTAAGTACTAGTATTTGGATTAAAATGGAAGCCTTAGCTCTCATGGGTTAAGTTCTGTTTTACAGAAATATGAAAAAGATTCCTTTGGTCCTCATCTAGGAAATCGTGTTGCAACTTTACTGTACTATGTAAGTGCAGCCTAATGGAGCTGTGTATGGCCTGTGTGGAATAAATTGCATATTTCACACCTATAGAATAAATACCATATCTCATAGTGCTTCTTAACACACACAGGGATGTGTATTTGTTGTAAAGATAGAAGGAATTATGTACAATCAGTGAGTTAAGAAGCACTTAATCTAATTGCTGAATCCAAAACTGCATGGTATTAGTATAACTGCTTGTTTCTGCTTAAAGCAGGGCATGCTATCCCAGAATTCTTACCCAGAACCATCCCAATCCCATCAGCCCCCATTAGATTAAATATGCATGCAGCTGAATGAAACAAATTATAACAATTCATTATAGCAATGTGTTTGATAGTGTGGTACCACATTCTCCCAATGACAGACCTGTTATGAATACTGACATGGATTTCCACTATTTTATATGTTATGTGAGATTTAAATTATTTTCAAATACTGAACCATAAATTCTTTGCATTTTCCCCATACTTGCCATCATTCCAAAGACTTGCTCAAGGGAATATTACACTTCCCTGAGACTTATTTTGAGTAGGGGGTGCACTGGGGCTGAACTTAAATACATGTATTACATTAGTTCAACAAAGCAACAGTACAAGTCACATCTAACCTCTCTAATGAGACCTAAACTTAAACCTAAACTTGGCCCTGAATCCACATTTTCAAGACTTCACTAGAAAATCACTAGAAACTAACCTTCAAGGTTATCATTTTCTGCGACTTGTTTGGTTATCGCGATATGTACTGTACCTGATTTCAGAACACTCCTGCCGAGAAACATACATTTGAAGAATTCCGGGGTAACCGAATTGCAACTGTGTTATTTTATGTAAGTTCTAGATGTACAACAACTGGAATATGATTGGTGCCTGATTGGCTTATGTATACCTGAGTAAAAGTTCCTCATGTTGAATATCTGTATGATTGCATTTTATACCAAGATTTGAGGTCTATGGAAGCACACATTATGTGCTACCATCTTATGTCATAGAGTTCTACAGTTCTTCAATCTTTTCTCAAATATATTGATTTAGAGAATCACTCATATATTTGATGCAATCAAGATGTGTAATGCACATGTAATGCTTTTAAGACATCTTGGCGATATAAATAGAATGCAACCATGAATAGATAAACCTGAGAAATACCAAGAGAGTTTGTTCAACACAGTTCAAGTTGTCAGGAAGTCCAAATGCTTGGATGACTCTTTTGGATTTTTGACTTTGTTCTGTGTTGCGCATGTGTATGGTGCATGTACGAGTGTGGTTTTGGCAGTGAATTAACTACCCATACAACCCTAATATAGAAATAGATGCTCTCCTTCACTTTCCTCCCCTTCCTGTCCTCTCCTCAATAAATCTAACCAATAACACCTAGCTGAAATATTCACCTCCATGCAGCTATCATAAATGGTCATGTGATCACTTTTTGGGAAATACCAGAAAATAATCAATTTGTTATCATTTTTCAAAAAACACTATTTTTGAAATCTTGAGGGTTTAACCTTTGGTAGTCATTTTTAAAATCAACATAAACAGTGATGATTCTATTCAAGTATTTTGGGTATTTCCTCAAATTGATCATGACCAAATATGGAAGACTGTATTAACACTGGGGGTTGATTCGTTGATGTTAAATGTTGTCTCGTCTGCATCCAGAAAGAGGAGACAAATGCTTTCAAGTCTTTAGGTTGGGGTAACAGAATTGCTACTGTACTTTTCTATGTAAGTCTACAGTTATCAGTTATTCAAGGAAATCTTTGCAATTTGATAACAATTATTATTTATTTATTGTAAATATTATTGTATAGTTTCGAGCAATTTGTCTTAATGTTTCTATAAGATACGTATACCATTGACTTTTTGTTGTTCTGGCACATTTTTATGAATCTTACCACAATGTTCACAATTTTGAAACTTTAAAATTCATTTGAAATGTCAAAGCATCTACTTCATTGTGCAACAGGTCGTACAAAAAACAATATAGTATATATATTTAATTGTCATTTGATGGAAGATTTTTTTGAACTTCTTAAACTTTGTATCAGACACCATGGGCTTCATTGAACTGACTAGACCTTCATAAACTGTTCATTCGACATGTGAAGAAACATATCTTTTTTAGTTCATCAATCAGATTTAGTGAGCTCAACATCTTCAGATTTTTTCAAGAATTATTTGAATTAATAATTTTAAAAGATCATTGAAATATTAAAATTTCCAGCTTTAAAATGTAGAGTATTACAGTGAGATTTCCATTGAATAACTGATATTAACTTAACTTCTGTAATTCTTTTAATATTTTATTGTTGTAAAAGGTGATTGTTAGATGAATTTATTAATTGAACATTTTGTAGAGAATGTAGAAAAATTTCAAATTGTTGTATTTTATACACAAATGTCAATGAATGATTGGCAATTTAATGCTCCTTTAATTATAAAATTCATCCCAAGTTTTTGAAGTGAATTAAATTCGATCAATGATTTGTGACAATATGTCAATTCTAGTACTGGATCCATGGTTGATTTGGTACATGCTATTTATGTCATACTGATTTCAAATATCACATTACGAAATGCATAAAAGCTAATCATGTTAAAGTATTAGATTCAAAGGTGATGATATTGAATTGTAAATCATATGTGCATACTGTACATTAATGACGTTTGAAAGTACCAGTTTACGTGATGTTATAACCTCAAGGGTTATTTAAGAACACTTGATTCCTGAAATGAGATTATTGCCAAAAGTGCCAAATAAACCATGAATAAAGTACCGTTAAACAGAAAGTCTAGTAGTATGTATGTATTACATAACATACGTTTTCCAAGTTAATCATTTTAACATATCATCTTGTAGATGACTGATGTTGAATTAGGTGGTGCCACTGTCTTTCCAACTATAGGAGCAAAAGTTTTTCCTAAAAAAGTAAGTTACTGAATATTTAGCCATTATGTCCCTATCATTGAATATATGCCTGAGGTTTGACGTCAATATAGCCCGAGCTTGCGAGGGTTATATTTACGACAGACCGAAGGCATATATTCAATGATACGGACATAATTGTTGTATTACATACCTAAAGTACATTTTACATTACATTTCATGAATATAATATGTAGAAATGCGTGAAAAAAGACAAAAATGCTTTGTTTTCATGTTATATCAATGACGTCACACGTCTGTGTGCGATTGGAATATGTAAGAAATGAAACGTGACGTCATACGATTGTCATGGTAAAAAGTTTGGCGGCTATACAGGAATATATAGCCGTCCTTCAGCTCCATTGACTTCCATTCAAATGCTTCGCTAGGTATGTAATACAAAAAAAACATATTTTCGTATAATATACTGTACATCTTCTATCCGACAGTTCATGATAAACACTTAAAATAAACAAAAGAATATATGACAAAATAAAAGATATACCATTTTTCAGTAGCTCATAGTGTTTAATGCAATGACATACTGAAATAATCCTAAATTACTTTGATATTTATAAAACTATCCTAGAATGATACCACAGCAAAACTTCCTTGTTCTCATAAGTTGAAAATAATAATAAGAAATATCATTTTCAATCTTAATAACTTGTCTGTCATTAATGCAAATATAAAATCAATTCGTATTGTTACTAACATGTCATTGATTCCTTGTCACACCCTGTATATTGTCAGTTAAACAGGACATAAAACCAGTCCATATTGTTACTACCGTAGCATTGATTCCTTGTCACACCCTGTATATTGTCAGTTAAACTGTACATGAAACCAGTCCATATTGTTACAACCATGTCATTGTTGATTCCTTGTCACACCCTGTATATTGTCAATCATGCATTACAGGGTACGGCAGTTTTCTGGCACAACCTTCACAAGAGTGGGGAAGGAGATGAGTTGACACGTCATGCAGCTTGTCCAGTTCTAGTCGGCTCAAAATGGGGTATGTTTTTAAAATGCTTTATCATATACATAATCTGATGATAGGGGCCAAAAAGCAGGGGAAGTTTCGTCCTGTGTTTTGATCAAAATGCTTCTTATGATGCTTTGTGAAAATCCATTTAGAATCTAAAATGAGCAATGAAATGTGGTGCAACTCCATTATTGAAAGACATGTATTAATGAAAATAAATTAAATTGTTACTTTCAGTCAGCAACAAGTGGATCCACGAAAGAGGCCAGGAATTCAGGAGGCCATGTGGGTTATCTGCAGATGAATAAACATCTCTAATATAAAGCTCATAGCTGATCATTATAGTGAGGATAATCAATGAAACATTATGCAATAATTCACTATAATGTGATTTAATACACATTGCTCATTTGTGCATCCACCTAACATGTACATGCTGGGAGTAGGGCTGTCTGGATAAATAATCACTTAGGTTAGTATGTTGTGGCTACCCAGATTAATAAATCACCCAATAGGAAGGACACCTAAGAGTAAAGATTGCTGAATTAATACTCAATATGAAAGATCAAAGAATTTTCATGAACATCCAAGTGCCATGATATGATAATATGGCCCATGATATGATAATATGGGCCATTGTAATTTTGGATGGTAGGACTGAAATACAATGATTAGTGAACTGGAGAGGTTCTGCTTAATATTCTGCTTAGGAAACAATTAGAAATCCACAGAGTCATTGCCCTATAGTCAAAGGATTCGCTAAAACCTGTTTAGAATTCAGCAAGACTCGGTTCAGGAACTACTTATAAATTATCCCACCTTAAGACTGAATTATGTAACATTTGAATCACCTCAATACACATTTTCAATAATACTGGAATATCTGCTGAAAATCAACGAAACATTTATACAATGATACAGAAATGACTGTTTTGTCTGTGTGTAATTTTGAAATCCAATATTTGTATATTGTTTATAAAACATAGTAAGTCTTGGTTTTTATAAGACTTGTAACACAACTACAAAATGTGTACACCTCCAAAATGCAATCTGATTTTTAAAGCCGTTTCGGTGCCAAATTTCGGTGCCGTTTCGGCACCAAATGGACTGACTAGTCCGGTGCCAAATTTTGATGTCGAAAGGTTTCGGTGCCGGAACGGTGTCGGAACAGCACCGAATATTTTCGATGTCGAAACGGAGCCGAATTATATTGGCTGTGTATCCATTGTTGAATGTTGAAGCATTAGTACATTCATTCTACTCACTCTTCACATCACCTTTAGAGTTCCACACACTTGTAAGAAAGAAAATAATATGGTCTGTTAGATATAAATCATATTTAACCTCACCAAATTTGATCAATTTCTATTTCAGTTTATATTTGTATAATTTGAGATTAGATACCTCTGTACATATGAAGGGGCTTCCTGGGTTGACATACACAATACATGTACCGTATTGTAAATAAAATAATTCTATATTTTTGGGTTTTGAAATAGAACGTGCGAGCTTTGATCGTTCATATTTCTGCATGATGCTTTATGTAATAGGTTTTGGTGCAAAGGTAATTTGAATATTTTTTACTTTTCAATTGTATAAAGGGAACAGCATTGTCTATGACAGTTTATTTTCAATTAGTGTATGTTGTTATTACCTTTTATGGTGCAGTATTCATATGAGATTATTATGAGCATATTCATTTCAGAGACATTCCATGCAGATTCAACTGACTGACTGTTTTATTACATTGTAATTCAAAAGGAACTTCTCAAAATCATTTAGAACCCCAAAATTTTGAAATTTTGACTCAATTTGAATAAGAAACATTTTAGAACTTTTTAAGAAAATTTAATTTTTAAACAAGATACTGAAGTTTGAGTCTGCATGGCATGTACAATATTTTTTTGAGATCCAAGGACGAGTAGCATATATTCATAAAACACATGTGATCAAATCATTTGAAGATATTGAAATGTTTTTGTTAAATATCTGTTACTCCTATATAAATACATTGTTATTTGTATTATACAAGCCAGTCATTCATGCTTGCCAGGCATTGATTTTTCGTAGTCTGTGTAAAAACTCAGTTTGAAGCTACTGGACTGTATATCTGCTGGTAGAAGCATTTAATATATATTTGAATGTAATTAGAGTTGTGATTCCATTATATGAACATTTCTGAACATCTCAAATGTTAATTAACAGCAGACCATTAAATACTTAATGTTCTTGCAGTGCAAATATTTGAGATTTCAAAGATGTTCCTTATGTGAAATATATTAGGCAATAAGTTATCCAATTGATGAATTGAACATGTGAAATATGAATCATGTATATTGTAAATGCGCGTTATATGAGCCATATATATTGTACATGTGTGCTGTATGAACAAAGTGCATTGTACATGTGTATTATATAAACCATGTGCACACTGAATTACCCATGTGCGAGTAAAATAATCATCACGTGAATAGAACTTGTATATGGTAGAGTAGATCAACATTTATTTATTCGGCTTTTTGCTTGTATTGTATGTTCCAGGACATATTTAAGCATTTCTACAGCATAAGTTTATTTTCTTATTTAATCCTCATCGATCTAGGGGTTAACAGTATATACATGTAGTTCATACTGAAATCATAATGAAATCCAGGTATCCATTATCCGAATCTCAAATAGTCATAATTTTGGCTATACTGGAGTATGTATACCAAAAATTGAAACATGGGAACTAGGTGAAATCTAGCAATTTATAGTCATATTAATTGTAAATAAAAAATAAAATTATTGTGAATCTGTAGCCTAATAAGTACATTGGTGATGTATTTTCCAGGAATACCATTGGGGATAGGGGTACTAGTGCTTTGCTATAACAATATAGTTGCGCAGAGATACTAACGAACAAAATAAAACACAAAACAATAATAATTACATTTCTTTGTTCTTGTATATTCTACTTTTTCTAATCACAATTTCTATTAAAGGCCTAATAAAATAAAGAATGGTTCAGAAGTAAAACAGTCTGGGAATATCGGCCAACATAGTTACATAGCACTTAACTCCATTAACCTCTTGACTACCCAGAGTGACGAGATTTCTCGTCACCTCAGAAATGACCTTGGAACCCAGAGTGACGAGATAATCCGTCACAAAATATTTTACCAAAATTGCTCTTATTTGAACAATTTTTATCCAATTTACACAAAAATTGTTTTAATATGTCTAGAAATTATCTCTGCCGTCTAATTTTACTGTATTGGACATCGTCTGTTGTATCTGTATGTAGTAAAATATCAAAAGCTGGCAAAAATGAAAAATTATCTGGTTTTAACCTATTTTAGAACCTGGGATTCATGAGGTTAAGAAGTCCATATTCATTGAAGTAAACTGACCACATTGAAACCACAATTGCCCAATTATGCACAATTATATCACGCACATTGTAATCCATTCCTGTCCAATTAATTATGTACACAATAGGAGTTTTACCCCTCTTCATTCATATAAATGTTCATATAGTTAATTTCATCAAAAATAAAATTCACACAAATTCATCTTTTCGATTTCTTTGTCATGTTCTCCAAGTAGGCCCCAATAGTGTTCTGTATTGGTTGAGAGAGCATGTGTCTCGTCATAATCAGTAGATCTTCATCTGCCTTGGCCTTGAGGTTATCCATGGCTTGTTGTCTGATCAGGGACTTTGTGAGACCACGTGCCCCGCCTGGAACATTATCACATTGCATATTAACATTTTTGGTTTATATATGAAGTTACAGATCCAGGAATCCTAGAAGTTTAAAGCATATGTGAATCCAAAGTTAAGCATATTTGTAGTATCCTCTTCCATGATGTTATAAATCATTCCTTACACCATTCTTTCTCTTGATGTACAATAAATATGCCAGACGCAAAAAAATTATTCAAGTGTAGAGACCCTGGATTTGATTTGATTTAGTGAAATTTACCGATGCGACTCAATGAATAAATGTTGGCAAATTGCATGTACTTACCTGGCACTTTGACCCATTGTTTCATATGTTTCTGTACTGTAGGCAGGGTCAGCTCTTGAGGTACCACCTCATCTACCAGTCCTATCTGAAATATAATACAAGCATTGAATACATGCATTAGCAGTTATAGATAGCAGATATGATAAAGGGGCCCTGTAAGCTATGAATTTTGTTTCTGGAAATTCCATGTTTATTTGATTTTGTATTACTATCTAGTTCTATTTTTTTGTACTAAATAAAAATTAGTACCGTGGGTACTGGGCTCACATGGTGTTGCTCAAAAGTGAAAATAAAAAAGACGGGTATATTTTTATGTAAATGTGTAAATATGTAAATGTAAGCTATGAATTTTGTTTCTGGAAATTCCATGTTTATTTGATTTTGTATTACTATCTAGTTCTATTTTTTTGTACTAAATAAAAATTAGTACCGTGGGTACTGGGCTCACATGGTGTTGCTCAAAAGTGAAAATAAAAAAGACGGGTATAATTTTTTGCAGATTTTTTGTGGCAAAATTATTTCATACAACTACTCTTTACAAAGACATGGCTTTTTACAATGCAGGACACCTGAACTTATTTGTAAAGCTAGGAAATGGGCCAAAAGTGAATTTCCCGAGACAAAAATGGTGGCCATTTTGAAATTAGGCGAGATTCTGAAGCAGGAGTCACAGTTTTTTTTTCTTTATTGATGTTGAACAAAATTATTTTAAATCGGGAATCCTATCTACAGAGGATTTAAAAAGTGTTGACAGAGGTTTAAAACTTGCCACTTTTTTGGAATGACTGAGAGACAGGTGGACGAATCAATGTTAACTAAAATGGCTGAAAATAAAAAAAACTGATATAATATTTTGCCGATTTTTTGTAACAAAATTATTTCATACAACTACTCTTTACAGTGACATGGCTTTTTACAATGCAGGACAGCTGAAATTATTTGTAAAGCTAGGAAATGGGCCAAAAGTGAATTTCGCTAAATAAGAATGGTGACCATTTTGAAAATAGGCGAGCTTTTGAACTAAGAGTCATAGGAGAGTTTTTTGTATTGATTTTGAACAAAATTAACTTAAAACAGTAATCCTATCGACAGAGGGTTTAAGGCAAATGGTCCAAAAGTGGATTTTGCGAGACAGATGGACAAATCAATGTTAACTAAAATGGCTGAAAATAAAAAAAATGGATATAATTTTTTGCGGATTTTTCGTAACAAAATTATTTCATACATCTACTCTTTACATTGACATGGATTTTTACAATGTAGGACACTTGAAACTATTTGTAAAGCTAGGAAATAGGTCAAAAGTGAATTTCGCGAGACAAAAATGGCGGCCATTTTGAAAATAGGCGAGCTTTTGAGCCAGGAGTCATAGGGGAGTTTTCTGTATTGATGTTGAACAGAAATAACTTAAAACAGGAATCCTATCGACAGAGGTTTTAAAACGTGCCACTGTTGTTGATGAAAAAGTGGATTTCACAAGTCAGATGGACAAATCAATGTTAACTAAAATGGCTGAAATTAAAAAAATAGATATAATTTTTCGCTGATTTTTTGTAACAAAATTATTTCATATATCTACTCTTTACATTGACACAGATTTTTACAATGTAGGACACCTGAAATTATTTGTAAAGCTAGGAAATGGGTCAAAAGTGAATTTTGCGAGACAAAAATGGCGGCCATTTTGAAAATAGGCGAGCTTTTGAACCAGGAGTCATAGGGGAGTTTTCTGTATTGATGTTGAACAGAAATAACTTAAAACAGGAATCCTATCGACAGAGGTTTTAAAACGTGCCAGTCAAAAGTGAATTTCGCGAGACAAAAATGGCGGCCATTTTGAAAATAGGCGAGCTTTTGAACCAGGAGTCATGGGGGAGTTTTCTGTATTGATGTTGAACAGAAATAACTTAAAACAGGAATCCTATCGACAGAGGTTTTAAAACGTGCCACTATTGTTGACGGACAGACAGACAGACGGACGGACAGACAGACGGACAAGTGAGCGATTGCAAAAGCTCACCATGTGAGCTAATAAAAAGGATAACTATTGGAATGTTTAAATTCCATCTGTTGCTTTGACTACAAGTTGCTATGTCTATCTGAGCTATCTGTTGTCGAAATGACTCTTTGCATTCACTTAAATCTTTGAGAGCAATTTGTTTACACTTGAGGGTAGTATTTTAACTTTGTTGATCAAAATATATGTTGCTATGACAAAATACCTGTAATGCTGTACTAGGGATGAACATCTGCCCTAGCTGTAGTGCTCTCTCGCCCTCCCTTTGTCCACATGTTGCTATAAATGCATCTTTTACCCTACAACATTCAACAAAGATGGTACTTAATGATGAACAGTATTTCACACTTTTACCCTGCAAATTCAACAAAGATGGTGATTTATTGAATAGTATTTCACGCTTTTACCCTGCAACAATCGACAAAGACGGTGCTTTATTGAATAGTATTTCACGCTTTTACCCTGCAACATTCGACAAAGATGGTGCTTTATAATGAATAGTATTTCAGGCTTTTACCTTGCAACATTCAACAAAGATGGTGCTTTATAATGAATAGTATTTGAATTCACACATTTACCTTACAACATTCAACAAAGATTGTGCTTCATAATGATTAGTATTTCAAGAGTTCAAATCTGACCTTAGATTTGATATTTGACCTTTGGTTGACCAAATTGATATGCGTGATGCTCAATTTGCATTTAACATTTGTTCAATATTGATATATTCACATATACATCCTTCAGTTCTCTGATGAATTATAAGATCAGTAACAAACAAAACCTGCCATCTTTATGAATAGCCATGTCTGATGAAAGCCCATGAATTACATATAAACATGAAATTTGAAAGTTCCTAGAAACAGGAACTTGTACTGTCATCAATGAGTAGATGTTAATTAAAGAAAACCAATGAATAATATAAAGTTAATATGACCTATGATAATGTTAAATCAATGATTGAGTATGAATTGAAATAAAGTACATTTTTAAGTCTAAAAATTGAACCCTGCAACAACTGTGTTGATGATGGTGTCCATATATATGGATAAGGGGTGTGAGGTGCAAGGTTTTATATACATTAGCCTATAATCTACAATAAAACTAAGCAGGCATTAACATACAAAATACAAACACTGACCACCGAACACCAACTGTTGAACACCAACCACCGAATGCTGTCCACAAAAAAGTTATAGACCATGATAATATTTCACCACTTGTAGTTGTGACATAAACACAAAGCGGCTGTATTATTAAATATTACTACATAAATCAAAGCAGGCCTAAGCAGTAACTCACCAAAAGTTCATTGGAATACCCTGTAATAATGCAGTTCAATTATCTTTCTTAAAACGTCATAATAAAAATATATATAGTAGTGCAGTGTACTAAACAATTAAAAATGCAAATTGACAAAGTCTAAAGACATCAGTTAGCCTAATGGCAAGCTGTCATATATGATTTATAAAATGAATATTATGAAACGATAATTATAATATTCATTTGCAGTATTATATGTACGATAGTTAATCTTCCTCAAGTTTCCAATTTCCAATTTAATCATTTCTGGAACATGAGATATACCGGTAAAGTAATGACTGGGTCACATTTGCTCCGATCCATCGCCTGACGCCCGGCCATTTGAATGTTTTGTTCAATATTGTATTCAAGTTTGAACAAAATACTCAATCGGCCGGGCACCGTAGCGAAAAACAGAGCAAATCAGTGACCATGGCATAACTATACGTTCTTGCATGCATGAATGAATATACAGTGCTTTTTCTATGATTTCACATATTAAATAAACTAACTGTTATATGGTAGACTGGTACTGGTACTGGTACTTTGACCATATTTTTTTTCGAGCATAAGAAACGGTATTTCGAGGAATAAATACAAAAGTTGTGGTTAATTATCTTCAGCTCATACTCACAAGCATGGATTCATTGAGGCCTATGTTGAACTTTCCTTCTGACATAACTCTGTAGTCAGTAGCAAGAGCTATGATACAGCCTGCTGCTGGGGCGTGGCCCTACAATTGTGACATCACAATACATATTTAGAGTGGCAGATGCAAGCAAATTCATATAATACAGAAAGCCCCATCTTTCTGAATCTTTCAGAAAAAATATTTTTGACCTGGGTTGGTTGATAAGGATGAATATGTTTCGATACGAATATATTTGAATCCAATTAAAGACAAACACATTTCCAAAAAGTACTTCAGTCAAGGGTAAAAAGGTTGAGTTAAGCATCATCTTGCTGAAATTTCTATATTAAGCTTTATACAATATACAGTTGCAATATCAATGTTTCCATAACAGGGGAAAACAGTAATTAACTATTGAGTCTCACCCTTATGACTCACCTCAATCGCTGCCATAGTTACAACTTTTGTGCCATATATGGTGCTAAACATGGCTTGAAGGCTCCGCCAGAAATCTTGGAAGAATAGTTCTTTAGCCTGGTATAACTCTGTGAGATCTAGACCAGCACTGAAGATATTTGGCACACACTGGAATATATTTTATTTTAAATTTTATATCAAACCAGCTTAAGATGCATACTAGCACCTTTAACACTGATACCATTTACGTGTTGTACAATTTATACCAGTGATTAAATAAAAATATATACATAATCAAAAATGGTTCATTATCCAAACTACAGTTCTCACCTTCTTGGAAGAAATTGGTTACCAAATTAAATTTTCAATTTATAACGATTAAATCACACTTTATATTTCAAAGGGGCATGCTCAAAATTCAGTTCATTCTTCTGACAGTCCTTGAGATAATAGCATTTCACTGATTGCACTTACAGAGTTGATAATAATCCCTTTACAGTCTCTGTCCTGGTCTAGTTCATTGGTTGCCATGGCAATCTCCTTCATCATGTCACAGTTCAGTGAGTTGGCAGGTTTTCTTGCAAGTGTAAGGTGTGCAACTTCTGCAAGGGCAAATCAAAATGTTTTTTTGTTTCTTTTTTTGATGATGCTGTAAAATGTCTAAAATGACCCAGATATTACTTTATTCAGTCAGCTGTCTCCAAAAAGTGGGCTTTCAAGAGAATTGGGCTTCTAAGAGAGATGGGCTTCTAAGAGAGAGCCCATGCTCCAAATACATTGTTTATATTTTTGGTTTAAAGATATGCCTGGAGTTTCATGCTATAAAAATTAACCTTGGAAGGCCCATAAATCATGGTAAACTAGGGAATATCATCCATAAATCTCACTTGGTCAAATATCATTTCTAATCTTTATAAAACCAGATTCTACTTTAGCAATACAATGTATATTGTTAGTACCTCAACTGAAATACTTGATTCTGATTGGTTGATTAGCGGTATATCATACTACTAGGTACTGTTGACCCCTACTTTTGAAAAAAATTTCATGACGTCATAATATTTGCAGAAAAAACATGGTAGACGGACATTTTGTAAACGTTGATGAAAGTGATATTTTGACTTTACTAGACGACAAGTATAGCAAAAATACAAATAGAAACGTAAAATCAACATTAATTTACTAATGAGTATGCCGTGATGTGCCGAATATAGAGAGTTTAGCTACCACTGTCTTCAGATTTTCTACAAAAATATTGCTGACGTGGTTCATAGAAAAGATTGTGACATGAAGCCATGTCGATTGATGATTGTCGTCCAGATGTGCATTATTAGTTTCTTCGGACTAACAATTGTAGACCTCTACTCTCCATTCGGTCAACCGTCAAAATCATATACCTCGACTGTAAACCTTGAAAGTACTGTTGACTTCGACCTTCGGTCTCTGTAGTTTCTCGGTTTACAGTCTCGGTATACAATTTTGCTGGTTGACCTCTGGAGAGGTCAACAATTGTATACTGTAACATACATTTATGACAGAAAAATGAGTTCCACTTGATTAACCAATACTTCAAGATTGAGCTATGATGCTACAGCAGCTCAGCTATGTAAAGTAATGAAATATCCTTGAAGTAATAACGAATATACTGTACTCCGGGTAAATTTCGACGCTATAAAATTTCGCGATTTTCCAAAATTGCAATTTCGCGGCTATTTAATTTCGCGGATTTGGGTTGATGACATTTCGCGGATTGCACAAATTGAATAATAATAATATTTTTTGAATGAAACATATCAAAAGTCCCGGTGTAAAAGGGTAGGAGGTCCTATCAAATTATGGTCCTACTCTCCATTGATTTATATGGTGACCTAAATACAACTCTTTCCCTTATTATCTTGTACACAATCAGGGCCAGTAAGGGCCGTTTAGAAAGGAGACCATAATTCCCAGGGGACCATAATTTCTTTCACACCGGGTCAAATTCCCGGGGATTTAAAAGACAAATTTCGCGACGATAAATGTTGGCGATTTTACTACATTCGCGAACAAAGCGAAATTAAGTCGCACGCGAACAATACCCGGAGTACAGTAATAGTCTTAATAATACAGTGCATTGTACTGAATCATGTATCATTGTCTCCAAATGTAAGTAAATGATGATGAATTACAGATAATCCCAAATAATTTAGAGGATATGTCATCTTGGATTATAATGCAGTATGTCAATACCATGGTAACCTTATTATGAAATATATAAGCCAGAGTCCTTGATATTCGCAACATGATATTTAGAAACCTCATTAAAACATTACGCAATTTACTAGCATCACTGGCATACAACAATACAGTGTTAGTCTTCATAATGATGTAATATCTAAATATAAAGGTGATCTTGACAATTAGCTAAGTTACATTGACATTGGAAAAAATGATATATGGTCTGCCAGCAGAGCAGAATACCATACAGCTATAGCTATGGATAAAACCACAATCTGTAATTGCCAAGGTTGAATCTAAGGTAAATTACAACCTATTTTGAAACGATAGAAATCTAGTGGAAAATCCCAACAAACTTAGAATTTATGAATCTGTATATGTCCCAATATAATATTTACCATCTATCATCTCGTACACTATATGCCCTTGAATGTAGATAATAAAAGAGAGACATTGGAGATATATCAGTATTTCCACCAATTTAAATATTGGATTAGGAGTTTCAAAGGCAAAAATCATTTAAAGACAAAAAACACAATATTTGAGGTCTAATGGAGTATAATGTATAACCATAAGATAAAATGGCTGCCGTGACTGAGCCAACATGTCCAAAACCAAATCAGATGTAGAATGAAGTGAGTTTAAGTTTTAAAAGTAACTTTGAAGCCCTTTTCTTAAAGTTTGCAGACAAGGATTTTAGCATTTGACTTGAAAATGGCAGTAATTGATCATTAGACACTTTCACAAGCCATTTACATGCATTCATAGTTGAGAAAGAAATCTATAGACTTAGGGATGGGACACAAAAAAGGACTGGAATAACTTCTCATAGGATAAAGGACTGGAATATGGTTCTAATTAAAAACCGTCTCCTTTAGGAGCAATCATTGTGTAACAAATCGTACAATACATATCCAGCAAAATCTGTGTACAGTGAACACCTATTTGAAAACCTAGGTGATTTTTTACTGTGGAGTATGTCTTGAGAAGGGGCATTTACTAGACACAGGTACTAGGTGTTTATTCAAACAAGTTTTTCTGTATTGTGCATTTAGTATAAGAGATTTCTCCTCCAGGAGACAACACTACTACTCTGTAGATCAAATACAACAATTTCAATGACATGATTGTATAATTATATATAAAAATATGGATTGTCTATGCATAAAGTTCTATAAATGGATAGGACATTGTGAAACGTCAATTGAAAAGAGTCATTAATAATATTAAAACATTCAGGAAGTTATTAGTCTGATTGTAAACTATGAATATCAAACTACTTCAAAGATGATCTACATGTTAGCTGTTGAGGTTTGACATCTTCACAAGTAGGCAAGTCAAAACTGAGACAGGGTCACCTGATAACTTAGTTACAAATGACTTTAGGAGATGAGGAAGATTAATCAGTATATATACTTTATTGCTAATCAATTGTTAAATCATTATACATGCATGTAACATGTCAGGCGATCCTGATCATGTCCGGTCCATGCAAACTACATCGTGGGTCCATATTTCATCAATGACTCACCATATTATTGACCTGTCTGGGATGATATGAAAAGGGCAATTTAAATCAAAATCAGCCGATGAAGTAAAGTACATAACTCTCTTTGCAATTAATAACATAAGGCATTAACACCTGGTTGAAATTTAAAAAGTGTAACGATTGTTACAGATACGAAATACTGGTCAGGAAAAATTATGGTTATAAAAGTATGTTACTATTTCTTCACCTCAAGAGTGGTGCCACAGTTCAATGAAGTTTAGTGCCACTGTATATTATAGATAAGACCCTTTAAATGCAACAGTGGTGTATTACTGCAGTAGTTAACTATACATAAGATCCTTTAAGTTTGGTGCAGTAGTTCATTATACATAATACCCTAAAAGTGAGGTGCAGTTAACTATACATAAGACCCTTTAAGTGTGGAGTAGCAGTTCATTATACATTAGACCCTTTAAGGTTTAACATTCAGTACATGGAAGATCACTGAAAGGATAAACCAAATAGAATATCCTTTTCCCATTATTGTAAGCTCTAAAGTAGGATTAAACCAAAGTACCCTGCATTGGTGCATACAGATTGCCCTAATTATATCATGAAGGAACAAGAGTAATATCAAGGTCTATAAAGTATGGCATTTGCTTAGACAATCTAGTTTATTGCAACATACAATGTACCCTGATAAAATATATCAGTAGGAACATTCACTGATACAACTCAGCTGAAATTCTGAGAGATTGGGATACATTCAAATTTAGTCTGGAAGCAGTGTCTTGAAAATATCATGTACTGTTAAAAATTGTCATATTAATTTGTTTTGTCAATAATGAGACATTATAATTGAAAATAGAAAATAATAAGGAATAAATGTTTTCCAGAAATGACTCACTAGTAAAATTGCTGCAAGTACAATCTAATACTTTTTTTCATACGTATCAATAATGATGTTAAAATATTCATCAAAATGCAACAAAAAAGGGACTCCATTTAGTATAGCGAATCCCACTGAATAAAACATATTTCACCAAATTACGCAAAGCCAAATTGTAAATCTTATGATGAAATTGGCATTTTGATGCAAGCAGGCATTTTTCTTGAAATGTCCTCAAGGCACCCACATACCTGTATATGAACTAAAAATATGAACCAAAGGGCCATGTGCAGTATGGCAAGTGATTTTAGACTGTCATAATCTTTCACCATGAGTACTTTCTGGTCATAAATACAGTGCTTTTTATTAAAACAATATGTTTTATTTCAAGTGAAGTCCCAATGATAGTAAAATATCAATCCAAAAATCTCTGAAAAATTATGGATCAGGATCTCAATTCAAACATATCAAAAGTTTCTACTGCACTTAATTAACAATTTTCTGAAAATGGGATGGCATATGAAAAAACAACATATCCCATGTTATTTTCCCATAGGGAAAACTCATGCTATCCATTGTTTTCAGCATAATTTTGGTCATCGAAAATTGATATCTTTAAATCTAGACTTTCAAATCATTCTCTGAAGGAGTTTTAGACCCTTGTTGAATAATCTTTTCATGCAATAAAAATTAGAATTAGAAAAAGAAGATCCTCTTTTGAGTAAATAAGTTCAATATTTTGAAAAAATTGTTGACATATTCATAATTTTTCGAATTGTTCGATTGATACATGTATTTTTATAATCATGGGGATTTCACTTGAAAGAAAACACATTGCTTTAATAAAAAACACTGTATTTATGGCCAGAAAGTGGTCATGGTATTTGAGATATCATAAAATAAATTACATGTATGTGTATATACAAAAAGGCAGCCATTTTGAATTAAGTGGCCATGTTAAAAATTTCTCTTAAGCAGTGGTCCCATTGCCCATAAGACTATCCCTCCTCTTAATGTAATAGGTGTTTCACTAATAGACAATTTTTCTGTATTTTGTCATAAAAGGCTTTGTGCATGATAAATTCAGCTCTACAGTTTCTTTTTTTAGGTTGATGATTTTTCAAAACCATAGTTGTAATGATTGACAAGGTCATATCTACTCAAAACAACCTTGAAACTAACTGAACTAGGTAAACTGTCTTTGAGACATCATGATGATCACTATATAGAGCAGATTTATGATAAAACTTAAGACCTTTGTCATCAATCATATCTATCATGACTAATGATATTCAATTTGATATTTTCTAGTAATTAATGATGTTATAACTTGACCCTCATGACATGCCTTTCAACAAAATCTTGAGCATTGATTTGATATAAATCTATTATGATTTTATTTTATATTTTCAGATGATAAATTTTCTCATATCTTGACCCTCTTCCCATGTCTCTTTAAACAAAACTTTGAAAAAGCTTTATTGGTTTCAAATGAATCTATAGTGAAATGATATGATTTTTGGGTTGATTGTTATATCAAGTCCATGACATAAAAATCCCATAACTGAGTTACATTCACTAGGCCCAGCTCTTTAGAAAAAAAGTAATTAAAAATAACAATTGTTCTTTCTTTATCTTTTTATTAAGGATGTGTGTTCTTTCAGCATGTGTGTTAACATCAGGTTATTTTAAAGATTAAATAATGATCTTTGTACAAAGTAGAGATGCACAATTCCAAAATGAGAAAAATACTTACTTGTTTTTTTGTCCAAGTCCACTTGAAGATATTTATAGGAAGATGCATATCTGCAGTATGTCTGGTTAACGGTTGATTCACGGGGGAGTTGTCTCAGGACCCCCAAACCTCTTAGTGTTTTCTGTATACAAGCCATTGTTGTAACCCTGTCTTAAGTTCCTATAAGATAAACATATATGATTTAATATACCGGTATATCAAAATAATATTATCATTCATTTAAAAATAAATATTGAAGTCTTAATCTTAATTTTGTAGGCTGTGTACTTGGTTAGCAATTATAACAAAAACCATTGCAAATAATCTTAAAAATATTAAAAACAAAACTTTTCATAATTAAATATTAAATATGGAATAAACAAATATAAAACCATTTTGTATTTGCATTTAACATTACATCTAAATTCTTTTATTAATTTCTATAATTTTTATTCTTGATCTCATACCTTACTTTAATATCCACTGTGTTAAAGTAGCACAAAATATAATGTAAATCAGTCAATCAATCTGAACAGTAATTTATATAGATAACTCAGTTCAGTTTAAGTACTTGACTTAATTAAGAAATTATCTCTAAAAAGTTAGCTTGGCCTGATATGACTTTGTCATCCAGGTCATTATGGTGCAAGGCCTTAGTCTTTGTCAAATATATCAGACATACAAAATAGTCCTGCATCAAGCTCTTGTACCCAACCATGCATTCTCTGAAAAATAGGGGGAGGGGGGGGGGGTATAAGAACTTTATACAGCAAGACTAGTACAAGCAAATTTAGTAAAAATCTTGCAAATATTCTAAGGCATCAACATGACAAAATGTCACCACCTAGTTGCTCACAATATTATTAGTTCAATCTTAAGTCAGATTTGAATTCCTGAGAACTTAATTTTGTAGATGATTTTGAAAAAAAATTGGTCAATCAAGTTGAAAAAAGACCTTTTTTGGCCTTGAAAAGGTCACTGAAGGTCTAATTTCTACGAATAAAAAAGTAATAAAAAAAACAAAAAAAAACTTGTAGATGATTTTGAAAAAAATTGAAGTTGGTCTAAACAGTATTTAAGTTATTGGAAGTTTTAAGGATTTGTTACAGACGCCAACCGCCACCCACAGATCGCCAACTGCCATCCGCCGATCGCCAACTGGCGTCACAAAAAAAGGAGACCATAACAATATATGTCACCACTTTTTGGTGTTGACATAAAAAATGAAAGTTAAAAAGTTCACCACTTAAAAATGTTAAGATCTATTTAAAGCAAATAATATAAGCAATTTCCAGAATTAGCTGCACTATACTCATACAACAAGTTGATGAACAATAACCATCAAAGGGAAGTTTCATAACAAAGTCAAAATCATGATGGAAGCAAAAAAATGATCAATATTCTAAGAGCATCTCCTTATTTTAAATACTAAAAAAAGCTGGCATGACTTCAATTTCTTCAGCAAATGCGTGACAAATATGCAAATTGCGGGACGGTTGAACAGCCTGTGTGACCCTTGGTGACCCACTCGAATGGCTATAGTGTATTCTAACAATAACCCAGATGCGAGTAGAAATAATCTTGATTTACGTCATTGAAAATTCAAAATTCAGTCAAAGTAATATCATATTTGAAATCTACATGTAAAATTACATCTAGAAATGTGGTTTTAAAAAGTGTTTATCAACTTTGAAAAATTTATTTTCTTTGAAAAGGTGACTTCTAGCTCGGGGAGATTCGCCATAGACCCCATGCTATAAAATCACAAAAAATGAAATATCTTTTCTTTTAGTGGACAGATAATATTTTGCTTTACTGGACATATTTTCATTAGTATAAGTATCAGACACATAAGGGTTATATGAAAATTGAGCCACTTAAATTGATAATATTCAAGTTTAAGGGAACTTTCTTATATACCTGCCATGTTAATTGACCCGAATCAGCCACCTGGTGGTGAAACTGGTAACTACCTACTCGCATTTGGGTAATTGTCAATGACTGAACATAGAGAAATATGTTAGGATTAATTATCCAGTAAAGTACCAAACTTATTTATGAAATACTTGTGCTATTATTTCATGAGTAATGCTGAAGCAATAGAAAGCATAAAACATATAATTAACATAATCTACAATCTATTAGTAGGCAATATCCTTAGAGTGTATTGCTGGGATTAGCATACGGAATATTCATCACAAATTCTAGCGGCCTATTCTATAGTAATCTTACACATACTGAGTAGGTTTCCAAGCTGCTGTGAGGTTCTAGCTATAAAAGACAGTTTCACCAAAGTAACAATTTACAACACATCGATATATTATTATACAATAATATAATTAAGTGGGATTAAAATATTAAGATAACAAAGCAGGGATTATACAGAGTACAATAGGAATTATATCAATTTGATTATAATTAGTACAATTATATGTTCCTGACAAGGGAAACAACACAACTGTTTAGTTACTTAAGATAGTTGGGATAGTCAGAAAAACTACTAAAAGAATTTAAATTAATATTGATAACTCAATATTGCTTACCATTCAACAACATGGATGACCATGACAAGTCTGTTGAGAAACACGAGATGTCACAGATGCGATTCGACAAAGTAACAGAGCGTAAGATAATGCAATACTTTATGCATGCAATTAATCCACAATCTAGACTGTTTTTCTATTCTATAAATTGTTGAATGGCCTTACAATAGAATTGGCAGCATTATATATCAGTGGCAGATTCAGGAACCAACAAGGGGGGCCCAAATTTCCGGTCTGGGAAAAAAAAATTTGAGCCCCTAAAACCGAAAAGTGGGCACAAATTTTGAGGCCCATTTTATTCAAAATTTGGCCTGAAATTAAAAAATAAGGCCTTAGAAGGCCTAGTAATGACCAAAAAGGCCCAGTTTTTGGGGCCCCCCGGATCTGCCGCTGTATATGCTACAGGTTTGTACATCAAAAGGCTAAATATGAGGGCAAAATGGTTTATAATATTGAAGCCTTTATGAACAGTCATTACTAAAAATAAAATACCTCAAACAAATACAGATCTTTCGAATTCAAGAACAGGCAACTGATCCAATATGAGTTTATTGGTAAATTAACTAAGAATTATGACAACTATAATGGAGTCTGGCTCCATACATATGGAAAAGATGCTTGTATGCCTAATCAGCATAATAGCTATATCCAGACATGATAGTAGTTGCTGAAGTAGTTGTACTTGTATGAGCTCCACTTTAATTATATGTAGCTACTTCATATCAAGCTACTGTAATAATAAAGTGGCCTTTATGAATTATACCCCCAAAACATACTTATCATGAACAGAATTCCATAGGTTTCATAAAATGATCATTTGAATACACGATCAATTAGACTACAATGTTAAAATAATGTTTTTGTGTTTTTGTTTTTGAAAACCATTACATCTATACATTCCCTCATCTAGATATTATACACATTCTTACTGAAGCAGAAACAATCTAAAGTATACTGCCTAAGAATACAGATTGCCCGTCCATTAGCAGCTTAAAGATTGTATTAAAGATGAACATGGTTATAAGCTACACATTATATGCAGATGTATACTAACATAAGAAGTTGTTTTTTTATTGCACCTGCAACACAACTTCCCGCGACTTTCAGTATGAGTGCAACTTTTATAAAGCAGTGCAACTTACCACAACTTCAACACTTCAGCTAGTTTTGATGTAAATATCTATCATAAATTCCTTGATAAGACCACTGAAAATCAGAAGCAAAAAATAAAGATTTCTTGTCTTGTGGAGAATTGGTTGTTTTATTTAGGTTTTACGACATGGCAGGTATCGATTTACATTATCAGGTAATATTGAAAAAAATCGCAAAGTAATCAACTTTCTGTCTATACACGTTACAATATTACGTTACGTCATTACATCAACTATAAAGTAGTTTAATTTGATGGAAACTACACAACAGCAACGCCAAAGCGTAGCAAATCCCATCGAACAGCCATGGCTGGCATTTTTACAAACAAAGTATATAGCAAAAATGGCAGCCATTTTTCAAAACAGCCACCTTCTACCAAAAGTGTCATTAGACAGTGTGCCATGCTTATAGTATTCACATACCAAATATGAACAAAATCGCGCTCCACTACTTTTTCGAGTTATAGTAAAATACATTAATATGGTGGCCATTTTTCAAAATGGCCGCCTTCTACCAAAAGTGTCATTAGACAGTGCAGTGTGCCATGCTTAGTTCACATACCAAATATGAACAAAATTGCTCCACTACTTTACGAGTTACAGCAAAAATCGTAAAATAACGAGTAAAGGTCGCAATTTTTCAAGATGGCTGCCATGTGCTTCTTTAATATCTACATTTCTAGCTTTATTAATGTCCTATATAATTTTTTACATTTAAAACATATTGCTATTACAGTTTTACATATTGCACCTAAATTACTGTAGAATCCGCACTAAAATGGGCACCATTTTTAAATGAACGACCATTTTGAAAATCGCTTTGAAGCAGAACTTCTACCCCCATAGGGTGTATATGTACAAAATATTAACAAAATCGGGCCAACGGTATTTGAGTTATTGCCCAGACAGATGGATGGACATACGGACATCTTGTCATATATACACTGCCCCACGGACGGACGAACGTATGTACGTACTGTACGTACTACATATGTATGGACGGATGCATGGAGGCGTTCCCTATATCCATCTGAACTTCGTTTGATGGGATAACAAAATAAAGGAATCAACAGTTCCCATGCCATCTTAAATGTGAAGGTGACGGCCGTAACCTTCACTTTATACTGACCAGTGATATTCAATGTACACTGTATCTGTATAATACTGATTTAATTTCTCACTTGAATTATTTAGCTGTCATTTCACATAGAGCAAACAGAAATTGATGAAAAACGAATAGTAAGAGCAGTTACAATGATCCCTACCACCAACCACCGACCAGTCATTCTCCACAATTGGGTACACATGGTTGGCTGTCGATCTTTTACATAAAGATGAATAGATGAAAAATTAGAAGAAAATAAAATGAATCCAATGACCATCCAATGTACCTTTACAAAGTGATTGAAATGTGTAGCATCGTCGTGGTCTGTAATGTCATATTTTTTAAGTGACATCTCAATCGTTAAGACATTTTCCTCATACAGTGTTTTGAGGGTACCTGTGGAAAACACTGACTGGTTGGTGGGGTTGATCTGTTTTTTCGTAAACCCCTTACAGTTTATGTTGTGATTTCATTTAGTCAATAACTAACACTGCCATTTCTGAACTTATTCCTTGAAGGCGTAATACAGATTATTCACATATATTGTATGAATATTAATATGACGAATCAAGTGGAACATGATAGAATGTTTAACAAGCTAATTAACATACACTATTTTTTTTACAGAATCACCTCCACAATATAATGAAGCCATACAACCACCTACCGGGGGCCCATATCAACCACAACCAGGTCAATACCAACCACTACCTGCTCAATATCAACCACCACCTGAACAATACCAACCACCACCAGGCCAATACCAGCCACCACCGGGCCAATACCAGCCACCACCGGGCCAATACCAACCACCATCAGGTCAGTATCAGCCGCCACCTGGAGGTATGGCTACAGCACAACCTACGCCATCTGTGCCTGTACAACAAACAACAGTGGTTATACAGAACCAGCAACTTCTGAACATACCAACACAGACAATATGTCAACACTGCAACAATTCTGTGGTTACACAAGTAGAGTATCAATCAGGGACCTGCACTTATATTGCCTGTATAGGACTGTGCCTCATAGGGTAAGTGCATACATGATTGTGTCATATATTGCCTGTATAGGACTGTGCCTCATAGGGTAAGTGCATACATGATTGTGTCATATATTGCCTTATACTGCCTGTATAGGACTGTGCCTCATAGGGTAAGTGCATACATGATTGTGTCATATATTGCCTTATATTGCCTGTATAGGACTGTGCCTCATAGGGTAAGTGCATACATGATTGTGTCATATATTGCCTTATACTGCCTGTATAGACTGTGCCTCATAGGGTAAGTGCATACATGATTGTGTCATATATTGCCTTATACTGCCTGTATAGACTGTGCCTCATAGGGTAAGTGCATACATGATTGTGTCATATATTGCCTTATATTGCCTGTATAGGACTGTGCCTTATAGGGTAAGTGCATGTATGATTGTGTCATATATTGTCTTATATTGCCTGTATAGGACTGTGCCTTATAGGGTAAGTGCATACAAGATTGTGTCACATATTGCCATGTATTGCCTGTATATATAGGACTATGCCTCATAGGGTAACTGCATATATGATTGTGTCATATATTGCCTGTATGAGGACTGTGCCTCATAGGGTAGTTACACACATGATTGTGTCATATATTGCCATGTATTGCCTGTATGAGGACTGTGCCTCATAGGGTAAGTGCATATATGATTGTGTCATATATTGCTTGTATGAGGACTGTGTCTCATAGGGTAGTTGCACACATGATTGTGTCATATATTGCCATGTATTGCGTGTATATATAGGACTATGCCTCATAGGGTAACTGCATATATGATTGTGTCATATATTGCCTGTATGAGGACTATGCCTCATAGGGTAGTTACACACATGATTGTGTCATATATTACCATGTATTGCCTGTATATATAGGACTATGCCTCATAGGGTAACTGCATATATGATTGTGTCATATATTGCCTGTATGAGGACTGTGCCTCATAGGGTAGTTACACACATGATTGTGTCATATATTGCCATGTATTGCCTGTATGAGGACTGTGCCTCATAGGGTAAGTGCATATATGATTGTGTCATATATTGCTTGTATGAGGACTGTGTCTCATAGGGTAGTTGCACACATGATTGTGTCATATATTGCCATGTATTGCCTGTATATAGGACTATGCCTCATAGGGTAACTGCATATATGATTGTGTCATATATTGCCTGTATGAGGACTGTGCCTCATAGGGTAGTTACACACACGATTGTGTCATATATTGCCATGTATTGCCTGTATATATAGGACTATGCCTCATAGGGTAACTCCATATATGATTGTGTCATATATTGCCTGTATGAGGACTGTGCCTCATAGGGTAAGTGCATATATGATTGTGTCATATATTGTCTGTATGAGGACTGTGCCTCATAGGGTAGTTACACACATGATTGTGTCATATATTGCCATGTATTGCCTGTATATATAGGACTATGCCTCATAGGGTAACTCCATATATGATTGTGTCATATATTGCCTGTATGAGGACTGTGCCTCATAGTGTAAGTGCATATATGATTGTGTCATATATTGTCTGCATGAGGACTGTGCCTCATAGGGTAGTAACACACATGATTGTGTCATATATTGCCATGTATTGCCTGTATATATAGGACTATGCTTCATAGGGTAACTGCATATATGATTGTGTCATATGTTGCCTGTATGAGGACTGTGTCTCATAGGGTAGTTACACACATGATAGTGTCATATATTGCCTGTATGGGAGTGTGCCACATAGGGTAAGTGCATACCCAATTGTGTCATATATTGACTTATACTGCTTGTATATAGGAGCAGTAGAAGTACCCCATATGTTGCAGATAGGCAAGAAATAAGGTGAAATGTAAGTTTGTGTTGGTATTCTCAATTGATAAACATATCAAACTTATCAAAAATATATATTTTATTATTGATTTTAAGCCTTCAGATAGGTGCAAAATTGAAATTTTCCACTATTTAAAATCACAAGTTTTGTTTTTCCATGTTTCAGGTGTGCAACTGGTTTTTCTCAGCATATTTTGATTAAATCACATGTTTAGCATACCTGGTTGTTATCAGCATTTGATTAAATGACATGTTTTTCATGTTTCAGGTGTGCAACTGGTTGTTCCCAGCATATATTGATTAAATCACATGTTGTGCATACCTGGTTGTTCTCAGCATTTGATTAATTCACATGTTTTGCATGTTTTAGGCGTGCAGCTGGTTGTTCTCAGCATTTGATTAAATCACATGTTTTGCATGTTTTAGATATGCAGCTGGTTGTTAACAAGATATTTTTTATGAATGCACATGTTTTGCATTTTTCAGATGTAGTTGTTTCCAGGATATTTTTAAATGAAAGCACAAATTTTGCATGTTTCAGGTGTGCTGGTTGTTCCCAGTGTATTTTGAATTAAGTACATATTTTGCATGTTTGAGGTGTAGAGCTGGTTGTTCCCAGGGTCTTTTGATGAAAGAATATGTTTCTTTGTATGTTTAGGTGTGCAGCTGGTTTAATGCCAATATATTTTGATTAAAGCACAAGTTTTTGCATGTTCTAAGTATGCAGCTGTTTGTTCCTAAGGTATTTCAATGAAAGCATACATTTTGCATTTTTTAGATGTGGAGCTGGTTGTTCCCAGGGTATTTTTACAAAAGCACATATCTTTGTATATTTTAGGTATTTTGATTAAAGTACATGTTTTAGGTGTGGAGCTGGTTGTTCCAGGGTATTTTTTATGAAAGCGCACATTTTAGGTATGGAGCTGGTTGTTCCAAGGGTATTTTTACTAAAGCACATGTTTTTGCATATTTTAGGTGTGGAGCTGGTTGTTCCAGGGTATTTTTATGAAAGCACATGTTTTGGATGTTTTAGGTGTGGAGCTGGTTGTTCCAGGGTATTTTTATGAAAGCACATGTTTTGGATGTTTTAGGTGTGGAGCTGGTTGTTCCAGGGTATTTTTATGAAAGCACATGTTTTGGATGTTTTAGGTGAGGAGCTGGTTGTTCCAGGGTATTTTTATGAAAGCACATGTTTTGGATGTTTTAGGTGTGGAGCTGATTGTTCCAGGGTATTTTTATGAAAGCACATGTTTTGGATGTTTTAGGTGTGGAGCTGGTTGTTCCAGGGTATTTTTATGAAAGCACATGTTTTGGATGTTTTAGGTGTGGAGCTGGTTGTTCCAGGGTATTTTTATGAAAGCACATGTATTGGATGTTTTAGGTGAGGAGCTGGTTGTTCCAGGGTATTTTTATGAAAGCACATGTTTTGGATGTTTTAGGTGTGGAGCTGATTGTTCCAGGGTATTTTTATGAAAGCACATGTTTTGGATGTTTTAGGTGTGGAGCTGGTTGTTCCAGGGTATTTTTATGAAAGCACATGTTTTGGATGTTTTAGGTGTGGAGCTGGTTGTTCCAGGGTATTTTTTATGAAAGCACATGTTTTGTATGTTTTAGGTGTGGAGCTGATTGTTCCAGGGTATTTTTATGAAAGCACATGTTTTGGATGTTTTAGGTGTGGAGCTGGTTGTTCCAGGGTATTTTTATGAAAGCACATGTTTTGGATGTCTTAGGTGTGGAGCTGGTTGTTCCAGGGTATTTTTTATGAAAGCACATGTTTTGTATGTTTTAGGTGTGGAGCTGGTTGTTCCAGGGTATTTTTATGAAAGCACATGTTTTGGATGTTTTAGGTGTGGAGCTGGTTGTTCCAGGGTATTTTTATGAAAGCACATGTTTTGGATGTTTTAAGTGTGGAGCTGGTTGTTCCAGGGTATTTTTTATGAAAGCACATATTTTGGATGTTTTAGGTGTGGAGCTGGTTGTTCCAGGGTATTTTTATGAAAGCACATATTTTGGATGTTTTAGGTGTGGAGCTGGTTGTTCCAGGGTATTTTTATGAAAGCACATGTTTTGTATGTTTTAGGTGTGGAGCTGGTTGTTCCAGGGTATTTTTATGAAAGCACATGTTTTGGATGTTTTAGGTGTGGAGCTGGTTGTTCCAGGGTATTTTTATGAAAGCACATGTTTTGGATGTTTTAGGTGTGGAGCTGGTTGTTCCAGGGTATTTTTTATGAAAGCACATATTTTGGATGTTTTAGGTGTGGAGCTGGTTGTTCCAGGGTATTTTTATGAAAGCACATATTTTGGATGTTTTAGGTGTGGAGCTGGTTGTTCCAGGGTATTTTTTATGAAAGCACATATTTTGGATGTTTTAGGTGTGTGGCTGGTTATTCCCAGTGCATTTTGATTTTTGCATATGTTAGGTGTGTAGCTGTTGTTCCAAAAATATTATTATGAAAACATATTCTTCAGGTGTGGAGCTGGGTGTTGTCTGATTCCATTTTGCATGGATGGCTGTAAAGATGTACTCCACACGTGCCCACAATGCCACCAGATTATAGGTCAGAAATCTGGCTGTTAGGGTGAATCATTGCCAACTACATCATCCCTTCTAAAGTTAACATGGTCATGTAGATAAAAACGTGACCTAAAAATATCAGTAGTTGATAGGAACAGGACAGGATGGGACAACCCATGTGTTCTGAAGATTTTGATCCATCATCTGGACAATAAAAGAATGAAATAAAACAAAAAACAATTCAAGGAAATGAAAAATTAAACAATGAACACTGAACCCTATAGCCTGTTGAATCTTGTTGATTTCCACAATGGCTTGACACCACCTCCTGAAATACAAAATTCCAATAGTGACCTTTTGTCACACAACTCTTATTTGATAATCTCCAGATAAGGCTTTCCGCATTCCATCAGGGAAATCAATAAGATGCCATGATATGTTTTCGTTTGAGCGATACATCTTTGATACTGACTGAATACATGTTACTTTTTAATTAAATGATAAGACATAAGCTACAACAATTACGGTATATTGATTAAGAGCTGTACTCTGATGAATCAAGCACCATTAGTACAGTACAGAGTAATACAACTGAGATGAACAATATGATTTGTGAGGAAAATGTATTACATATAATATGTGAGGAAACATAGAATATATGTACAAATGTATAGCATACAAAATGTGAGGAAATATATAACATAAAGCCCCGTTTACACTGACCAGTCTACTATTTTGATCCCCATGTGTATTTCCAATGGGAGAAAAGACCAACGGTCTCAACAGGACTCCATCGGACTCCACAGGTCTCAGGAGGACACATTGGGCTATCGTGAAAATAGACTTTTGATCATCACCGGTATCTAGAGTCCTGTAAAAAAGACCTGTCAGTGTAAACCAGGCATAATATTACATAATATGTGAAAAGATATATTACATATGATATCTGAGGAAATGCATTGTGAAATGTGAAAAAATCATTACATAAAACATGTGAGGAAATATATAACATTGAAGAAATGTATTTACATAAGAGATGCGAGGAAATGATATGAGAGGAAATGTATGACATATGATAAGTGCGAAAAGGAAGTGTATGACATATGATAAGTACGGATATGTATTACATAGAAGATGCGAGAACAGATGGATGGACGAACGGCTTTCCTATATCCCACTGGAACTTTGTTCGATGGGATAATACTGTCAGAGCATATTATTCTGAGCAACTACATGTTATAGTTACACATTAATTAGCTGATAACAGCTTATATTGTCAATTGCCCTATCAAGTTTTAATTGGGTTTTGAAGAGCATAGTGAAACAAAACAATTTGCAGACTTATACTTTATTTTTGTATGCTAATGAATTGCGTTATGTTTTAATGAGGTTTCTCCCAGGGTATCACTCATAAAAAGAACAATAAGCCCTGCAGTGCTCATTACATGCTTATGTGTTTTCAACAAAAAAGCTCATTCAAGCACACTAACACTCATATAATTCTTCTGAAAGACATCATGGATTATTGCAATTAAAAATCCTGTAGTGCACTTGCAACAACCCAGCGCGGTTGACACACGCGAGCAGTCGACAGCATAGTTAGAGTTTAAGTGCGCTTGGATGAACTGCTTTTGTTGAAAACGTGTGAGCATGTAATTTGCAATGCATCGACTCATTGTTATTTTTCGTGATACAAAGGAGAAATACTTGTTATATACTATGCAATGCACTCACCCATTGGCAGTTCAAAATGCACCCTTAAGCTGAATTTTTGTATACCCGCAGTGCTGGTGAATTGCATAATATTTCAAAGAGGTTTCTCCCATGGTATCATTAAAAAGAACAATAAGCCCTGCAGTGCTCATTACATGCTTATGTGTTTTCAACAAAAGAGCTTTCTTTTGAAAAACATCACGATTTATTGCAATCGAACTCCTGTGGTGCACTAGCAACAAGCTGGTGCAGTTTACACACGTGAGCAGCCGACAACATTGCCGCAGCGCAATTAGTGGTTTAAGTGTGCTTGGATGAACTGCTTTTGGATGGTATCACAGATTTAACTTGATGGGATATATGTAAAACAACATTTACCTTTGTATGCATTCTTATATCCTGAGTTAACTCGACCTCAAAGTTTCAGCATGTCATATTTTTGTGATCCATGGGAGGGGTCTCTCTGTCGCCAATTTGATGACTTCATCTGAACACAAATATGCTTAAAATTAAAAGAATGTAAAAATGGGAGAAATGTTTTCCCCAAAATATGTTTTTAAGAAGTGTGCATTAGATGGTGGTGCTTACGTTTTATTTTAAATACTATATATTGTTATGTACATTTTAATATATTTTTTGAAAGGTGAAATTTTTTAATTAAAGAAGTAGAAGGACTAAGAAGGGATAGAGATGAGCTAAGATATTGTTTAGAAAGATGCCTATAATTTTATAATATTTTAGCTCAGTCATCATTCCTTGTCACACCTATTTTCTCAAAAGTCCAAAGTTCTTACTTTATTCCAGAAGAATCCTTTAATGCTTAAGGTTCTGCCAAAAGAAACTGATTAAAAAGAAAATGCCCCCTTTTCATTTCAAATAAAGTAGGACAGTTCCCATCTAATATCTTCAATTCTTTTATATTTGACCAAATATTTCAATTTTTTTCAGAAAATAAATATTCAGGTTGAAAGCGAGCATTGGCATGCTTTTTGAGGATTGCTTCAAACATGTTATACCCCTTCTACTCTACCCCTTCTACTTCCTTAAATGGGTTCAATAAAGAACCCTCTAATAATCATGCTTGTATTTCTATTAATCTATTTTATATTGTGTATTGAATGTATTGATTAAATTATAAAAAAATGAAAAAAAATAAATACATGTTTAAAGAAAAACATAATAACAGTATCAATCTTTTAAATTAAAACTGTTCCATAACATAAAACATTATGCTGAAGCATTTTCTAGTTATGAGTCACATTGATTCTGACAGTGTACTGTTGATATTCAGCCAGAGATATGACTAAAACATCAGCTTCATAAAAAGTACTTACACTTTCTCCGATTCATATACTGTAGAACTTTTACATATGCAAAAGGTTAAGGTGATGGTTCAAGAAAACATTTTTGAAAAATTGCTGTACCTGCCCATGTTATTTTCAGATACAAAATAAAGTATGAAGGCATGTGAGCATTTCCTTGCTTTTTCTCCTTATATTGCCTTCTTTTAGTAAAACTGGAAAGAGGTCAATGGTAACTCCAGGAAATGCTGATATTTCAAGAAAAAACATTCAAATCCAATTTTTAAATTTTTACCCCCACCTTGGCACTTTTTTTAGAAATGTTAGGCTTATTTCTTTTCTATCCATTGTTTTCAGCATAATTTTGGTCATCGAAAATTGATATCTTCAAAACTAGACTTTCAAGCAATTCTACTTTTGAAGATATTTTAGACCCCTTGTTGAATAATTTTTTCATGCAATAAAAATCAGAAAAAGAAGATACTCTTTTGAGTAAATAGGTTCAGCATTTTGGAAATATTTTTGACATGGGGTCCCAGCAGCTATGTTAACACGAGCAATATATAAATGAGGGCATATACAAGTAAAAATGTGGAGAAACTACAAAATTATTGACAAAGTTGGTTCAAACTTTTTTTGATTATGAAGCATGATTATGTCATGGTCAATTTAATATGAAAAATAGATGTGAACTAATTTTTAGGCCTCAGTATACATGACCACCTTAAAGGGACATTCCTGCCCAGACCATTTCTATCCTGATATGATAGCCATAATCATATATGCAGGGTGGGTGAAAAAAATTGGAACATTTTATGTACAATGTAACTTTTTTGTACGTTGTGTATTATTTTAAATACTTTAGGAAATTGAATGACAATTCATTGTCAACATCTTGTGTGAATATGAATATACAAGCTCAACATTTTACTAATCGATCAATATCGACCATTTAAAAATGAATTGCCAATTTCCAGTAAGCTGCCATCAGGAAGTGATGACATCTATTCTCAAATTTCATAACCTTGCTTATAACAGTATAGGAAAGTAGCACAAAATCACTTCCTAGACATTAAGTGATGTTTACTTTAATTGCAAACATATTTTCAGAGCTTGTCAGCTTAGAATTTTAGATGGATTAAACCATAGACAAAATTGCAAAAGAATATTCAGCTGGTTTTGTAATTCTTAATAGCTGACATCACATACTGAGTAAAATCTCAAAAGATGGCAGCCTACTAGAATTGAGCACTACATTTATATATGACAAATATTGACCATATCAAAACATTTTTCTATGTTTTGCTAAACATGGAAAATATATATATGGTTATAGCTACCATATTAGGAGAGAAATGGTCCAGCAGGAAATGTAAAAAATCGTTGATTTTCATAGGATGTGTAATGTGAATATCCCTTTAAATGTGTGATGTTGAATGTGGCTACTTACAACTGATTTTGGTGGTGGTTAAATGTCCAGACATATACAATTTTTAAGAGCAACTGTCATTTTGAACCTTTTTACCAAATATGAGTCATACTGGTCTAACCAGAACTAAAGTCCTGTATCCTGTACCAGAACTATAGTCTTGAGATCTTAGGTTATGTCTGATGTCCACCCATTTTATTACAATTTGGTAGTTTGAGGCACGTATAATTGTCTGGATTTGTCAGCAAGTTTTCGCCTGAATGGATGAACAGATAGATGGACCAACTGACTGACAAAATGAATGATAGACATCTTCACTATATCCCTACAGAACTTTCTTTACTTGGATAATAAACATATAAAATAATAAATAGAAAAATATGTTTTTTAACTGTTTATTTACAATAATGAAAAGCTAACATAACATGCAACCAGTTCAGAGATCATAAATAAAAAAACGTTACATTGGCTTGGTTATTACAAATTGTTCTTAGTTTTGTGGATTGAATCATGAGATCACCTACAGACTATTGAATGATGAAAATTTTTACTCTTCAGTTTTAACAAAGAGAAGAACTTGTTACTAGCGATCAAATTTAGGATTTTAAGTAATGGCTCCCAGTGTCACAAAATGAGTAATACAAGGTACAGATACATTAAATTATCTTTAGCTATTTTAATAAGCATCATAACTTTATCACATTGTATTGATCCAAATAAACCAAACTCATGTTACACTTTCAAACCATATCTGTATAGATACAATAGCTCTGCTCGGGAGTAAATAGTATGGAATATATATAATACAATACATATTTGTTAAACTTCTATTTGACATATTGATATATGAAGTCATGGAAAAGTTTTGATTTTAAATAATTAATACAAAAATGTATTAAGCTCAGGATTTTATAGTAAACATTTTAAAATTTAAAGCTCATTTCATACTAAGCATATCAATTTATTTACAATACAAAAATAGTTATATACTTATATAATATTTTATAGCCAATATGTAGTCTGGACAGCTATTGGCAGTAACTTTATAATTGCCCGACTAACTGAATGCTGTAAATGCTGTCAATGAAAACTCTTTAATAAATGTGGACTCAGATTATAGATAAATAAATATTCAAAATTCTGACCTGCCTGCCATTAGATTCTCTTCAGAATACATATGTGGTATAAAATAAAATAAAAACAAATAGAGATTGCCACCTTTCCTTGAATATCAGATGCACTCTGCATTCCCTGGTGCGGGAAAAATAGTTTGCTTCAATGGCAGTCACTATCTGTACATTATACATCCAATTCTACTCAAAGTATTAGTAAGTATATGTACAAAGCTAAGAGACCAGTAGATGTACACAATGTAGAACCATTGGACAACAGCGAGTGTATAACCATCAGTCAATGGTTAATAGTCATACATTACACACTGTATAACCATTAGATATACACACTATATAACACCATTGGATATACACACTGTATAAGCCACTAAAAACACACACCTTATATACTCTTAATATCATATACTTTCTTGCCTTAAAATTGGACAATAATATCATATTTGAAATAAATCATAATATGGCTGTATATGTATGTACATAGGAAAAACCCTAGCTCTTAAAACCTTTATATATATTTCAATAAATGAAACCTAACAAAATTAAACATCTAAATACATTTTGACCTTAAGACAAGGCACACACAAACAATAAAGAATAAAAGAGAAAAAGAGTACAGATACACAGTATAAAATATGTTTAATTAAATGACTGTTTTAGCTTGGAATTGTATGACTGGTCAAACAAGCTTTCATAATATAATATTAGGAAATACCAAAAGAACCTGAGACTCATTTGTTGAATATTTTCATTATAATTGTGTGACCATCTCACTTTTTCTTTCAAATCAGGAACCTATAGTATAGATGTTTACTCAAATAAAAGACAAAAAGAGAATATAGATAAACAACAAAGTTTCTCAATCCTAGTAAATCAATAACTTATTACTGTACAAGTAATTTTTTTAAGCTTTCATATTTTCAGGAAATCGCTTGTACAGAAATCGAGTGATGGTGAAAGTAACAGTTTGTTTATGTATTAAAAATATTTTTGGTTCATTTGGCATTATAATAAACAACACTACCTTTTACTTTACAGTAACTCCTCATTGATAGGTGGGATAATCTAATACTCTTTAAAATATATAACATATGTATAATATGTGTAGTTGACTAACTATATAACAAAATCAGATACACTTTCGAGTTGTTTGAAAATGCACAATATATAATGGCAAAAATATCTAATAATAATAAAAAGGGGCATTTATATTATGCTTATGATATATATTTGTCATTTGGAATAAGGTAAAATATTGGATAAGATAAATATATAAGATAAAATGTCTTTAAAACTCACATCATATCAAAAAGGGTTATGCAATAAAAAGTATTATTATATCACTGTCATATTCCTCACTCTTTGATTGGTCCATGTCCTAAAAAAGCCATATTCAATTGAAGTCACATGATTTTTGCTGAACATCAAATGATATTCACCAGTCACGACTTAGTCCAGTGTAATTTTTATTTTATATATACCAGGGAGTACATTTTTATGATTAATTAGGGGAGGCATCAAAAGTTCAATGTCTGATAGGAAACTAAATAAATCTAGTTTTGAGTTGGACCCCCCCCCCCCTCCCCCTCAAAACTAAATACAATGAAAGTTGATCGCGGACTTTTCACATGTTTTAGCGACTCAATTTGGACTTTCATGGGGCTAGTACTATAACTTATTTATGATTCTTAAAACATGTGCCAACAACAATAGGCATAATATTCCATGTTGCATGCATCTTGGTGAAGAAGGCATCTGGTAAAGTCTTTATTTTTAAACCATTCCAAGGCATTTCGAGTCGAAATTGGGAAAAATTTAAATGTTGAAATTTGTCGGATAGCAAACTGAAATAGCTTTGACCCCCTCCCCCCCAAACTAGATTTATTTAGTTTTCTATCAGACATTGATCTTTTGATGCCTCCCCTTAGAGATCAATAGTTTGTTATTCCATTAATTTGAACAAGGAATATTACAGTGAATAATAAAACAAATATTCAATTCTATTTTTGGTGATAATACCAGTGACACTTTCACAAGATGTTATTCAACTAGACCTTCAGGCTTCGTGGAATATCTCTTGTAAAAGATGCACAGGTATTCACCTCAACAGAATTTATTTATATAACATTTTATATTATGCTATGATTAAAATGTAATCCACAAACTGGATAGTTTTAAAACTAGAATAGACTACATGTACCATGCTCTCCTTGTATCAAATAAATAAATGACTTTTCCTTCAACCATTCTTTTTCGGGGGTATATGTTGTGGTTTTTTCACCTCTTCAATAGATAAATACTGCCCATGTACCTTACAGATACACTGTTCAATGTTTAGATCTTGCCCAAACTCTATGCCCCTCCCTCTCATATATATATATTTTAACCTAGATTGAGCAATGTATACATGTATGGATGGACGGGTACACAAAATCTCAAATATCAAATTGTGTAAATCTTATGTCATAGCCTATTTGTGACATGTATGTTCTTATAAGCCTTGAGCGTTAATTGCAAATTTTAATATCCTGATGCTTTCAGCAGCTGAAGAGGTAAAATATGGCAAATGTTTCATATGTGTGTTAATAACCTCATATTAATAAAACTACATGCTTATTACCCCTTTAAAGAATGTATCCTTTTAGCTGAAAATTGTGAGAATGGCATTTGTCTAATGGATGAGTATCTACATCCATTATGAGTGAATTATAATTAATTGTTTCATTATTTATGTGTTCCATTTAAAGTAGCAGATCTCTGTAAGTCACGCCTAACCATCGCGTAAGCAGGCGTCACCGTACAGCGTCAAAAAATACAGTAGTACAGTTTTCTGTACGGTGACGGAAATTAACTGAGTTAAAGCAAAAACTATAATGAGGGTTTTAAAAAGATTAATTAGATGAAAATAAATACGATTTCGGGTGTAATAAAAACAGCATTCTCTTAGGAATGGTTTTAACTTTCTAATTATGATAAAAGTTTTTCGAGCACTGCTCGGATTTTTTCTGACTGGATCGGCCCACATAATCGACTCGAGAGAAAAATGGTGTTTTTTCACTTTTCGTTTGGTTATTATTTTCCCTGTCGTCTGAGAGTATGGATTATTTTTATGAGAATATGTATTTGTTATCTACACATTTTAGAACAGATGAATATTCGGCAAATAATCATTCAGTGTATTTATTTAAAAAAGATCAGAACTGTACGGTGACGCATCAGCTGTACGGTGACGCTTACTTAGATTTTATGAAGTGCTCCAAGCTTACTGTTCGAACAAGAGGTAAAGAAGCGTCAGATCTACATGTACATTATCACTGGTAAGTATCAAGCGAAGGTTACAGCCGTCACCTTCGCATTTAAGATGGCGGACAGGAAGTATTAATTTCGATATTTTTAGTTTTCATGGAATCAACTATTTGAAAGTTGACGTAATGCTTTGGTATCATTTGAACTAAACAAGGCAAGATATTGCATCTTTCATCCTAAAAGGTCACACGTGCAAGATGAGATTTACTTGTGACATCCCTTGTTTTAAAACATCAATAACATAGCAACAAGAGAGTTTTTGGTTTCATGATCTTTACCGTATCATACATTTCCAGTAACCTTCCATTAAGCTGTGGAAGATATCGTTGAACTATAGCGCCCATGCACTATATATGAACAAATGATCATACTCCAGAGTTTCCATTTCATACAATCTTAGTCTCATTTAGTTCATCAAAGCATAGCGTCACCGTACAGCTGGTGCGTCACCGTACAAATTTGATCTTTTTAAATATACATAATGAATGGTTGTTTGCTGAATCTTCGCCCGTTCTAAAATGTGTAAGTAACAAATACATATTCTCATAAAAATAATCCATACTCTCAGACGGTAGGGAAAATAATAACCAAACAAAATGTGAAAAACAACCTTTTTTCACTCTGGTCGATTATGTGGGCCGATTCACTCAGAAAAAATCCGAACAGTGCTCGTAAAACGTTTATCATAATCAGAAAGTTAAAACCATTTCTAAGAGAATGCTGTTTTTATTTCACATGAAATCGTATTAGTTTTCATCAAATTAATTTTTTTAAACCCTTGTCATAGTTTTTGCTTCAAAGCAGTTAATTTGCGTTACCGTACAGAAAACTGTACTCCGCTATTTTTTGACGCTGTACGGTGACGCCTGCTTACGCGATGGTAAGGCGTGAAGTAACATGCATGTGTACCAATTAACATTGACACATGTTATATGGACACATTGTGATACGAGCACATTTTACATGGGCAATGTTATATGGACACATGCTTCATGGACACATGTGGTCACATAATAAATGGACACAGGTTACATGCGGCTGTATCTGGACACCTGTTGTCTGCAGTTAGGACATGTGTGGACGCAATCTTTGGCTCCATCAATACAGAATGGAATAAAACAGCATCCCAAATCACATCTACAATAGAATGTAAACATGCATTAACTAAACTTAAATACTTAATTACTTATGAACTCATTCAAATGACATGACAATATAATCAATCCTTGGGGGCAAATCATCATTGGACTTACATCTATTTATAATATCAAATGAATATATTCTCAGATATTTCCTGTTAGCAGTTAGCACTGGTGTGAAATATAAATTGTTACTGAGGGTTTGTCTTAATAATAAAATGGAAACTGGAATTTCATTGATTTTTCATTTATAACTATTCACCTGTTTAAGTTTAATTTTTATCAATTTATTTCATCAATTAAACTCAATTATTCAGAATGTTCATTTAAAAATTCCATATCAATAAATAGTATTCTATATTAAGAAATATGTCAAAAGAAATATGTCAAAATCTAAATTCTGATACTATCCAACATGATTTATTAACCTAAAATTTCAGACTGAGAATATTAACATGTCGAGAGAAATACTTACATTAATTTTGAAAGGGAAATAATATGGATATAATGGATAAAGAGAACATGTTGAAGACTGTCTGTCATTAACATATTTATGAAGTCTTTTTCATTATTGTACCAAAGAATTAAATCCATATTCCTTCCCAAGTGTAAATAATATTATTCTAATATCCTTTACCACATTCTATGAAAATCAACGATTTTTTTTATATATCCTGCTAAAACATTTCTCTCCTGATATGGTAGCTATGATCATATATTATATACTTTCTATATTTGCGTGACGGACACCGGTGTATGGCGCGGCCCACCTCCAACGGATCGCGGAATATGGAAGGGCCCCGACCCACCTGGCAAGGAATGGCAAACGTGGCTCGGAAATAATCAGCTTCGGAGAAAGAAGGCGGCGGCGAAACAAAAGGAATACGTCAACACGGTCCCCACAAGACCCGATACAACGCGTGACAACGCCAGCACACGACCCAGAAGCAGTGGCCTAAGAGGAATTGAGTATGAGGAAGTGAGGGTACTTTATTTAGAAAATATTTATCAATCAAGTGAGGAGGATGACGAGGATACAATCAATAATGTGAAACGTTTTGCAGTTGATAATAATATTAGATTGAAACAAATACATGTTGTGCATAACCGGATTTCTTGTGACAAAGTTGGATGTAAAATAACGATACCTAAACACCAGGTAGATAGGGCTTTGTGTGTTGACTTGTGGCCTGTTCCTATTAGATGTAGGGAATGGGAACGTCGAAGACGACGTTATGTTGACAACGATGACAGAAGTGACGTTGATTTGAGGCCGAGATACAACTTTTAACTATGTGTTTCACCTTCAAGATTATTCTCTTATTGCATCTACTCCTTGTTGTCACTTTAATACAGTTAATGGTATCAATATCGCAATGGAACATAAATGGTCTGAATTCATCGGAGGTGTACCTGAGAGATCTTCTTAGATCGAGTGATATAGTTGCTGTTTCAGAGCACCGTTTATTTGAATGTAACCTTAATAAATTGAGCTCTGTAGACTCTGATTTTAATACTCTTGCTTTTAGCTGTAAATCACTTGACTCAATGCAATGCGGGCTAACATGGGGACATGGAGGCATAGCCTTATTGTGGCGAAAATCTTTAAAATACCCCGTGTCACCGATTAGAAAATTCTGCACTGACAGAATCGCATGTATTAAGGTTGAAACAAATGTACCAATTTATGTATTTTCTGTATATCTGCCACAAGAAGGTTGCAAAAATGATATTTTTGAGGATGTTTTGAATTTTCTCGAAGAGTGTGTAAACCAATGCAAACGAGATGCAAATTGTATTATTGCTGGTGATTTTAATGCCAATTTAGGCAATTTATATGAAACGCGACGGTCTACTGGTAAACATAGTTTTAATGGTCTTTTGTTGTTTCAAATGTTGCAACGCAACGGATTAGTAGCCGTTGATATGCAAAATAGTTCACAAGGTCCATGTCATACATATGAAACTGCCACTGGGCACAGAACTTATATAGACCATATTGTACTGTCTGAATCTTTATTAGAACATGTAAATAGCTGTGACGTATTGGTTAGCGCTCACACTGCAGATTTTGGTCATTTGGCGATTAGGAGTGTGATTGACCTGCCATCTTTAAAACATGTATTTAATTCAGCGCCTAACTGTGTAATGAAAATTTATGCTTGGAATAGGGTGACTAAAAATGGCATTACAGAATTGTTTACGTGTCCAATGCAAACTGATTTAAAACATTTAATTAACGAAATATCAACCTCTAGCAATACTGACAGTGATACCATAGATAACTACATTGATAGGTTAATCAAATTAATCAATTGTAGAGCCGATATAGTTATTCCACTTAAAAAATTCATGAAACATCAGAAACCATTTTGGAACAGCCATTTAACTCGGCTGAAGAAACAACAGAAACGGGCTTGGCATGTTTGGGTGAATGCAGGGAGACCGAGGGATGTTATGGATACCACAAGAAAGATTTACAAGGACTCAAAGAGGATATTCCGGGCGGCTTTTAACAAATACAAGGTCGAGTACGAGCACAAAAAGTTAAATGATTTATACGAACTTGACGAAATGGACCAACGAACATTCTGGTATCTTTTGAATAAAAGTCGACAGTGTAATAATAAATCAACAGGCGCTGTTAGAGCGGACAATGGGGAAATTATAATGGATCCTTCTGCAGTTTGTAATGAATGGCAATCATATTTTTGTAAGTTGGCTTCATTTGACCATAGGGATATTTTTGATAATCATTTTGAAAACGAGGTTGTTTCTGACATGAATATGATGAAAATGAATTCTGTATTTAATAAAGATGGTATTTTAGACACTGATTTTACGACTGAGGAAGTTAATAAGTGTATACTAAAATTGAATAATAATAGAGCTGCCGGTCACGATGGTTTAAATGCTGAACATATTAAATATGGTGGCCCATGTATGACTACTTTTCTAACACTGCTTTTTAACGTTATTCGTGTTAGTGAATATATTCCAGAAAACTTTTGTACAGGAATTCTTATTCCTCTTTTAAAGTCAGGTAACAAAGATTGCCTTAACAAAGACCACCACAGAGGTATAACGTTAATGAGTATTTTAAGAAAACTATTTGATAATATTGTACTTGCTAGGATGCTCCCAAGGCTCAGAAATGCTATCCCTCAACTTCAGGGTGCTTCAGTCGAAAAGTGTTCTTCACTTCACACATCTTTTTTGCTTCAGGAAGTCATATCACATAATGTTAAAGAAGGAGTATTTTTGGCGTTAATGGACATTCGGAAAGCCTTCGATGGTACCTGGATTGATGGGCTGTTCTGGAAACTGTACCAAACCGGAATTAATGGACTTGCTTGGCGTATCTTATATCAGTCATATTGCAAATATAAATGTAGAGTTCTTGTAAATGGTGTAATGAATTCTGAATCTTTCTACGTGCGTAGGGGAGTCCACCAAGGCGGCGTCTGCAGTATGCATCTCTACCAATTCTTCATTGCCGACCTCTTAAATGACTTAATAGACAGTAATTGTATTGCAAAGATTGGGGGACACCCTGTAGGCTGCCCTGCATACGCCGATGATCTCGCGCTAATAACTACTGAACCAGAATATATGAATACACTACTTAAGGTTGCACATGAATACAGCAGACGTTGGCGGTTTGAATTCCACCCAGATAAATGTGTAATAATGACTTATGGTCCAGCTAAAAGGACATTGTACGATTTCAAACTCGGGACAGCATCCCTTAAAACTGTTCAGACAGCTCAACACGTTGGAATCCCTCTTGGTAAAACAAAAGATCATGTGAAAAGTGCAATATCTGCAGCAAGAAGAAAATACTGTTCACTATTAGGGCTGGGAAATGGGTGCGGTGGCATTCACCCATTATTAGCTTCAAAGTTATATTGGTCCTTCGCTTATCCAACTATGACCTACGGGTGTGCTGTAATACCATACTCAGAAGATGACATCAAACTGATGGAATGCGCGCATAGAGAGATTGGTAAGCGAATACAGTCTTTACCTAAGAATACACCAGATCCCGTAGCAACCAGGCTACTTGGCTGGATGCCAGTACAAGCGAAGATCGATTGCGATAGGCTTATGTTCTTATTTATGCTGTTATCTTTGCCCATGAATTGTATATATAAAATCATATGTTTGGAGAGCCTAATTCGAATGATGTACACAAATGTAACCTGTAAACACATGAAGTCCCCCATTTATTACATGTGGGAAACGGTTCTTAAGTATAATCTTACTGACATTGTGAATGAAATGGTTTTTAATGCTAAATATCCAAGTAAACTGAATTTTAGATATACTATTTATAAGAGAGTCAAAGATTTTAATACTCGTACCACTGTGCTATCGACATTGATGTACAAGAGTTTAAATATGATGGCAGGTTCTTTGTTGGAATTTAAGCCAAATGTTTGGTGGATTATTGCTAAAAATAACCCCAATTTTGTGTACTGTACTAAGATTATGATCAAATTATTAACTGGAACGTATGATTTAAATAGTAGACGTCGCGAGGGTGATACATCTGTATGTAAGACATGTGTGCTCTGTGAGCTCAATGAAAATGAAACTGTGAAACATTTCTTATTAAAGTGTCCGGCTCTTTCTGGAGTCAGGGAACCCATGATTAACATTGCAATGACCAATCTGAATGTTCAAGATGACAATTTTATTCTTAAGGTAATACTTGGTATAGTATGTTGTGACAATGAGAAACTATTATCCATATCACAGAAAGTGTACATAATGCATAAGCAGAGACAACTGCTGTTAAAAAATGTCTAATTACTGTACATTACCTACTCTTTATTCATCTTTGTCTGATGCTTTTACTTTTTAATTTTTTTGTATAAATTTGTGAATGTAACTCTCTTGTTATTAAGAGGCAAATAAATTATACATACATACAAAACACGGGAAAATGTTTTAATATTGTCAATATTAATCATTTAATTAAAAATGTAGTGCTAACTTCCATCTTTTAAGATTTCATAGATAAAGTGATGTCATTGTTTCTTGACTTTTATAACCTTGCATTGGAAAGTTAGCACAAAATCAGACAAAATCAGAAAAAAGACAAGTGGTCCTTACTTTCTGTACAAAAATATTTTCAGGCTTGTAAGATTTTCAGAAGGATTAAAAAATCATAGAAAAATTTGAAAAAGAATATTCAGCTATATTTGTAATTCCTAATAGCTCCTTACCTAATGCTATATTCAAAATCAAGCGATGATGACATCACTTCCTATGTGAAATCTCATTTTTAAATGATCAATATTGACATTTTTTCGTGTTTTGCTAAACGTAAAAAGTACATGCCCATATGGTTATAGCTACCATATAAGAATTTATAAGAATGTCCCCTTAATGCAAGATATTTCATCTATGTATTTGATATATAAGGTGATATTCATGGAATAAGGTATGTGTTAGAGATAAACGAAACAATAACTGACAAAAACAACTAAATAATCTTATTCTATGTCTTAAGTGTTTAGCATATCATTTACATGTTGGTTGTATCTGTGAATCTGTAGCTTGCAATTCGGGCAAGTGTGAACAAAATCTTTGCATTCCCTCATACAGAAGGGAATAGGTGCACAACACCAAAGCCTGGTGGAGTAGTTTCTTCCAGTTAGTGAACATAAATCTTTATGGCGATAACATTGTACATTTTCTTAAAAATGTAGTTGATATATGAGAATCAAAATTATATACTGTACTGTGTACTGCATGTAGAGTAAGACAAATGCATATTTTCCTTCTTTTTCATTTTTAAGGTTTCAATCTGAATAAAACTAAATTTACTGAACTTGATTTTTTGAAACAACGGCAATCTTATCATTGTTCAACATTTATATTTAATAACCTACCATTTAGCAGACAGACATGAAGTCAAAGCAACACAAAATGTTGAAACTCTCTCAGAACATCACATTTTAGAGCTATTTTGAGACTAGAATATAATGAATAAGATTATTCCATCAGATGGATAACAATAGAGAATATTTTTACTTACCCAACTATACATAGGAGAGCGCAGAGCAGCCATGTGAATGTTCCAGTCTCATGGCGAACTGAAGTCACAATATCAGCCTGGCAGAATGGACACTTTGTCTGTACAGGGCTCTCTCTGAATGACTGTACTATTGTAGTGTGCATGGCTGGCTGCTGGGTGACAACAACCGTCTGGGGTCCAGCTGGGGGTGGGGGTCCATACATAGCTTGGGGTGGGGGTGCTCCATAAGCAGGTGGGGGTCCCGCTAGAATATTTATGTCGAAATTATTATGACCATTTTATTAGATTATATTCTAGACATTTGATATACAATTAACAATTTGATGTGGAATTTCAGAAGTGTGCCATGTCTGACAACAATGAAGTTGATACTCTTTGTTTACAGTGACGCAGAATCTGAAAGCAAATATGCTTTAAAGCAGAAAATTTAAAACACTGCTGTTTCCTGGCTGTTTCCATGCAGGACACTTTCCGTTTTCAGACATGCATGTAGAACCTGATCACATCAGGAGAATCATATCTCTGATGAATGCAACTAAGTTGTGGTCACCATCTATATACCATGAAAGCTTAGTAAGGGTTATATGGAGGTCACCTTTTGCTTAATATCAATTTGCATGAAGTCTATAGAAGAGATTTTATGTCAAATGTGACGTCATGGTCCTCAACCAGCCGTACTTTAAGGGTTAAAATCATTAATTTTTGTTGTTGTAATTGCTTAATTGAGATGAACAATAAAGTCTTTATTCTTCTCCTATGTTTACAGTTTTATTCCTCAATATATTATCGTTACAATGTGTTTTCTTAACAAGCCTATCTGAAATTTTGTCACATGAATGAGAAGTATTTTCTTAACCTAAAATAATAGTTGTCTATTTACTCTATATATACCAGCAGTAAGTATTTAATATTTCATTTCAGCACTGGATTTGTGCTAATTCAGCAAATTCAGTAGAGGTAGTGCAGAATATTTGCACCCTTAAATCTATTCTTATTTCAATGCAGAGTGGATGAAGAATTTAATTAGATATTATTTACAATTTATTACATGATGTACAGTGAATTAAAACCAATGTTGAAACTATATACAAACTATTACATACAGTAAATCAAAATAGCTGAAACATATGGATATCTAATGATAAACTACCCATTACTATGAAAAGAAGTGCATTATTAAAAAGTGAACTGTAAACATCAATCCTAACTAATACCTGTACATTGATCCAAATGAGCACTGAAAAACTGAATGAGGTAGTATTTTGCAAAACTGAATCAATATATTTTCTAACTCTGTGATTTTCAGAATGATGTGGATATATGTATTAATGCTGAGATCTAATGCTGTTTAATGTTCCAATGATTCTCAAAATGATGGTCCATTGATTAATTATACCAACGTGTAATGCTGTATAATGTTTATGTGATTCTTAAAATGATGGTCCATTGATGCATTACGCCATAATATAATGCTGTATAATGTTCCTGTGATCCTCAAAATGATGGTCCATTGATGCATTATGCCACAGTATCAATTTTGTACAATGTTGCTGTGTTCTTAAATGATGGTCCATTAATGCTTTTTGCCAAAATATAATGCTGTATAATGTTCATGTTGTGACACATGTGGTTTAACCAATCCTGCTGTAGCGGGCAATCTGGTTTTCACAGTTAGGGCAGTCATGTATACAATCCTTGAACTGGGGCAGAATGAATGGGATGAGGAAAAGGCCGAAAAAGCCAATTCTGCAAATACATAAAAAATACTATATATATATTTGAGAAATATCAGCTAGTAATACTTTAGAATTAGTGTCCAGGACATGAAGAGTTTAAATGTAGAGTCAAAATAATAATGAATCAACATCACAAAATTGTAGAATGGCTAGTTTCAAAGTCACGGTCAAAATAGAAAATAATTAACTCACAGAGAGGTCAAAGGGTCACGGTAAAATTCCATGGGGACTACTGGACTATACTAATGGCCAAACTTTGATCTTTGTAAATGCATATATTTGACTAAGAGTAAGGGTTCAACTTACATATATTTCATTTTCAAGACCTATCTACAAATAAATACAATGTATTATGACTTACATCATTATAAGAAGCAGTGCACAAACACAGAAAGCATAGGTTCCGGCCTCTAGAGTTGTAGTCGTCCAAATCTCTTCTTTGCAGTGAGGGCATATTGTTTTAACTGGTGTTTGCTTGAACTCATTGTACACTGTCACTTGCTTAGCTTCTGCTGGCTGCTGCTGGACCACGACTGTAGTAGGGGCAGGTTGTTGTGGGGGTAATGCTAAAGGAAAACTTGCTTGTCACTCCAAAATGTACTTATTTATGTGAAGTTCTGTACAGGGTATTCAATAATCATGGGATGGAATCGGAAGATTTGTCCAATATGGAGGATTCATAAAAGAGAATATGTATAGGATATCCAATGATTTTGAGAGATATCATTTCTATCCACGAGTTGATATCAATATTTAGACGAGTGAGCGTAGAGAATGAGTGCAGATATTGATATCAACGAGTGGATTAAAATGATATCACGAAATTGCATGGAGTGAGTACAACAAAATATCGAAGTTAAATAATAAATTGTGGGGTTCTCTTTGTATTTTGATGAAAATTAAAAAATGAATTCCTCAAAGCAGGCATAACCTCCAATCCCAACAGTAATAATGCACCATTTAAAGATTTCCTGAGACCCCAACATAGGAAGGGGTGGGGATAACTGACAAAAGGAAAATTAACCCAACCATTAACCCATTTCCTCAGTATGGATGAAGTATCAAAATCCCAACCACTGGGACAATGCTATTCCTGACCCTCCTTACATGGGAGGGGTCTCAAGTAAACCTTTGAATAGTGTAATGCTGATTTTTGCTGATTTTGCTCACAATCATCTCTTGTCATGTTACTTTATTCTTTTAAGCAAAATAAAGTCAAGCGAATGTTCCTTATTTTCTAAAAAGTTCATTCAGTCAATAGGACAAAATAGTGATACCTCAACATCTAGAATTAATATAATTGTATTGTATGATTTATGACAAAAATAAAAAACCTTAACCTAATAAATATATGATAAAAACATCTTGCATATGTCTTTTCAAAAGGTAACTTATTAACTTCTTTGGATTATAACACAAGGATTTATAGGCCCTTTGATAAATGTATACATATTTATATATAAGTCTTCTCATTTAATATTTTCAGTGTGAACAAAAATCATAACATTTTATATACACTGTACTGACATTACTAAAACATACTAAAATTCAATTCTTTTTGAATCCAAGTCATAAACCACACTATTGTATTCTACTAGAGTTAAGAAAATCACGATGTAACTTGGATTCATTTGGCACCTGTTTTAGCTTAATGAATTTATATAATTTACATCTTGCAAAAATTTAAGATGAATACCCCAATTGTGTTTTTTTGTACTTTATGTTTAAATTATATTTATCGTAAAAACTACAAGCTGCCTCCAAGTTGGGAAACATTAAAGGATCATATCACTGAATTGACAGCCCCTATTGAAATTGATAACAATAAAAAAAAAAACTTATTCTTGTGAGCATTGTCAACACAAAAAAAAACATGGTCTGATTCTGGAAAATTGAAATTAAACTGAGTCCAAATCTGCCAAATCAAATAGCTGTCAAATGTCAGAAATCTTAAAATTTCCCTAATAGTGCCAAATTAACCCAAGTTATAGTATTAAAGAAAACTGTTAGAAAAAAACAACAGCTGTTTGATTACTAATAAAAAGAAAACTTACTGATGTTAAAAAGAATAGAGGTTGAAAATCTTTAGACAGCACGAGAACAGCCGATTCTGTCATTGTTCCACTTCCAGGTTGCCATACAATGGCATACATCTTTATTTGGCAAAATGTATGTTTTCTGTGATTGGTCTGGTTGTCCTCATGATGCGATGTTATCTTAGTTATTTTTTCTACCTCTATCACTTGAATTACTTAACTGCTCCTCCTTTTTGATGATGGAAGACATCCATGGTTTTTGTAAGTGCATTATTATTGATTTCTAGTAGTGGCTTTTGTGAATATAATAGGGCTTGGGCTATCAATGATAGTAATGTTGGCACCAGGTCCCTTCTTTGTCAAATAAAAATACATGTTGATGCCAAGTCCTTTCTTGGTCAAATGAATGGTCATGTTGATATCAAATCACTGCTCTGCCTTGTTAAATAAAGAGTCATGTTGACACAAAGTCCCTACTTTGTCAAATAAAGAATCGTGTTGACACCAAGTCTCTGCTTTGTCAAATAAAGAGTAATGTTGATACCAAGTCTCTGCTTTGTCAAATAAAGAGTAATGTTGATACCAAGTCTCTGCTTTGTCAAATAAAGAGTAATGTTGATACCAAGTCTCTGCTTTGTCAAATAAAGAGTAATGTTGACACCAAGTCTCTGCTTTGTCAAATAAAGAGTAATGTTGATACCAAGTCTCTGCTTTGTCAAATAAAGAGTCGTGTTTGTACCAATTGCTGAATAAAGATACATGTTGATGCCAAGTCCTTTCTTGGTCGAATGAAGGGTCTTGTTGACACCAAATCACTGCTCTGCTTCGTTAAGTCCATGTCTTATCAAATAAAGATTCATATTGACACCAAGTCTCTTCTTTGTCAAATAAAGGGTCGTGTTAATACCATTTGCTGAATAAAGATACATGTTGATGCTAAGTCCTTGATTGGTCAAATAAAGAGTCATGTTGATACCAATTCAGTACCTTTGCTCAATAAAGAGTCATGTTGACAGCAAGTCCCGGCTTTGTCAAATAAAGAGTCTTATTATACACCAAGTTCCTGTTTTGCCAAATAAAGACTCATGTTGCCACCAAGTCCTCTTTTGGTCAAACAAGTTATGTTGATACAAAGTCACAGCTTTGTCAAATAAAGTCATGTTGATATCAAATCTCTGCTTTGTCAAATAAAGTCATGTTGATACCAAATCTCTGCTTTGTCAAATAGAGAGCCATGTTGATACAAAGTCCTTGTCTTGAAAAATAAATAGTCATGTTAACATGTTGATACCAAATCTCTGCTTTGTCAAAAAATAGAGAGCCATGTTGATACAAAGTCCTTGTCTTGTCAAATAAAGAGTCATGTTAACATGTTGATACCAAATCTCTGCTTTGTCAAATAGAGAGCCATGTTGATACAAAGTCCTTGTCTTGTCAAATAAAGAGCCGTGTTAACATGTTGATACCAAATCTCTGCTTTGTCAAATAAAGAGCCATGTTGATACAAAGCCCCTTTCTTGTCAAATAAAGAAGTCATGGTAACACCAAGTCTCTGTCTATCGAACAAAGAGTCATGTTAGCAAGTCCCCGCTTTGTTTTGTCAAATAAAGAGTCTTGTTGACATCAAGTCTCTGGTTTGTCAAAAAAGAGTATTGTGGATGCATTTATGTTATCACACATATTATGATGTTAAAACAGCATAAAAGAGTTTTGTTATTTGATGATTTTCTATAATTGAATTTCCTGAAAGTGAAAGTATATGTTAAAGAGAGTAAACACAAGAATACAACTCAAAGGCAATAAAAGACAATAATGTTACTTAATACCATGGGAAACATGATATGTTTTGCTAACTAAAGGGATACATGACCTAATCATCATCATCAAATACAGAATATATTATGCTGAAGAGTATGTATATCACTAGCTGAGTATAAACATCATTTTCACATAATAACGCGATACTTAAATATTATTGTTTATAAATCAAATTATCACCAACCTATTGGGTTGGTTTCAAATTCAGACTTGATTCAAACACGATTCAAAAAGAACAGCCCGGTAGATCAAAAAGTGAGAAGATATGGATTCTTATTTTCAATATATAGCCAGTTGATATACCTAAATCAACAGCATCAAGAATCAAGATTTATATTAATTTCAAAAATAGGTTTGTTTGGTGTATCCTTTATAGCGCTATTATGCAGCATAATGGTCTAAGAAGTTCAAGTAAGTTTGGTGAAAGATATGAAAATACAAGAAAGCTACAGGTCAACCATAACAATCTTGTAATAATTATATTGAGATTATCAGTACACGAAAACTCTAAAACAAGAAACACTACAGACATCAATGTTACATGTTGTTCAATCATACAGCCAACTTAAGATTAACATTTCATCATATACAAAATAAGAGGAAAACACTCTACAATATTTAAGTGATGCCAATTGACAGAAAATGAAGCAAATATAGCAAAACTTCACATAGGATAGTTGCCAGGTTTGACAGTGATTAATGAGAATTTCCAGAGTTGGATCACTCAAACTGATGTTGTATATGTCGCAATGTTAATCTTGTATTTGCTGGTCTTTTTGAGCAATCACACAATTAAAACTTACGCTGCTGTTGATAATACACTAAAAAAAAGCAAATAAAAAAGTATTTAAGAGCCATCATTTCAAGATATGAGTTCAGTATAATACTATACAAGGGATTAAAAAGTAAAATGTCACCACTTGCCATTTGTTACAGATGCTGAACACCAACAGAAGAACATCAACTACTGAATGCTAAATGCTGACCACCAAACACAATCCACAAAACAATTAGAGACTCTAACGTTACAATAAGTCACCACTTCTGGTTGTGACATAAAAACATACAAATAATCACAATAGATTTACTAAAATACATGTTCAACACAAAAATACAGAAATAAAAACAATTCTATTAATTATTTTAATGTTGCATTTCTCATTTTGTGATTGGTTGCCCCTCATGATAAATATAGACAAGTTTACAATTGTCAACAAACAAAGAAATTGCAAAGGATGAAAGACTATAGATCTAAGGAGGGGACTAAACCTTAAAAATACTACATCAGAATACTTTCTGAGTCTGTTCATTAATTTTATGTAAAGTGTATTGTTCCGTTCAAAATATTTACACACAAATTATACATGTATAACAATTTAACGCGGATTGCATATTGTTTAGTAGTTGTCTGTTTAATTCTGATTGACTGCTGTTTCCTGAATTATAAATATACAGTTCATTCTATATCTGTACTAAGACTCAGTTAAAGAGAGAATGAACGGGGTATGGGGGTTTGATGCAAGACTTCCATTTTGGAATATAGGAATTCCAAACATTTGTCCAAATCAGACCATAAAGCCATGATCAATCAAAAAAAAAAAATTTAATTTGAAATTTCACAGTTGTCAAATTCTACAAGTAAACAAAATATAATATGGAATGACAACACTATGGAAAGTGCCAATGTACATCTATAAACAACAACAATGACTATGACTGGTAGAAGACAACGTTTCATCCTTACCAGGATTTCCAGGCGGAGGGTAGTAAGATTGAAGGGGATAAGCTGAGAAATAAACATTAGAATTAAAATACAATATACATGTATTATCGTATGATCTGTAAAATGAAGCCTTCTGATTGGTCAGTTCTTGTGCTGTACCAATCTGTATTGCTACTGAGATTGTTCCCATTGATCATCTCCGTCTCATTACAGAAATTATTGGTACGGAGGGGGACATTCTCAGTAGCAATACAGAGGATCACGTGATAAAAACGTTATAGAATGATTTGAAGTATAACACAGGATATATTCTGCTCTCGATATTCTGTATTGGCTCTCGACTTCGTCTCATACCAATACAAAATTCTCAAGCAGAATATATCCTGACCATTGGTCATTTCTCCATGTTCCTTGATATTTGAGAACCAGGAAGGCAGTAATAAGAGTGTGGTTGCCTAAAACAAGGATTACAGTATGTAGTACTTGATAATTATAAAAGCATCTGAAAGGATGTATGAAAGAGAATTCTTGAAGCCACAAAATACACAATTGTGCAATGTTGAAATTTCCCAATTGTAAGCTTGAAGCTCATGTTCTTCTTATTAATTAAAAGATAATGGATTACCACATCACCTTTCAATCGCATACTGTTATTTAGCTACACATGCAAAAAAGCAATTGAGGCCTTCTGGAAGTGACTCGGAACGATGAAAAGGGATACATATAATATGTTGAATTAATTACTGTGATATGCCCAAAGCCAATGAAATTGCTGTTGAAATAGGAAACACAACCTTTTAACATTTTTGCGAAAATTTTTATAAATTAATTAAAACATTAAACCTACCTGGTTGACCTTGCGGGGGTGGCTGTTGGTATCCACCCGGGGGAGGTTGTTGGTACCCCCCTGGGGGAGGTTGTTGGTACCCTCCTGGAGGAGGTTGTTGGTACCCTCCTGGTGGGGGTTGTTGGTACCCTCCTGGGGGTGGCTGTTGAGAAGGTGGCTGTTGAGGGGGTGGCTGTTGAGGAGGTGGCCCACCTAAGCAGTCAGAAAGCATTGTGTTAAGCTAGAGTTAGTGAATATATATTGGACATTAAGAATTATGTTAGAGCTTCCAAGCCTTCGTTACATCTATAAGCGTCCTTTGCCAAAGTCTTTTATTCAAATTAGTCACATAGAAGAATGTCAAATCAAATAACACTAATTCTGCTCCAACCTTCTCACCAGATTTTTTTCAACTGGGAATTTTTTTAAATTAGTAAATACATGACAATTATTAGTTGCTTGATTCAAATCTCAATTGGCTCAATTTTCAAACTCTTAACTGGATGTGGGAATTACTTCCTTTCAATGCTGGGAAAAGAACCCTTTTTAAGTTGACTAACCATTGGTTACACATAATCTCTCAACTATATTATGGAACAGTAACACCCCTTTCCCTCTTCTAAATAATAGACTGGGCATCATAGTAAGAGGGAAAATGAGATGATAGAAGACTAATATACAGTTATATAGCACATGTAATAAAAATGAAATATATGTAAAAATAATCTTACCATATTGAGGCTGACTGGGATGTTGGCCATAATCTGGTGGTGGTTTTTGATTTTGATCTGCCATCTTATAGTTCTAGTGAGTTGGACTGAAATTTATATAAGTACATGTACAGTGTTAAATTCTGTATTTTGATATTAATTAAATACATGTACATGTATATGTCCACAAACAGAAATGACAAAAATGCAAACTGTCAGTTAAAGTGATTAAATACAGGGAAGCAGAATTTTCTGAAAAGGATAGGTATCGATATGGTGAAGTGAATTCAACAATGTTTTTCTCTTAAACCAATTATTGAAAACATTCTGTAAAAAAACACAGTCCTTTATGTTATGTTGACTGGTTGGCAATTAAAAATGCGAAAATTATTTATATATATTTTAAATGACTGTTTTTGTTAACATTTTTTGTTTTTTAGTGCAATTGTTTTTTGTTCCTTTCTACCAATTCTCGAGAATGGAATAAAATGTCTTTCCGAACCTTGTTGGAACAAAAGTAACATACATTGGTAATATATACAAACTTTCGTCAATGTAACAAAAGGGGGTAAATATGAAACTTCATTTACGAAACAAATTCAAATGGAAGAAACTTATTAGACTATATTTTTTTTATTAGACTATATTTTCTAACTTTGTGCCAAATTGTAATCTGCAACTTGACTTATTAGTAGGTTTAAATCAAGAAAACAAAAAAACTCGTAATCAGGAAGTTCATCCATTTGACATTCCGTCAAGGTAACTAGTTAAAAGGAACAGTGATATTTTCAGAAACCCATATTCTCAAATTATCTTGAAAAATGGCTGGTAAGACAATATTTTCATCTAATTTCCATATTATGTGGCACAAATAGAGCCTTCTACTACTACCTATTTACTGACCCCACCTCAGGATGGCACTGCCTATCAATAACCATCCCCAAATGATGCAAACAGATTTCTAAATGAATTGTATTATATTGACACCTACATACTTAGGCACATAATATAAATGTTACGTTATGTTAACACAACCTTAACATCTTAATAAAACATTCAATGATTGTAACTTCCTGATCCCTATAAGTTCAGCACATCATTCTGTTTATACTATAAAACATAAGATCCCAAAAAACTCCAGTTACCCAGATTGGACAAATGGGCAATCTGGCCTATTTTGATTTTTTGAAATAGAATTCTGTCAATAGTTAACTTTCTTGACAGTCAATGGTTACCAGGCATCCTAAGAGGCACCATCATGTATTTGATTACAAAGTTTCACTTTAAACATGGAAACATTTGTGCAACATACTGTTGTTATATAACTAGGGTAACTTGATTATGAAACATATTATGTAGTGATCATTTTAATATATAAAAAAATATTTGCTTGATTACGAAACACTTATGTCATAAATATTCTAATATAAAATTATATACTCTTTATCAAAATTTAGTTTTCAGGCCTTCATGTACTGTACGAAATATAACTACCCTGAATTATATACACAATTCTCAATAGCTTTTTCTACTTACAATATATGTGTTTATGATATCCATGTAAGAAGGTTCTTACTATAATAAATCACGAAATGTATAATAATTATATTGATATCAAATTAAGTTTTAAAAGATTTAAATTAGGCTTAACTTTCACTGAGTATGTACATTAGCATGACACATTTGGAAATATGCCTGATCCATAATAAGAATTGATTTTGTAGCTACTGATTATGTAACTTCATTCACATTGTACTTCCTAGAGTTCTAGAATTGCTAGGAGAAATTGTAAACAAAACAGCATTGGATTAATGTGTGTGTACCTTTATATTCACCATCAAGAGTAAATCTATCCAGGCTATTCACTTAATTTGACCTTGTCATTCCACTTTAATTTTGAAAAAGTTACATCGGTATGATTCAGATTTTAGAAATGTTAAATAAAGGTACAAAATATACATAAACATAATCTTAATCTATTTAGCCAAGAATCCTTTATTTTATGAAGACTACAGAACCCACAATGGAAAAATATTGTTTGAGGCATTCATTCCTTCATTGTCAACAATATATCAGTCGTATACAAGTTCGACTTAGGAAATGAAAAATTAACTTCCGGATGGTATTTAATTATCAACAGTCATGGAAAAATGATCACTTTATTTTTTCACAATATGTACCAAAGAAATGAACAGACACAACTTCCAGGGCTTTGCTTGGTCCTCATTACACTGGTCAACTTTTTGTGCAGGCGGGTGCGACTGAGATTCAAAATATCTACCCACATCTAGGGATTTTTTCTCAAAAACGGACCTATATCTAGGATTTTTCTTTCAAAAATAGACGCATTTTTAGGTCATTTAAAAAAAATAAGACCCACTTCCAGCAATTTTTTTCAAAAACAATACCCAGTTTTAAGATTTTCAAAAAGTAGGCTCAGTTCTAAGGATTTTTTTATCAAAATGGGACCTATATCTAGGGGTTTTCTTCAAAATAGGACCCACATATAGGGATTTTTCGGTGAAAAAGTGACCCACTATAGCGGTACGTCCCCATATAGCCGATATATAGAGTACCCCCCTCCCGGGCGCGGAACCACAAATATCAGAGGTCTTAAAATTTCCTGGTGAGAAACCCACCTGTACATAATTGATTAACTTAATGTATGTTATGTAAATAAGGGTTAATATTAGATGAACAGAATTAGCAGGGAAATGTAATCAAAGTGTCCATTGTGCTCTCCGCTTATCAGTGTCACCCTGCTTCGGTAATCCCCACACAACATGTCGAACCATAAGGTCAGGTGATATGCAGATGAGAAACCCAACTGCATCCCCAATAGAACAATCAAAAAAATGCGGACAATATTCATTTTTGACTGTTGTAATTTCCCGAATTTCACTAAGTACGGGTTTGTGTAAAAAAATGGGTGACCGGGTAACTGGGTAGCCGGGTGACCAGGTACCCTACCTTCCTACCAGGGTTAGGAATTTGATTTTTTCATTTAATGTCTCAAAACGCCCAACTGACATCCCAATCAACGTACCAGTGACACAACCAATCAAGCAAACAACCAAACAAGCAACAAAATTGATTTACCAATAAATCAACCAACATCAACAAAATTAATATAATGTCAATCAGTGAGGCAATAAATCAAGCAACTAATGCTGTATTGTACATCGTACACTAATTAACAGATAAAAACGGCAAATAACGTTTCAATTTACGCGTACGTAAATCTTCCAGATTTGTTTAATATCTAGTAGAAATCGCCATCATAGAAAACAATCATTGATATCCTGTCAATCACTCAGACAATAAAACAAGCAACTAACATCATCGTACGTGTAAACTGTGTAAATAACTCTGAAATTCAGTCTCTTACAGGTTCTTGGTAAAATTATAACGTAAAAATATTGAAGGGTAGTCTACAAATGTGCAACTTTTGAAAGTTGGTAACCCTGCAAGGAACGTTAAGTAACCGGTTACTCAGCCAGCCAGTTTTTTACACAAACCCACTAAGTACACCTACATGTACTACAGTACCTATATACAGTTTAGTAGCCCTGCCCCAAAGATTGGTGCCTGTGACAGCCCAGATAATAAATCACTTCAAATCTGCCAAGCTGACCCTTTCTCAACCAATCAGCGAAGTGGGAGGAACATGTGCTTGCTACTGCTAAATATGTGCCCATTAACTATGTGGTGGTGTCAGAGAAAATGACCATATATTATATATAATAAAGAAAGTCGTCTGTATTTCGACGATGATCCTCTGATTGGCTCGGTGAGATTAGAGATTTATTGTAAACTGAAACAGTGAAGACGAAGCTCTCTTTTAGAAGTGAAGTCGAACGAATGCACGAATACACCTTACCTCGATTACAGTGGGGGACAAAAATAAAACTCAACATTCACAAGTTGTCACAATGAGCTAATTTCCAAGTTTCGTGTCTCAAACTCTCCCAAGCGGTAGAAAAATAATTCCCGTTCACTAAAGTACGCAATAAATGAATCCAAAGCTTCATACCTGCAAATAATGGATAAATCCCTACCAAATCGAATGAATGTTTTCATGAATCGCCATGTTTGTTATCCAAGGACGGTTGACTCCCAGAATGCAACATCAGTTACCGTATTTACTCATGACAGGTTTCAAAATGGCGGAACAGCATTTTGAAAGCTGGCACGTGTCATGTTGCATTCTGGGAGCCAATCCTCCGTTCCGGCGCAAGCGGGCGACAAAATCACCTCAACATTTTAAGAGTCGGCATAACATGTGAATATCCACTTGAACTTTTGAAGTTCTTATTTGTCATTAGGGACACAAATTCCACTATATTTGGATTTACTCAGACGGTGAAAATAGAGCACTGAATACACTGAGGTAAGAATTTATTACATTTGCGACAGCATGTAATTTTCATAGCTTTTGCAATTCTTTATGATCCCCACTGTACATAGTTATTTTTGGGTTTAATTGATCTAATAAGCCACTTTAACTGTTACTTTCTATCCCATTACAAACATTTTACTAAACACAAAACACAAAGGAGTCCCAGGTAATGAAGAATTTCACAAATCTCAGGGGATTGTATCTACAATTGACAAATTCGCAAAGATAATTTTTGGGAAACTAAATCGCACGCGAAAAATACCAGAAGGACAGTACATAGAAATTGCTTTCCAGGTATAACGTTCAGCCTTGGCTAGTAGACATCAACTTTCACATGACTTTCATGTTGATCTGTTCTGTAGACAAAGATTTTATGTTGTCAACTCCATTTGTTTATTATGGTGACTGTCATGTGAAATTTTATACAGAATTTTACAACAAAACTGTAAATTTTTATATGGTTTCAATTGTAAATGACCTTTACAAAAATGTTTTATACTACTATTCTTATCATAAAGTTATACTGTATAAGTTGTAAATGAAAAAATGATCTACATACAGAAGATATTTACCTATTGGCTCCCCGAGTGTTTTCGATCCAGTGTTTTAGTAACGTGTGCAAAATTTAGGGGAGGAAGGATAATCGATCAATAATAATTCCTTTTTCTGACAATATTTGTGCTAAAATGTTGCAGCTTTTATTTTAACTATTAAACAAACAGTGAAAGGACAATATTTTAAACAATCAAAGGGAGTGAAAGCCTCACATCTACGTTTACTGACACTGTGTCGACTTTTATTTGAAATAATTTGTTGTTGATTGCTTAGTTTTGTCAATACAACCGCCATATTTGAAAATTACAGAAAATACAGAACTTTCCGAATAAATCCAGTATGGAGGACTTGAATCATATAAAAGAAGAGGAGAGACGAGACTTCGACATGAACACCGAAGCAAATCGGACTTTGACTTTTTTAGATTGGCCATTTGATGGAGAAGACGCACAGTGCACATCAGACAAGGTTTGTTTTCATATTTATCATTCAAATTCGAAATTGAATCAATGAATGCATGATTGAATTTTCTTGGCCTACATCTCATCTAGGTCTATTCACTGATCAGATCGAGCTCCTCTTCAGTCCAAAAATTGATTTTTACAAACATTCGATGTTTCCATTCCCAAGGCTCCGTGCTCGGGTCGATGACATTTATACTACATGTAGAGTCCATTTCACTTACTTCCTGCGAAAGCTATTTGGATTTTGATATAATAGCTTTCCCACGGAGCATTTGGACAGCTCAATGATCGTGACCTTTGAAATCGAATTAAGTCGATCCGCGGCTTACTTTTGGTCTCTAACTGTGTCTTACATCAGTATCATCAATCCGTGTAAGTATTGGAGCGCTGGAGTACTTCTTTTTCGATCAAGACTTGTAATTGTTAGTCGAGGGAATCGTTTTACTGCCAAATTCCAATATGGCGGTTTCTGCTCGGACATTTTCGTAAATCTCCGGAGGTTGTCCGAACCTAACTAATTCTCAAAATTCACTCGTTCGTTGCGTATCTCGCACCTAGCAAACCGCCATATTGGAAATAGGTCTGTAAAACTTTAACTCGATGAACAATTTACAAGTCTTGATCGAAAAAGAAGTACTCCAGCGCTCCAATACTTACACGGATTGATGATACTGATGTAAGACACAGTTAGAGACCAAAAGTAAGCCGCGGATCGACTTAATTCAATTTCAAAGGTCACTATTGATCAGCTGTTCACTTCTCCGTTTGAGAGCCATAAGTTTCAAAATCTAACATGGCTCTCGAAGTGAGTAACATTTCACTGCTTCATTTCGTCAGTAGAATGGCAAAAATAAGAAATTGGGAGACCATTGTGCAATAATATATGGAAAAGTATATTCATAATGTACATGAATGACATTTGTATATCTTGGATTGCTTCTAGTTTGGCTTATAAAGTGTGTGGCCTCTTATATTTGGATGTTTCTCTGCCATGTTATTTTCAATAAGATTAACATGGCTATAATTCTTCAAATTACAAGACGGCACAGGCTTATTGCACAAAAAACTAAAAAATCTGAAATATACAAATGTCATTCATGTACATTATGAATATACTTTTCCATATATTATTGCACAATGGTCTCCCAATTTCTTATTTTTGCCGTTCTACTGACGAAATAAAGCAGTGAAATGGACTCTATATAAACGATCTCCCAGAGACAGTATATAACACAATCAAGATGTTTGCGGATGACACCAAAGTATATGCCACAGTTAACTGCAACGAAGATGCCAAGAAGTTACAGGAAGATGTTGACAATCTCATGAGATGGTCGGCTAGGGTGGTTGCTCAAATTTAATGCAAATAAATGCAAAGCCATGCATCTGGGAAACAAGAATATTAACAAAGACTACTACATGAATGACACTGAAAAAGAGAATGTTAAAGAGGAGAAAGATCTTGGAGTCATAATAGACAACGAACTGAACTTCCATAAACAGGTATCCATGTGTATTAATAAAGCAAATCAGATACTAGGACTTGTCACTGGACTGAACGACAAACCTTACCCAGAAAGACTTAAACAGTTAAAGCTTTACTCTATGACATATAGACGGAAAACAGCAGACGTGATCCAGGTATTTAAAATTGTTCATGGTATTGACAGAGTAAATGCAGAGATATTCTTTAATCAGTCAACTGTGAGATATACAAGAGGGCATGACTTTAAACTATATCTGAATCAGGAAAGATCTAGGCTCAATCTTAGAAAACACTTTTTCTCCCAGAGTGATAGCAGACTGGAACACCCTGCTTGAGAAAGCAGTACTGTATGTGCACCAACCCTGGAAACCTTTCAGAAGAGGATGGATGATCACTGGAAGAGGGAGCACCATATGCTATAGGTTTCTTTTGTTTTGGTCTTGTTAAATGAAATGAGAAGCCAGGTGGCTTAAGTAATGAGAGGACGACATCACTGTACTGGCTTAGTCCACTACGTCCTAATTATGATGATGATGATGATAACTCAGTTGTCTATAATTGGGAACAAAAATAAATGACATGTCGATTTTGGATCACCATTTCCTAACCATGGTTGTCTGAAAGCCCATAATTTCCAATATTGTCTAGATACATATTAGCCCTTAACATTTGTATATTTTACATTTTGTATAATCTCATCCACTGATGTATGGCCTCTTGAAAATTCTCTTATTTTTAACATGGGAAACCCTCACTTCAGCAAATCCACCTGTCATTTATTTATGTTCCAAACTGTAGTAGAATTACTCGAAAATCAATAAGTATCGAACAGGTCAGTCATTTTCTCAAAATATTCTCTGCTGTGCTGACATTGTCCCTCTTTACAAGTAGTGCAGGCTTGTTGCTATGCACTGCAGGGATATTCTATATAAAAACATTTACCATGGACCTATTGCTAAAAAACAAGACAGCAGAGACACACAATAACCCGTATTAACACCTGACATCGATTGGTGGCTGAACCTTTAAGAATAATAGCCATACAAGAGAATATGATATTAATAATATAAGCTTTTTCTTTGAAGTTTTGCCTTTAATAGAGCTATAAGTCTACCAGTTGATACATGTGTAGAGACAGAGCACAGTTAACAGAAGCACCCCCTTGGTTTTTAATCTTAAATCATCAATTTTTGATTCAATCATGAATAACCTAATTACCACAGGCTGGTATCGAAATATTTGTCCGCTGTGACGGAGCATGCTATTTTTCATAAAAACACTAAGAATACTTCACGATTTATTTTTTAACTCATATGTTTCGTTATACCATACAAAATTACTTACTCCATGCAATGGATATATCATTTGCGGGTAACTTTCACTTCTGTTTGAAGTCCAATTACGCTGGGAAGAAAAGCTATTGAAAATGGCGCCAAAGTATCATATTTCAAAATGTACCATTTCTTGTTTAACTTTCTAATGGCACGATATAGTGACACGATAATATTTACACATGGTTTCAGCATAACTATGAAGGTATAAATGAGATGTTGATGTATTTGGTCTTTTTAATTCTTTTATAAAAAATAATGTTTAATTTTTTTGTCCGCTCTGACGGAGCAGTTGCAAATGTGAACTGTTAAAATGCTCCGTCACAGCGGACAAAAAATATTAATGTTGTTTTTTATAAAAGAATTAAAAAGACCCAATGCATTAATATCTCATTAATACATTCAGAGTTATGCTTAAAACATATGTTAATATTGTCATGTCACTATATCATGCCATTAAAAAGTTAAAAAAGATGGTACATTTTAGAGTTTGATACTCTGGCGCCGTTTTCAATAGATTTTACTCCTAGCGTTATTGGACTTCAAACAGAAGTGAAGGTTACACGCAAATAATATATCCATTGCATAGAGTAAGTAATTATCTTTGATATAACGAAACATATGAGTTAAAAAATAAATCGTGAAGCATTTTTAGTGTTTTTATGAAAAATAGCATGCTCCGTCACAGCGGACAGATTTTTCGATACCAGCCTGTGATTACGCAAAGGTTATGTTCTTCAATTGCCAAGAAAGCGAGTCAAGGTTTTGAAATATTTTTTGCCTTGTCACTTTTTTCTTCCTGGTTATGTCACTGCGCTAAGATATGCCTAGCCCTAGATAACACTTCGAAGGAAAAAATGTCTCCATCAAACTGGCTTTATTGGTCAGGTAATGAACCAAATCAGAGATGTTGCTCAAAATTAAGAATTAATCCTCACTCCATCTGTCATGAGTGGATAGGCCCGATCTAAGGATGTTATGAATACAAATTCAAAATAAAACTTCCACCATTTTTTCTGAAAGGCTAGCAATAGAAGAAGAGGTATTCACCTCTATAGTATGAAATATTTGTATGATATTGCTCCATATATTACAGCACTGTGGTCTTTTGATTCCCTATTTTTAAAGGCTTTAAATTTAATGAAGAAAAGAAGACATTGAAATGTGGTTAAAAAAATTATTTATCAACTATGTTTGAAAATGTGACTTCAAGGTCTAGTAGATTCCCCTAGACCCTTGTGTTCAAGAGAAATAATATTTTCTTTTATTGGACATATGAAAATTGATACACTGAAACCAAAATAAACTGATGAATATTCAAGTTTAAGGGAACTTTCTACTATATCTGCCATGAAACTTTATCTGAGACATGATTCTTGAATAACATTTAATGTTTAAAATGGATAATTGGTTTTGATTTCAGATGGCCAAGAGTGGTTTCTATTGTATCGGCAATGAGAATGAGCCTGATTTAGTGAGGTGTTTTGTCTGTTATAAGGAGCTGGATGGCTGGGAACCTGATGATGATCCCATGTAAGTTAAACATTTGGTTACACTACCCTTTGCGATTTTGTCATTTCTCTCACACTCTTAACATGATCAAAACACTCAAAATCAACCAGAGCCTATTTTATTGTACTTAATGTACTAGCTCCCAAATATGGTTCTTCAAGTTCGATAAATGTAAGTCAAGTAACGCATTGAGTGAATAGTTGGATGCCAAATTGTAATATATTTTATCTTTCTGTTTGTATGTGTGATTGTGTGTAATGTCTACTGACTGCCAGTTGCCATCAAAATATTGCTGGGTCAATAAATTAGTATAGAAGGAATAGTATGCTTGGACTTTTGCCTCCTCAAAATCAGATTCTGTTTACTAAAGCATTGCAGGTTCACAAAATACCCTGCACACAGAATCTAGTTATAAACTACCCTTTGCCTAGTATAGACTATATTACAGTTTAGCAGATGTCCCAGGTAATAAATCATTTCAAATCTACCAAATTTCCAATACATGCGCAATTAACTATGCGGTGATGTCAGAGGAAATGACCTTAGAGAAAGTCGTCCATATTTCGACGACGAACTTAATTGGCTCGGTGAGATCAGAGATTTATTGTAAACTGAAAAAGTGAAGACGAAGCTCTCTTTTAAGAAGTGAAGTCGAACAAATGCAAAGGGTAGTTCACAAATAGCCAATTTAAAGATGTTAATATAAGAGCAAAAAAGGCTCCAAAACTTAATGAAATATGTAGTTTGGATGTTCATTTATGTCTGTGGATTATATTTTATACCACAAACACTTTATAAATACCTGAAATTTGCAATAAAAGTGCCCAAAAATTGTTGTTTCGAAATTCCCCATTTTTCCTCTATCGCGCTAGTCACGTGACCATTACGCGTAGCAGGCAATGTACAGATATTACAGTACATATAATATGTTCAATATGGCAAACATCAGCGATTCTGATTCCCGGGTTCTGGGAAATGGCTATATAAATTGGCGAGAGGGTGTAATTTGAATGAAGACAATTTAAGGAGGGGAAATGTGTGCAAGTATGGCAGTAAGAGAGCAGATATGGGGACTTTTAGACAAGAACTATGACGGAGAATCAACTAAAAATGTGAGTTCTGGAATGAAGACCCGTTGCCATTGACTGAAGATTCCAGCGATCCTATTATCATACTCAGTTTGAATCTAGACGCGGAAAACAGATTATGAAAACAGGTTTTCTGCAAAGTTATCAAATTTAGAAAATATGGATCTTGTTTTTGAGTGGCTTAACAAGCATTTAGATACAAGACTTGGCGCTATCTCTTGTCAAATACATGCACTGGACTTGCAGTAAATTGGCCATTGCAAATTGCAAAATCAGATCGTCAAATTAATCGCTTCGTTTTTAAACCTACGCTTCATATCTTCTTCCAAAACTTTAGGATTCGATAGAGATAAGTTATAACTTGAACAGGAAAAAATGGCAGATCCTACCTTAATTTAGAATCGCTGATTTCTCTGGACAAATTCCGAGAAGAAATTGTTCAACATCGCGATCACCTCAGACAACATGTCGCGTGCGTGTCACTCTGAACTCACTCTGAACTCACGTGATAAAATACGGCATCTTGATTGGTTACTACTCGTGTTGTCATGACGCGAAAAGCAGTAGTAAACACTGAATATGTTAATGAACTGCCATATATGGAACAATTGTCTTTCTGATTGGTTAACTTTACCAGCGTCCTAAATGAATATAGTAGTCGTAGTAAATGATTCATTGATAACTCTGAAAGTGGGCGTGACCAGCTTCATTTTGACACCAAATTCAAGATGTTTCAAATCAAAATGGCCTCGCAAGACGAGGTTGAAATATCAGCAATTTGATACTGATATGGTCTACGATAGATCAAAATTGCCTGCCCCGCGTCACATGTCACGTGAGCCTATATTTGTTGAAAAGTGAAAGAGATAGTGACACTTTTTAATCTTAAGTTTATACCAATATTACAAACAGATATTTATTTTTTTCATTATATATTTATTTCTTCATTACACATACATTTGTTTTATACTACATTGATTTATTTTTGCAAAACCTTTGCTATTAGATCTTTAATAAAAAATATGTGGAATTAAGTTCACCCTTAGGTTAAGATTATAATAAGATATATTTACCATATATTATTCATGTGACATTTTATTTTATGTGTACACTCGGCACAACAAAAAACAAAAAAACATGACATAACAAACAATTTAATAATTGATATTTATGAGTTTATATAATACAAATTGTTCATTGTATCTGTTTCAGGCAAGAACACAAGTCTCATTCACCAAACTGTGCATTCCTATCCGCCAAACCCGAAGCTGAGCAGACAGTGGAGGATTTCCTCAAACTAGAGGCTGCGAGGCAGAACAATAAATTTGTAAGCTCTACCTTGGATAAGATTTGTTCAGTTAAACTCAAAAAGTTAGGACTTTAAATTAGTCTTGCATCAAGAGCTTGAACTCCCCCTCCTCATGCCCATCTTAGATTACCAAGAAGTTTAATTTAATTAGCCTTTTATCAAGAACTTGAACTCCCCATATCATGCCTATTCACTTATGTTCAACAGGGAGTCACGACTAACATTAGGGCATGATGCAAGACTAAATGATTAGATGTCATCCAGATTTGAAACTGTGAAGTATTTCTTATGCATCCTATATGCACATTTCAAGCAAAGTTCCATTTTGATATGCTTTATGCTACTTTTGAATACCTGTTGGCCTTTGTATTTTGCCCATATGCATATTATAGTATTTATCAATAAATAAACATAACATTTAAAATTGTCTGCTTTCTGTTTTACAGATGAAATTATCAGAACAACATGTGAAAGAATTTGAACGACAAGCTGCAGAGACTCGGGAACAACTTGAGATCATATAAGATACAAATCGTATGCACAAGACTAGCCCCATATGCCGGCAATTCGAAAGGGGAGTAGACATTACTATGTTGGAACTAGAGCTAGACCAGGCTATATATTAACATTGGAGGACAGTATACTTGGATCCAGACCTAGTGTTGAAAACGCATACACAACTACAACTACAAAAAAAATCCAAACATGCATTTAACACAATTGATGAACTCTTGTACCATACCTCATGGCTCTGGGAGTGGGACAAAGAAATACAGACAGGCACATTTTGCATTGCATTGATCAAGCATAAAGCATTGAAACAAAATCGTTGAAAAGTACACGGTTTTACACTACATGTCGAAGTGATGTTCCACATTTAAAATTATCAAAGTCTGCACAGTGAGTTACAGTAAAACCTGTGTCCACTCAAAACAACTGATGAATGTGTTCAAATCAAGGTGTTCAAATTATAGCTTGAGGATTCAATTTAATATCAGCCAAATTGCATGGTAGTCCTCAATTACATAATCATATTTCAAACATAAACCAGGACTTTAAGGGGGTATTTAAGTACAATGCATTGGTCTGACAGGACAATGTATTATAATTGATACAGTAGTATATTCAGTAGAAGGATCAGTGGATCTAAGAATTGAGCTGTACAGAAAAAGTGCATTATTTTATTGCCAATTTAAATGTAACTCTTTATAAAGTCAGAGGTACCTCAAACTGTAAATAAGTCTCCCCCTAAAATATATGAAAATGGAAGCAACCTGTACAATATACATGTAGCTGGGATTTCAAACAAACAGTCTCTGAAAATATCTAGCCAATATTGTAACAAAGATGGTCAAGGAAAGGAAGGGGGTTAAAACTGACTCAGAAATAGGGAGAGGGTTATCACTGAAATGCATATTTGCTCTTGGGGATTAATCATTCAATTTAATTGTAACTTTACATAGGACCATCCATGTCACTTCACACCTCTAGGAAACCAACTGTAATAAAGATAAGTACTTTGATCTAGTGGGTTTCCTGGAGTGGTCGGAGGTCTCCCCTTGCTTTGAACCCATGTTTTATTGTATATTCGATTATTTATCCATTTGGCCCAGTGCCAGTTGGCTTTATGCCCAGTTGGCCTGGTGCCAGTTGGCTAGTTGCCAACCTGGCTCTTTGCCAAAAACAGGCTGTATATAAATAAGAATTGTGTAGCCTCAGAGAAGTTGATTTTAGAGTTGATTAGAGACAGTGTGGTTTTGCAGAGTAAGATTTAGATTGAAATGTGGAAGTTGATTTTAGAGTTGATTAGAGACAGTGTGATTTTGCAGAGTAAGATTCAGTTGTTGAGTTTTAGAGTATAATCAGTCGGTTACAACCAGGAAATTACTTAGGACATGTAAAGTTATATTAATCAATGAACAATAAAAGAAATAGAAATCAAACTAACATTTTATGTTACTGCCACTAGACGACACGAGCCACAACATTATATTTTATGACAATAATTTGTTACATTGGTGCCGTTGCCAGGATTTTATAGATATATTTTCTTAGAAACGAATCTGGGAGCCTTCTGTTAGAAAGTGAACACAACTCAAGAAATGGAGGACTCGGTTATCAATACTAGGATTACCGAATTAGGAACTAAAATAAAAGTATTAACTGAAAATGAAACCAAAGAATTGAAGGAAGCAAATGACCTATTTGAAGAATTGTACGAATTTCCTAAACAGCAGAGGATTAGGTATAACAGTATGGCCGAGGAAATCAACAGGCTGAAGATGAACAATCAGAAAATAAGAAAGTGTAATGAGCATTTCCAGAAGAGCAAACAAATTGGTATGGAGATAAAGGAGTATGACCAAGAAGTACGTAGACTCAGAATAGAACTGAATGCCACTTTACAAAATAACAGTGGTAATGCAGGGGGTAAAGCCGTTCCATCCTCACCTAAATTTGAATCTGCTTTTACTCGCCATGATGCCAAGATGAGCAGTGAAGATGAGACATTGAATGTGAGCCCCTCTCAAAACTTGCTGGAAACTCACAATGCAATAAATGCAGACTCCGACAACTCTACAGTAGAAAGGTCCGACACAGAGAAGGCAGGGGTGGTTCTGTTGGAAAACAGTGACACAGAGAAATATGATGTTATATCAGAAGAAAACCATGTAATGCAGGCACAAGTGCAAACTACCCCTGTGGACACATTATATGCAACACAGAGGGGATTAGCCATAATGGCAAAGAAAACACTGAAGTCGTTTGAAGTGAAGAATCGAGTAAGAGTTAACAAACCACGTCTACGAGTCTACAAGGAAAAACGCAACAAGCCTTCGGCCCAGCTAAGCAAGAATAAGCATGTAAAACGGCTTGTTCACAAAGCTTGGTCCACTACCAACCATGTCACAAGACTAAAACTTAAAAAGGGAGCAAACTATATGGGAGATGTTATTCCCATAACCTATGAGTGTTGGTCTTCACCAGTAGAGACCCTGGAGTCCCGTATGGCCAGAGGGTGGCATAATGCGAAAAACAAAGAACCCAACAATGGATGTGAGAAAAACGGATGTTGGATGAATGTTGAAACGATTGGACTGTAGATATTGGATTATATTTGAACTGACAATGTATGACTTTTGTAACTTCTGAGGCTACTTCTAATTTTTAGTTATGATTCGCCATGGGCTGAACATTGGACCTTGTTGTTGTTGTTAGAGATTTTTCATTATGTGACAATGTGTGTAGAAGGATAACGTCAATATTACTATTGCAGAGATTTTGTGGTTTTTGTTATTTGGATCTACTGAGTGTATTTGGATGGTATTAAGACGAAGAGGCCATTAATTATAGTGTTTTAATATTGTTGAAATGGATAACTGTTCAATAATGTGTCATAAATTGTCATTTGTGACAGGAAACACAGAATAGAATATAGAGGATAATTATGACTACTATCAAACTGTACATATTGGATATCAAGTATCTGCTTGACTTTGACACAAATCGTAAAATGATACATCGTGTGGTTTCTATCAGCCATAAACTGTTTATTATGTGATATGTTAAGTGTGGATAAAGTGATACGGAACAAAGGATAATTAGTACTAATCAAACAGTGTTTCATACATCTCAATCATCAGTTTGATTTCAGAACATTTTTATGACTTTTACCCCAGATATTTGATAAACAATTAGGTCATAAACTGGAAAGTTATGGGCTAACACAAGTGATATGATTAGCAATTGATAGCACCTTTAAGGACTAGATTGTTTTATGGCCATACCAAAGCAAATATGGATGTTCAATCTATTGCTGTTTATGACCGTCACTTTTAATCACTCAAGTAGTCAAACATTACAATTTAAATTAATATTTATATTTATTTGTGGCTTTGCTGTAAGTGTATTATCCCCTGACTTATACTGGATGCTCAAACCCTTTCATCTATGCGGATCATACATTTCATTACATTTTCCTTGATAATTTGTTGTACCTCAGGACTTAATCATCACCTGATCTACACGTGTTCAAGTAGAAGAGAATTTGGATTTATTTATTTAACTTACAGTGAATAGTTGGATTATCTCAAGTTTCTGTGGATGGTACCCAGTCAACATTAGGACAACAAAATATGAATATGTATTATATAGTATGATGGTACAAAATATTGTATGATTTGATGCTGGATTTATATTTGCTGTGAGATTTGGATTAAATCAAGATCATTTGGATAGTACCCAGCCAGAATCGGGATAAATGGGTCATATTTATTTTGTTTAAATATTGTTGGAATGGATAACTGTTCAACAAATGTGTCAACAAATGTCACTTCCATCAGGAATTATGATTAAAATATTCGAATCACGGATCATTGGATTATAATAGACAAGTTTAAGCACATTATGGAGGAATACTGCAAGGCTGTTATAAAAGGAGACATCTATGGAGTGTTATGTTTTGGCAAAAATGCTGGAGGTGATGTCATTTTTCCTACAAATTATAATCATTGATGTGTCACATGAGGATGAATTTTGGACTTGTTGGAAGAGACTGTGTCTTTTTACCTTTATCTCATATTTTAGATAAGTATAGCTTGGTTAAAGTTCTGTCAAGTGGCTTCTTGTTGCAATCTTGAATGTAGTGATATTGAAAGACAAAGATTCATTATTCTTTCCATGTAATGTAAAGGCTGTTTGTAAACTATGATGATATTATGAATATAGGCTAAGTGACCCTTGAGTATATGAGGCCAAGAGAGCCTAGAGTATATGAGGCCAAGAGAGCCTTTGTTTTTAGTAGATAAGGCCAAGAGAGCCTGTAGTTTAAGTAGATAAGGCCAAGAGAGCCTGTTGCTTTTAAGTGTATTACTATTAGGGTCAAGGGATCCTTCGATTTATGTGTGACGGCTGGAAAAGCCAGTAGTTTTTATGAATATGGTCAATAGAGCCTTGGTATTTATGTTTAAAAGTTTTGAGAGCCTTTAAATTGATATGGGTTAGAACAGTGTAAGCAGTCATAGGTTTGACTGATAGAAGCATTTTGACTATTTCCAAGCTATACACTATTTATGATATATTTTTATGACTATTCCTACAGCTTTTTGTTGAGTCACTCAAAATTTGTTGTTAACGCAATATGGATTGCATATAGTATGGGTTGACAAGGTGATCCAGTTGTGTCTGTAGGATTTATTTGCCTAAATGTCTGATTGCCAAATGCAGCTTTGGTTAAATGTAATTGGGTGCTTGGATGATAGTGTGGTTTCTATGCTTAGTATTAGACAGGCATTCTAGCAAAAGCATTTTGAGAAGTTTCAAAAGAAGAAAAAAACAAACTTTTTTTAATTAATTAGGATGCTCAAGGTCAGTCAATGGTATTGAATAATTATATTATAATGTTGGGAATTTAAGTTTGCATTTAGTGGTATAGTTTGGTCAATTGATCCACTGTTGTTTATTTTTAAGTACATAAGTATATTTATAACAGCAAGTATACTGCATTATATACCTTATTTTATTTGGGACAAATAATTACAAAGTAGGGGGAGAATGTAACAAAGATGGTCAAGGAAAGGAAGGGGGTTAAAACTGACTCAGAAATAGGGAGAGGGTTATCACTGAAATGCATATTTGCTCTTGGGGATTAATCATTCAATTTAATTGTAACTTTACATAGGACCATCCATGTCACTTCACACCTCTAGGAAACCAACTGTAATAAAGATAAGTACTTTGATCTAGTGGGTTTCCTGGAGTGGTCGGAGGTCTCCCCTTGCTTTGAACCCATGTTTTATTGTATATTCGATTATTTATCCATTTGGCCCAGTGCCAGTTGGCTTTATGCCCAGTTGGCCTGGTGCCAGTTGGCTAGTTGCCAACCTGGCTCTTTGCCAAAAACAGGCTGTATATAAATAAGAATTGTGTAGCCTCAGAGAAGTTGATTTTAGAGTTGATTAGAGACAGTGTGGTTTTGCAGAGTAAGATTTAGATTGAAATGTGGAAGTTGATTTTAGAGTTGATTAGAGACAGTGTGATTTTGCAGAGTAAGATTCAGTTGTTGAGTTTTAGAGTATAATCAGTCGGTTACAACCAGGAAATTACTTAGGACATGTAAAGTTATATTAATCAATGAACAATAAAAGAAATAGAAATCAAACTAACATTTTATGTTACTGCCACTAGACGACACGAGCCACAACATTATATTTTATGACAATAATTTGTTACAATATATGCACTCACTGGGTGACCAATTGTTTAAAAGCTTTGGCATTTCCAGAGTTTTTTTTATAAAAATGATTGTACAGGTCATTGTACAGGTTTTTGATTTGGTGTAATTTCTAGGATCAGATTGAGCCACTTTTATGTATCAAAGTTCATGCAGAGTGTCCCAGTAATTAAAAATATTGTATTCTTGAAAAAGTGCATGTTAAAAATTTAGTACATCGTTAAGAGTATTGAATTTTCTGACATTCCCCAGTGTGGTGTTGTAGATGCCAGTTTACTTTCAAACCAATTACTTGATGTATTCTCTTGCTTTAAGTTTACTGGAAAGTCATTAAATCTGAGCAATCTTGGCACATGCCAAAACGTGTTCAGATCTGAAGGTTTCTATATTTCAAAAGTGGAACCAAAACTGTTCAAATGGACAGGTGTTTAGATCAGAGAGGTGTTCAAATATACAGGTTTTACTACTTTCAAGTACTATATTTCTTGTATCAAGCTCATGTGTAGGGCCTACCTCCCAATAATATATGAAGTCACATCTTCTTGGTTTGGTGGGTTGCAGATGCTTGATGCAAGACTTGTTACACACGTTTTAACTGCATCATCAAATCCTTTGGGATTTATCAAACATTTTACATAAAACATCCATTAATATTTATTCATTTATTGTATATAAAACATTGAGATTTACGTTATAATACATACTTACATATATACAAGTCTTGAGTTTATTTGTTTCTTGAATTTTTTGATGACTGGCATTTAACTTCATATGCACTTCAATGAAATAACAATTGAACATGATTTGAATAAATGAATCAGTCCTTTCAAATAGATTGGTCTTTAGGCATTTTGAAAAAAGGGACTTCATCAAAAATGGTCCAGTATCAAATAAGTTATTGGTCTATTAAATTAAAAGACTATATTGCTATAGTATTACATACCTAGCGAAGCATTTGACTGTATGGAAGTCAATGGAGCTGAAGGACGGCTATATATTCCTGTATAGCCGCCAAACTTTACACCATGACAATCGTATGACGTCACGTTTCATTTCTTACATAGCCTATTCCAATCGCACACAGACGTGTGACGTCGTTGATATAACATGAAAACAAAGCATTTTTTGTCTTTTTTCACGCATTTTTACATATTATATTCATGAAATGTAATATAAGATGTACTTTAGGTATGTAATACAACAATTATGTCCGTATCATTGAATATATGCCTTCGGTCTGTCGTCAATATAACCCTCGCAAGTTCGGGCTATATCGACGTCAGACCTCAGGCACATATTCAATGATAGGGACATAATGGCTATTTATTGATGAGTAGTATATCTTAGAGTGGGGAAAATGTGAAGATTAATTGACCCTGAATTTCATTTTCTTACCAATAACATTTTAAGTTCTAAGATACATTTGATATAAGTCTCATAATCATAGGACTGCTGTATCTGACTATATGTATATAGACCCAAAGGAATGTGACATCTTTGATATTGTATCTATTGCCTTCCACTTCTTGCTTGCTCAATTTTCCGTCTCACTCCATTACAATTTAAAGTTAATTCAGCATGCTCCATTTTTAAACGGTCCAATTTTTCTCGCAAATCATCACTTTCATCCTTGCGTTCTTCAAAGTCCCGCAACAATGGTTCATTACCCAGAAGTCCACAATTTTGTCGTAATTTTTGATTGTCTATTCTCAATGCATCTCTTGCTTGTTTTGTTCTTGAAAGAATATCCCTTTTCTGAAAGCACAGGACATTTTGCATGATTTGTATTCTTTGTATAAGACAGATACAGTACATGCAAAAAACAAGACATACTTTTGTGTAAACAAATATTATTTTGTGGATTTGTTTGTCATACATCATACAAGCAAGGAATATATATTTTTACGTACATTTAATTTAGTTACAGGATTTGTGTTTTTCACAACAAAGTTCGAAATTTTCTCATAGGTTCCCTGTGAAACCTTTTTTTCAAATGTAAGCATTGATATTCTAATCAACAAATGCTTTTATTTAAATGCTCAACTATTCAGGCCATCTCTCATTTTGTATTATCAACATTGAAATGTGTTATCATAGGTGAAATACATTGGTCTCGCAGCTTTGAAACAGTTATAAGCTTTTGTTTGGTCACTGGTCCATTATGCTGAAAAGCACTTTTTATCTGATTTACCTTTGATACAGTTTCCTCCACATCTTTCAGTGTTCCTTTCAGGGTGTGGTTTTCTGCCTGTACAAACTGCAACTTCTCCTTCAGGTGGGTCAGCACTTGCACAGTGCTGGTGATCTTCTTCCGCAGTTTCAATAGCTCCTGAATATACAATATGATGCATGTATGTTTTGGAATATATGGATTTACAAACACAAAACATTATTTCATTCTCAGTGAATAAATGAGTAGATTAATAAAAGAACTGGTTAAGAGAAATATACAGAAATTCTTTTCAAGTTTACTTAACTCAAAGTGAGTTGTTCTTTAAAACCTGTTTAATTCACTCTCTCATAAAATTATTGAGTGGATTGGTTATTTAAATATAATTGTTTCTGAGCTTAAAGCAAAAGCTCACTGGAAGCACTATCTCAATGAGAACTACTTTTCCTTATAAATTATACATCAACAGATGACCCTGTTCCTTACTTCATTTCTCTCCTCAATCTTTTCATTGTATGTCTGGTTCTCTATTTTCAACTGTTCAAAGTCAATTAGGTGAAGACCTTCAGCAAGTTCTTCCTGAAATACATGAACATCTTCCTGTTTGGATTTTTGGTTTAAATTACAGTTTCTGACCTCTCAAATTATATTTTACAATAAAATACATAAGCATCCTCAGGTCTGGTCTAGTTTGTACATGGTTTCGAATTGAAAGATTCTGACCCTTTAGTTGTATCTACAATATGTGTGTTCACAAAGTTCTAGAGTATTTCATTAAATCGTTAGTATAAATTTTCTAATTTCCTCACTGTATTGTTCTAATTCTTCAAAATATTTCAAAAACAGACAACCTTTCTGTCAATCGTTTCTTGATTTTGATATTCATTGAATAAATGCTATATTTTTTTGATTTTCTCGCAAATGAATCTTCACATGTGGACATTACCTTTGACTTTAACTGCTGTTCTTTCTTCTTTAACTTATTTTTCAGTTTAATATTCTCCAATCTGACATTAACAACCTCCTGCTCCTTTGCCATCTCTTTAGCTAAGTACTGCTCTATATCCTACAAGACAAATATTCATGGATACATTTTTGGTATCTTGAACAATATCATAAAACATGTAATGAGAGTACATTGGCAGAATCCCTCAGGTAGCCCCAGATTTTTCCTCCATTTTGAACCTTCAATTTTTGACTAAAAGACACACTTCATCAAAATCCATACTGAAATTTCTTCCGTTGAATAATTTCATATGGACTTACGATTGATATGATTGTTTTTGCATTCTCAATTTACTTTATGTTTAGATTAACAAAGTAACCTTTAATTGTACTTCATGTGTTGATAAAACTGGTATTACCTTATTCTGTATAGGGCGTCCAGATCTGCTGTTGACACTGTTCAATGCTACAGTCTTCTGCACATCCAAGAACCACGCTCTCTCCTTTTCAACAGTCTCCTTCTTCTCCTCACATCTCTCCTGTAGCTCTTCTATTTGCAGCTTGAAGTTTTCACGCTCTATTCTCTCCTGCTTCCCCAGGTCATCAAGATTGGCTACAATCAGCATATAAGGATATTTTATACACTAGTATTCTGAAGGATAAATGAACAATTGAATTAGAGGTCTATTATCAGATTATGGAGCTCAGTATTCATGACTCCTAAATTATAGACCTTCAAATGAAAATAGACCTTTTTTTTTTGTTTATCATACAATATAATATTGTTATTATTTGCATTCACATGCAAAATGTCATCACCTGCCATTTGTTACAGACACCAAATGCCGAATGCCAACTGCCGGACACCATCACAAAAAGGTTGGAGACAATAACACTATGTCACCACATTTGGTGATGACATAATAAACTAAGTCCTTAATATTATTATGCTATGGTGTAGTTGGTTTTAAGACTGAATTATCCATTTTACTACGTACCCATATATTTCAGATATCTCTGTTCTTGGTCAGTGACATTTTTCTCTATGTCCTGTCTTCCCTGTTCATCAGATTTCTTCTTGCGGAAGTATTCCGCCAGCTTGTGCTGCAGTTGATAGTTCTGCTGCTGCAACTGTTCTCTTTCTTGGATGGTTAACTAAAAGTATTTCAGTCATATATTGAGCACATGAATTTATACTCTTGGATCTTTTAAATGTTCTGTATATCATTTTCGAATTGTATCATATAACTATTTTTTATACAGATAAAGGATGAAACAAACATAAATGAATAAAACATGGAAATATTGATTCATACAATTTAACTGATTAGTTTCGCAAAAACTCTAATATTGTGATAGCAAGCTAAATTGGTGTTCCATGAAATCATTGATGGTCAGGTGCCCCATCCATGACAAGTTGCCTGGGCATAAGAAAGGGACAAAATACTTACATTATACTGTTCAATGAGCTCTTGTCTGTTAAATCTTGGTTCTTCTTCATCCTCCTCTTCATATTCCTCCATCTCTTCATCTTGCTCCTCTTCTTCATCATCTTCACTGTCTGTAAAATCAACAGTATTAATCACAATGCAAAATGCAGTTCTGTAGAAATACATGAACAATCAGAACACAAAACACACTAATTTTCCAAATTTTTTTTCAATAGGGTGAGACCCGTACATAAGTCAAAATTTCCCTATATTTTATCCTTTTGACAGAGTAAAAAGAATATTTTAAACAGGTTGGATTGTAACCGTTAATGCTATCAACAGGGTAAAGAAGTCAGTTGATTTAATGCTGGGAAAACAATAAAACATGACACATTTTCTGTAATACAGAATACAGATCCATCTTAATTGTTCCTCTAATTAGAAGATTGGAGAGGGAATTGCAAATGTATCAAAATATTTAATGAAGACTTAATTACAGTTTGGTGTTATGCCTTAGTATAACAGTGTAATGATCAGAGAAGATTGTTCACTAAATATGTGGCTTTAAGATTGGGCACGTCACAGGTCGAAATTTAAAGAAAAGATATCAATGAAATGTGACTTCAGGTAGTAAAATGGCAGGAAGTCAATACCCTGTAAAGACCCCACCAGCCACCAAATAAACTCCAATAAAAAGAAATGCTATTGTAAAAGATGTAGATGTATTGTACATGTATATACTTACAGACTGGTGTACCAGGTTGAAGTTCTCCAGGACTCTGAGTCCTCTCCTGCTGATCGGCAGGACTTCCTTCCCTGGACAATTTTTCCCCTACTGCAACGGGACTTTCTGCTCTTTCCCCCTCAGCAAATGTATCACTCTATAACAAACACAATGGGAGGGATGAAAGAGGTCCTTAATGAGACATTTTTAACTTAAACTCATGAAACATATTTCTCTTTCATCATTTTCCCTGAAAAATTAGAAGAAATGTCATTTGGAGATCTTACCTGTGGTACTGGTGATTTTGCATCCCCTTCCTCCCCCTCGCCCTCTACAGCAGGTGTCTCCCCCTCAGGAGCCTCATCCCCTTCTGTCTTTTCCCCAAGCGCCTCTCCTTCAGCTGCAGGCTCATCCTGACCCTCTACTGGTGCCCCCTCAGCACCCCCTTCCTCTCCTGTAGAGAAACATACATATCATTTAAAAGCTCATGTTTGAAACTTATTTTCTTATGTCAATACAGATTTTGCATAGCTATACAAATGTACAATATAATTGTATTTTACATCAACAAGATAATTGCTACATGCAATTTGTTTGGTTTACCATTTTAAGAAACAAATATTTACTGAATTAGTTCAGTTCTACATTTCTAGAGACTACCAAGCATAGTATGTTTTTAATAGGGTATCATGAAACCTCACACAATTCAAATAAATGCCTAAAACTAAATACATGTATTAACAAGCAAAAACAAAAATGCAAACCACTTAAAATAATTCAAGTAACAACATTTCTATAGAAACTCTTATGAATATGACACATTCAAAGCTGTTACAAACTCTCATCACAAAATAAATGTACATAAAATCAAAAATCAAAATCATACCTATCAGGGTGCTACATATGCACTGGTTTATTGGCCAATAATACTGCGATTTAACATGTGTAAGTACATAAACAGTGTAAAGCTAAATAACAGGACAAGTCTGTTTTTTAATATTGACCAATAGACCTAAAATCTGCATGATGTCCCCTGATTTCTAAATACAGTACAGTATTCAATGTGGAAACATATACATCTAGCCTGTGATGTTAGTTGGACTAATTATGTGAAGACAAACCAAAGCATTATGCCACACACACACAACATAGTAGTTCCAAGTCAAACCTTCTTTTTGTTCCCCTTCAGTTGTAGCAGCTTCACCTTCTGGTTTAACATCTCCTTCAGCCTTGTCTCCTTCCTTTGCTTCTGTATCTCCTTCCTTTACTTCAGCATCTGCTTCCTTTCCTTCAGTCTCCCCAGACTCTCCCTCTTTCACATCACTAGCATCTTCATTTGTTTCACCTTCTTTTACTTCACCCTCATTAGCTTCCTTAACTATATCAACATCATCATTTTCCTTAACTATACCTTCACCCTCCTTAACTACAGTCTCACCTTCTGGGGCCTCCCCATCTTTGGGAGCCTCACCATCTTTAGGGGCCTCCCCATCAGCATCTGCCTTTTCTTGCACAACTTCACCTTCCTTAGGTTCACCCTCAACTGCAACTTCTGGAAAAGTATTTTTGTAATATGATTGATGAGAGATATTTAAATTATTTCATTGTTTAATTGGAAGCTTTAGTATATGAATTGCTGATACTGATACAATTCCTTAAACAAGTGCAATAAAGAAAATATTATGTAAGTAACCACTGCTTAACTGTAAAAGTATGTACTACATGTCGAGGAGCACTGTCTCATATATGTAGAACACAATAATTCATGCATAGACTGATAGTCAGTGTAGTCAATCTGTTTTTATATCTTCTGAGGGAACATTAACAGATGAACTGCACTCCTGCTATTTTCATGTCTGCCTAAAATCTATGGATATCAGTCAATTCCACCAAAAAGATGGATAATTCGAGCACTGTCAGATTAAACGCACGGGGTGAATACAGGTCAAAGAATTTGGAGTGGACTGACTGGACTGAGTTATTTCTTACCAGTGTTCTCAGGTGCAGGTTGTTCTGTCTGTTCCATGGCTTGTTCCTCTGCTGTTGGCTCAGGTTCTTCAGCTATTGTCTCTTGACTCACTGGAGCAGTTGTCTCCTCAGCTGCTTCAGCTGGACTTGGCTGAAATAAAATATAGTGCATGTACACACTTCATGATTATATATGTTCAATAAATATGAATGTCCCACTCTAGGTCAGAATTTGATTTGAAGACCTTCGTAGTTATACACAATTGATCTCATTTGATGCTCACAAATTTTAATGTTAAAGGTTATATATAAAGTTTAAGATATTTAGGCTTATATTATAGTCTTAGCCGATGTTATCAAAATGTTATACAGGGTGGGCCAAAAAAAACGCCACTTTTTTTCAAAATGCTATAACTTTTTTATTTTTTGATACAAAATCATAATTTGCATACCAAATAAAACTTGAGGTTGTTATCTAGCCATGGATCATGAATATACACTTTTACTTGAATAAAACATGTCACCAGCGTCTCACTTAAACATGTGGTGTGCCATGAGAAATAAGCATAATTTTCAAAATGTTCCTGAACTGATACGGCCTGATGATCGCAAAGCTAATAGCCCTAATGCAAACCACAGTGAATATAGGGTATGGAAAGGTCTCCAGGAGATTGTATGAAGGCATCCAATCTAGAAAATTGCTCAACTAAAGCTTGCAATTAAGACACGTTGAAAAAAACTTAGCTAACATTTTATTGATACTGCTATATCAGCAAGGCGACTAAAACTAAAATATATCATCAAATAGGGTGGCGGACCAATTGAACTCCTCTTTTAGATGAAATATAATCCAAGTTGAAGGACTTGTTACATTATATTATTACTAAGAACCCCTGGCACTATATAACTGCAGAATTTGGGGTTTGTAGATTGGAAAAATTAAAAAGCTGTAGTGTCTTGAAAAAAGTGACATTTTTTGGCCTACCCTGTATATGTAAAACTCAATTTTATAGGTCCGAATATCTTTAATAAGCAATAATTCACACAAATGAGTAGCATTCATCCATTTTTGCCTGAGGTCAGTTATTTATCAATACAGTTTCACGATAGCCTTGAAAAACAGGGGTAAGAATCACAAGAATCTCATAACTGCTCTAACAAAAGACAAATTTAACATACATTTTCCAAAGATCAATCTCTCTTCAATAGCAAAATTAACTGTTGAAATGTTTTGTAATTTTTTCCTGTTATTTGCTTGCTCCGTATAGCCTTCTGGTGAAAAATCATAGCACACGTACGAGTTTGTGATAATATGGATGGATCTTAATGTTAAAATTACGTTAAAATTAAAGAACTATAGCATTCATGGTGCTGTATTGTATTGTATCTTTTGTATCTGTAACTAAAATGTGAACAAAGTTTAGAGTTTTATTATTCATGCTGTATAATTATATTGTATCATTCATATCCTATACTAGAGGACAGGGAGGCATTGTTGTCCATGTAGGTAATGTTAGACAAAAGGAAGGCCTGCAGTGGATGTCCAACGTACATGGACTACATTGTCGGATTTGTCCCCCTGGCCCTGTACTCTAGGGCAAAAGAGTGTAACGTTGACATGTAGGGTAATGTCTACATGAGAGACAGGGTAATTTCGACACTTACTTATTACAAGTAGAATTTCTGTTTTTCACCATGTTTGATTTCAGGAAAAATTAAAATGAGAGAGATCTCAACCCATCCATGCGAGAAAAAAAACATGGCTTCCCTCTCCATTGGAAATTAGAGCAACTAAACAACGAGGTGTCGAAGTTACCCCACATGTTGAAGTTACCCCAAAATGGTGTTGACCTTACACCCCTTCGCCCTAGATCTAGTATTTGGGATTGCATTCAGTTTCAGAAAAGAGTCCATGATTATTGAGTCATTGTGTCAAAAATACAAGGCCTAGAACGAGCCTAGCCAAGTTTCAGCTCAGTAGGCCTAGGCCCCGGCTAGAACTATGCATTATCGTAGCTTAGGTCTAGCCTAGGGCTAGGCTAACTTACGCCAAAAATGAAAATATTTCGACCGAGAGTTGTTTTGAAAAAAGAATTTTACGTTTGAGCGTACATTTTCAGTTATTTTACAAAGCTAATTGTATTTTGGGAATGCTGATTCATTCCGATTAGTTCCAATAACTTCATATGCATGTTGATCGTATTTAAATGACATAAATGTAAATTAAACTTGAAATTTTGAAATTTCACTCACTTCTGCATCCGCCATCTTTGTTGTCATGTAAACGAATAATCCGCCATCTATCGACCAGTTGGTGATCGTATTGTGCTGCCATCTTTTAATATGATTGAATCTTGCACATCCGGGGAATTATTCTCACCTGGAAAAATAAACCAGTGGACAGGTGTTTCCTGTAAAAGTGTGCATTTAGTTGGATATCAGGGGAAGGAAAATACTCTACTGTAGATTATATTGCGGGAATGTATAACAAGTATATCTTGAACACAAATACAAGGAGTTGGTAAGTTGATTTTTCTCGACTTTTGATGTTCAAACTCATTCTTGAATTTTTTTTCACTTCAGAAAATAAACATTTATTGGAAGCTTGACATCCCGGTCTTGACATTTGTAATGGAATCGATGGCAAAAATCGATAGTACAGACCTTTATCATCGTGAAGGTAAATTAATATAATTGTAAGTATATGTCTATAATTTTACACAATGGAGAGGCATTGAAAGAAGGTAAGGCCCAAGGTAAGGCTGACTAATATCTGGGACCAATATAAGGCCTGTCATTTACTCAGAGCCACTGATGAAACCCATGATGACTGTCATATGTCTTTGGCTAATCAATATCGTAGAATTTACTAATAGTAATACACCATCTCATCATCACATAACGTTTATGCCCTTATCTGGTCTTATGTTTTGAACCAAGGTCTTCAATGTACATACAGTAAAACCTGTCTAAGTGGAACACCTTTGGTACCTCCAAAAAGTGTTCCCCTTGTCTATCCCGTTCCCGGACTATGGTCCTGTGAACATCTCAATCTTTTGCCTGTGCGATTACAACATGGGAGAATTTTTTACTCATCTTACACTTCTGATACCGGGTTTGTACAAAAAACCGGGTACCGGGTAGTAAATCCTTCATGCTGGGTTCAAACTTGGTACCCGGTACCCGGTCGAAAAAACCGGGTACCCAAAAAACGAAAAATACGATTATATAACATATTTAGATCATTAGAAAACGTGTAAGATTTGTTTTGAATATACAAAAATGTATGTAACTTCCTTCAAAATTGAGCTAGAAGCTTCAAATAAAAAGCATTTTAAGGTTCTTTTCTTCCTCTATCATCATGGTCATATTTTCATAGGTTATGGGGTGGGGTGCGATCGCCTATGACATTGTAAGACGTAACAATTTACACTTCAGTGGACGTTGGGATAACTTAAATTATGATTAATAATCAAAATCTTACACGTTGCATCATGTAAATTAACACACGTCACCTCTCTGCTAAAGTAACGAACTTCACGTACCAACATACGAACTATTGAAATTACAGGTGACGAAAAATTCGCGTGAAAAGTCCGAACGGATTGCGTACGTTTTTTTGGTGTTCGTATTTTTGCTGTATCGGCGAAATTTTTTCTACAGATATATTTTTGCTTGACAATTACCAGGTAAAATGCGTATTTGTGTGACATTTTCTGGCGTGACTTCAAATTCTTCAGCAAATGCGTGACAAATACGCAAATTGCGGGACAGTTGACAGGCCTAATAACCGATGAAAATATGACCATGATGATAGAGGAAGAAAAGAGCCTTAAAATGCTTTTCATTTGAAGCTTCTGGCTCAATTTTGAGGGAAGTTACATACATTTTTGTATATTCAAAACAAATCTTACACGTTTTCTAATGATCTAATTAGTTGTATATTCATATTTTTCGTTTTTTGGGTACCCGGTTTTTTTGACCGGGTACCGGGTACCAAGTATGAACCCAGCATGGAGGATTTACTACCCGGTACCCGGTACCCGGTTTTTTCTACAAACCCTCTGATACCTACTTCAATAGATTCCTTGGTAATTTAGCATTCTTTTCGTGTGGTAAAGATTAAAAGGTGGATTGGATCGAGTGGATTGGATTCATGTAAAAGGTGGATTGGATTGGCTATCTTCAAAATATGGATTTTCCTTTAAAAAATTCTATTGATCTCCCTTTAAAAGATTGGTGCTCTGTTCACTTGCACAATGTCAAATAATAGATGTAATATTATTTTGCTTGGATGGGCTAGAAGGATGACCTGGTACCCGCTTTCTGATACACGATCTTATTCATTCCAAGTGTAATTTGAGACATTTCATAAATCATAAGGCAGACTGGTTTGAAGATCCATATCATCTGTTTTCAATCCAAACTGAACATACCAGAAATGTTTTGTGAACATTCACAAATTAATTTGAATGACAAGTTTTCTTTTTCTAAAGATCTATGTCTTACAAAAGTTGATTTACAAGGGAAAGCGGTTAAATACTTAAGTGTGTCCATGAACTAATTGGAGTATGTATTTGTCATTGCTTTGTTCTGATTTCTCAAAAGGGACCTGTAATACTGTAGAGGGAAATTGTTTAGAGGGAGATCAACAGAATTTTTTTTATAAGAAATTCCACATTTTGAAGATTCCCGATCCAATCCACCTTTTACATGAATCCAATCCACTCGATCCAATCCACGTTTTAATCTCTACCTTTCGTGTAGTTGAATCCACAATTGTCTGGGTTTATTGGCAGAACGAAGACATTTTCGTTTTTGATCGCAATATTTGCGTGTAACATTTAACTTATTTCAACCGTCAAATTCCTCCATATTGGTACTTCCGGGCTACATCCGGGACAGCCAAACGGGGGATTCCCCTTTTAAATCCAACCGCCATTTTGAAAAGTGATGGAATCTCTCTTGATGAAAAAGAGAAATGTTCCCGTTCTGCCGATATACCCAGACAATCGGCGGTTCCAATATATATGAAGTTACATCTTGAGTTCTATAATGCATTGAGGTAGGTATCTTAAGTGTAAGGGGCGTAGATAATTCTCCCAAGTTGTAATCGTACAGGCAAATGAATGCGCTCAGTGCAGGACTATAGTCCGGGAACGGGATAACCCCTTGTGAGGTGTTTTACTTATAGAGGTTCATTTATTATTAAGTCAATTGGTCTTGGGACTCTGTTCCACTTCTAGAGGTGTTCCACTTTACAGGTTTCACTGTACTTTGCTGTCAGGTTGTACCCTCCCCAATCCCCCTCTACTCCAAGCAGTTTAATCATTTGATAGATTGTACTTCATTTCACCAGCCCAATCTGCAGTGCCTACATGGGGATGTCATCTACCATGCCCTTTAAAATTACAAGTAGAAATATCAGTCTATGTCTTTAGAACAGACAGGGCCATAGCCCAGGGGGTTTGGTGGTTCGAGCAACCCCCTGTCCAAAAATTCTTTCAAAATCAAGCAGGTTTTCAACTGTCTGACCACTTTTTAAGTGATTTTGGCCATTTTTGGACCAAAATTGTCACAAGTGAACCCCGGGTCCCTGGAACATTTCAAAAAGTGAACCCCCTTGGCAAATCCTGGCTATACAGTCCTGACAGACCATGTCTGTGACTCTGGAAGCTCAAAGGATTGGGGTAGAATTATAGAATAAAGGATTCATATCTGATCAGTGGCATATAGTTTGAATCAATTAATTTGTATAAGGATATCTTGCTATAATATATTTATATTCACACATACATGAATAAAACATGTGATTTGAAGAATTGTTTTAGATAACAAAGTACTTGAAAAAGCCTAGAGCTCATGTAAATATCAAACCACACCTGATTAAAACAATGCAAAATCGTTGACATTCTTAACCTATTGATTTCTACATTTAATCTTGACTCATTGATTCTCTACGTAAATATATGGGAGTATGCAGTAAAATGTGCTGATCTATTGATTTTGTTTATTCATTCAATATTATAATACTGAATGTCTTGAACATATTATGCATGTATAGAATATTCTATCTCTACTTCAGGGAGAAGTTGCAAGGTCTGAAGAGGTATATCATTTAAAATTTCATCTGATTGGGACTTTATTTTATTTTATTTGTATTCTCTTAAATAGGACATTAATTAGGAGGTTGTTAATCATAATACACAAATATTGTTGCTATTAAGATTAGATACACTTTTATTTGAGAACTTTAGAGTGGCCAGCAAACAGTTTGTTGACTATGAACTTAACTTATCAAATAGGAGAATACATGGTAGAAATTGTAAAATTGAGTAAAGTTTTTGAATGAATGTAAAAATACTTTAGCATGGATTAAATTGACTGTATTGAGGTTCCTTAATAAGCCTCTTGGGTTTTGATTGATTTTTAGAGATGAGGGGGTGTGTTTATAAAGATTTATTGATTTTCATGCAAATAATATTTAATTTGCTGATTTATTTCAACTTTGTTATAATAGTTTGGTAAGTAAATATGTTAACAACTCTACTTACAGAAATCTTATTTGTTCTATATATTATATGTGTAACAGGCACACGTCTGAAGGAATGTCTCACAACCAACCAATTTAGAGGTATTTGGTAATTGAAAATCCTATGTATATCCAGCGTTAATTGAAATATTTTAAGAATTTAACCAACTACAGTAGTAGAAATGATAACTAATAAACCTAGCAGTATCATCCCATTCATTTAGTTATTTGTTTAATGTAAAAGGAGTGTGTATGAACTGCCTATAACTATCATATCATAAATTTCTAAATCCCAATTATTACAAAATCACCCATGTTTTTTTGATCTACAATTCATAAAATATTTATAAATAATTATATTTGAACCTTCATATTGTGTTATATAATGAGCTATTGTTGTTTTGGCACTGCTATACAGAGATCAAATAATTACATGTCTGTCTCTGGTCTCTACTATATTAAAGCATGGGCTTTCAACTAGAATTTGAAAGCCTATGATTAAAGGGTTGAATGTCATTGAGAAACATATTGTTCTGTGACCAGGTGTATTATATGTCTGAGAGTGGGTATTCAGGTGAACTGAAAACCCAGGGAGATGTATTCATGGTTTAACTGTTGATAATAGAATAATGAACTATCACATAATAGGAAACAGTCTGTTAAATGTCTTCAAAAGTAAATGGTCATTAATATTATTTATTAGAAATGAATGAGCTTAGAATACTCAATGTAGTCCCCAAGTGAGAAACAAATTATGTTCTATAAGATAAAATTTTCTAGTTTCTTAAAGTGTCTTAAAGGAATATTCCTTGCCAAACCATCTCTCTCCTCATATGGTAGCTATA